GGTTCCCTTAGATAAGGAATAGGAATATATTCGGGATTACTATAACGGACCTACGATAGGATATTCCGGAATTGCAAGAATAACGGAATATATCCGAAGGAACTTTATATTCCTAGGGATAAGATAGAAGGTTACTATATACATTAAGAAATGCTAATAGTATAATAAGAATAAGGCCGTACGACACGCTAAGTACGGGAACCTCTAGTTTAGAGAACTACTAGCGAGACTATAGGACGAAGTTACGATAGACTTTATCGTCAAGCTACTAAGATTACAAGAACTAGTAATAGGGAGTAGCTACGACTCGATTCTAGTTATAGTTAATAGGCTAACTAAGTACTTACACTTTATACCCTATAACGAAACTATTATAGTAGAATAACTCGGACACCTAGTTCTAGATAGACTAATACGATACTATAGAATACCAATAACGTTTATTACGGATAGAGATAAGCTCTTTATATCAAACTACTAGAAAACCCTAGTTATAGTAATAGGGATACGATATAAGCTATCGACGGCTTTTTACCTACAAATAGATAGATAGACTAAGAGATCAAATTAGTCGCTAGAGATATATCTAAGATACTACGTCGATTATATACAAGACAACTAGGTTATACTACTACCTATAGCGTAGATTGTACTTAACAATAATATATTAGAAACAATACAAATAACACTATTCTATAATAACTTCGGAAGAGATCCGAACCTATTTATAGAAGCCTAAGAAGGACCCCGAACGGATAAAGCGATAGTTAAGGCATTAAGCCTTAAAGAGTTATACAAAATAGCTATAAGCGCTATCTTAGCTTAATAGACGCGATTATTAACTTTGCGAAGCAATATATTAAAAACGGCACCTTAACTTAAGAGGGGGGATAAGGTCTTCCTCCTTACAAAAAATTTAAAGACTAGGAGAAACACGAAGAAACTAGATTATATAAAAGTTAGACTATTTTTAATTTCGGAAGTTAGAGGACTAACGAACTACCGACTCGATCTTCTACTAGACGCGAGGATCTATCTAGTATTCTATATCTCTATATTAGAACTAGCGGATAGTAGTATACCGCTATAGATAACGTTCTACTTCGAACCTTAAGAGGAGGACGAATTCGAGGTTAAGAGGATCGTCGGGAAACGAGGAAACGAATACCTCGTAAAATAGAAAGGGTATCTAGGTTCGGATAATACTTAAGAGCTACGAAGGAATCTAATAGGATATTAATAGAAGCTTAGGGAGTTTTATAAAGGGTAACGTACCTTAACCTAAACTACTAGGGACCTTACGAGGAGAACTCGAATCCACGGTAGGTACAAAATCCCAAGCGAAGGGATCCGGAGTACTAACTACCTCCAACTAAGTACCGAGACGGATAGCCTTAGAAAAGCCGTCGTTCTCCTTCTCGGGCGTATTTTTAACTATATACCGTACCTACTTATCTAGCTACCGGTTATTTTGTTCCTAGATAGCTTTATTCTACGCTATACGCGCCTTTACCCTCTAGATTTTATCAAGTAGCGACAAGAGCTCGTCTATTATCTTTAAAGTATTCTCTTTATCCGCTAAGATCTTACTCGCGAGGTTATCGGCTACGGCGTCGAGACGCGCGACTAAGGAAGTTACGTAAGGTTTCCCTATCCGGGTATACTAAGCGTAGGATATAATTAAGAAATCCGCAATAAAGAGGTAGTTACGGTTATAGCGACGATAGAGGTCGTAAGGATCGAGAGTAGAGAAAGAGTTTTAAAGGATCCGGTTTATACGACGGAGTTTGTTTTTAGTTTTGGAAGAAGCTATTACGGATAACGAAGAATATAGAGGAACTTACGATTATTTGTATAGAAATTAGAGTTACGGGATTCCTAAGGATAGGAACCTAAGGAGGGAGCTAGTGTTATAAACACGGTAGAGAAGTTACGGGATTTTACTATTAGAAGGAGTACGTAAGCTAATTAGGCTAGAGGAGCCTAAGCTTAGAGTACTCGATACTCGCTCGCTATCGAGTAGTAAGTACTCGACGCTCGACGACCGTCGAGTAACGAGTACTCGCCGTAGCTACTTAAGCGAGTAGAATATAGGCGGGTATATAGGAACTAAGAATATCTCTAATATTCTTATATTTAACTTATATTACAATCTTACTAAAAGGTCTATAACTAATTAGACTTAAGTTAGTATCCTTACCTTTATTTAATCGTTACCTAACTCTTTAAAGAAGTACGATTAACCTTAATTACGTAAGACTACTTTATAGGATTATAACAATAAGGCTCGGGCTAGGCCTATACTACTCTAGCGTCTACTCTCTTTTCTTTAGACTTAGGCTAGAAGTTTTCTTCTTCCTTTATTAAACTTATTAAATACTAAACTATACTAAACTTCTATATATACGTCGTTCTCCCGAGATATTAAGTTCGATCGCTATAAATAACGCGAGACCTAGAGGGCTTATACCGGATACTAAGATAAATACCTTAGAGAATAGAAGCCCCGAGTAGGAATTAATAGACGCTAAGATATAATATATTATTAAAGAGATATATATACGCTAATAGTAGATAGAAGCTAAGCTAGTAAGTATTTATATTACTCTTAATAATACAAAGGCTAAGAGATATCTAAAGGTATTTAGAGCTAATCTAGCGGTAAAGGTATTACTAATAGTCCTTATAAGAATACTAATAGAAACGGTTTTAGTAGTATCTTTAGTAAATTCTATATAAGAAGCGATAGGTCTAAGAGATTAGAAGCTACTAATATAGGATAGACGAGTAGAGATATCTTAAAACTATCTCTTTAGGCTAAGAAGCTTATACTATATACGCTCTAGTATAAAACTAATACTTTCTATAGAGTACTACTAGGATACTATCTATAGTACTTTCCTATTATAAGAACGAGCTTAAATATACTACTTCTAGAAGAAGGGAAGCGCTATATATAGTAAGGTCTCTAAGACTTTCTTTAAGTAGCTCGATATTACGAATATAATAGAGAAGTTATAGGACTTTACTACTAGAAGTAGTATATAAGCTAATTAGGTAGAGAGAGTCTAAGCTTAGAGTACTTAATACTCGCTTACTTTTAAGTAGCGAGTACTTAACGCTCGATAAACTATTAAGTAGTAAGCGCTTAACGCGACTATAGAAGCAAGTAGAATATAGATAGGTATATAGGAACTAAGAATATCTCTAATATTCTTATATTTAACTTAGATTATAATCTTACTAAAAGGTCTATAACTAATTAGGCTTAAGTTAGTATCCTTACCTTTATTTACTTATTACCTAACTCTCTAAAGAAGTACAATTAACCTTAATTATATAAGACTACCTTATAGGATTGTAATAGATTACTACTATATTTGCTATAGATACTAGGTAGTTATAGTAGTCTCTAACCTAGTTCTAGGATATAAGACGCTACTTCTACCTTCTACTAAGAAGTAGATCCTAGATAAGAATTGTTTCGAATTTAGGAATATCTATAGTATACCTAGACCTATAGACTTCTCGCTATAGTACTAGAAGATACTAGTAGAGAGGATATCTTTCCCGTACGTAGATATCCCGCGCTATCTCTAATACCTAGATAAGGACTAATAAGAGATAATTTAGCTTATTATCTAGACTAAGTACGAAGAGATAAACGACTAGAAACTACGCCTCTTCGATAACTAGTAGCTAATAGAGAAGGGAAAGGCCTACTACGGATAGTTAGTAGAAGAAATAGGGTTAAATAACTACTAGCCTTTTAGATCTCTCCTAAGGAGTAAAGTATCTAAACTAGATACTTAGGAGAACTATACTTAAAACGCTATTTACAAAAGATACCGTAAAGCGATATAGATATATAGGTATCTAGATTCGAAGATTATTAATATTAACGTAAAGCTCTTAAACGAGCTATATAAAGCTAGGATTATAAACTAACGCTACCGCGACGAGGTAGTTACTATAGAAAATAAGGTTTACCGCCTTAAGAGAGTAGTAAGAGCCCTTATTTAAGGGACTTACTTAGAAGGGTCTATAATCTTAGAAGGAGAGGGACTAAGTATAAGTAGTATTACCAATACGCTTAAATCCTCTACTCTTAAGGACCGCTACCTAGAAGGTTTACTATAATACTTAATTAGGGATAAAGGGGAGTATTAAAGGGGGTTATCCTAGTTATTTACTTTATCTACTATATAACTAGTCCTATTCTTATAAAATAGTAAGCTTAATCAAGTATCTTACACTATACTTACTTGTACTTATATATAGATTTAAGAATATAGGGCTTAATTACCGAGCTTAGCGCGTAGGTTTTTAACTATTCTTTTAATATACTTATTCTCCTTAGGACCCTCGTATAGAATATCTACGTAGTCTTATAGTAACCTCGATTATTCCGTAGTCTTATCTTTATTAATAGAAGTATTATTACTTACCGCCGAAAATACGTATATAGGAAAATGGGACAAGAGATAGTTATCCTTAGCTTGTAAAAGACAATATATATAGTAACTTCGGTAAGACGGAAACGGCGATCTATATATAACTACGGATTCTAAAGCAAAAGCATACGTGTATATAGACCATATTGCCATCGTCGGAGCAAAAGAACATTAGACAAAAAGAGCAAAAGAAAGGCAAAACATTCAGCAGACGGTATTCCCACGTGGTCACCCACCGTAGTACTAATCATCCGATTCGCAGCTTGAGTACGGCAGAGCGGACGGGATGCCCTATTATTCTACGATCTGTGGCCGAATGTAGCAAATCTGTCTTCTTGCACAGCAAATTCTCCACGATGTGTGCTCCGGCCTTGGCAGTGAGGATCATGAAGGATCAGACTCGAGTCCAACTCCACTTGCGCCTGGGCATCTGCGAGAACGACGTCGCTTTGCTTGCTCTCCACCACCTCTATGAGCAGCCCTTGAAATACCAGGAAGACTATACATAGGCGACAACGCCACTCACCACCACACCACTACCCCACCATGGCGCTCAAAGGCATCAGTCCCTTTGCGACGTTCCTCATCATAGGCCGTACGTCCACCCCCTCCTCCTAACGACACAGCATACTAACACAGGAACAGCCGTCTGCTTCTTCCTCGGCGTCCTCTTCGCCTCCTTCCCCTACGACTACTACGTCCTCTGGACCAACCCGCCCACCGACCTCGCCAACCCCACCGCGGACCCGCGCAACCCATTCTTCGACGCGCAAGAAAACCACCTCAAATTCCTGCACGCCGCTCCGCCGCTCATCTCCCGCATGCTGCACATCATCATCGGCACGGGCTTGCTGGGGCTCATGATGAAGCTCTACAAGCCGAGTGAAGCGAATATGCTCTTTGATGGAGCGAGCTTGGTGCTGTATATGATTGGCGTCACGGTGTATATTGCGAATATCGTCAAGGGCATGCGGACGGTGACGCTGGGTGCGTATGGGGGCGCGCCGGGGACAGCGGGGGAGATGACGTCGGAGAAGGGGGTGGAGGGCAGTGAGGGGGAGTTTATTGGGAGGGAGGATAGTTTGAGGGTGTTGAGCGCGAGTAATACGATCTTGGCGCTGGTGTTGGTGGGGATTCTGGTGTTGCAGGCTGGGCAGTGGTATGCGCAGCGGAAGGAGGCGGAGGAGATTGAGGAGTTGGACAAGGCGAGGGACGAGAAGAAGAAGGAGAAGAGTAGTGGTGGGAGTGGCGGCGGCAGTAAGAAGAAGCAGTGAGGTGGGTGGCCTCTTTAAATCGTATCATGTTGGCTTTTACCTATTTGGTGAGATGTGTATCATACCTCTTCAGCCCGTATCTTGCTCTCGCTGCTAATCTTTATGATGCACCAAAAGGATGCATGCCATAGATATGTTGCCTCAAACTCAAGCAAATCCGCATCGTTCTTTAGTCCTAGTCATGGCAATGCCCAACAAAGCGCGCTCTCTTCATCATTAAGACCAATTTGGTCTCCGAACCTGAGTTTGCGTTGCCAGGTGCCACACTCGCAGTACCAAGCAGTTGTCTGACGAGCCAGCGTACCATTGGTGTGCCCGCATTTCATGCCAGCATCGCCGGCCGGCAAACGTCACTGGATAGAATCATCGGAAGCTCACATGCTTTGACCTGGCTGACGACCGGCAGTACTCTTGACCAAGCTGACGTAGAGCCGCAACACCTTGCCTTCAAGTCCTGCATTTGGCTGTCCATCACCACCACCTTTCGGTCATCCACCCTCTCGATCGCTGATAGAGCGGCCCGACGCTATGCGCTGCTGCGGCAGTCGCTGAAGCAGCAGGTTGAAGCGGAGCTTGGGCAGGCCACCGAAAGCGTATCTCCCATCCAGACGGCCGAGGAACTGACAATACTGCCTCAGGATATCATAACGGGCGCTGTAGACCTGGTCGTCGGTCGAGGAAAGCAGAGCGACGATGAAGAAGCTTCCGATGATGCCTAGGTTGGCTTTGCAGTCTGCGGCGGAGTTGTTGCAGATCAGCGACCATGTTGCACGCAGAAACTTTCACAGAGATTGAGGACTTACAGCTCAGCCAGAGCCCTGTGAGCTCCTCTTGCAGCAAGCTCTCGAGAAGGCTGAAGACCTCTCTGTACAGGTGCAGCTCCCGCTCTCGATCGTAGTGCGTTGTACCCCCGACACAGGCGAAAACGGCTCGCTGGATGGAGACCGCGATGCCGTAGTAGGCCAGAGCGGCCTGGTAGTCTGTACCACGTCAGCATGTACCGGCGACTACCTACGCAGACGGTGAGACCCACTGTTGATCATCGCTCCAGGTCGACGCAGCGACAGCGGCACTTCAGCAAGCCACGTGTTCAGCTGCTCTTGACAGCGGCTCGCATGCATCAAAGCACTCTCCGCGGACATCATGCAAGGGCTGGCGCGGACGGTGTAAAGTCGATCCAGGGTATTGGACAACACGGGCGTCAACCGCGCCAGGGTGACGAAGGCTTCAATCGCAGTTCTAAGGCCTGCTTCCACTTCCCCGCGCATATCGCCGAAGTCTGAGCACTGTAGCGGCTCGACATCATATTGAGCGTCCGCTATGTGGCTCGGGCGACCGTACCACTGCGCCAGCCTGTTCGCATTAGCCTACTTCATATCTAGGTGGTGGGCGACGCACCACTTGTCCTGCATGTAGACGCTCCACCACAGGATCCGGCGAAGCTTGCGCTCTGCAGGCTGGACCTTCCAGTGTTGGGGGTCAGCGTGCAGACCTATTTCTTGAGCGATGCCTACGAGCTACCCCAATATCAGTATGGACAGCCTTATCAGTCACGGAGACCGTCCAGAATCGGGCCAGCTCGCTCGGAAAACGTACCTGTGCGGTCAACGGCCAGAACCCAGGGTGGTTGGGCTCTCTGACGTGCTCGGGAGCAAGCTGTAAGTAGATCAACAGGGCTTGCACTGTCCGGAGCGACGGCGTCCTCGCTTCTCGCAGAGTCGACTCGAAGACACTGCAGCGGAGCCTGCCCATGCCCGTGAGTACTGCATCCTCGCCGTCCCAGAAGTCAAGCGCGGCAGCGTACACCGCCGCAAGCAGCGAAGCTGGTACATTTCTGGCGGCCACCTGACGAGTAAACGTTTCCCTGCTCTCTAAGATCGGAAGACTTGGATGGAAATGAGTGTAGTAGAGACGGAGTAATTCGTCCTCGTGTGGCGAAACGATACTGCGGACCTCGTCCAGTTCGTATATGTCGTCACGAGCATCCAAGAGTCTGTTGGGGTACGACTGGATGCGTCGCAATCAACAGAGGTGCGACAAATCGCCCAGGGCACGCATTGGGTCTCTTACTGTAAAGTAGGCGGGATGTGTGTCGCTCGCGAGTGCTCGCCACACCGTCCAGTCCTCATGCCCGTAGAGATCTCGATCATCGTAAGGTAGATGACGGAGCAGATAGACGTCCTGGTCGCTGCTCGCGCCGGTGTACAGGAACGTGCGGTCGCGCTGGACGGTCGTGGGCGCAGAGTCTCGGCTGGCGCCGCCTGTTGGTGGCTCAATGCCTCTCTCTTGGTCATCCACGGGCTGCGATAGAGGCGTGGTGTTCGTTTGCGCTGCCTTGGGGGTCTGCTTTTTGAGCGGCGGCCCTGCCGAGAACGTACATTTTGTTCCTCTGTGATGACATAGTGTACAATCCGTGTCGTCTGGACCGACGAAACAGCCAACTCGGCGACGCCGACACTGGTCACACCTTCATGTACTTGTCAGTATAACGTTTGCTTGGTCGTTTTATGAGACTTACGGGCGTCGTTTCTTGGATCTGTATGGCCGGGCTGAGACTGTACGTGGCCCTTCGGGGCGCGAGCTCTCTCTCAGAGTCGCATGTCCGTCCATGACTGTAAAGGTTCCTGCACCATGCCCACGACGTCAATGTCTTCGCAAAAGCACCATCTTTGTGCTTTCGTGTTCACAATGCGAGTGGTATGCCATGTCGTCCCATCAGATTTGCAGACATGACTCGTTACTCTTTTTCCCGCTGTCGTAATCTCGCCTCGCGCCCTCGTCGTCGCCTCTGATGGTCCTTAAGTTCCATCGACAGGTAACTAGGTGTTAAGACTGCTTATTCCATCATTCTCTGGTCTCTCTTGACGCTACTACCTTGTTTCTCTACCTTGACACCAGACAAGTTCACTCCGTGTGCACGGTGAGACATGTATGCTCATGAGACTACGCAAGGTAAGAAGCGACCGATAGAAGGCAGGTGTTATGCACGCGACTGCAACATCAATTAAACGGAGTAAGCCTGCTTGGGAGACCCGCGACCATAGTACAAATCTACACACGCCTGCTGTTTTCAAATGACAACATAGGGCAGAAGCAGAGAGCTCATGAGGAATGGGCCGCGAACGAAAAGACACCGGTATTGGGGCTTCACGACGACTCCATGTCTCTAAGCAATACTTCAACCTCCTTCAGGATACCAATGCACTTCTCTTCCCTCAAGCGTTGACACACAATTTGAACTCCCACTGGAGCGTCCTGGAACGCGGCCGGGCTAACGACTACGACTCTCCTTGGTCAGTATGTGCTACCAGGCGAAATAGCAGCAAGACTTACACAGCTTCTTCATCTCTTCATCTCCTAGGTCGTACGGAAAGCGCACTGGCTCTATACGAGGATATGGCTCCTTTTGCAACCAAGCCGAACCGGGCATGTCCGTCTCTTGGACCGTCGTCACTGGGATACTGCCTGCGACATAATCCAGCATGTTGTACATCGTCGCGTACGAGTTGCTGATATACTGGCCATGTGGAGGAGCTGGATGCGCGACCGCCGGAGCCAAGATAGCATCAAGCTGGAAAGTCTGCCATATTTCAGCATACTCTCCGGCTATCTTCGCGCGGTCCATGTGGTTGGCGAAGATTTCCTCGGACGTTAACAGTGACTGGGCGGAGCCGACAGCCGTCCTAGGTACGACGGGCTCTCCGGAGGCCTCAATATGCTTCATGACCGAGCGGCCTCCATTTTGTACGTTGGACTTCATTGCAGATGCCGTGCCACGGCGGTGTAGATCCTTCGTCAGTTGCACCGGAAGCTCGATCAGCTCATGTCCAGCTTCGGCAAGCTTCGTCATGACAGTTTGCATGGATCTCTACATATCGTTAACAATGTCTCCTTGGGTGGATAAGCGTAGAGAGCTGAACTGACCATCACTGGCGCAACGGGTTCGACAACCCCGTCGTCGAGAATTATTCCCACTCTCAACTTACGAGAATTCTGCACAGCCTCGTGCTCCTTCCACGGCATGGGAATACAGCCTGGATCGCGTAGCCATGGTTCAGCGTCTAACTGTGTTTGGAGCATGACTTCAAGACCCGACACGCTCTGGCTCATCGGCCCCAGCCCTGCGTTCACCGACTCACTGCCATCATAAGTACTTGCCAGGCCCTTTCCTGGGAGTCTTCCTTTCGAGCACTTCAGTCCCCACAGCCCACAAAACATGGCCGGGAAGCGAATGCTGCCCCCGCCGTCCGTACCGAAGCCCACAATGCTACCCTTGGCCGCGATCAAGGCAGCTTCCCCTGCATGAAGGCTCTGTCAGTACGTCACTTTCGTACGTGCGCACCTGCTTTGAGATTGTCGATTGGAGTACTTTGGCTCACCTCCGCTTGACCCGCCTGCGCTTAGTGCTGGGTTATGCGGGTTACGAATCGCCCCGAAGATGTTGTTGATACTTTCCACCATTAGGCACGCCTGGGAAGTACCAGTCTTTGCAAACAGAATGCCTCCAGCTTCCACAGTCGCTTTCGCGCACAAGGAGTCATCGGCCACGATGTTTCCAAGCCAAGACACGAGCCCTACGAGAGATCTGTTATGCCTCGATCGATGATGCCGTGGAGGGAGCCTTACCTATTGATGACGGCTTGCCCTTGATGCCGTACAAGTCCTTGAACGATACCGGCAGACCATGCAAAGGGCCCACCACCTTGCCTTCAGTCTTGAGGTATCGATCGAGCTCTCCCGCGCGGTCCAGCGCTTCTTGCGGGAAGAAGCAGGTGAGGCAAGATGTGCACTGGTGGGCTATCGCCGCTCGTTTGCAGATTGCTGTGGTGACTTCGAGTGCGGTCCATACGCCCTGTGCTAGCGCTGTTAGCAGCTCATTGACATCCAAGAGGGTTGTGATGGAGATATCCTTCTCGCTGAGGATGCCGATATCGTTGCCTTCGCAGTCGCTTGGCTTCAGAGCGCTCGAAGATGCTTTCTCTAACAGATGCGCAGGGAGTCGCCAGGCTGCCGGTATGGAGTCGTATACACGCTGTCTCGCGTCCGCTGCAGCCTTCTCCCACCCTTCGACAGGCACAGCAGGTGTCATTGTGGTGACGGTGGAGGAATTGAAGCGGCATCTTGCATGATAGCTTTACCAGCGGTGGTTTATATATCTAGAGCACGGAGCTGTGGGTTTGCGGCGAGTTTGGGTATGTAAAACGATAAGGCTTGGTGGGTCTTACTGTCAGTCTCCACTGATACATTAGTAGTCAAGACGATCGAACATGGCCCCGCGGGCAACCCATGGGATCACAGTGGGCCGGTCACGGGACTAGCAGAAGCAGATTTCGATCAAGACATTGGAAGACTGCAGCAAGAGCGAAGCACCACCGGTGAGATTTATATCCTCTGCTACGGAGGGTATCACTGTAACAAGTATCACTGTAACAAGCACTGTTCATTGGCCAATACTCGCCCTATCATCATGTTCTCCCAACGGCGTCTTCTCAGTCACAAGTCCGTGATGCGTTGGTCAATCACCCTCTCATCCAAATCCCTCCTCCCGCCAGATCACAACCCTTTGCTGTGCGGTGTCTCTTGAATCGACTCGTGGTCGCTGCTTTTCGTGTCCATCACGGAAGCGTCGGCATTCTGCACCCTTGTAATTTGAGCTCCCAACCCATCACTGACGAATGCCTTGGAACGCCAAGCAGGCACTCGAGAATGGAACATCTCGTCCAGCTCTTCGAGGCTGCGGCCCTTCATCTCCGGGACGATGAAGTAGACGAACGCGATGGCGATGACCGACATGCTTCCGTAAATCAGGCCGACCTTGGCGCCGAGATTGCCTGGTTCGTTCTGGACGTAAGGATTGATGTACGTGATGAGCAGACTGGTGATGAAGCCGAAAATGGTCGCGAGTGCGATGGTTCGCTCGCGAAGCTGCTGGGTTGATACTTCGACTGCGACGATGTCAGTGATACCGAATGTGTCGAGCGGGAGTTTGGCCGTTGCATACCCGTTACCGTCCACATACACGAACCCCATGCCCCGGTGGAGATTGCTGCCTTGAACGAGAGTCAGTCATTTATTCATGGCACTAGGAGGCTCTGTCTTACGTTGAGCAAGATCATGGCTATGGCAGTTTGTGCTTTCGCGCCGTGCACGCCACCAGGAGTCCACGCCGCCAGACCACTCGTTACCCAAAGTGTGGCGCCCATCAGGAATGCACCGCCGATCAGCATCTTTCTTCTGCCAAGCTCGTCTGTGAGGTAGAAAGCAAGCACCGTCCCGCCGAAGGAGCAGCAGGCATGAGCAATCTTTATGAGCAGCGGGTCGTTGACTCCGAGCTGCTGAAGAAAGATTACAAGATACGCCTGAGTGAAGGAATTCCCTTGTGCTTGTTGTAGGCACTGCACTCCGACAGCGACCAAAGTCCGGTAGAAGTTTGAACCTCTGAAGCAGTCCAGATAAGACGAAGCACGGTGCAATTCAATTTCTTGTTCTGTGGCAGCGGCGACAAGATCAAGCTCCTGAGCCGTCTCCTCCTCGCTAGATGCTCCTTTGCGCATGTACAGAAGCGCTTTGAGAGCTTGCTCCTTTTTGTTCTTCGAGAGGAGCCAGCGCGGGCTTTCCGGAATAAACCACACGGCCATGAGCAGGAGTACTGGGGGGATGATTTGGACCACAATCGCTACAACACATCAGCAACACTTCCAATTCATGCGTATAGAGTCAAAACACTAACGGGTCAGGTAGATCCATTTTCCCGCGGCATTGTAGAACGCTCCATAGACGACTGAGCAAGCGAGAATAGCGCCGACCATCATCCAACTTTGGTAAAAGTTGACAAGTCCACCGCGGATCGACGGGGGCGCCAGCTCTGCCATGTACATTGGCACGGTGTTCGCTTCAATGCCTGCAGGTAGTCAGTAGACAGTCAGTAGGGCTGAGGAGATTGAATTGGCTTGCCCATAGAAAAGGAGTTGATGAGTCGTCCCACCATAAGGGCCCAATAGTTGGCGACCGCACACTGAATGATCATGCCAACAAGGGCGATGATGCAGAGAATGACAAGCGTCTTCTTGCGCCCAAATCGGCTATTGAGATAGCTCGCAAGAGCACATCCCAGGATCCAGCCTACCAGAGGAGTCCCACTCGCAGCCGAAAGCCAGGACGATGGCAGAGTTCTGGCCTCACCTGGACCGTGAGACTTGCCGTAGTCCTGGACGAATCTGTCGAGAGCGATCACACCAGACCACCAGTTGTTGTCATACCCGAAATTCTGGTGTCGTCAGCAGGATCTTCTAATGGTATAGAGGACACTCCTACTATAGCGCCCATCTTTAGGATAGTGTTAGCTGTGCTCACGTCTGCTGTCATATTGCTTTGCTGGACTCACCGAGGCGAACAGGTACACCCGCACCAAGCGAGGGGTGAGGACCTTGAACATGGCTGGTTTGTTGGGTGCCATACTTGCGACGAGTCTTGAGCGGTCTTGCGACGAGGACTCCAATAGGCAAAATGTCACCCTCGCTCCGTCGAGTTGGGAGCAACATTGTCACTTCTTATACCGATCCGTAGGCAGAGCCTCTGATAAGGTCCTCTGATAAAGGACAACAGGAGTCATGGCTCGCATGGTCAACCACATGGTATGTTGCCGGCTCGTGCCAGCTTGGAAAGGCGAGCTAAGTCTAAGAGCGTAGATAGGCATGGTTCTTCCGAGTGTGTTGGTGGTGAGGAGAGGAGAAGGCATAGCACGCTTGTGCATGTTGTCTCATCGCCCCGCGGGCGACTCGGCTTGGCGGGGCGGGCAAGGGCTGACTCATGTTTACCATCGCCCCGCGGGCAACCTCCTTCTCGAATGATAACGGTGATAAGGTAAATGCACCCGGAAACGTAGAACATTGACCAAAGCAGAGGGGTCCTCGGGGGCCTTGGGAGCCCATACGCTGCACGGGTGGTCCCTGTCATCCGGCATCAAACGATCAGATGCAGTCATATTGATGGCCTCCCCTCTCGCAGGGTGCGCATATATACTTGCATTTCAAGAGCTTCAAAGATGAGCGCTACAACGACCGAGACCGCTACGCAGACGCAACTGCAAACGCAGTATCCGTGAGTGTGTTTCAGATCCTCTGCGACAGGCAATCTCAACTAACGTCTCTGCCAGCTGCCCAGTGCTTGAAGAGAGGTTCAGCAAGTTGAAGCAATCTCTCATCAATCCGTCCGACCGCACTAGAGTCATTGAATCTTATGCGCGTCTGAAATCAGCCCTCAAGTGCGAAACAGACCGCATCACACGCCAGGGACCGTCCGCAATCCCAGAAGTCGAGTTCAGTGTCGTTGAAGGCCATGGCGGTCTCCCTGAGAGTCTACAAGACACTGTCCGCCAGACTGGCTGTCTCATCATTCGCAACGTCGTGCCCGAGGAGCAGGCGAGCAAGTGGGAGAGCGATCTGAGAAACTACGCAAAAGAGCATCCCAAGATCCAAGGCTATCCAGCCCATGATCCACAGAACTTCAGTCTGTTCTGGACTCCGGCGCAGGTGCAGATCAGGAGCCATCCCCAGGTCCTAAAGGCTATGGAGGCCGTCAGCAAGCTTTGGCACTTGGGCTCAGAAGAGACGCTCTTCGACACCACAAGTCAAGTGGTTTATGCTGATCGCTTTCGCATTCGTCATCCATCCAAAGGTGAGTGGCTGTCCCCTTCCTTGATGGCTTTCATAGCTGACAGCGTTCAGACGCTGAGTACACGCTTAATGCGCACCAAGACAGTGGGGCCATCGAGCGGTGGGAAGATCCAGAATACAACGCATGTTATCGGAAAATCTTCGAAGGAAGATGGGGAGACTATGACCCATGGAACGCTGACCATCGCTCCGATGCAAGAACGAATCTTTACGACAACGATGGTGAGTGTTACTCGCGAATGGTTGCCCGCATAGCTTCACAGGCTAACAAATCGTCAGCTCCGAACTCTGTCTTTCGTCCACTACAAGGTTGGCTGGGTCTGTCCCATACTGGGACAGGAGAAGGCACCCTTAGACTCATCCCAGAGCTCAAGCTGTCCACAGCTTACCAGCTACTCCGCCCATACTTCATTCTGGATGAAGAGTTCGACGACATCGTCCCCCTCTTTCCCGGCGCAACACCTGGTCACTGTCAATTCCACCCCACGGAGAAACTCCACCCTCATCTCGACGTGAAGTCCAGCATGGTTGGCATCCCTCCAGTCAGACCTGGTGATTACGTCTTCTGGCATTGTGACCTAGTCCACGAAGTCGACAAGTTCCATCCCGGCACGACAGACTCATCGGTGGTCTATAACGGCTGTGTTCCGCTTTGTCCGTACAACCTTGAGAACCTTGTGAACATGAGAGACAGCTTTCTGAAAGCCGTGCCGCCGCAGGACTTCATCAACTATGTGCATGGAGAGTGGGAGGACAAGCATGAGGACAACGGCGCGAAGCGAGAGAATGTCCTTTCGGAAGATGGTCTTCGCGCCATTGGTTTGAAGGCTTTTGACGTGAACGAGGCAGGCTTGACTCCTGGCCAGAAGAAGATGCGGGAGCTCGCCAACGAGAAACTTGGATTTGCAGCGTGAAATATTGAGGTGCTGAATGTTGACTGTGCAAGAGTATGAGCTCCGGTTCGGGTGTCGATCGAGAGCGACGTGCATTAAACAGGCTATTCGCCTTCCAACTTCATACTTCTAGACAATCCGCCTCTATCTCCACCTCCCTCTCCTCACTCGCAACTTCGTCCCGACACTGCTCCATCTAAATCCCAAGCGCCAGATCGCAACCACTGACATGACATAAGACCTCAAGATGGCTCAACATAGTACCCTCCCTTCGCAGTGCAGGCCTTCAATGTTCAAGCATGAGTGTGATTGGATCGACGTAAACGCTGATCTGAGGCTGGTTCGTCAAGTGATACACTCGCAGGATCACGAATATGTCACTCGAGCTGCCGCGACACCGGTGTGCCTGTAAGTAATGTCAGCATCTCGAGCCGATGCAAGGACATGGTCCCCTCAACCACTTAAATGCTTGACCTGGCTGTTGCTCATGCTGAAAGGCTCCTTGGAACGACGACAGTAGCCTTGACTTCGAGGTGGATGGTTTTGCCTTTGAAACCGCCACCAACTGCTTCCGGCGTAAGCCACAATGCGATGCGGAAGACCATATCCTGGTCGTCGATGGTGAAGTCTGCGCATGCACCTTCGTCGCCGAGGAAGGGCTCCAACCCCGCGAGTTCACGTAGGTGGCTTGTCCAGCAGTCGTCGGTGATATTGAACTTGGCTTTCAGGAACTTGTAGATCTGCAGGATGTCAGCGTTACGACAGATTGTGGGAAGAGTAGAGGACCAAGACTTACAAAGAGCTCACCACCATGTCCGACCTCATCACGGTATGCTTCTGGAGCCTCTGTGGCAGATAAGAAAGCGCTGAATTGGCTCGACTGCGTGAGCGCCAAAGACACACCGGTCGATTGCGAGTTGCTCTGCATGTGCGCGGCAGACTGAATCGCAGCTCCCATACCAGACAAGTCGAAGGTACTTCCAGCGGCGCGAGAGGGAGTTCCTGTCGAAGGCTGAATGCTGTCGTCGCCAAAGGAGGTCGCAGCATTGTCTGCCTCCAACGCCGCTGGGGGCTTGGGCATTTGCGCTTCACGTTGATTGGAGATTGAAACAAGCGTTTTGTCTTCTAAGAGCGCGGCGGTCGCTGCTGCCTCGATCCGCGCAACGTCGATGATGGAGTGGCTAAGCGATGGCACGGCCTTCGAACGCCGCACCACTGAACCGGCGATGCTTGACGCTGTTGAAGAAGGGGGACCAAGAAAGCCAGCATGTTTCTGTCCAAAAGGAAGTGCAGTGAAGCGAGGAGCTTGACCAGACTGCTGTCCCAAAATCGTAACAGCGTTCGATCCAAGACCAGAGACGTCTCCAGCTACGTCTTCGTCTTCGGGAAAGGTGACTGAACCAGGTTGATGAATGCCGATGTTCGCGCGCTCCAGTGCGTCTTCAATGGCTTCGATACTATTGGTGGCGAGGATCATGAGCAAGAAGATCTCTTTCGACGGGTCGATGCGGTGGACGCTGGCCAGCTGCTCGGCAAGCTGCTTGTGTGGGATGGAGTTCCAGGCGATCGATGAGCTCGCCAGGTATACCTTGTTGTCAGTGTCATTCACAACGACGAAGCCAGACTCATCTTGGCCGTCAACAATCACGCCGTTAGACTTCCACGTGGCGCTTCAGCAAAAGCTGGTCGCAGCACCACACCTCGATCACGGCGAGCTTGTCCAGCGAGCTCTCTCGGTGGTTCTCGGGCACAAGCCTAGTAGAAAGGTCAGCAATTAGCGACGATGTGAAGACGCAGAGTGGGAGCGTACCTTGAGATGAACGGAGCCTTGGAGCGAAGCTCGTTGGTAATGGCGGGGTTGAACGAAGAAGCACCAGAAATCTCCGTTCGCTCGACGACATGTGCCGAAAGAGAGTGCTTCTGCAGGCCCATTCGCGCGATCAGCGGTTGCAGCAGCGCCAACTGGTCCATGTCAAAGTCAAGCAGCCAGAGCCGGCCTTGAAAGCACTGCCCAACTCTGGCCCGATCGGCGGTGAACCAGCCACTGTCGGCAGGCGCTCGAAGAGCCCCAGCTTCCTCGCGTACTGACAAGATCTCTGCGTTGAGGAGCTCTGAAGTGCGTCCGAGACCAGTGTGCTTAAGAGCGATGAATCGACTGAGGAGGACGAGTTGTTCTTTGGCGAGTTCAATGCGATCTAATCGTCCCTTGAGCTCCAGTAGATGTGTCACGACATCACCAGTGTCCGCATCTCCAATGCCAAGCTCAGTACAAAAGAATGTACGAAGGTCTGGGTAGGTGTGACGGAGGGCTACGAGCCTTGTCAAGCAAGACGGGACACTCCATCTGCACTTTCGAAGGCCCACCCACTTCGCTGGGTTTGGGGAGTGAAGGTACACCAGCTGCTCTTTGTCGAAGACGTCCCTGCTTCAATTAGCTTCAAGTGGACGCCGGGGTTTGCGATCGACTAACCTGACCACACCATGCTCATCGGTCAAGTGGTCAGTGATAGCCGAATAGATGCGCTGGATGTCACTTTTGTCAAAAGCGACAGTTGCTTGGTCCTTCAGCTGCAACAGAACATCCATGTACATGTGTAAATCAGGGAGGACTCTCAGTCCCAGCTTCTCAAGCGAGTGCCAGCGCTTGTCTCCAGGGTCTTCCACACTGAGAAGAGGCAGCATCTTTGCCGAAAGAGGCTCGTCGAGGATACTGCTTGTGCCGATGTAAAGATCTCCGAGAGCCATGGAGGTTCCGTTGTCCGCTCGGACCAGCTTTGAAGACAGAACCTTGGCAAGGTCGTGGTTCTGAGGAACAGACCAACGGGGTTCGTTGGCATGTGTGCTGTCCCAATTGTCTCTCAGGAGTTGCAGCCATGTCATGCAGGGGGTGTTCGCCACGAGCCATTCGAACTCCACGCTCATGCTGGTACCAGATACGTCGAGGAACCGGGGAAGCGTACGCACGCTCAGCAAACGCTTGATCCGCGCTTTCCAGTCAGCCAGGCGAAGGGCCGGAGCCTTAGCCAGATACAGTGGGTCGAGAAGGCGAAGAACAGGCGGGTCTGCTGAGTCGAAGAGCCGTAGTTCGGATGAGCTTGTGTCGATGTACAAGTCTCGACCATCGCAGAGATCTGCTTCGCCCTTGGCCGCGACGCGCATCCGGCTGCATTCATCGAAAGGGCGTCCTGGGGTGTTGAAGAGGAACCACAAGTGATCCACAGTCATATTTGGCCGCAGACATGCAGAAGGCTTCGTTTGCAAAGGGCCGTTTGCTATGACTCTCGGGTTTATCCCGACTGAAGCCCACGCTGCGATCCAAGATATGGCAGAAGAAAGCGAACGTGCTCGCTAAGAAGTTTACGGTTGTGCTCTACCGTCCTTGCGAGAGTCTCCAGACCTTGTGATCATAGTGAGGCCGCTCATCGGCGGATGCTGTGCCGGTCCAGACGCGTGCTCTACAGCTGGCGGCATCGTTGCGCGTGGAAGCCGACATGCCGGCAAACTGCAGGGGTAGATGAGACGAGTGTCGCTCGGAGGACTGCAGATACGAAGCGCCGACGATCAGATGTCTTTATGGGGGTGAGGTGAAGTCAGTTCCATTCGCCATATCTCGGGACCAGTGCCCGCCGCTACTGCAAGATCCCGCGTATCGATTTGTCACGTGACGCACTTGAGACTTGATCTTCAAAATGTATCATCTCGCAGGCGTGGAATAATGACATATACAAGTGCTGAAATTGAACGGATCCGCTATCATAGAAGTACAATATACCACACTACGGGAGCTACCTCTACCTTACCCAACTCAACGGCAAACCCATCACACTCTTCTGCTTGTTGTGAAGGATGGGAGCGATGAATGTCCTCCTGTAAGCGAAGCAGTCCCTGCATCCCCTGGTGTCATGACCACACGCGTTACACCATGTCGCGACAATGCCACGAGAGTTAGTGGCGTCACAGCTGCAGCAGCTCCAAGACATGTCGACGTGTGGTGGTGTCGGTGGTGGTGATGTTGGTTTAGCGAGTATTGGAGGCTGTCGAAACGTTGAAGTATAAGGGAGAAGTGGTGTTGCACGATTGTGGTCCGGACCGAAGATCTCGAGATGGGTTCCATGTCGTCGAGATATAGTTGAGACATAGGTGGGTGAATGAAAGGGCTGTTCTTTGTTGTTGGATTAGCCGGCCGGAAATGGTTGTCGCCTTTACCTTGCTCATAGACCTGGCTAGCCGGATAGAACTCTCGTTGTCAAAGTAGCAACTCCACACAAAGAGATTGAACGAAAGCCGGATGCATCGCCTTTCCGCCTTGGTCAAGGAAACTTTGCTGCGGAGGCGGCGTGAAGGGGTGCATGGAGACGAGCAGATAGCGTGACGATGGGATTGAGGGCCACGCCGGCGCCGTTCTCCAAGGTACCTACCAAGTTCCTTTGACCTTCCTTTGTAGGTGTTGAAGGCGAAGTCTGTGTCTCTTTCTGCGTTATTCCTCCCGGAAAAGAGAGAGGGGTGAAGCGAGAGGTAGAAGCACGATACCTGCGTCCTCTGGATTTCTCTCCGCAGTGGGAATCGAGGCTTCATTATGCAGGTATAGAGATGAGCTTGTCGCTTCCCTGACTCGAAAGCTGCGCCATCGAAGAAGAGGTGTGGCGAGTAGACTAGTAGCTCGTCGGTACCTACGGGTAAAGCTCATGTAGCAGTCCATGCTATTCCGGAGGCGGCATGCCGCGGCTGACAGAATTCCCATGTCGTCCAATACCGGCATTGCAAGAGAGGCGGCGATCCTTGAGAAGAGAAAAGGCCATGGTCTCTGGCCGCTGTCCGGGTCCAGACGAGGGCAGCAGCCATGTCGGCAAGCTGCACAAGTATGGACACAGTGCGGAGGTTGCTCATACCAGTAGTCTTTCAGAGCCTGCAGATGCGACGCGGTGACAGTCAGATGTCTTTGTCTTTGTTGAAGTGAGGAGGAGCGCGGTGAAGTCGTTTCAATCTGCGGTACGTTCCGACTAGCTTCCGCCGCTACTGCAAGGTCCCGCAGCTCTATACATTTTCTCGACGTGACACATCCAGATTCATCTGTTCTCCTCGATCTCTTCTACCATTCGCAATGACTTCCACAACTCTGCACGTCCGCGCGGAGACTAAGCCACTGGAACATCGCTCCGCAGTCACGCCATCAATTGCAAAGCAATTGGTCGATGCGGGCTACACTGTCAACGTTGAGCGTTCGAAATTGAGCATATTCGACGATGCTGAGTATGAAGGCACCGGAGCTAGTCTGGTGCCAACAGGCTCCTGGATAGATGCGCCAAGTGAGCACATCATCGTTGGTTTGAAGGAGCTGCCGGAGGAGGACTTCCCGCTCAAGCACACAGTAAGTGGCAGAGCATTGGCCTGCAGAGATTTGAGGACTGACGTTTGATGCAGCACGTTCAATTTGCGCACTGTCAGTATTCGCCATCTCAGCAAGTAGAATGTATGTGTGAAACCTAGTATTGACGATTGATAGGCTATAAAGGACAAGGAGGCTGGCAGCAAGTTCTGGGCCGCTTCCCTCGCGGTAAGGGCACTCTGCTCGACCTGGAGTTCCTTGAAGATGAGCAAGGCAGGCGAGTTGCAGCTTTCGGCTACGTGAGTCCTGTATACATGCGCTAAGTCACAACGTAAACTGACCCAACGAACAGCATGCAGGGTTCGCGGGTGCAGCGTTAGCGCTCATGGCATGGTCGTGGCAGCTCACGCAAGGCAAGGATGATGACATGCCTGGCGTAACGCCATACGAGAACGAAGATCTGCTTGTCGAGGAAGTGAAGAAGGCTGTCGAAAAGGGAAAGGCGGCGGGTGGTCACCTGCCGCGAGTTCTTGTCATCGGAGCGCTAGGACGGTGCGGAAGAGGTGCTGTCGACCTTTGCACTAAGGCTGGTCTCAGCGACATTCTGGTACGTACATCTCGTCTCTTCAAGTTCGAAATCGCTGACATTGGCAGAAATGGGACCTCCCAGAAACTTCGGCCAAGCCCGGACCATACCAGGAGATCATCGAGTCGGACGTCTTCGTCAACTGCATCTACCTATCCGCCAAGATCCCGCCGTTCATCGATCATAAGTCACTCTCATCATCGAGCCGCAAGCTGGCCGTTGTCTGCGATGTCTCCTGCGACACCACCAACCCTCACAACCCGATCCCGATCTATAAGATCAACACCACCTTCGACAAGCCCACCGTCCCGGTCAAGCTCCTCTCCGGATCGAATGACTTGCCATTGTGCGTTATCAGCATAGATCATCTCCCGTCGCTGTTACCGCGAGAAGCCTCGGAAGCGTTCAGCGCTGCGCTCCTCCCGAGCCTGCTGCAGCTCAAGGACTGGAAGAATGTGCGGGTATGGCAGCAGGCGGAGAAGCTGTTCAAGGAGAAGTGCGCTTCGCTGCCAGAGGGTGCCGTAGACGGTCACGCCGAGTTGATCGCAAGCCAGTCGTAGCTTGCGGCGTTTACGTAGCTAAACACGAATGAATGAAAGCACGATTAATCACATCGGCGGCCTCGCTACTCCCTCCCACGCCTCGGGTACTCGCCTGATATACCTCGAAAGCATCTCCCGCCAGTCGCACCAAATGCCATCACTCGCGCTTAACACCAGATTCGGCATCTTAATCAACAGCCCATTCCCTTGAAATGTGACTCGCCACTCCTGCTCCGGCCCAAACCCTATCGCGCTGAGCTGCTTCCACTTCTCTGCCACTCTGCCTTGACTTTTAACGGGCAGCACCTCCGTTATCTCGAATAGAGCGTACTGTGGATTAAGCTTGTTGATGTACCGGAAGGATGTTGTCACCGTCCCGCGGACATCGTACCAGCGATGGGATGAGCCAGAACCAATTGTGAAGTTGAGACCTATGCTGAAGTTGGGGACATGCTGCTTGCTGGCGATTTCTTCTGCGTGGTTGCGGTATTGGTGGTTGATGTTGTAGACGTTCCGCCAAAGGTCGGAGACTGGCACGTAGCTGAGGACTTGAAGGCGGAGTTCTGCTGGGAGGCGGTCCATTGTCATGTAGCTTGTACAAATTCCCAGTGCCGAGAGCTCTTCGATCTCAAGATGATGTGTCGTGCCGAAAGCAAGTCATCATCTTCCAATGGGTGATCGTGCTCGAGTAAGTCAAGGCACTTGGACCAACGAAGACCTAACTAGGAAGGAGGTTGCTTCCACCTCAACTTCTAAACCTCTCCAATGCGCGCACGCGTATCGCCTCTCACAGGAGGCCTCACACCTCTACAGTCGCTCATAGCGCGACAATGGCGACCCCAATGGATCTGCCACAGCTGCCAGCAGCGTCAACCTCAATACCGACCGCTGGCAACGTCAAGCTTGACACCGGCTGAACAGAACAAGCCATACTATGTCACCACGCCCATCTTTTACGTCAATGCGGCGCCTCATGTCGGCCACATGTATACCATGATCCTCACGGATGTCCTCAAGCGATGGCAGCAAATGAAGAACCGCAAAGCCATCCTCCTCACCGGCACAGACGAGCACGGGATGAAAGTCCAACGGGCAGCCGCGAAAGCGGGCGTGGAGCCGCAAGAGTTCTGCGACAAAGGCGCGGAAGTGTTCAAGGAGCTAGCAGGGAGCATTGATATCAGCAATGACATCTTCATGCGGACTTCGGACAAGAAGCACAAGGAGGCTGTTGAATATGCGTGGCAGATGCTGGAGCAGAGGGGATACATCTACGAGAGCAAGCATGAGGGGTGGTATAGCGTGTCGGATGAAACATTCTACCCGCAAGGCCAGGTGCAGCTGATTGTTGACCCGCCTACGGGGAGGAAGATTATGGCAAGCATCGAGACAGGCAAGGAGGTGGAGTGGACGAGCGAGAGGAATTATCACTTCCGGCTGAGCGCATTTCGAGAAGACCTACTGGAGTTCTACAAGCAGAATCCAAAGTTCATCGTACCACAGACGAGGATGAATGAGATCGTGCGGCAGGTCAGCGACGGGCTTGAGGATCTGTCGATTTCACGGCCCGTTGAGCGTCTTACCTGGGGCGTGCGAGTGCCTACGGACCCATCTCAGACGATGTACGTGTGGTTGGATGCGTTATTGAACTACGCCACGGGCGTCGGCTACCCATTCACACCAGGATCAGAGGCGGCCAGCGGTTGGCCCGCCGATGTACACGTTGTCGGCAAGGACATCATTCGCTTCCACTGCATCTACTGGCCGGCCTTCCTCATGGCGCTCGACCTGCCTTTGCCCAAGCAGGTCCTCACCACCGCGCATTGGACGCTAGGTAAGCAGAAGATGTCCAAGAGCGTCGGCAATGTCGTCAACCCAATCTTCGCCCTCGAGCGCTTTGGAACCGACGTCATGCGATGGTACCTTGTCCACGACGGCGGCATAACCGACGACGCTGACTACGACAATATCCACATTGTCGAGAAATATAAGAAAGGCTTGCAGGGCGGTATTGGCAACCTCACCAGCCGAGTCCTAAAAGGCAGGGGCTGGAACCTCCGTCGCGCAGTGGAGTCTTTCGCGCGGCCACACCTGGATCCGGCCCATTTCCTCAATGAGACTGATACACTCGGCCGCGACACCTACAATCATCTCCAAGTTCTTCCCACTGAAGCCAACAACCTCATGGACGACCTTCTACCGAATAAAGCCCTCCAGCGCATCATGGACTCCATCTACACCGCAAACGCCTACGTCCAGCATGCCGCGCCTTGGTCGTTGGTCAAGATGCGGCAAGCCGAGGAGCAGAGTCTCTCTGCGAACAAGAAGAGGATCGAACAGCTGGACCGAGATGCCCACCGTATCGTCTTCGTGACTGGAGAAACGCTGAGGATGGTAGGCATCATGCTGCAGCCGTTCATGCCGGTCAAGGCGAAGGAGTTGCTAGATATGCTTGGGGTGGTGGAGGAGAGGAGGAATTGGGAGTGGTGTGCTGTCGGGAAGGATGATGGGTATGGGGTCTCGATGAAGGATCTGGGGAAGAGGGGAGATGGGCAGCTGTTTCCGATGTTGATTAATCAGTGGTGAGGATGTCTTGATATATGTTCACTTCATCCCGCTTGCATCTTTGTCTCGTTGTCAATTCAAGCTGTCCATGTTCCCGCTTCCGCTGTACGCCCTCTATCAATATCGTAGCACTCCGCCTTCCCTCATGCATCACCTGCAATCACTCATTATCATCACTATCCTCCTCATCCACCACCATCTCCTCCTCCATCCTCCTCAGTTCCTCCTCCGCCTCCCGGTTCTGCCTCACCAACTCCTCATACGCCTCCCTCTCCCTCTTCTCCCTCGCCAACCTCTCAGCCTCCTCCGCCATCTTCCTCAGCCTCTCCACTTCCTCCCTCTTCGCCCTCTCCTCGGCTTCCAGCTTCGCCTTCTTGCGAGCAGCCTTCTCCGCCTTCCTCGCTTCTTTGGCCTTCTCCAGCCTCTCCTGTTCCGCGGCGATCTTTGCTTTCTTCTCATCCAGCTCTGCCTTCATCCTTGCCATCCTTTCCTCGTGGGACTCTGTGTCCGTCTTTGGCTTCTTGGCTGGCGAGTTCTCCGAACGAGCAGATGATGCCATGGTGGCTGCTGAGCGCTTGAGAGAGAGGTCCGGAGAGTGAGAAGGGGCGGCTGGTGCTGCCATCGGTGGAGCCGTTTCTCGAGCTGAAGAGGTGGCTTTTGGGAGCGCTGCAAAGGGTGTGGTGGCGTGCTTAGGGCCTTTGCGTGGGAGAAGCGGCGGAGGAGCCATGGTCGTTTGATCCCCAGTCTTCTGCTGAGCTGGTTGTTGTTCAGTCTCACAAGCAGCACCATCGCCTTCCTGCCCTACAAACAGCGGTGACCCCTCTCTACCCTTGCCCGCGCCATGCTGCTGCCCGATCGGGCTGCCGCGCCAGCTCGATCCGTCCGCCGCCTGCATGAGGACGAAATCTGGCCCGCTCTTGAAGCAGATCTCCTGTGCAGTCATCAACCCCACGTTTTGGGGGATGGCGTGGTCGTCGCAGTACTGTGCGAGCTTCTCCAAGGGGATGGAGCCGCCTGGGGAAGCCAGAGACCTGATCTCCTCATATGAGATCTCATACCGTGGGGAAGGAGAAGTCAGCTTGGCCTTGGATTTGGCACCGAGGATGCTGTTGCCGAGATTTAGGCCGTTGAAGGGGCTCTTCTCTGCAGGGCTGCTGGCGGTTGGTGGTTTCACAGTCGGTGAAGTGGCGTGAAAGGGCTTTCGAGGCTGGAGAAGAGTGTATGGACCCGGCGTAGCGCTATAGCTCGCTTTTCCAGCTGCAGAGTTCACACCAGTCGATACGCCGCTTCTCGGTGACGATAAGGCTGGCGATGCTGCTGTAGTCGGTGTTGCCATCTGCTGGAAGGGCTCTGGGCCGAAGAGGTCGTTCTCCTGCTCATCGAGCTGATAGCCGCCACTATAGTCATTGTCATGACCATGTGGGAGGTCCTCAAAGCTTGGAGAAGGACGCAAAGGCAGCGATGTGTCCTGGCCTACGAACAGACCATCCGACTCTTCACCTGGCGACCTCTCCGGCGCCGGCACAAGCTCTGGCTGCTTGGCTGGCCGGCGGTTGGCAGGCCGTGAGGCTGATCCTGGTGAAAAGTCGTCGATGTTCACCCACTCGCTTGATTCGCCTGCATCCGCCTCTTCTCCACTATGCAACCCCCGAACACCCTGCTTCACTCCTTGAGCTGATCCTCCAAGTCGCTTGCTAGGCGTGGGATCAACATGCACAAACTCTTCTCCCTCTTTAGTCACCAACTTCTGCCACCGATCTGGCCGTGGTATGGCTCCTGCAGCTTTGATGATGTGCTTGCTGCGGTAGTAGAAGATGAAAGTAGCCCACGGCTCTTTGCCGAACCGTGTCTGCTGAAAGTGGCGTCTGTGTTTCGCCTGCTTGTCGAGAGCAACATTGCCGTTGGTAGTTCTGACAGCGAGTTCGTAATCGGGCTCTATGCCGCCATTCGAGATGATGTCTCCGGTCCGCTCGAACCAGGAGCCGCAAGTCATATCGTCATATTTCATGACGAAATTCTCCTCAACTTTTTGGTTGAGAGAGACGACGACGGTCAAACTGCCAACACCCACCTTGTACCCATCGCTTTTCATGCTTTGAAGCATATTGTGCAGCTGATGACCGCCCTTTATCAGAGGCTTGACCACAATATCTCCTTCGACTACCGTTGCATCCTGCGCCACTGGAACATGGAACACCTTTCCGTAGTTGAGAGTCCGCGGTTGGTAACACTTCAGCTCTCCCTCGGTGGATCCTTCAATGCGCTTGTCGAGCACGAATGACCCATCCGCGAGCAGGTCGAAGCAGGTATGCAATACTGTGCCGTTGAACTCTCCTTTCAGTGTAATGACGTCTCCGAGTGACACCGGAACGAAGCACTCCAGAGTATCCATGGGGTGTTTGGCGAAGTGGGACTCTGTCGGTAAGATGTACTCCGGGCATGGGACACCATTGGCGCATACCACTAGGGTGCAATTCTGATCGGTGTTGGGCTTGGCGCACTTCATGTCGGCGGTTGGCGGCTGTCTTGGTATGGGCGGTGCTGATGTTGGAGTGGATGGGAGCAAAGGCCGAAGGTGTGTGAAATTGTTTGGTAGTGGAAGGTCGGAGGTGGACGTTGTTTGCTGGTAGAGAAAGGATTTGAGGCGGTCCTTTTTGGCGTCGCGGCGCTAATGGAGCTGGGTCACCATGTCAACATATGATTCTCAACGGCAGGTCTGTGCGTGCGCAACCAAGCATGTGCGTTGGCATGTGCTTGCTCGTGTGCTTGCTTACCAAAGGAGTGTTTTCGCTTTTTTCTTTGTGGGTGGTGGAGGTGTCGCCGGTATGTGGATGTCTCGATAACGGTATAGGATGTAGCCGGAGAGAAGAGGTCGAGTTGAGAGGAAGGCTGTCGGGAGTTCTGGGATGCTACCGGCGCAATCGAGATGAGAAGTGGTCGAGCCTAATGTCAAGGCTGGCGACCAGAGTTGAGAGAAGGGCTGTCGGAGGTTCGGGGACGCCGCCGGCGCAATCGAGACGAGGGGCAAAATGTTCGGGATCGAGGTGGCGGAGAGATGGTGTCTGGTCTCAATTCGTGACGTCCCGGCGCATCGGACTGAATGGCTATTGAAGTAGGCGTACTTTTTTAGGGGTATGGTAGTGTCAGTGGGTGTTCGGATATGTGTTGGAAGGAGGAGTTGTGTCGTGTCTGTGGTGTAAGATGCTTGGTGTTGGAAGCAAGCTTTTTATGTAGAGCTGAATACCTGCAAGCCTCGTGATTAGCCTGTCCCGCGCGTTGAGATGGAGAGCAAATGATGCGAAAGTATCCGTGATTCCACGGGCGTTGGGTGAATTGCACGTTCTCGAACTTTGGAGCCCATAAGATACGGCGGGTGAGTGGGCGTGGGACGAAGCTGTAGCAAAGCCAAACTGGCTCAGGCTGGTCGGATGGAGTGACGTTAAACAGGATGCTGCAGTGGGTTATGTTACGGTTAAAGCTCTCAAATACCTGGACAGTACAATGGAAGTAGAAGACGGATTCAAGCAGAAGTGTCTCAAACCTTCAAGCTCCGTACAGATGGATACAGAAGCACGTAGCATGTAATCGTCCCGCCCAAAAAGCACAAGGGTATATCCGGCAGCAACTCCTAGCTCACTCTCAGCTCCGCCATTTCCTAAACAACGAAGCGAAAGTTCTGGCTCTGAATTAACCACCTCCTCCCATGATCTTGCTTTCCTGTGCCTCTCCCTCCAACCTCCTCCTTGTTTGGCACGAGCACCATGCTATCACTGAACCCCCTCACAGGCCCTTCTTTCCGCTCATGCAGTCGCACAAATCCGCTGACTTGCACGACCAGGCTCATGTTCCGCTCAGCGTCGCGCTTGCTGGGCTTGTCACCCAAGCTCGCCATGCTCGGGTTCATGACGTGCACATTGACAGACTGCGGCTCAAAGTGCGTCCACGGCATCTGCTTCTCGAAGCGCTCCTGGAAGATTGATGCATCCTGGAGCACCTCTCCGTTGTAGCTGATGTGCGGAACACCACGGCCGTTTACGATGGGTGCTGTTGGTACGTAGAAGGATTTGATCTGATTGCGGGACCCGTCGAGTGCTGTGTAATACGCGTCGACGAACTGTTCGCCGGTGTCTGTAGACACGCGCGTGTAGTCCGTTTCCGTGAGAGTCGCCATGTTGATGGTGGAGGAATGAGAAGATGGACGTGATGTCTGATGTGAAGTCGATCCAAAGCCGGCGCCAAGATTTCACGAGCGGGAAGAGCCGTTGGCGAACCCACTAAGACGGAATTGTTGGACGACCGCATTGGACTCGACAAGACCAGCGACGACACCTTCGACACCACCTGACACCACACCACACCAGTCGCCCACCATGCCGAAGGAAGTCACCGACATCAAGAACTTCATCGAGATCTGCCGACGGAAGGATGCCTCCTGTACGTCCACCTAGAACCTCCACTCGCGGACGCAATGAATCGCAACGAGGGATTGGCGACACATCTGAGTAGATGGCTGACGAGATGATACAGCCGCGCGGATAAAGAAGAACAAGAAGGTGGGAGGCAGCGCGCAGACCAAGTTCAAGGTCCGCTGCAAGCGTCACCTCTACACTCTCGTGCTCAAGGATTCGGACAAGGCGGAGAAGCTGAAGCAGAGTCTGCCACCAAGTACGTGCCGCTGATGCAGTGAACGTCGCTGTTGGATGTGAAGTGAGGAGGGCAACAGCTAATGGGTTCGGACCACAGGCCTCCAGATCAGCGAGACACCGAAGAAGAACGCCAAGGGCAAGCGGATCGCGAAGTCATGAGCGGAATGAGAGGAGGTCGCATGAAGGCGTTCGGGAGGATGCGTGTGGACATGACTGAGCAGTGAATCATGGGCTGAAGTGCAGCGGTAGCGGCATCACACTCTACAAGAAACAAGTCCAACAATCCAAACCAGCGCAACGGCTTCGACCATTTTCCCACATTCGACTTTCAAGAGGACAGTATCTGCCGGTTTCTAATGGTGAGCACCTTACGTTGTATATTCAAAGTGCGAGTCTCAGTAGTTTCCACTTTTCATTCCCCCTTGACGCCAAATCGATATCCCTCCCCCCTATCCAAATACACCACCCCACTCTCCAACCCTGCCTCTTGAACCGCCTTCTTAAAGTCCTCCAATGGGCTCAGAAACACATCATAGTCATCGTAATGGATCGGCACCGTAACATCCGGCTTCACCAACTGCATCAGCTTCACGCCCTGCTGTGCATCCATCGTCACCATCAACAGCGGAACTTTCGGGCTCGGGATCGTGGTGCCGCCCAAATGCACGAGCATGAGATCGATGGGCTTGTCGGCGTTGGTGTACTTCTCTGGGATCTGCTTGAGGTCGTCGACGAGCAGAGTATCGCCGGAGATGTAGATCCTGTAGCCACAGTTGAAGGCGGAATCGGTGGAGTAGCCAAGCTCAAGCATCCAACCGTTGGTCGGTGGGACGGCGGAAAGGAGGTCGTTGGCTACGCTGAGAGGACCGGGTGGGACGTGTTTGCCGGGCATGCCTGTGACTTTGACCGCAGGCACAGACGCAGAGGCACCAGAGCTTGAGATGTTCATAGTAGCGGACTCCCAGAAGTCAAGATCATGGACTGCAGTGAACTTTTCGTCATCAGACTTCTTGTCCTGCAAGCACTCTTTCGCGTGCGGTGTCGTGACGATGGGCAGATCTCGTCGTAGCTCAGCTTCGACTTTCTGATCGAAGTGGTCGGCATGGTAGTGGCTCAGGAGTACCACATCAACGTTCGGCAGGTCCTCTAGATCAATGGCAGGGTTGGTCTGGCGGGTTCCTTGGACTCCGGGCCCGAGGTGGACGTGGTCACCTGCGTGGAGGAAGTTGGGGTCTGTTAGGATCCTGATGCCTTGCCATTCTAGGACTGTTGTTGCGGTGCCGATGAAGCGGAGGTGGGCGTTCTCGTTGCCATCGCTGCCTCGAGGGTGGATGTGGGTGTGTTTTGCCTCTGGTAGGTTTGGGGAAGGTGTCGCGCCTGACCGCAGGGGAGACTTTTGCTGGCGAGGATCGAGGTTGAGAGTATGCTTTGGTACTTCCAGGTTGGTCATTTTGGTAATAATGTATTCTCTTTGTATTGTATCTTTCGTGATGATGGGAAGTGTGATTTAACTACCTGTCGAGACTTACACATAGATGAATGCTGGTCAAGTTTACGTGTGCCATCGCTTCAAATGCCTCTCGATGTGGCAATCATGATGCCACTTACCTTTCGGCTGCACCTCACCGTTGACAATGACTTTGGTGAGTATACTGTGAAATGCCGTAGAAGTTGAGTCTCGTTTTGAAAGCATGATTCAAGCTTTGAGGACTATGTAAACAAACACAATGATCTTTGGCCGCGTTGCTCAAGTTCTCTAGACGCTTGGTGCCACAGCTAGGTAAGCAACCATGTCAAGGAAGAAATCTTGAGAGCAGAATCAACATCTCCAAATCAGTGAGCCTTCCGCATGGCTCTGGCCATGTGAGCTCCCAATAATGACGTCCGGCTCCATAGCTGCATAGCTACCATGATGAGTTCTCCTAGGCAGGACCCAAGCCAACGACCTCAGCACAGTCCGGAGAGTACCAGATCCTGCTGAGGAGAAGTCCGCGCCACCTCTCCAACGCCCTATCCCTACTCCGTCGACACCACCGCCCTGATCCACTCTTCTGAAGCATACTTCAGCTCCAGCACCTCCAACTTCGGCCAACCCTTCTCCTTCGCCCACGGCATGTCCTCCTCCGTCACCGGCATGTACGTGAAGTAGTCCAGCTTAGCGTTGAGATTGGCGTGCATTCTGGTGTAAGCGTGGTCTTTGAAGAAAGAGTCGTCAATCTCGTCCTCTCCATCGACCTCACCGTCTTCCACGCTTCCCAGGTCCTGCTCGACACTCTCATCTTCCGTCTCTTCCGTCTTCGAAGTGTCGTCGCTGCTCTCCGCACACTTCATGAGCTTCTCACGCTCTGTGTACTCCTCGCAGCGGCTACAATCACAGCGATGGTGGTAGGCGTGGCGGTCTTCCGGGCGTGGAGGGAGTCCGTTCTCGATAATCTCGGCAGCCCTGCGCGCCAGCGACCTCAAGCTCCCAGCAATCTGTTTCGGAGCATCGGGCGGCAGCTGATAGATGTGCGTGAACTTCTCTGCCGCTTTCTTCCCGAAGAGACTGGTCGACTTTCCCTCCTTGTGAGCCTGCAAGATGGCCTCACACGCAATACGCAGAGAGCCCGCTCGAACATCCCCACAAGCCCTCAACTTCATCTTCTTGCCGCTTTCGCCATAAACAATATAGTTCCAGTGCGCCGTCCCGTGCATGTTGTGATCCAGTGTCTCGCGGAAGATCGACTTCGCCAACCAGTGACACCTGCTGCTGGGATCCTTTGGCACGGTATCCGTCAAGAGCATGGTTGTACGGACCTTCGGACCTTTGAACTTGCAGCTCTTGTGAGCGTTCGACTGGTACTCGAAGAGAGCAAGTTTGCGCAGTTTGTCCTCGACCTCGCGCATGTGATCGTGGAGCAAAGCAGACTTCTCCAAAATCACGCAGCTGACGTCTGGAGAGAAGTTCGTGTGGTAGCGGATACCGCCAGCCACCGTCATCTGGCCAACGACGTGACGAAGAGCTTCAGCAAAGATGTTTTCGTGGCGGAGCTTGACCAATAAACGCAGGAAGAAGCTGGGACGGTCGCGAACCTCTTTCCAGAGCCCGTGGAAATCCTCGAAGAGTGAGCCGAGAGACCGAGCAATGCTGGGGAGGAACTCGTAGTAGTCCGCCAAAGCACGGATTTCGACGACGGTTATGAGCTCAGCCTCTCTGCCCTCGTAGCCATCTTCGTCCAAGCCGAGATCGAAGGGTTGTTGGAACAGGAGCGAGAACATTAGCTTGTGCATGTAGACACTCTGCTCCCTAAATTTCCGCGACTTCGCTGCGATGCTTGCTGGTGATCACTGAAAGCTTGTACAACTCCTTTATCAGACCTGACCAATGGAAAGCGCAGGCATAGTTGATTCCACGAGATCGGACTTCTTGGACGGTTGACGGCGCGGAGTCACCCTTATCGGCTGTTGGTAGATGTCAGAACAAGTGCAGAGTGACGACTCACCTCGTCGGTCAGGATGAACGTCTCCTCATCGTACGCCAGCTTGTAGTCGAAGACCGTGACACTCTCGCCGGTAGACGGGTGCAAGATCTCGCGACTGCTACCGAAGCAGGTGTGCCCGAACCCCGCAGCAAAGCGCGGCGAAGCCTTGCTCAGCACGCGTTTTGGCAAGATCAGAATGTCTTTTTACCTCTCCGAGAGCCGGATGACGACGTTGCCATCCTGGTACTTGAGCGCGGATGGTTCCAAGCCGAGCGAGAGGTCCGGGAATGCGGCCGCAAGCAGATTGGTGTCCGCTTGAGTGCCGGCCATCTTGCTTGCCAAATGGTAGTACGGAGGTGAAAAAGGGCAGGAGGTGAAGAAAGAGCTTCGAAGCCGTGAAGAGTGGAAGCAGGCGCGAGGTAACCGACCGAAGCAGATGTGCTAGGTCGAGTGGTGTGTGTCAGTGGTAGTACGCCGATGCTGTCGTGGTTCGAAGGGATGTGGTTGTGTGTAGAGTTATTGATGGAAACTTGGTGGGTGGAGCCGGAAGATATAGCAGTTTGTCGAGTGATATATCGCATCGTTGAGCAGCAACTTGAAACGAGCCAGTCCGAATAGGAAAAGCTCTCATCCAAATTGGCTTAGCTCGGTGAATGCAGAGGCCATGCGCCGGGCCAGCGAGAGCATGTGAGCATAGATTCCATAAGTGAATAGCCAGTTACGTCACCGTTAGGAGATGCACGGCATCGTAACACCCTCGGCAGGATGAAGGGGGGCCCGGAATAGAGAGCAGCCGGCGCCGGGTGAAAGTGGAAAGCGGTCTGTATTTTATCGCAGCTGCGAATGTTTGGTCCGTTGAAGACGATGGTATCTGGTACTTAGCAAAGATAGCAATAGCATACAACCGACAGAACAAAGCGCTCAAACCCAACAAAGAACGCCATCGCTCATGCCATGCAAGTATGATACAAGCCGAAACAACAACAAACACTTACAAAGCAACGCTCACGCTTGAACGACCTGCGGTCCCTCCGCTGCCTCCTTCCCAGTAACCGGGTCCCGTCCCGCCTCCGCCTGCAAAGGCTTCTCCGCCTCCGGCGCCGCAGCAGCAGCCGGTTCTTCTGCCTTCCCAGCCTTTGGCTCGGGCGTCTGACCGGCAGGATCAGGCACGACTATCTTCTCCAGTGTGGGTGTCTGCTTGGCTGCAGCGTCGTCTGCTCGCGTCTCGACTTTCGGGTTGGGAGATTCGAGTAGCTTGCCATTGGTATCGCGGGGCTTGCGCTCCCAGCCAGTCTTAAAAAGTTTGCCGAGCTGGAAGCGCGGGAAGGCGTGAGCTTCGGTGTTGAAGACGACGTCGGTGAGGGGCAGGATGTCGGTGGGGGAGAAGAGGAGGTAGAAGTATTTTAGAGTTTCGGCCTGCAGCAGATGTTAGCGAAGGTTTGTCGTTAGCGGACGAGAGAGGAGGGAAGACATACCAGCCAAAAGCTCTCCATGTTATCCTTCTGAGGCGGCGGTGTCGTCAATACGGACGTCAGACTCGTATAGCCAGTTCCGTCTTCCACGGCCGTCCACTTGACGAAGCTCTCAAACATCTCCCAGCCCCAATTCCTGTACTTCTCGTCGCCCGTAATACGCCACATGTAGAACAGACTCTCGATGGTCTCCGGTCGCTGCAGGTTGTGCGCGTCCGCGCCTTTGATCATGAAGTCTTCGTGGCCAACGAATTCATCCCCAAGCCCCGACGTGTCGAAGGCTGCTGGCGGGGTGGGTCTGTTATCAGCGGTGAACTCCTCGTACATCAACGGTGGGTCATGAAGGTTGAAGTGCGTGATTTCTCCTGCGAGACCAATTGGTGAGGTCTTGTACATGCCCCAGCAGGTGTTCATGAGCTCTTCTGCCAGCCGCATGTCTTCGTCCTGGCGAGGGCCCCAGTTGGGCTGAGCCTTAGCTTGATTGAGTGGTAGACCTCCAGTCGCAGCGAGAGCGATGGTGCCGGGCATGAAGCAGACGAGGTGGTCCATCTTCGGACTGAGCTTACCGCCAAGTCCATTTGGCCTCTCGGCTAGGACAGTGAAGTTCGACGGGGCGCTGTAGGTGATGAGATTCTTCTTGACGCCAGCTAGGGTTTCGTTCCACATGGCTTGGTACACCGGCTCTTGCTGTGATGTCTGCAGGAATTGCTTGATCAGGTACTCGTAGTAGCTGTCTCCTCTGCTGCCGAGTCTGATGTTCTCGCCACGGAAGTTGCCACTGTCGGCGTAGATGAAGATGGGTACCAGACCGTCTTTCGCGTTGTTGTCGTCGACCACTTGCATGACATGCTCAGCGTGCTCCCAGTAGTTGTTCTCGCCAGTCAGGTTTGCCAGATACTTCATCTCGAGCTGCAGAGTAGTTGCTTCAGCCGTTGATGAAGCACCGCCGTCCGCATGGGAAGGTATGCCCAGCTGAGTGTGCAAGTTGACGCTTGCTAGTGGTACTCCCGACGTTGTCTCGTAAGCTCCCAATAGCCGGTCAGCAAGGTCCGTAGCCTTTTCGATGTACAGATCATCGCCAAGGTCGTCGTCAACCATCGCATAGGTCTCCTCAACCCTGTTGCTGAGGTAGTGAGCCGACAGCAATCCACCAAGCATCCGAATAGTCGTCTCGAAAGTATTGACATCGTGATCTTGATCATAAGTCAAGTTATGGTGTATCCACTGCCGGGCCTGCGCAACCTCATCCGTAAGGTTCATGATCATCATCGTGTCCAAAGCATCCACAATGATCCAGCCCATGCCGTTCGGCACCATCTGCCTCTTGCCCTTGCTGACCGGATGGAACTCGTCGTGGCCCCATGCGTATTTGTTGTACCCATCGAAAGATAACTTGAATGCCTCCTTGACCTTCTGCGCTCTCGAGTTCCAGTCCAAGGCCGCACCTCCTCCTCCCCCGAACCACGATGTCTTGCTCTCCGTCTTCTGTGTCGCGGGTGCCTCATCCCTCGTAAAGTACGACAGCGGCGACAGTATCCCAAACCACCAACTTATGACCGCAAACGTCGTCAGCACCGCCGCAACGGTCCTCTTCTGCTTCCACCAAGCCACCTTCCTCCTGCTTCCCGGGTATGAAAACGGCTTGTCCTTGTACATCGGCAGCCCATCCTTCTTTTCGCCCCCAAAGAGCCCGCTGACCGTCTCGCTAATGCCATTACCGCTCGAAGAAGTACTCGGCGCATATTTCGACTGCGCACTCTGCCATTGCTCGGGATGCCGCTGCGTCGGTCCATTCTGAAAGTTGGGCGCGTAGGACGACATGCTCGCTGCCGCCTCGTTGGACACCTCCTGCAACACGTTCCGCCCTACTTCGGCCGCTTTGTTCGCTCCCCGTGCGAGATGTTCTCCTAGATTCGAGGCGCGTGACTGGAGGATCGAAAGAGCTGGTCCAGGAATTCGTCGTAGATTGAACGGGTCGCGGTTGTTCATACCAGTCTCTTCATTTTACTTCCAATACCGACTGTCCTAAAGGAATGACAAGAAGTGTATAGTCCTGCATTCTTACTTTACTCCGTTCACATGCTGCCAGCTGGTCCAACCGGGGCCCATATGCAGGGATGAAGTCGATGGCTAGGAAGGACCGAGCCGCGTTAGCAGCTGCCTGATTCGGGCGCCACGTGACGATAGACGTCAACTTCAAGGCAACTTGTCCTCCCAAATCGTAAACATCTGTCGAGCTAAGTCAAGCTCTCGAAATTGCAACATCACTCGACTCTTGCCTACATAACTCTTCTGCCAACTGATAACGACCCAACGCAAAAATGCCAACCCCAATAGACAAAGCAATGCAATCACGAGTCCTCTCCCCCTTCCTCTTCCCTTCTTTCTCTCTCACTCCCGACTAACACAATTCCACAGAACCTCTTCCTAGGTTTCGCAGGCCTAGTAACAGCCGTAGCCGCCTGGTCGATCTGGGGCCAAGACATGTTTCCTTCCCAGCCCGAACCAACCGGCGAGCCAGAGACTTGGACTACCGAGGAGATGAAGGCATGGTTGAGCAAGGTACGCCGATTTCCTGGGATGAATAGCAGCGGTGGCGGTCGTACTGATGGGGGCCTGTAGCGAAATCTTTACGTAGGCGGGGCGGAGACGAGGGAGGAATTGGTGGCGATGGTGAGGGCGGCGGGGCGGAGATGAGAGAGGGTTGATGGGAGGGGCGTTGAGGCGATTAGGGCTTGATGTCGCGGGCCTTTTGGCTCGGACAGCACGTCGCTTCCAAGAATGATTCAACGTTATAAACGTCTCTAGGCTCTAATCTTTGGTCTACGCAGGGCAATGCAATCAACGCAATATAGAGCAACGCCACGTAGCCCAGCCTCAGTCACCTCCAACCACCTACTTACTCAAGCTTCTTCCTCCCCCCAATCTTGTCCGGCTCCGCCTTCGCCATCACCCACCCCCGCTCCACAAACTTCAACCCCTCATCAATCGCAATAATCGGCACACTCCAACCCATCACAATATACCACTCATCCCACCCCAACGGCACGATGCCGAAAATCGTCTGCAAGATCGGCGTGTACAGCAGGATGAAGTGCAGAACCATTGAGAGGGTGATGGCGTAGACGAGGATCATGTTCTTCCATAGCGGGAGAGTTAAGAGAGATTCGGAGGAGGAGAGCGCGTTCATGGCGTTGAGCATTTCGATGACGACGAGGATGGAGAGGGAGACGGTGGAGGCGGTTTTCGCCGGGGTGGTAGTGAAGATGGCGCAGTCGATTTGGGGGAATGAGGAGGCGCAGCGGTGGAAGTGTGTCTGTGGCGTCTTTGTTAGTGCATGAAGGATTGGAAGGGAATGGAAGGGAACGTACGAGTTGGTAAAAGGTGATTTGGGGTCCACCTTCGTAGTACATGAACCACCATGCATACCCGCCTACCGTGGCCAGGCCGACGTAAGTGCCGATGACCATGTAGCGGAAGAAGAGCCAGCCTCCTACGAGAGGCTCGTCGCGTTTCCGGGGTGGTCGGCGCATCACGTCGTGGTCCTTGGGGTTGAAGCTCAATGCCGTAGCGGGCAGTCCATCCGTCACCAGGTTGACCCAGAGTAGCTGTACCGGGATCAGAGCCTCCGGCATGCCCAGCGCAGCGGTCAGGAAGATCGAGACCACCTCACCGATGTTGGACGAGATCAAGTATCGGATGAACTGCTGCGTGTTGTTGTATATGCTGCGGCCTTCCTCAACAGCCGTCTCGATCGTCGCGAAGTTGTCGTCCGCTAGCACCATATCTGCTGCAAGCTTCGCGACATCAGTACCCGTGCCCATCGCCACACCAATGTCGCTCTTCTTCAGAGCTGGAGCGTCGTTGACACCATCGCCAGTCATGGCCACGACTTCGCCTGCGGTCTGCAGCAGATCGACAAGCTTGGACTTGTGGCCTGGCTCTGTGCGTGAGAACAAGGAAGCAGTCTTCGCAGCCTGCAGCTTTTCGGTATCGGTTAGATCATCGAATTGGCGGCCAGTGTAACTCTTCCCCTTCAGATCCTCGTACTCGCCAAACACACCAATCTGTCTGCAGATCGTCTCTGCGGTGTTCTGGTTGTCGCCAGTGATGACGACGACTCTAATGCCAGCGTCCCTGCACTCTCGAATGCTTTGCGCCACCTCCGGTCGAGGCGGGTCAAGCATGCCTACGAGACCAAGCAGTGTCATTCCCTGCTCAAGCGTGGTGTATTCCTTCGACGTCTTGGCGTTTACGGTGAGCGGCGAGGTGACGTTGTCGACGCTGGCGAGCGCAATAACTCTGAGTCCACGGTTGCCGTACTCCGTCACCTCCTGGTTCAGCAGCTTGGTGAGCTTCTGATCCAGCTGCACCCTCTTGCCGTCCTTGCCAACCAAACAGTGCGTGCAGCGATCAAGGATCGACTCTGGAGCGCCCTTTACAAGCAGCTTCTTCGTCTTGTCCGAGTTACCCACGAGCACAGACATGCTCTTGCGGTCACGCGAGAACTCGTATGTCCGGAGCTTGGGTGCTGTGTCTTCGTAGTCCTGGCTGATGTAGTGGAGCAATTCCTCTGGCTTGAGACCTCGGCGCTTCGCGTTGAACGGAGCGTTCCTTGTTCCGATCTTCTCAACGAGCACTCGCAGAGCGCCTTCTGTAGGCTCACCCACGTTTTGGTACGTGCCAGCCTTTGTGTCATACGATAGCCTGGACTCGTTGCACACTGCTGCGACCTGCGTCATCTGGAGGATCGTGCTCGATGAAGCTGCGAGATCTTCCACAACCTTACCACCCTTCTTGATTGTGCCCTCAGGAGCAAAGCTTGTGCCTTCAACAGTAAGCTCTTCGAGTCCAGTCCCGGCTTCGTCAATGTACACGATCTTGTTGACGCTCATCTGGTTTGTCGTGAGCGTGCCAGTCTTGTCGGAGCAGATGACGCTGCAGCTGCCGAGCGTCTCCACGGATGGCAAAGACCTGACGATGGCGTTCTTCGCGGCCATCTTTCGGGTTCCAAGTGCTAGACAGGTGGTGATGACAACAGCAAGTCCTTCTGGAATGGCAGCCACTCCTAGAGACACCGCAATCTTGAGGTAATAGATGGCGCCTTTCGTCCAGGAACCTCCGTGAGACTCATCGTTGAAATGTTGGATGTTAATCAACCACACGAGGATACAGATGCCGCTGATAACTTTGGCCAAAGTATCGCCGAAGTCATTGAGCTTCTCCTTGAGGGGCGTGGGCTGGGAAATCTGGGCGGTGATAGACTCGTGGATGTCACCGATCGCCGTGTCGGATCCAGTCAAGACAACAATAGCGTGAGCATTGCCCGTAACCACAGTCGTTCCAGAGAACAGCATGTTGACCTGATCCTGCTTGACAGCCTGCTCATCCTTGATCGGCTGCGTATCCTTGATCACACTCTCGCTCTCTCCCGTCAAAATCGACTGATCCACCCGAAAGCTGTTGCTGAGTATACTCAACACCCTGCAATCTGCGGGTATCCTGTCCCCAACCGCCACATGGATAATATCTCCAGGCACCAGCTCATCAGCCTTGATCTCACTGACCATGCCATTCCTTAGCACCTTCGCCTTGTTCGCCGAGTACTCTTGTAATGCCGCGATGGCTTTTTCTGCCGAGCTCTCTTGACTCACGCCCACAATTGCGTTAAGAATGAGGATGGTCAAGATGACCAGAGGGTCGACGAAGGCTGTCCATCCTTCTTCTTGCTCGAAGAGCGCTAGAACGAATGATATCGCTGCTGAGCCGAGGAGAATGATTACGAGCTGATCTTTGAACTGCTCCAGCACGAGCTCCCATAAAGGCGTGGGAGGGTCTTCTGGTATCGAGTTCGGCCCATGCTTCGATCGTGATTGTTCGACCGCTTTGGCGGAGAGGCCAGTGTTCTCAGAGACGTCGAAGTGTTTCAGCACGTCGTCGGACGAGCGAACGTATGCGTTGTCCATGGCTGGTTGTGTTATGGAGTCCTCCAGTTGACCTGTTGGATTCTAGGTGGGATGGAGGGATGTGCTGTTATATGCGCAGGATTGACAGTCCCATGGTAGGTCTCCGGTGCATTCGTCAGCTAGATTCCTTCCGGCCACGTATTCAGTACCTGAGTAATAGGACGAGATCGAGTGCAGGAGTGTGAAGGCACGTGGGGGTAATTCTCCGCAATCGATGAAAGCACACCTGGCTTCTCGATCAGATTTTCCCAGAGCCGCATCTGAGATCGTCACCAGGATGCAGGAACCGATGATGTGTAACATGTGATTGGCTGGGAATACTACGGAAGGAAGTCCTGTCGGCAGTCGCGTCTCCCTTGACTTTGGTGCATGTCCTTCACATGTTTCTCTCTCCTGCGGTCCTTGACCTCCTTCGAAGCTTCGTGCTCCTTCCTGTTTCAGCGTGTCTGCTGGGAGATGTGTGAGACATGGTTCGGCTGGCGAGATTCTGGGCCCAAACGCTCGTTTGCAAGACAATGGCGTTGGAGAAGCCTCTTCGAGGGGTGTGGTGTTGGGTATTCTCGCACGGATAGAGGGCACCTGGATCTATCGTTCGGCTACCAAGAAATATAAGACCATGTCGCAAGGTAGGCTCCAAATGGTCGAGAAGATGCATGCGCTGGCAGGGCGACATTGGAGCGATAAGGGGATGGCGTGACATTATGCAGCCTTCCGGTCAAGGTGAGCTGTGGTGGAAGGCTGTGGTGGCGGCCTCAGACAGCCTCGCGCACAGTGAGTTACTTCATGTTCCAATACCTTTTTAGAATCTATCTGCATCGCAGTCCTGTTGTTCTCATTTCCAATCCATGTGGTGATTCTGGCGTCCGTTTCACTCTTCTGAGCAGGCTTGGCACACTCAAACTGTCTCCCCAGGCAGACGCGCCCCTGACGCGAGGCATATTTCAACGTCACCTCATTCCAACTCTTCCACCTCCAGCAAAGTTCTCTCCTCCACGCACAACACCACGTCGCCTGTCACATCACCACCTGCGCTGGCACCCCATCTGGAGAAGCTTCTCTCCTCCCACCACCGGCGCCATGCAGCGCTACACCGTCACGATCGTCACGCCGGGCGGTCCAGCGGCTGGAAGGCCTGTTCTCCTCGTTCCTTTCTCGCCCAACGCTCTCGTCACTGCCTTCGTGGACGAATTGTTCAAGCGCATCGCGAGACAGGGGCTTGACCTTGCTCCCAACACTCATATCGCCACGCTGCACCTTGATAGTGAGACCGGCGCGCTGATTGATGCCGAAGACCTGTTGTCAGATGTCGTGCTGGACCCGAAGAATGAGAGCCTCTACGCCGTCTTTTCGAATAAGACAGCAGGCGTGAGCACTTCAGCAGCTCCCACAGCGGCTGCTCACGATCATGGAGAAGACGCGTCGCCATCTCTGTCTTTCCGAGTGGTGACACCCGCCACCGCCAAGGACAGGAATACGTGTCCGGTTCTCCGTATGCCTGCATCTGCCACAGTCCGCCAGCTCCATGAGCGAGTGGCGGAGAAGCTTGAGCTACCTTCGAGATCTGACGATGATGCCGATACGCACGAATGCAACTGTAGCCTGGCTAACAGGCTCGCCGATGTTCCAGCTCAGGAGAGCTCATTCCTGGTCGTGAGCGGAAAAAGCGTTGTCGAGCGTCTCCCAGTCGGACACACTACAGAGACGGCTGTAAGAGCTGCCCTTCGCCAGCGCTTCGGCGTCGACTTCGAGAACGAGAAGAGAGCAGCCCTTGTCGGCGCGGACATGCACCCCAGCCTACCATCCATCTACAAGAAGAACCCTATAGCTGCCATCTGCTCGAAGAAGCGTCACACTCCACTACACGCTCGAGTGGACGCAGGCGATGCAGACCAGAAGAGGACCCCCGTTTTGGACCTTCACACATACGAGCATCCGATACATCCTGCTTGTATGGACGTCACCTTGGGCGAAGCAGGTCTCACTGGACTGGCTGTAGATGGTGTCATCGACATCTTCCCAGTCAACCGCCGCACCACTGGCAACAATGCTGCAAGCATTGGCAAGTCGAGCATCTACCGTGCTCGCGCCCACTGGGAGCCTCCGGTCACTCAGTCAGATCGTGGCATGGCAATGTTTCTCTCTTCCTTGAGAGTCTTCGCGTCTCTTATACAAGACATGGCAGCCGACGAGAGGTCTCAAGACGCGGCGTTGCACGCTTTCGACCTCCTCACACAGTTCCCGCCAGCGCTCCGTACACTATACATTCTGGTACAAGGGAAGACTCCCACTGCCGTCGAGAGCGCCGCGCTGGCCCAGTCAATGTACACAGTGCTCGACAGCTTCATGAGCAACTTCACAGACATCGTTGGCACCGACCATACGCGAGTGTTCGAAGGCGCTAGGCTGTTCTTCGGCTTTGTGTTGGAGAAAGGCCGCACACTAAAGCTGTCTGCTGGGGACAGCACCCTGCCTTACCTCGAGAGCTTCAAAGCTGTGGCGATGCGCGACCATCGGACCAACGAGGCCGTCATGCGCGCTGTACAGACTACCAGAGGCCTTGTGGAATCCAGTCTCTACGACTCATTCCAAGAAGGCTGCCTCCTCGCCGACAGCCCGCTGCAGACATGGATGGTCAAGGATCCGCTGGACGAAGCTGTCTCTCGCGCGGCTGTGCTGTCTGGAGGGACTGTGGCAGAGCTCACGACCTTCTCGAAGAAGCAGCTCACTGAGAAGTATCGGTATCCGGACAATGGTGACATCGAGGCCGCTATCGACGTCGGAGAGTTCGCAGAGCTCAGCCACCTCGCTGAGCTCTGTGGACGCAACAAACTCACTGTATCGAGGCCAAGCCAGCTGGCGTCGGCGGTGGCTCCCTGTCTCACGTTCGACAGGAAGGCTCACCTCTCCGTGTACACCGGCGAGCAGGGTTGTAGCGAACCAGGCTACTCTTCCATACTGTTCCGGCCGAAGCATGGCGATGAGACGATTGACGCTGCGGTCGTTGAACAGCTCATTGCGCCCATTCTTGCTACATATGAGTCCAATGGTGAGTCGAAGTCATTACGAGAGCTTAAGAAACTTGCTAACAATTCTACTTCAGGTACCGCGGTCTTTGATGCTCTCGGCGGAGCGACCGTCAGGCGATTACAATCCCCTGACGAGTTACTTATGTTCTGCGTTGATTGCTCCGCCAGCATGCGTGACAAGACCGACTTTGCTGAAGTCAACGACGCACACGATCACCACGAGCCTACAGATCCAGATGCTTCCACCCTCGTTGATGTAGAGATGTTCAGCCGAGCGAGTCTCGACGATGCAAAGGATTACTTGAGTGAGTATGAAGGCACTGGCGACATGATTGCAATCGTGAGAAACTGGATGAACATCAACCCGCGCCATGCAGCTAGCCAAGCACTACGCATTCTGCAGACCATGCTCTCAGCATCCATCATCAAGAAGTCGGAGGACTTGGCCAACCGTCAGCAGCATGGTAGAGGATTCTACCATCTGCGGCAACAGCTGGCAACACAAGAGTCTGATTTAGCCAAGCTGAAGAGATCTTGGGCCAGCTTCAAGACGCATGAGGAGGCTGTGCTCGACTTCCTCATCTACCGAGCTTCGTCTGAGGCCCACGATCTTGATTTGTCCTGGACTTGGTCTGTCGGAGACGAGGTTCCAGCGGCCAACCGAGCCATGCAACACATACCGAATCTTGCAGAAGACATCGTGGACCTGCCGCACCATCTGAAGTGTCCCATTTCGCACACCCTCATGCTTGATGCGGTCACGGCTACAGACGGCCACACCTACAGCCTTTCTGCTATTCAGCAGTGGTTCGACATCCGAAACTCATCCCCGATGACGGGCTTACCGCTGGACGATATAGCTCTCACTTCGAATCAGGCTGTCTGCGATGCGGCGCGTAAATGGATGGAGGGCGAAGGGGTTGATGGGATTGAGCCAGCCGACGCACGGCCAGCGAAGCGTCTCCGGTCTGAGGAACTGGAGATCACTTTCAACTCTCGATTTGGCTCGTTCAAGCGTATAGTATCCGGTAAGTGCTATCTCGAGATACCGTCAAACTTTAGCTGGTGCTTCGAGCCCTTCTTATCTATGCTTGAACATGGAACGATCTGCTGACGTCTTTGCTTATCAACAGGGACCATGACTTTAAAGGATCTGTACAAGTTGGCCTTCCGCGGCACGCAGGGGAAGCACCTTGTCTTCCAGCTTTCGACCGACCGGTATGGACCACTTACCGCAAGTTCAGAAGCGACGGTGTCGTCTCGCGACATCCGCAACCAAGACCATGTCAACATCCGCATAGCCAACGACGAGCCCTCGAGCGTGGCCGCGAGTTCCACTGTCACTGACAACCACAACCACGATCACGTTCTGATCAAGGTTTACTGGACGAATAACACGATGCTGTTCGCCTACTGGGCCAAGAAGGATACCACAAATTCTCTCGCCTCGATTGTATGGAAGTACTGGCGCTACAGACTGCTTGTTAGCCCACACTGGGCTGTAAGTGCGATGCAGGTCTGGACAGACCTAGAGGATTCAGGTGACAGTAGGCTCAGAGGCACTCCGAACAACACTGACGGGTCTCTTCGGATGTGCTTCACCCATCATCACAGCTACGGTCATCTCGGCGACGAGAAGTTGCATGAGCGGAACGGCAACGCTGGTGCGACTGGCCCAATGGTACTGAAAGTCAAGATGAATACGCCGCACAAGCCAAAAAGGGAGCAGGGCCAACTCAGCAGACTGGACGTGCTCAAGCAGATGTTCGAAGCTCTCATCAACCGGACCCTTGCATACAACTACAAGACGCACATCGGACTGATCACCTTCAACACAACGCCAGAGATTAAAGTGCCCATTACCCACGTACTGGAGAATTTCAGACGCTCTGTCACCAGCATGAGCGCTCGCGGTGATACCTCGCTCTTTGATGCACTGGCACTGGCGAAGGATCAGTTGATTGAGAAGGCCAAGAACTACCCTGATGCGTAAGTCTGCAGCATTCCATCTCTCTGCCGAGCATCGATTCATCTAGTCGACCAGCTGCTGCATAGCCTGCTTGGCATGGAAGACAATGAGAACTTTTGCTGACTCTGACACAGGAAGAAGCGCATCATCGTGATTAGTGATGGTCATGATACCAAGTCACTCACCAACAACGCTGCAGATCTTAGTTGGGGCCTTCGTGAGACCGGTGTGGTCGTGGACAGTGTGTTGCTCGGAAACGAGGATAACGAGGATCTTCTTGCCATGTCATACGCGCTGGTGAGTCCTTTCGAAGGACAGTGGCTGTTATTCCAGTTCAATCACTGATATTTACAGGGTTCTTACCGCTTCCATCCAGAGACGCTGGCAAACGCATTGGCAATTTGCGAACTCGAGCCGTTCCTCTCGCTGAGCGAGCGGCCAGAGATCGCGTTGCCTTCCATGCCACGCAACCGCGCCAACTTCTTGACGCCGTTCTGGCATTCGAAACGCTACGCCAACTTCACCACTGTGAACGAGCAGATCTTTCCGGAGCGCAAGGCCCACCCTAATCTCGCCGACAACTTCGTGCAGCTCAGCGCCGCCACTGCTCGTCCCGCCGGCAGCAACACCGCCGCAGGCTCACGCTCCAACCTCCGCACCACCCGCCTGATGACAGAGATGCGCGCCATCGCCAACAGCCCGCACCCGAAATACGACGTCTACGTCAGCGAAACCGACATGAGTTTCTGGAAGGTGGTCATGGACGGCCCAGACGACTCGCCCTACGCCGCCGGCACATTTGTCCTCTACCTCCACGCCGACGAATCCTACCCAACCTTCGCACCCAAAGGCCGTTTCGTCACCCGCATGAAACACCCGAACGTCAACGCCCACGGCCGCATCTGCCACAGCATCTTCGACCGCGACTGGACTTCCGACATCAGCATGGCGACGCTGCTGGATTCGGTGTACGGGCTGCTGTTGCAGCCGGAGCACAGTGATCCGGTGAACACGACGACGACGCTGGGCTTCCACCACGATCAGGTGGAGTTTGCGGACGAGGTTAGGGAGCATGTGGCGAGGTACGCGGGGCATTCGAGGACCTGGTGGAGAGCGGACATTTTGGGGGAGGAGTATCCGAGTGATGAGGAGATGGATGGGGAGTTTGAGGATTATTTTGAGGAGGATGATGAGGATGAGCTCGAGGATGATGAGGAAGACTCTGAGCTTGATGGGGATGGCGATGAGGACATGTCGGACTGAGTGCTTGAGGATTGAGTGAGTGAGGACTTGCTAAGGTCGTGAGCAGTGGGAGTGGTGCTGGCTGAAGATCGCTTGTGTCTACATAGCTGATAGCCGATATCGCGCTCGAATCAATGACCGAACCGCATCCCCCTCCAGGGCCGTATAACTTTTTCTGCCCGTGCCACCGCCAATCGCGCCGTCGTAGTGCAATACGACCTGTCGCGCCCCTTCTCATCCATAGACACCGTCATCTGGGTATCGAGCACAGCACCGAACTTGACCTCCGCATCTCCGACCGCCTCAACAACCCCACGACTCCCTGCCGTCGACTTCGTATCCCTCAACAGCGGCGCTTCGAAAACGTTAGCAATCTCGAACGGACTCATCGTCACGTTAACGCCCAAAGTCCACCAGCCCCAGAACACAGGGATGATCGTCACAATCGCCACGAAATGCAGTAGTGCCGCACCAGCGAACCACCGGAAGTCAGATTCGAAAGCGTTGAAAGACCGCTCCTGTATCGCCGGCACGGACTGCGAGACCGAGATCCCTGGGTCCAGCAGTGCCGTGGTATTCCGCAAGCCCGACGCCGCAACGCCGGCCCGGAACATGAGGCTGTTGAACGCGGCGACGATGTCGGCGGTCGGGTCGCTGAAGCCGAGGGAATCGTGCCCGGGGGTGTCGAGGAGGTAGCGGAGGCTGAATTCGTTCAAGGTGTCGGTGTTGAGGGAGTTGGGACCGCCTTTGGAACGGAGTCCGGAGGCCTGGGAGAAGGTGACGTTGGCGTAGATGGAGGCGAGGAGGTATTCGCCGAGGACGGTAAAGGTCATTGGGACAACTGGGCTGCTGGCGTTGAGAGCGGTGTTGTTGGCCTGGATGTTAGTCCGCTTGGGCTCGTCTGAACGCAGTCAGGTGTGTTTGTGATGCCAACTTACCACTTGAGAGTCCTTCGATTGGTCTGGAGGCTGGGAAATACGCACAGTGTTGCCCTCTACCTGAACATGGTAGTTGAGGATGGCTGACACAAGTGTGCACGTCGTCTCTGTGTAGCTTCCGGACCAGTCGTCGAGAGCGACAATGCCTACTCTGAGGCTCATGAAATCACGACCGACGTAGTCGTGCGTTGCAGCCGGTGCTTCGATAGTGCTGACAAAAGCAGGCACTACATTGCTATCTGTACCCCAAGCCGCGGAGCTGTCGTTGATCATGGTGGTGGTAATCGTCCAGGTGTCGGTGCTGCAGTCCGTCATCTGCACGCCAGGTGCTCGGACTGTAGTCGTGCATATACCTCCGCAGCCCGATACATCGGCAGTGATAGGAATGTCATCTTTGTAGTCGGAGACGGCCCGTAGAGCACTAGGACTGATTGCAAACCCGCCGGGTACGTAAAAACCGGAATAGCCATTGGGAAGCTCTGGAGTGAGCTTGAAGTTGAGCGTTGTGGGCATAGACTGAGAAATCTCCTTCACAAACGATGCTCTAATGGCCATCAACCATGTTAGCGGAAACGGCTCGACTGTGTACGAAGGTACGTCCTCCACTTACCTTTGCAGGAGCGGGCCATCGATGATCACAAGAGCAGAAGCGATAGCAGCAGCCGTTAACCACGACGTGTGTTTGGCGTGGCGGATGGCATGCAAAAGTCCCTGCCCAGCTTCCCAGTGTCTGATGATTCCGAAGGTTAGCTGAATTTTGCTCGAGCAACAGGGGCCACAAGCCCAGCTCACTCGAAGTTGCAAGCAATCGACGTACCTGTGCAAGTCTGCAATCGTTCGTCCACAAGATGCCCGATACCACCAAGCAATCGGGAAGGCCTGCGCCAAGGAGAATCGAACGCAGATATTCGACACTGCAGATAATACGGCGAGGAAGACACTCGGTTGCCAGGTCCAAGTATCCAGAGGTTTGCCGTTTGATGCCAACAGCACTGCAAAGGAGGCGAGGAGGCAGAGTGCAGCCAGCAGCAACGAGGCGAGACCAACCAGTGGTCTAGGCCGCATGAATGTCGGAAGCCAAGTCAGTACCTCAGTCGTCGTACTGCAGCTGGCGAAGGAGGGCACGCTCCGAACCTCTGGCTTCTTCTCTGATTGCGTTGTGAAGTCACCGCTGAAGGACGGATTCTTACATGCTTCGGAGCGTACTCCCATACCGGCGGTCTCGCCAGGTCGTACATGAGCAACATCGCCATGGGCAGCGCCCGTTGCCCTGTCTAGAACGTTGAACATTGCTGGATTCTACGGAGACCCACGGATCAGCGCCGGAAGACGAAGCGAGAGTGCGCACATATAGCTTTCCAGCTTCCATCGCAGGACGCTCATTAACTCGTTCCATCGCTCGTGGCAGTTTCCGTTGTGGAGTTGTAATGCGGTAGGCCAAGTCGTTCACCTACTTTACCTACTCGACGAACGGCTTAGTCAACCCTCCTTTGTCAGCCTTCTTGCACCTCTAGCTCAAAAGCTTCTGCACGTTCAGGTCTAATCTTGAAGACTGCCGCAGCGATACGCCTTCACATCTAGAAGGGGCAGCGACAGTCGCAATAGCTTGTCCCTCGGGCGCAGACCACGTCTGTCCATGGACGGCATCGCCAGAACGTCTGGCTTATAGCAGGCCTTTCCCAGAGCTCTCGTCCGCTATCAGTGCGACTCGCCTGGGTAGCCTGGAGCTGCTCCCCTAAACTTGGCTGGCTAGCATGGCCGCCATATTCTAGGCTGGAGCTTACTGCGCATGACGCCACATCCAGACTGGTTTGCACGGCGGAGTCCTTTGGTGGGCTGAGCGTGTTGCCCCCGATGTTGGTAGCCTCTTCTGCATCCACAAGGTGAACCTCGTGTGGGCAATGCGAGAGCCATGTGGAAGGGATGGGAGGTGTAATCGTGGAGGGTAGGACGGAAGAGATGAAGTGCGGTCAAAAAGTCGCCGTTAGTCATACATTGGTCAGCCCTTGAGAAGCTCTTCGAGTCCTGAGCTCAAGTGTACGACTATACAACATTCGTGGATTGATAGCAGATTGCCAATGTACACCACCATCCGCACAAGCGTAAGAGCAAGCCCCCACCCACCCATCGACACACACCCACCCCCTCACCCCTCCGCCCTCACCACCATCCTCCTCCTCTGCCCATCCCCATCCTCAAACCTCCCCACACCAGCCCCAGCAAACCGCACATCCCCCGCCGCCGCTCTGCACGCCGCCTCAAAAACCTGCCTCTGCTCGCGCCGCTTCACGATGCGGTGGAATTGCTTCGCGTTGACGTATAAGACGTCTTGTTCGACTAGGGAGGGGAGGAAGGGGCGCTCAACATCTCCACTCTGAACGGGTCTGCTGTGTAATTGGGACGTTGCGTGGGTGTTGCCGTTTGTCTCGGTGGTGGTGTTCCTCTGATGAGGAACGGCGGTGAAGTGAATTGGACCGTTCGGCTCCAAGATGATGGATGGACTGGACGCCCGGGAGGGACTGTCGCTATGCTCGCCGCGGAGCGTCGGTGTCGGCGTCACCGTCCCAGTACTCAACGGCGGCGGCGGGGTGAAATGCACCCGCCTCACCCCATCCCTCCCATCCAAATTCCCGCGGCCGTCCGATCGAGCACTCCCCGACTCGGAGCGCGGTGGCGTTGCTGTTGCTGCGAGAGCCGCTTCCAGCTCACCAAGCAACTGCTCATCCACTTTCTCATTCTGCAGACCCACACTCTCCACATTGCCACTATTCACGCAATACTCTCGCCTCCGCGAAAACCTCCTCGCGACATTCTGGATACTGAAGCTGATCACCGTAAGCACGACCACGAAACCGATGAGGAAGAGAAGGCTAGCCATAGCTCTTCCTGCCTTGTCCCAGAAAAGCGACGGGAGATGTAGGAAGGAAACGCATGATGCCGCAGGCACGAGGGCGCTATTTGTGTCACCTGAGAAATGACCGGTGTACGGTGTGGTGCGAGATTCTTGGATGGGTGTATTTGCAGTGGTGCCACGTGGAGCGCTCTAAGGTGAGGGATTTTGGCGGGGTCGAGGAAAGATAGAGCTTGCCAATGGCTGCATTGATGAAAAGAAAACGAATGGAAGAAAATTATTCTTACGTTCTGTCCAATGGCCTCTGGTTAGAGCAATAGTTTTTGTGAAATGAGGATTCGGCTCCGCGTCGTTCTGTTCTGCGGTTCCAGCTCCTCAGAGTCTGTCGTGGATCCGCCTTGTGATCACAAAGCCGGCCTCGACAATGCGATGGTTCAGTAGATCTACGCAACCTCCTCCACCATACGTCCAGACCCCAGCGATGCAACAGGTCTACTAAACATCTCCCCCACCGGCGCTTCCAACCACTCCTCCGGCACCCCAATCCTACTCCCCTCCTTCGTGTTGACCCACCGCACATACAGCGGATCCGGCCGCTCCTCCTCGCCATCTTCTGCTCCAGGCGTCGCCATCGCATCAGCGTGCTGCTGTGCGATGATCTCGGCTCTGGTACGGCGTTTGGGAGCGGGCTTCTTGAGGAGTTTGTTTATGGTGTCCATCTGAGTAATACACGTTAGCAGACGATATAGGTATTGTGTATAATAAACGCACCTTCTCCTCCTCATTCCGCTTCTCAGACAGATTCTTCCGTCGCCTCGCCATCTCCTGGCGCCGCATGTCCTGCTCTGCATCGGTAAGGTGCTTCTTCTTCTGCGCTTCGTTTGAAAGAGCCATGAGGCTGGATTCTGGCTCTTCTTCGTAGACACCTCGCTGTCGCCGAGTGAGCTTGCTGAGATCGGGAGTCGCGCTGCGAGAATTGTCTTCGTCCTCGTCGCTGTCGTCTTCTTCCTCGTCCTCCTCGCCTTCTGCATCCTCGTTCGAGTCGAGTTCAGATAATTCCTCGTCATCGTCGTCCATTTCTTTGTCCTCCACTGACTTCATTGGTCCTTCTTGGGGAGCTGTGACTGTGACATTCGGCTTGACCTGGCCTGACGGGTGATTCTGCTTGATGATCGGAGGTGGAGGATGGTCGTCCACATCTTCCTCATCATCTTCTCCCTCTGCATCTTCGTCGTCATCCTCGCTGTCCTCGTTCGCCAATATCTCCTGATCTACATCCTCCATATCCTCATCCCGATCTTGCCTCTCATTCTCCCCAGCGGCATCTTCATCCTCGTCCTCGTCCGATTCCGGCTCCACTACAGTCCGCGGATTCCTGGTCGTGCGAGCAGTTCGTGTTGCCGGCGCTGGGGTAGCATCGCTCTCGCTCGGGTTGTCGGCATATGGATTGGGAGGTATAGGCGCGGACCCGGACGTTGCTTGACGGAGCTTGCTGGGTGCTGCTTTGACGGTGAGGCGGAGGGAGGTCTTGCCGTTGGCTGGCCGTGCTATGGATGCCGAAGGGCGCGACGAGGAGGGACTGGCGCGTCGGTTAGTACGGGAGTATGGGGCGGCGTTGGAGGAGGATGAGGTGCGGGTGGAGCGTCTGGCTGGAGGCATCGCGGGTGTGGTGGTATGGTGGCATAAGAGGTGGAGGTGGAAGAGGTTCGCGGATGTTGTGCTTTTCACAAATACCACCCCTCCAGTCGCTCCTTCCACGTTGCGTGACGCTTTGCGGCTGGCGACTGCCGCATATGCAACATCACTTCAGGAATGCAGACTTCACTGCTCCTGCTCCTTCGCTTATCGTGCATGTCGCTCACGTGTTCCCCAACCGCACTTCAAGCTTTTGCAGACAAAGGAATGCGAGACGTACCTCGAGCCTATCACTGCCGCAGGAGGCACGTAGGCGGGTAGATTTGACAGCGACGAGGTGTTGATTGGCGCTCCCGATGCGCTCTTCAGGCGCTTGTTGCTGTCGTGTCCTTCCATCGCTCGGTTTATGCTCAATCAAATGCTCAATCAAATCATCACTCGATCGCCTGATCGCTCGTAAGCGGGCGAGGATTGCTGCAGCGGTGCGACACTGTTGGCTGCAGGGGACGAGACGGTTCGATGGAGGAGCTGGTAGGGCTGAGCGGGCTGCATGCCAAGCCCGTCACATGTGAGCCGAGGTCCGCCTATGAGTTCAAGACGACTTCATCTGTTCTTAGGTCAACTCCGCCGCTACACAACAAGGGATTGCGCTGCCTCTGGGATAGGCTATGCTACGGTGACATCGGGACGACTTTGTTGTATTGCAAGCAGGAACGTTGGCGACAATGGGGGACGACGACTCGAACCCAGCCATTCCAGCATGGCAAAGAGCTCAGAAACAACAGCCAGCACCAAGTCCTTCAGAGGGGTCGGAGAAGGGCCAGTCAGCTGCAGACCAGGGGATCCGCGAGTATGAGCCGAAGGAAATTGAGATAGCGACTCCGGTAGAGCCAGCAGCGACAGCCGCAGCAGAAGAGATGTCTACGGAAGAGACAACACCTACGCTACAGCTGCAGCACATGCAGACGTTCCTCGAGGATCCTGCTGTCAAGAATGCACCTATGGAGAAGAAGCGTGCGTTCTTCGAAAGCAAAGGCATATCCAAGGAGCAGATCGATCAGGCTCTCAACACTGAACAGAGCCCGCTCAGTGTCAACGACTTCGAGAGCTTCAAGCAAACCCAGGACCCATCAGCGGTAGCATCGCCACCCCCTCGACAACAGCAGCAGCAAGCGTCAGGACCGCCCATCATCACGTATCCCGAGTTCCTCGTCGAAGCACACAAGCCACCACCACTCATCACCCCCGCCCGGATCGTCAACACCGCCTACATCGTCAGCGGCGTAGCCGCCATGCTGTACGGAGCAAGCAAGTACCTCGTCACCCCGATGTCCGACAGCCTGACCTCCGCCCGCCACGACTTCGCCACCCACAGCCAAAGCAAAATCGACGAGATGAACGAGCGCCTCACCAAGCTCGTGAGCAAAGTCCCCGCTCCCAAAGCCGAACAACCCGACGGCACGGCCGAAGACGACGAGAGCGTGACAAGCGACCCCACCGAACTCTACCACCGCGACATGGGCACGCAGACGTCTCCCCCACCATCCCGCACCTCCTCGCTCTCGTCTGAGGCAGCGGAGAAGAAAGACCCAACAGACCACGCGATCAAAGGTCTCGATATCCTCCACTCCCACCTCTCCGACGAACTCGCACGCAGCACAACACTAGAAACAGCCAACAAAACCCGCCAAGAAAGCCTCAACAAGCTGCGCAGCTACCTCGACACGCTGATGTACACCAACACGGCTTACGGGCCGATGTGGAACTCGAGCGAGAATTCGTGGAGCGATGTTGGTGCGGAGGGGAAGAAGGAGGGGAAGGATAAGGGGAAGAAGAAGGAGGAGGATGTGGTGGAGGAGTTGAAGAGGGAGATTCGGGGGGTGAAGGGGGTGCTTTTGAGTGCGAAGAGGTTTCCTGGGGTGGTGGGGAGGGCGGGGGGGGTGTAGTAGGCAAAGGACCTCGAAAATTCGCACTGGAGGGAAAAGAACTCGGCGGGTTATTGCGGGCGTGGTTTATGCTGGACTTCGACTCGGCTTGTTCGCGAGTTTGGAGTCCTGCTGGAAAGCTGTCAATGGTCAAGGGCTTATCGTGGCAGCAGAATCACGACTGCTGCCTAGCGTCTGGAGTCGTGCCCTCAGCTGCATCTCGCTCTGCGGTCGGCGGCCCCAGATTCCCAGCCTCTCGTTCAAGGCGGAGGCGCAACGTATTTGACTTCGAGTAAGCTCAGGCTCAGGGACAACCGCAGGAGCGCAGAGTCCCGCCGCACAGTCCCCGGGTCCGCGGACTGTGCGCATCGTCTCGTCCTACCCTGGCATGTTCTACACACCAGGCGTGACGGCACATCTGCCCACCGGGCACGAAGAGGGGGGAAGGATGAGGGATCGGTGGTCGACTTTGCGCTGTGGTTTGACTTACGGGGAGGGGGGTGTAGCTGAGTGGGTAGAGCGTGGAATTTGTGGTGATTGGGATGGTGGGGTATATGGGGATGCGACTTCCTGACCTTGCTTGACCTAGGATGCTCAGGTCGACGAACTTGTTGCTGATGACTACGTCCCCATTGAGATACTATCTTGATCGACTCAGCCTTCTCCCAGCGCTTCTATTACATATACCTCACCTTACAACTAACTTCAGAGAATAAGCCACAGTACGCAGGGACGCATCGGACGATGCAAGTTCCTACGTTCACTATACCCAAAGGTGGGATCCACTACAACATGTGCCTGCAGCTTTCACAGAACCTGCCAAAAGCTGAAACATGTGCTGATACTTTCCTCTTCAAGTACTGTGCTTCTCGCACGGAAACATGCATTTGCTGGGGTTATGCTGTGGCTGTACAGCTTCGAACGAAGTGATGGCTGCACGTCATGAGCATTGGTGTCTTGATGGTTATGTCTATATTTCTATTCATTTGAGCCGCGATTCTGAGGGCATACTTTTCGTCACCCGCGACATCTGAGCTGTCTGGTCAACAGCGGTCAAGACGTGCGGCGAAGCTGTAGCGGCAAAGTCTCAGCAGCCGACGTTTCCTGCGCGGATGCCGAAAACCTCTCCTTCTCGTGGCTGATCAATGGTGCCTTGCCGCCCGAACCGCAGCCTCCTTCTCAACAGCATACCCTCCTGGTCTTCTTTGTAGCTGACGGCGGGCTTGAGCTTCGGGTATTCTTGCGAGTCGGGATCCGGTGGGCCGTTGAGCTCGCTTGAAGCACCGTACTGAACCTCTTGCTTGCCAACGCTCCGTACGATGTCCGATGCGGTTCCATTGGAGTCCACGTTCCGCAAAAGAGGAGCATCGAACGCCTTGGCGATCTCGAGCGGGCTCATGCTGACCGACTGGGCTAGCCGCCACCAGCCAAAGAGATTCGGCAGCACAGCATAGAAGGCAAGCCCGATGACCGCGAAGGCGCCTCCGAGCCAGCCGAAATCGGAATGGTAGACCGGAACGGAATATGACATGGACGCACTAACTTTCTGCGAGACGCTTTGGTTGACAAAGGTCAGATTTGGCAAGTAGATGTACTCTTGTCTGGAACCAATGTCATCGACCGTGCCGTCGCTAGAAATTGTCGTTGTCGCCACTGCCGCTCTGAAAGTCAGCTCCCGGATCATGCTGAGCATGTCGTCGATGGGATCGTCTTAGGTAACGGGGTATGCATCGTTAGTGCCGGCTTTGGTGTAGAGAAGTTTCGTGCCGCGAAGATACTGCAGCGCCACCGCACCGTGGGGCAGTATGTCTATGGTCGGGCCCTCAAGAGCCAGCTGTGCGTGGCCAGAGAACGCGTTCGATGTCGCTAACCACAGACCTCCTAGCGTGCTCGGGAAGTAGGAGTTACTGCTCGACTCGTACGCCCGGTACACAAGGTACTCAGTCAAGTTCTCCTGGGGCGACTGAGGCTTCCTGGTGACCGTCTGGTTTGTCGCGAGTATGTTGTACTTCTGTGCGGCCTCCTGCAGACGACAATATCTCCAATCCAGAGTCCCGTTTCCTCCTCTGGTTGATTTGACCATGGAACTGAGCAGTATGGCTGAGACAGCGGCCTCTGACGCCATCTCATTGGTCTTCCACCAATTGGGCGTGCGAGGAAAGGCAACATCCGGGTCATCGCCGGTCTCGTAACTCTCAAGGTCCGCCACATCTCATCTGCGGCCGAGCTGAAGGTCACATTGCTCCAGAACATCGTCTGCTTTTGCGCAGCACGGTGATGGGAAGCTTTTGTTGTATTTCTGCCACCCTCCGAAAGCAGTTGCAGAGGGAGAGGGGGTGATATCGACCGTAAGGTTCGCCCGTTTGTGTCATGTCACTACTCTGGTGCTTGAAGACCGTTGCAGCAATGGGCCATCTACCAAAAGTAGGATCATGGAAACAGCCGCCACGGTAGTCAGACTGATATGCTTCGAGGTAAACAGGGCCAAACCGCTCTGTGCGTGTTCCCAGGTCCTGTGCAAAACGGCGAGTGACGCTCCCTACTAGCTTCGGTGCCATTAAGAAATGAGAGCGCTCTCGTCGAAGGCAAAGCGGAGCAGGGCATTAGCAATGGTCACCAAAACGGACAAAAGAACCGTGGGCTGGACGTCGTATCCTCGAACTGTCCAGTCGTCCAGCGGCATGCCGTCTGAAGCTTTCACAACCACAACCGCCGCAACGCCGCATAGTAGAGCAGTCCCGAGAGCCAGCAAGGCCAGCACGGGAGCACGCAGCCAGAAGCCGGTTCGCCATGGTCTTCCTCCCTTCAGACCGCGTAGCAATTCAGTGGCGTGACGACGAAAGGCTGAGAGATCCAGCCGATCTATTCTTCTCGGAAAATATTGAAAGCCTCAGTGTGTTGATGCTGACGACAGCGATGATTGAGTGCCAGGCCTGACAGGGTGCCTGCAATGAGTGGACTAGATTGTGGGAAAGCTCTTGCTGCTAGGATTCGGCATGCACAGCTTCATGTCATTCGTTACTCACAGAATTGCTATCCTGTGCATGAATAGTGAGGTTGCAAAATGCTGGAGCCAGGCGCGTCATCGTGTTGAGATAGGAAGATTGAGGGGACGTCCCGTGAAAGATGCCTGAAACACAACGAGCCAGCTGAAATGTGGTACATCTGCTGTTTCCCGCGCATGCATGAGGCTATGCAAGTCATGCGTGATTGATTGGCGTAAATTATGGCACCCAATTTTAGTCCTCTCCCACTTTCAAGGATATCCGGGGTTGATCTCGGCCTTTTCATTGAGATAATGTAACTTGGAGATCGGAGAAAGCAGCGCAGAAGTGCTGAAAGTCGCATGAACATATCGTGAGGCCAAGATAGAAGTTCGCTGAGTTACTGGCGGCCAAATGGATTACCATCTAAGAATGGACCAACAAGGAACCCGAGAGCCTTCGCTTGGTCGGCCGATCTTCTGGTCGCATACTGCACGACAGATCGACGACAACCAGGCCTGCTGTGATCGCTGTGAGGCGAAGTGCATATACCGCCCATGACTGTGGAAGATCATATTGCAATTTGATACGAGTCTCACAGAGGCTGCTCAACGCTCGCCTCTGACGGACCAACACCTTGTCTGCAGCTGCACAATATCATGATCTTCGTGCACATAGGCTGAGGTCCTCATCAATGAGCCAAGGGGCATAACGGTCCCAACTGCGGGCGACAGGCAGCGACGTACGACTGGTGAAAGGCCTTTTGTCGTTTAATCAGGCCTTCATCCGCGTGCGTCACCCGTTCATTGCGCCAAAGTCAATCTTCCTTGCAATCTTGTCGCCTCTAGCAGAACCATTCGGTAGCTCACCACCCTTCTTCTTCAACTCCTCGCCCATTGCTTCGATCCCGCCGCCTTTCTTGGGTAGATCCTCCAATCGACTAGGCCTGGGCGACTCCGTCCAGAACGAGTGCCGCAGAACTTGCTCTGCACTCAACCTCTTCCGCGGATCCAGCGTCAACATCTTCATCAGCAGATCCACGCCAGTCTCTCCAATCGCCCGGAAGCCCATCATCCATTGATCTTTTGACCGGATGGGGATGACCTCAGAAGGGGTCACATAGCCTTTCAGCTTCGAGACACCAGGCCAGTTGTCGTCGGTGGGCGTTCCGACCTTCTCACAGATGAGCTTCACCATGTTGATTTCGTTCTCCGGCCAGGCGCGGAAGAGCACATCTCGGGCTATAAGCTCTGCGAACACGCATCCGCAGCTCCATATGTCGACACGGCCGCCGTAGTATTGCGCTTGGAAGAACAGCTCGGGCGGACGATACCAGGTGGTCACAGTATTGTAGGTCATCGGTTGGAACGGATCAGCAAACGACCGCGCGAGACCAAAATCCGCAAGCTTGATTTCGCCATTCGCCGCTATCAGCAGATTGTTGGGCTTGATGTCGCGATGGAGAATGAAGTTCTGATGGCAAAAGTAGGTCGCACGCATGAGCATGAGCATCCAGCTTTTAATGTCAGCAGGTGTGTAAGAGATGTTGGCCGTATCCTGAACGAGCTTGAGCAAGTCGCCCTGCGGAAGATGCTCGAGGACTAGATTCAGGTTTTGGCCCTTGCTCGAGAAGACCGCGTGCAGCTTGATAATGTTAGGATGGTCCAGTTCCTGCAGGAATTTGATTTCTCGTAATGAGTCGTAGCTAATCCCGAACGCTTTCACCTCTGCTCCCACTTTGATCTTCTTGATGGCCACGAGCTTCTGGGGATCCGAGACGAGATGTGCTGAGAAGACGTCGGCATACTGACCAGAGCCGATCTTCTTGCCCTTGACGTACTTCTTCCGTTCTTGGTTGTCCAGTTGTTCGGCCAGATCAGCTACAGGCGCCGGAGAAGATGGATTCATCGGCTCAGAGGATGTCTTCTGCCGTTTGTACGGCGGTTCTGCTGGCACATCGAAGGCTGGCGAGGTGGCCATGCCTGTTCCTAGGAAAGATTGTAATGGGAGACTGTAGTTGGCCGCCTTATCCGAAAATCAATCGAAAGGTCTCAAATCAACCATCATCTAGTTATCCACTCGAGAGCGAATGTCGAAAGAAGGGCTGCCACGTGCTAGTCGACGGTGAAGTTCAAAAGAGAGGGCCGTGAGTAGTTTGCAGCACGCCCTGCATTTGCAGGCGTTGTTTTCAGAGCGTGCGGCGAGCTCGGGGGTGATGGATCGATGGCATTGCACTTTCGCTTGACAGATGAGCCGCGTACAACCACAACTATATGTACACTTGTTGATACAACATGGCTCTCAAACGCCCCCTCGCCTTCCTCAACCTCCCCACACCCCTCCGCACAACCACCTGCTCCCAATGCCGCCACCTCCACCGCCTAAACGCCCCAACCCTCCGCATCCCCAAACCAACCCCATTCGTCCCAGACGTCCAAACCTTCCTCACCCTCATCGGCCGCGGCCTCAGCCAACACGCCTCCAAGATCCCCAGCTGGGACGCCCTCTTCAACCTCTCATCAGACCAATTGAAGGAATCTGGCGTCGAGCCTCCACGCGCACGGAGATATCTGCTCTGGTGGAGGGAGCGGTTTAGGAATGGTATCATTGGAATTGGAGGGGACTTGGATCATGTGAGGGATGGCACAGCGGAGTTGAGGATCGTGGAGGTGCCGAGTGAGAGGCCTTTTGATCGGATAGCGACGTTGACGAAGGATCCGGGAATGCGGAAGATGATTGTGAATACGCCGCCTTCATTGCCCACGAACGAGGTGCCCACGAAGACGGAAGAGGAAGGGGGTGAAAAGGCAGAGACATCGGCGGTACGATCGGCTTCTCCTCCACCGAAGATTGACCCTGCAGATGCGAGGGCGGTTATAGGAGTGAAGATCTTCCATGGCAATGCCATTGGTGGGCGTGGGGTCCAGCCAGTAAAGGGCAACAGAGGATTGGCCGTGTTGAAAGTCCAGGAGGGACTATGGGAGAATCGGCAAGGAAGAAAGGTGGATGGTGGTGAGAGGCGTAAGGCAGAGGTGCGCGCGAAGCGGAGAGTGCAGGAGAGGAAGAACGCGAGGTAGAGCGGAGACTTTGTAACGATATGTGGGAGAGTCCATGCGGATGGGTCGGCCTCCAGTGTAGGTCGTCCGGCGGCAGGTCCTACGGTAGGTAGTCAGAGGAACTGTACAACTTAACCTTATCAAACTAGCATCTGTTCAGAAGGCGTCGGCGTCGTACTGTGGGTGGCGGCCAGTGACGGGTCAGGGTCGGCATCGGTCTGTGTTGCCCGGTTGCTGCTCAAGAACCCCGATCAATAACAAAATCAAAACTTCACCACCTCCTATCTGCTTCCGAATCCCCTCCACCGCATCTTCGCACTGAACATCGTGGACCGTCATCTCGAAGCGCGCCTCCGTCAGCTGCCGGATCGCGTAGGTAACCACCTTCACATTGAGCGCGGCGCCTCGACTGACCTGCCACCCAGGGCGACGGCATCCTCCAAGCCAAGCGCGACATCCGGTACATCGACGATTTCGACGAAGCGCTTGGCCTGCGCGAGCTGCGCGCAAAGATCGTCCACAAAGCCGGCATCCTGTGGCCCGAGCTGCACACCACCAGTGCCTCCTGGCGTAACGCCATGCCAGCGCGCGTCACCGCGAACAGCACGATGCCCCTGCGCCTCTCCGTCTATGCTGAGCTCTGCTATGGGTCTGGGTCGGTGGAGATCGTGCGGAGGTGGCTTGAGGGCGGTGCGCTGGAACGACTGGTCACGGCGTGGGTGAGAGACCAGCCGAACCCGACGCCAGAGGTCAGGTATCGCTTTCACGTGCTGCTGGCTTGCGTCATGTCGGTCGGTAAGTCCGCGCTCTTCACATCTCCCACCAAATAGAGATCACCATTTAATCTGTTGCTAGGCTGTAAACTCTCACAAGACATGATCGAGCTCACCGAGATGATCTTCGCACCGGACGTCGAGGGCATGGTTAGAAGGATCGACGCCAATTGGTGCCACAAAGCTCTCGCTCTAGCCCAGCTCAAATATGCCTACAACAGATACGCCCCGCCAAAGCCCGTCAAATACCGTAACGAAAAGCCTCTCGAAACCGCCGCCCGATGGACCATCCCACCAACTTACAAAGGGCGCGACTTGTTGCTCCCGGACATGGGCCCGACCAGAGTGTGGACAAAAACCTACGGCTTCGTCCGGCTGCTCAAGATCCGCACCTCGAACAAGACCACGCTGGCCGAAACGGTCTTGCCTCCTAGCGACCAAGCGCTTCGACTCCTTCCCGTCTTCCCAAACGACACCTGTGCAGCTTGCGGCAGAATCAAGAAGACCGACGGTGGTGCCCTCCTCGTTTGCGGTCGTTGCGGAGATCGGTAGTACTGCAGCAAAGAGTGGCAGGTCGCGCACCACCGGCTGCACAAGTCCGTCTGCACGGCCCCGGCGGAGGAGATGAAGACATTCTTGGGCGAGATCCCGTACAGTTTCACGAAGGAGATGGCTAGCTTCACGGCGGCGGACATTCAGGGGGCTTTCTGGTGTCAGCGTCGAGACGGGTTGCCGAAGGATGAGCTGGAGGCGCTGATGGAGAGCATGGAGGATGTGCGGCTGCACGGGTGGATTGATGATAAGGGCAGGCTTCGGAACAGCGCGAAGTTCGAGGCGGAGCGCTGGACTCCTCCAGCGTGATATCGGAGGGTTTGGACATGAGGCGGGAGAAGGCGTGAATGAGCTTGGGACATGACAATGCGGGTGGCCGCTTCATGGTATATTCAACATGCATCGTTGGGTAAGGACATGATTACAGCGTGATGGAGCAGCACGCGACACGCCTTTCACATGTAAACACGTAGCTGAGAACAAAATGTCAAGTTGGAATGAAGTCCGTATCTCATTCTCCCAAGGCAACTCCTCCCGATCTCGGCAAGCTCAGCCAGAAGCCAGAGCCGCTGCAGCGGAGCGGAGAGAGCTGTTCCCTGGCGCTCACTCACCCAAGCTCGACGACCAACGTGACCTCCTCTAACCTCACCTCTCGCAGCCCACACTCCGTTCACAGCGCCTGTCGCACAGCCAGAGACATACATTCAACATGGCGGCGGCAATTAAAGCGCTCAATGCGCGGATACGAGCGAATCCCGTGACCGACTACTTTTGCTCGACTCGTGAGTCTTCCCTCGAATGCGACGGTGTCATGTGCGAGATAGGAGGAGAAGAGATGGCCATACCGAGCGCATGGGATGGGACAACCAGAGCGAAGCACCTGCTAACGCACTTTACCTCTACAGACTTCTGGGGCCCGGCCTCCAACTTCGGCATCCCCATCGCAGCCGTAATGGACACCTCCAAAGACCCCGACATGTACGTCTTTCCCACCCCGATACCGGCAATGACGCCGCCTGCGCGTTCCGACTAACACATCCGTAGCATCTCCGGCCGCATGACCGCCGCTCTCGCGGGCTACAGCGGCGTCTTCATGCGCTACTCCATGGCGGTGACGCCCAAAAACTACCTCCTCTTCGGCTGCCACATCGTCAACTTCAGCGCGCAGATGACGCAAGGGTACCGGTTCGTGGACTACTGGTACATGGGCGGCCGGGAGAAGAGCTTGCAGGCGAAGGCGGACCAGGGGTTGGACAAGGCGGAGGGCGAGATCAAGGAGGGCGCGGAGAAGGTTACACAGGAGGCGAATGATATGGCGGGCAAGGTGGAGGGGATGGCGGATCAGGCGAAGGAGAAGGTGCAGCAGGCTGTTGGGAGGTGAGGAGGGTTTGAGAGGTGGGGATCTGGGGTATATGGTGGTTTTCTGTACAGTGATATACAAGAGTTTCGACGCGCGCAGAACGCTTCATTAATGCTCGCTTGACGTACAACAGGGATCAAAACATATGCGCGCACGGCATCGCAATGCCGGGGGTATCGTCAGTCAATCACAACCACACGGTAGCCACGGAGCTCACGACGACCAGCGCGAGGAGCATCCGCGACACACCACTTATTCGGGACGCAGCACCCGTTTGCACTACGTTCTTCTCGAACGCTCCCACGACGTTGCCTGGTGGGTCGTACTCGCAAACGAGGAACCATCCTTGTGCATCGTCGCCGTGGCAGTTGACAGCGCCGCAGCCGACGCTCGTCGTGCTTTTCCAGACCAGCTGGGTGAAGTGGCCAGTTTCTTCGCTGAACTCGCCGTCACCGTAGTCGTAGTCCTCTTGTTCATTCGCCCAGGCGTCGATGGCCAGTGTTGGAGTACCGTAGCCCAATGCCAGGTTCTCGCCATGAGGGCCGCCCTATCACGTATCAGTCTACTACTCTACAACTGGGTAGGTTGTAGGTCCTCACCGAATGCTCCCATATACACTTCTCAGCATGCCGCTGCCCAAAGCTCGCAAGCCCATCATTCCACTCCAACGGCTTCGCCTTATGCTGCTTGCGGAAAAAGTTCGTGCTATTCAGCACCGCCTGCTGGAACTCCTCGCCCCCATAAACGCCATGTCCACTTCCAATCGACATCCTCGCAATAGGCGTCGCACCAACAATCTCAATCGTAGTCGCGGGCGTCAAATGCTGCGTCGTAGCGTACGTCGTTCGTCCACTCGTGATCGTGGTCGTGAGCGTGAGAACCGTAGTCGTGGACGTGGAAGTCGTAGTCGAGGTAGACAGCAAGTCATTGGCAATCGCAGGGCCGGCTGCGAGCATAAGTAGTAGTAGCAATGAGATGAGTTGGCATCGCGCTGCCGGCGCGCGAGCAGGGGGGAGACGAGCCAGCGTCATTGTGGCTGCTGCGCTGATGAGATAGCGAAGCGATGCCCGGTTTTTGGGGGGAGGAATGTGGATGGTGCGCGTGGCTGAGGATCAGTGCGCGTGCATGTTGTTGTTAGAACTGGACGCATACAGATGGAGGAAGGAGAGTGTTGTTGTACTTGACCTGGATCTGTGTCTGGTGTGCCTTTCACCGCGACACGCTCATCTACCACCCGCCGCGCACCCATCAACACCGTCTGGCGTTTATTGCGGCATGAGCATCGCAAGTGTTGGCGCAGCGTTTCATCTTCCAGGTTGTCCAAGCAAATCGCTCTCGTCCGTGCTTCTCTTGATCTAGTCTAGCCCGCAAAGTTTTGCCGCGCTCACCGCCCGCGCACAACCCATAAAACCAGCTCAGCCTTTCCAATCTCTTTCAAAAAATCGATCAAAAACAACGGAGCCAGCCACGACCGGCACCTCGCTCGAACCCCATCTGCGGGATCGGGTACCACGGTGCCGCGTTGCCATTCATCTCGAAAGAGATGGAGTGGCTCTGAAGAACAATTCTCCTGGATTATAGGAAGGATGTCTTCAGATCACTTCACTGTGACTATGGGGAGCATCTGTCCGAGAAGGGAGTACATCCACTCGAGTAACGCATGCGCCGGTCTTCATTTGAACGGCGCGCGATACATGTATGTGTCCGAGGGAGGGCATAGTTTCTCGTGCCCGATGGGTTGGGGCATTCCAGTCTCCGGCGAGTTTGTGCTTGTCGATTGGCCATGAGAAGAAGATACCGTCCTCGATCTGTAGGTTCGTCGAGATCCAGTGAGGTGGGTTAGATATATCTTCAAATGCAGCCTCTTCACTTGCACGATCAGCTGCTTACAACCGCGCCTTCACATAAGACCTCTTCTTCAATGCCAAAGCCTCAACGTAATCTTCACCTGATCTCCTTCAAACTTCTACCAACAGCCACTTCACATGGCGACATAACATGAAATTCAGCACCCGGCCAATATGGAGCTATCACCTACCATGCCAGCTCCACAGTCGAACACCATCGCCGAGAACTCAGCATCCACCATATCGAGTGAAACAGAAGCACACGAGCCCACCATGACGGCTTGCCATAAGACGTTCGCGGTCGCGGAGCTCGCTGAAGCGATCTTCCTCGAGCTGTCGATGAGTGATCTCCTGTGCGCAGTTCAGGCCACTTGCCAGCACTGGAAAGCCATCGTTGATAGCTCGACACACTTGCAGCAAGCTCTCTTCTTCAGCCCGGTGCCGATCGCGCCTCTGTCGTGGAGAGACGACGAGGACGACGAAGAGTGGCAACAGGACGCTGGTGGCGAATGGGTGTGGCCTGCCGGCGTCGAAACTCGCAAAATCTGTGAGCATCCGCTTATCAGTCGCACTTTGACTGACGACGCTTTCGATTGGGATGCTCTGCGTCGTCTGGCGATTCACGGCGCTTCGTGGAGGAAAGCTCTGGCAACTCAGCCCCCAACTTCCGTGTTAGACATCAGCTACATGCGCAGGCGTAGCACGAAAGACTATGGTGATAGAGAAGCTTATGCTAAGAATCCCAACGGAGTGAGGTTGAACGAAGTCTTTGTCGACTTGGGCTCTCCCAAACTTCTGGACAGCATCAGTCTCCAGGGCTGGCAACAATGGGATATATACAATCACCCGCGAGAACTGGATGTATTGCGATCCGTTCGAGTCAAGAAAACACTTGAGCAGGTGCATGCAAAAATTTCGAACGGCGTAGCCGACCAGACCGAGAACGACAATTCCAGCGCGTGTCACAGCCTTTTCAATATTCCGGAGCTGTCTGAAATGGTCTTCCTAGAACTCCCCATGTGCGACTTGCTTTGCGCGGTCCAGCAAGTGTGTCGGGAGTGGAAGGCGATCGTTGACAACTCGGTCCGTTTGCAGGAGGCACTGTTTTCAGAGCCGTTCCAGTCACGCCGTTAACATGGAATCACGACCCCGAAAAGCCCCACGACTGGGTCTGGCCGGATGGCAAGCAGAATCGCAGGATATATGAACATCCGTTATTCTCCACTTTGTTCGACCGGGATGAGTGGAGGACGCGAGATCTCACTGAAGATGGGCTAAGGCGGTTGAATTATCCTGGAGCAACATGGAAAAAGAGTCTCGTCACGCAGCCTCCCATCGCCGACCTGGACTATCAGCACCGAATTCACAAAGCGGGACCGAACGGTATCACCATGGGCGACGTGTTTGGAGATGCAGACGACTTGGCGAAGTCCGAATTCGACGTGATTGCTGGGTGGGGACATTGGATCGAGTTCGAGCATGTGGGACAACTGCAAGACTTGAAGCTTCCCAAGGCCCCCAGAGTCAGACGAGGCGCGAGCTGAGGTAGAGCACGATGGCGACGAAGTTGAAGACTGGTGGGCCGGCGGAATGGGGCGCGGGGCGTCAGGGCTGCACAGCCTAACGGCAACTGTCGCCAACGACGGCCAAGAGTTTCATGGTATCCATGGCCTTCCGTCTGGGGATGATGCCGGCAAGACTCTTCATGCACGACGAGGCGCATGCGAGGACGAAGATGAGAGACTTGGCGACATGGAATTGAGTGTGGAGAGGAGAGCTCTTTATACTCACAGGCGTCTCTGGGAGGTGCTGATCATGGAGGACAAGATGTGAGCGGGATCTGCAGTTGCGAGAAGCATCAAATAGCGTCAAACCCCAAAAGCAAAACGACAGGGTATCACAATAACCACATAGATCCATCCCTCACGTACCCCGAACTCCCTCCCAACCCATTCACTAATGCCCCGCATCAGCCTTCGGCCCACCCCAACCCCCCGCCCCCCCCTTCTCCCTCCCCCTCGCATTCCTCACCAACTTCTCCACCCTCGCCTCCTGCTCCTGCTTCACATCCCTCGCCACGGTCGCCACCCACCCGTCCCCTCCTCCCTCCACAGCCCTATCGCTGCCCTTCCCCTTCCCCTTCTTCCTCCTCCCCGCCATCCTCTGCTCACTCCGATACGCCTCCTGCACGTCATCCAACCGCTCGTCGTCGCTGGAAGATAGTGAAGATGAGGAATCCGAATCCGAGACTTGCGCATAGACGATATTGTCCCCCTCGGCCTTTTTGCGCTCGCGCTGTTCGTTCTTCATTTTGCCCATGCGCTCGGCGTCGGCTTGGGAGTCGAGGGTTACGATTTTTAGGCCTGGGAGGCAGGCTTCGAGGTAGCTGCGCAGGGTGGGGAGGAGAGCGGCGGAGGGGCGGTAAGTGCCGCTGTCGTTATCGATTACTAGTTCGTACCTGCTGGGATCCGTGGGCGGGTCGGAGGTGGGTGGGCCGTCGTCGATGTTGGATGGCGGGTGGGTTTCGCTGTCGGATGGCGGGGTGGGGAGGCTTTGGTTGCTGTTGGCGCCGTTGACTTTTGGCCGATTGCGACGCTTCAAGCGGCGGATGAAGAATTCGCCGGAGAAGGCTATGTAGATCGACACGTCGCTGTGCATGGTGTGTTTGCTCAGCATGTCGATGCCGAATTCCTTTCCCGTTTCTGTGAAGCGAAACAGTGCGTCCAGCGTGAGGACGTAGGTGAAGATCCGTCCGCCTTTGTCGTAATGGACGAGCTCCAGAAACTTCTTCGTCATGTCTGTTGACGGTGCTGAGTCGAAGAGGCCGTATACCGTGGACTTGTCGAAATTGTAGACGCGGACATGCTGGTGGTGTAGCGCTTTACCTAGCACAACGCCTTGCACGCCTCTGGTGGTGAACATACGTTTGACCCATGGCTTGAACTCGACGAAGCGGTGGTAGAGTTGTGGTGGCACGGGGCCGGGCAGTTGCATTTGGTTGGCTTGGAAGTTGTAGCGTTCGACTTTCTTCTGGGGTTTGCCGTTGCCATTTGTCTGTGGAGCTTGATCGTCGTCCTTCTCCGGCTCCTTGATATTCAACATGCGGCCAAGGATCGGACTATAGTGCCGCACCCACCGGCATGGAGCGACGGTGTATGGGCGACCGTTCTGGCCGTCCTCTTCGGTGCGTCCGAGGTTTTTGATACTGATGTGGAGCGAGCCGTGGATGTTCTTAACGACCTGCAACGCACGCGCTGCACCCCTGAACAGCAGCGCGCGCTTGCTGCTGTTTCGAAGCTTCAGCTGGTAGGCCGTGTTTTTCAATCCCGTCCAGTCATCGTCAATACTGGACACTGTGAAGTGTACTTTGCCAAGCAAGTCATCATGATCGGCACAATCCTCATCGTAGACCCGTAGCTTCATCTTGAACCCAGATGATGGGATATTGGCGACCACCCACTCTGCGTTCCACTCCGGATCGGTGGTCTTGTGGACAGTCCGGCTTCTGTAGCGTAGGTTCGGATCCTCCTTGTGTCGCGTCGGAAGGTTAGTATTCAGCTGCGCGAGGACGTATGGGTCGGACGAGAAGGCGTGTAAGTCGCCCATGGTCAGGTTGGTCGCCTGGTGAATCGTGATCCTCAATGTGTATCCTACGGTACCGGCCGGTGGCGATGGTATGGGCGTGTTGTCGAAGCCTCCTGCTGGCCCATCAGGCTTCGGTTCCTCCTGAGTAGCTGTTCCATTCCGTGCGACTGGTCCTTTCTCGGCCTCCACTCTTGGGCCTCTGTACTCGCCGTTGGTCGCCATTATCGCGCTCCGGTCCACCGGTTCGGGAATGCTTGTGCAGTCGCCTTTCAACTCCCGTTCATAAGACTGTCTGCGACTTATAGCACCTCGCACAACCTCAGGTCATATCCTAGAGACACTGCTTATCCATCCAGCTTATCCAGACCACATAATCCGCACAGCCCAATCTCGTCACCACCTCTCTATCAACGAGCGCAGCAAGCAAGGCCAGCAAGGCCAGCAAGAGAAGATGTATAAGCCAGGCCAACCCCCTCAACGGAACAGCTGACGACGCCTGCCTCGCGCGCCTGACTTCTTAAGATTGCGCGATATCGCCGTCAAGAGGCTGGGATGTGGGCTGGCCTGGTGAAACCCTGCGTGCCCCACCACCACGAGGCAGGGATATTATTTAGCTCGCAAAACAAGCCTCGCAGTTAAGCTTGGCTTTGACGTTTTGCTTGATTCGGCCTCACGCGCTGACGACGCGCTCGGACGGGCTGCCGGCGTGGCGGGATGCCGAACGGAAGAGCGGATAGGACATGATGGAGGATATGCTGGTAAGTTATCAAGATAAATACTACCGCTTGCTACATGACGATGCCTACAGCATTGCTACATGGCAGTGGTAGTATGTACAACTACATCAAAGTCGACCTCCCCCCCACCTCACTACTCCCCTGCCCATCCGACATCTCCCCACTCCTACCAGTAACAAACTCCCTATAGATCCTCTCCATCCTCCTCCGATCCTGCGCACTGATCGATGCCCTCGTGCTCTCCAACCCCTTCTGCAGATGCCGCCACATAATCACCGGCTCCTGGCTGGCAGCTGGCTCCGCTACGCCGTTCGTCTGCGGCTGTCCACCAGCAGAAGAATTCGGGCGGTGCTGCTGATTTGCTTCCTTCCGCTCTTGCTTCGCTTTCCTTCTCGCGACCTGCATCGCATTGATCTTCGCCGCCAACTGCGTCCTTTCTGCGGCCAATGTGGCAGCGCTCTGCGGCGCCGCTGCATCCTTCTCCTCCCCTCCAAGCCGGAAGTAGCTGAAATCCTGCTGCTTCCCTCCCTTGCCGGCCCCACTCCCCTTCTTCTTCCCAAAGTCCTGGGCAGCATTGTCTCCCGGCCCCAGCAAATCGTGAATAGCCTCCAAATGCGCATTATACACCACCGCCTGTAGATCCGCCCCGGAATACCCCTCCGTCTGCCCCGCCACCGCCTTCAAACTCCTCCCATGCTCTGCGTCCACAATCTCGGGGTCGACTTTCAACCGCTTGCTCACCGCGCGTAAGATGTCCAGTCGGTCGTCTTCGTCAGGCATATCGCAGATCAGACTCTTGTCCAACCGCCCGGGCCGCAACAACGCGGGGTCGATGAGGTCTGGACGTGAGGTAGCTGCGAGCACGTACACCCCGCTCAGCCCCTCCGCGCCGTCCATCATTGTTAAGAGCATATTCACAACGCGATCTGTGACACCGGTGGAATCGTGCCCGCGCTTGGGGGCAATCGAGTCGAACTCGTCGAAGAACAACACGCAAGGCTTCGCTGCTTCGGCTCGCTCGAACAAATCCCGCACGCTCTTCTCCGAAGCGCCAATGTACTTATTCAGGATCTCGGGACCTTTGACGGAGATGAAGTTGAGGCCGCATTCGCCCGCGACGGCGGAGGCGAGCATAGTCTTCCCGCAGCCGGGGTAGCCGTACAACAACAAGCCTGATCGTAAGCGAAGGGGACATTTCGCGAACAGGGGTGCGTAGGTGGTAGGGTACTGCAGGGTCTCGAGCAGAGTCTTGCGTGTTTCGCGCAGGCCGCCGATGGAGGCAAAAGTAGTAGTGGAGGAGTGCAGCGTCACGCCGCGCAGGGAGGCCGGGGTGAAGCCTTTAAGGGCTGCGGCGAAGTCGGGCTCGGTTAGGGCGACGTCGTCGGAGAGGGAGGTGTCGGAGACTGCGCGGATGAGGGCTTCGCTCCGTGCTCGGGAGACTAGAAGGGCGAGATCACCGGGCATGTATCCGTCTGTCTGGCCGGCAATGTCGAGGAGGTCCAGTTGGGGATCTGCCTCGTCGTGTAGGCCGTCGATAGACTCTTCTTGGCCATCGTCTGAACCTTCCATCCACTCTCGCACAGCATTGTGATTTCTTGCGACTCCTCCGCCATTATCTTTCTGAGCCGCTTCTGTCGCTTGCTGGGTAAGCATCTCAAGCACTTTCCGCCTCCCTTCCTTATCCGGCGCCTTGAGCGCTAGGATATCTCTCACCACATGCCCACCAACAAGCACATTATGCAGCGCCTCCTTGCTCTGTGCGGTCGCCAGTAGCACGACTGCCGAATCTCTCGTGCAATACTGCCGCACAATCGAGCACAACAGCTCGCTTACCTGCCTGCTTCGACCATTTGCATCGACCTGCAACTCCTGCTCAACCGGGCACAATTTATCCAGGTCATCAAGTATTACAAGCGATCGCCCGCCCATCCTCGCCGCCCAAGCTGCGGAGCCAAAGACTCGCTGCAGCGCCTCTTTGATCGTCTTGACTCTCGTCTCGTCCGTAACCAACGTCCGACAAGGGTAGTAGACCGCATGGAACAAGTACTCGTCCCGAAGTTGGTATGCAAGCAACTGCACCAGCGACGTCTTCCCGGCGCCGAGACCGCCAGTCAGAAGTACAGATGAGGAGTGCAGCAGACTCGACCGCACCTGCTGCATCAGAGTATCCACTCCCACCATCGAGGGTGCGTCATCCGGTAAAGGCTCTCCAGGCGCTTGTGGCAATTTCACAGGCGCCGTCTCCGGCTGCATTGCAATTTCTAGCTTCCGCTCCGCACCTAGCAGCCAATTTGTCCTCGACTTCGACGGGTCACCAGGAGGCGCAGGATCGAGGTCCAAGAGGCCGCCGGGCCAGGAGTCTTGTTTGGGAAGCAGCATGCCGTCCGTCAAAGGTCCTTCGAGTAGAGTCTTGCCGAATAGTGCTTTCACACGTGCAGCAGCTTCTTCCTTCTCAGCCTTCGACTCACCGCCGAACTTGAAACCAGCCTGCTTTGCCTGCGAGCCAGCAAAAGGCGTGACGCGCAAACGCTTGACGATCGCATCCTTGCTCGCCTGCTGTGACGGCTCCTTCAACGCCGAAGCAGTTTTTGGCAGCGGTGACGGGGCAGGATCGATGCGTACGATACCGCCAACCAGCCCGTCAGAGCCCAGTACCGCGCAAAGCATACTGGACAAAGCAACGTGTCGAGCATCTGGAGCATCATCCCACAAGCAAAGCTTCGCCACAACCTTCTGAGCAGGCATTTGCTCCGGCTGCGGCGAGCTCTGCGGATCAGTCTGCTCCTGGAGTCCAGCTGGCTTAATAACCGTGACGCCCACCCAAGTTACCCCTCGCAAGGTTTTGCTCAGCAAGTGCTCACGATCCAACCACACTTTCAGCCCTTCATCTTTCATCTCCTCACCACCATCTTCAAACCACTCATTTTCAAGCCCACGCGTGACACCTCTGAGAAAAAGCGGCGGTCGTGCTTTCTCAGCATCAGCCCTCCCCTTGGCCTCAGACGTACTCCTACCCCCAGCACTCCTGCGACTCGTACTCGTCACACTCCTATTGTCCCTCGCGCTCCCAGGTCGTACCGCCTGCCGTGTCTTCGGCGCCACGATAACCTCCGCATCCGGCGAGATCTTCACGAAAGGCTGCGTGTTAGGTACAGCAGGCGTCAACGAAGTGACGAGAATATTCGCCGTAGCTGTCGGCGTCAGGTGTAGCGTAAGCGGATGCGGTTGACCGGCAGCTGGGTTCGGTAGAGCGCGGACTTGGGAGAGGAAGTTCATTTCGAGGAAACGGGCGTGGAGTTCGATGACTAGCAACGGATCAGCATACGTATTCCTCCCTGGGGATGATGATGTGGGACTCACTCTCCCAGTCCGTAGCAGTCATCGGTTCAATATTGACCGTATGCGCCTGCGGCGGATCAAAATGCAACGTCACGCCCACCTACTGTGCCACGACACATTAGCCATATGCTCCCTCACATTCTCCCCGACTCCTCTTCCAGCTTCCCTCCTCTCCCCCTCCAGAACAGCGAAGTAGAAGTATAACCCACCTTCATCCCCTCCCCCAACCCCACCAACCGCGCAAACGTCCCATCCACCTCCACAACCGGCACCTCCCTCTCCCCCGCCCCACCTCTCCCACCTTGGCCCTCTCTTTCCCTCCCCACCAAACCCTCCTTCCCCACGAAAGGCGTCTGGCGAGACTTCGACTGCATACCGGTCCATCCCAGAAACACCGACTTCTGCGTTCCCCCACTTGCATCTTTGCGCTGCTGCTGCTGCTGTCCTTGCTGCTGTCCCTGTCCCGGTACGCGGTACGACAACTCAACAATCACATTCTGCGCAAGCGTATTCGAATTAAGCAACACCGCTACCAGCGAGGAAGGCAAGTTGAGCAGGCAGTTCTTCAGCGTGGGGAGGAGGGAGAGTTCGGCTTGGGCGGTTGCGGTTTTGCGGGAGGAGGACATTGTGAGTTATTGCAACAATACTGAGAGACGGTGTGGGGGATGGTAGGGAAGACGCGACTAGGCGCGTGTGTTAAGGAAGAGGGAATCGGAGCTGGGTTGGTTTGAGCTGTGGGATGAAGTAAGTCGGCTACTGGGGAAACATGCCGAGGTTCGTATTTCGGAAGCTCACGAGAGCTTCTGGAAGTGACATGGTTATTGATGGTAGAGCCAAGCTGTACACTCCTAAGCCCATCCTATCCGTCTATGTGTCCTGTAACCTTCCCCCCCATGCCAGAAAACCACGCACGCACCAAGGGGTATGTCGTCAAACAAATGCAAGCCATATCGTCAACCCTTCAAAACCCCTCCCATCTGTCCAGTGTACTGATCCACATCTACACCTTCACCCCACAGTCCTCCTATTCCTTCAAAACACCGTCCCATCCCAACCCGTACAGCCGGACCAAAGCTACAACTCCATCTCGCAATCCTCCCCACCCCCACCCGCACCCCTCCCCACCATCCCCAGCTTCTCCCGCGCCAACATCTCATTCCTCCGCTCCCAATCGGCATGATTGCGAATCTGCTCGAACATCCCATACTGCTCCTCCATCCCCTGCCCTTGCTGTTGCTCCACCGCGTGCGCATAGCTCGGCGCCGTCCACAAACCTGCAGCAGCCGCGTACACGGGGTCTACGGACTGGTAGCCGGAGACGATGTACGGTTCTGCCGTAGACTGCGAGCGGGAGTGGATGTTGGCGGCCCGCATGCGGGCAGCGGGTGGCCAGGGGGTGTCGCTGGCGTCGCGGATGGGGCTGATGGGTTCGGGGATGTGGGTGTCTAGCATGTGCTCTTCTTGTGGTGGCGGCAGCCGGCCGTTCATCACTTGTTGGTGCTGTTGATACTGCTGCTCTTCAAAGCGCACCCGAGCTAGCGCCTCCTCCCTCTGCACATTCGTGGGCGCCCATCTGCCTGTAGTCAAGTGCTCCTCTAGCGGATAGCTGGGCGGTGCTATCCGCCAGAGTTCGAGAAGGCGCAGTCTCTGCTCGTAGTCAGCGTTCTGGAAGAGGTGGACTTGATTGGGAAGGAGGGCGTTGGGGTCGATCGAGTGCTGGCGGAGAGTATCGGCCATTGCTTCGGGCATGAGGACTTCGAGGTAGGGAGGAGGTGGGGAGCGGGAGGGCTCAGATGTTGTATCTGGCCGGATGTGGGCAGCACCGGGGTAGTAGTGAGCAGAGACAAAGTGAATGGGCTCGTGGTCTGCAGCGGCCTGCTTTTCGGGCTGATCGGGTGGAGTCGATTCGGTGACCGGGGGCGCTACTTGCTGTGCTTGGGCTTGTTGATTTTGTTGTTGCTGTTGGAAGGCCTGCTGTTGCTGGGAGACCTGCATCTGCTGAGCAAACAGCTGCGCGAGCTCGTCATGCTGGCCTTGGTTCATCTCGGCGGTACTGGACCCAGCGAGGTCGGCCCCCGGAGCGCTGATGCCGCACTGTATGGTGCGAACGTTAGTGGGATAGGAAAAGGGTGCGGCCACTTGAGGCCGAGCTTACGTGGTTACAGACGTGGTCCTGAGACCAAACAGTGGGGGTGTAGTCGACAGTGGTGTTGTAGTGGCAGGTGTCACAGTAGTGGACCAGCAGTGGCCAGCCGTACATCAGAGCTCGTGTCTTATCCGTCAGTATCTTTTAGAAGGAAGGAAAGTCCAGATGTCCTGTGTTCCAAGCCAGGAGTGGAAGTTAAGGGACAGATGTCCGAACAAAGGGGAGCAATAGCCGGCCAGGCAGCCGATCGCTGCTTCTGAACTGTCTGCGTCTTCCCAGATGTGTCTCTTCTCGATACAACTTCTTGTAGCTTCTCGACAAGTGACCTCTGGGAAGGCGAAGAGCAAGTTGCAGGAACAAGGGCGGCTTGAATCTTGACCGTGTTCCCCTCTCAGTCTGTTCGAAGCTCCAGCCTATCACAGACAAAAGCAAAGGGAATTCAGGAGCTGCCAAAAGCTATACAAGGCAGCAAAGGGGAGTCGTGTTTTAGATGTTGAAATGATGAGGAAGGAGGGGCGGTATGAAATATGATCGGGTAGTGGGTGACAGCTACATCGAGGCTAAAGTCAAATCTAGCGGAGGTCGAATTTTGTGATTGGCTGGCAGGTTTGTATTTGCGACAGAGAGCTCTTCAGAGCACGACCACCCCCATATGACGAGGTCAAATGTGAGTTTCAGATGACAGGATCGTGATATCGCTGAAGTCACCAGGTCCCCGAGCAAGAGGTCAGATCAGAGCTCAAAGTTGACCATCGGATCTTGCCGTGCACCAGCCACAAGTCGACGCCTCACGTTAGAATCGCGGAAGGCCGACGCGACGCTGGAGCTGCCTTCGAAGCTTGAGATCGAAGAAACACTCAGAAACACATCAACGACAACATCCTCTCTACGATCAACACCCCTCAAAGCCCCTCACGTCCCTGGTCGCCTTTTTTTGAACACTACTCCGCCGCTCTCGCCACCAATCCATCTCCTGGCTAGCGACCATGGTCAGTCGTCTTCTCCACATGCATCAAAGGTCAAACAGCTAACTCATCTCCCCAGACGTCAATAGGCACAGGCTACGATCTCTCCAACTCCGTCTTCTCCCCCGATGGCCGCAACTTCCAAGTCGAATACGCAGTGAAAGCGGTGGAGAACGGTGGCACAGCAATCGGCATCCGATGCAAGGACGGCGTGGTGCTGGCGCTCGAGAAGCTGGTGACGAGCAAGCTGCTGAAGAAGGATGCGAATAAGCGCATAGCGACTGTGGATCGGAATACTGGTGTGGTAAGATCAGACCTCTCACCGGGCATGACTTCGAAGTTGCAGTATTGATCGGTATGATTGCAGGTCCACTCCGGCCTCCTACCCGACGGGCGCCACTTCATCTCCCGCGCGCGCGACGAGGCCTCCAGCTGGCGCAGCACCTACAAAGCCCCCATCCCGGGCTCCTCGCTCGCCAACCGCATGGGCGCCTACGTGCAGGCCTACACCCTCTACAACTCCGTCCGCCCCTTTGGCATCACGGCCATCATCGGCGGATACGACGCGGAGACCGAGTTGAGCGTCGATGGCGCTGTGGGGAATGGACCGAAAGTCGGCGCTGGGGGGAAGACGCAGTGGGTTAAGGAAGGAGGACCTTTCCTGTACATGGTCGAGCCGTCGGGACTGTACTGGGGGTACTATGGCGCGGCGACGGGCAAGGGACGGCAGGCGGCGAAGGCGGAGCTGGAGAAGTTAAAGCTCGATCCGACGGATGGGGAGTGCATCAGTTTGGAGGAGGGGGTGAAGGAGGCGGCGCGGATCATTTACGTGGCGCACGAGGATAGCAAGGACAAGGAGTTTGAGCTCGAGATGACGTGGGTGAGTGCGGTGAGTGGGCCGACGAAGGGGAAGCATGAGGAGGTGCCGAAGGCGTTGAGGGAGGAGGCGGAGAGGTTGGCGAAGAAGGCGCTGGAGGGGGAGGATGAGGATGAGGAGGAGAAGATGGAGGAGTAGGGCGTGAGGTGGTGGAGTAGTGTAATATTTGCTTCAGGGTGCTCTGCATAGCATGGCGTGTGATGCGGCTCGGGACTAGATTTGCTGTTGAGGCAATCAATACACTAACAAATTGTCTCGCCAAATGTCCTCCTACTTCCCAATGTCAAGCATTATAAGACAGTGCTCTTCAGTATACTCTCTCAAAAGTGAATGACGGGAATAAGCACGTGAATATGGGCATGTGAAAGTGGCGTGTTTGGAGATCAGGCATTCGGCAATGACGTTGCTGCAATTCTTCAAAGCTCCAAACACTTCCACAACACTTCGTTCACGCTTCTACAAGCCTACGCGGCACTTCGAGTGACACGACAGAATCCGCTAATTGACGTCGACGCGCAAACGAAGCACGACAATTAACTCGCAGACCTGGCACTCACGCTTCCCACGTTCAAGGCCGAACTTCACCTCGAGCCACGAGAACACATTTGGACAGCTTCGACAGCTGCTTATCTTGAGACACCAACTCACCTGAAGCACTTCTCACCGCGTCGCCTCAACGATTCACCTAGACGGCCACAACACCACCACACTCGCTCACCTCACACCCCACTCCGGCAGCGGCCACCGCCACAAAGATGGAGGACGAGAGCATCTCCACCTTCTGCGCCATCACCGCCACTGAGCCGGCGAAAGCACAACAATACCTTCAACTCACCGACGGCAACGTAGAGCAAGCGGTCGAGCTCTTCTTCAGCAACCCAGACCTCGGCGCTGCTGCTGCGGCACCCGCACCCACACAGTCAAGCAGAGATGACCCGATTACGATAGACGATGATGATGATATGGCGGATGCGGATGTGCAGCAGACGGGAAGTGGGCCGGCGGCAGGGTCGACATTCGAGGACGACGAGGCTATGGCGCGGCGACTGCAGGAGGAGATGTATGGAGGTGCTGGACGTGGTGCAGCCGGTGGAAGGGCTGAAGATGTGGACGAGGACGGCGTGAGAGCACCGATGGGGCGCACAACAGAGACACTCGTCGGCCCAGACAGCGACTGGCGCGATGATCCTGGTCAGATGAATGCGGCGGTGGCGGAGCAGCTACTCGCCCGCAACAGGCCACGCAACAGAGGAGCGCCAGGCATCTTCAACCAGCGCGAGACTCCTTCGATCTGGGCGGAGGATGACCCGCAAGACCCGAACGCGCATCAACGTGCCCTCTCTCGCGCGACAGGTGGTGCATCTGAGCAGACATCAAAGTCCAACCACCTTGCAGAGCTTTTCCGCCCGCCCTTCGACCTCATCGCGAATCACCACAGCTGGCAGAGCGCCCGCGAGGATGGCAAGGACAACGAGAAGTGGATCATCGTGAACATTCAAGACCCCTCCATCTTTGACTGCCAGGTGCTCAACCGCGACATCTGGAAGAACCCCTCGATCCGCGACACGGTGAAAGAGCACTTCATCTTCCTGCAATACAACAAGAACGACCCGCGCGGCTCCGAGTACGTCAACTACTACTTCTCCACCCTAAAAGACAACGAGGACGCCTACCCACACATCGCCATCGTCGACCCCCGAACCGGCGAGCAGGTCAAAACATGGTCCGGCAGCCCCGCGCCCAAAGCGAACGAGTTCCTGATGGACCTGCATGAGTTCCTCGACCGCTACAGCCTCAACATGACGAGCAAGAACCCAGTCCAGGCGAAGCGGAAAGAGAAGAAAAAGGACGTCGCGCAGATGAGCGAGGAGGAGATGCTCGAGATGGCCATGCAGAATAGTCTGAGCAAAGGCGCAGGATCGGGAAGCAACGACGAGGACCCCGACGCTCTTACACGTCCAGGCGGGAAAGGCAAGGCTCGCCAGGTCGATCCTGAAGCTATGGATACGACGGATATGGGCGGGGAATCCACTCTCAACGGCGGGGATGTCGAACAACCATCTACCGGCTCTGCTGTCACCCCTTCGAAGAAAGACGACGACAGCCCCTTCTCCCTCATCTCCTCCACCTCCCCCCACGAAGAACCCACCTCCACCTCCCCCGCCGAGACGACGCGCATCCAATTCCGCTACTCCGGCGGCCGTGTCGTGCGTCGCTTCTCGCTCTCCGATCCAGTGCGCAGGCTGTACGAATGGCTCAAGGCTTCGCCGCTCGAAGGTCAGGAGGGCAAGACGTTTGAGTTGATCAGTATGGGGAAGAACCTCATTGAAATGTTGGACGCGACGGTGGCGGAGGCGGGGCTGAAGCAGGGGACTGTTATGGTTGAGACGGTTGGGGAGGATGAGTAGGCTGCTTTGAATGGGGATGGTTGGGTGGTGTGCAAGGAGGGAGGGGTTGCGGAGTGGGATCGGTATTCTAGCATTGTGCAGCGCTTTGGGACGGCGTTTGCTGGATCGGAATGGAGGATAGATATGGCATGCGGCTATCAAGTCTGCTGCTCTTGCAGGAAGTGCAGCTGCATCATGATGGAGGGGATGTTGCTAGATCACGAAGTGATGGATACTTACTACAACTCATCCACACTACTTTATCTCGGCCATCTCCAACGTCCTGTAGAGGAGTGATGGATTGCATCGGTGGCAGACATCGTCGCCGCCACAGATCGAATCGATCGAAACACAAGAGGAGATCCAGACGCATCCAAATCGCGGCCCACTCGAGTCTAGATTTCTGTTCCACCTCAAAATTCCATACTTCGTACATACATCTCCACGTGGCGCTGAACAACTCCGTCGCCTTGCGCCTCTCTCGAAACGAGCAAACCAAACGGACCATCCTCCGTTCGTCATGAGACCGTACTCGACCATTCCTACACCACTACTATCTCACCAACGCCAACGATTAGCGTGGTGCCTCGGAAGCGCCGTGGGCTAGTGGTCCTCCCAGACCTACTGGCAGAGAAAGAAAAACAACCATGCACTACATCCGCTTCCTCTCGATCCCCCGGATCCAAGTCGATCGCGGAACCGTCCTGCTCAAAGCTGTATTGACCATCACGACGGATCTGGGAGAAACGTTCTACCCCGAGGATTTGGAGCTGGTCGCTACGATCCGGGACCCAGAGCACGATGGTGACATCTACCTCCGCCGACGCATCCCCTGGAAAGGCTCCACCGGCGCCAGAAGCGTGCCGGTGAAGTTCGACATGTCGCATCAAGACGTCGAATGGCCGGCCTGCATGCACGTCTCCGTCGCCAACACCAAGACTTCCCTCTCCAAGCCCACCGGTTTCTTGCCACCGATAGTGGACGTCTGGTCGTCCACCTTGAATCCGACAAAAGGCCACATGACAGCCTCCCACCGCGTGCAACGTCGCTTCACGTCCTCAGCAGAGCGGGACCTGGTGCTTGAGGAGGACGCGGGGGATAGTATTGCCCGGCATTTGTGGGATGGGAGTCAGGTGCTTGCGCAGCATTTTGATCAGATCATCTCGCTGCAGACGCCTTCTCCTTTACCGCTTTTGGAATACGTGCTTGTCAGCGCAACCTACCGACGACTGCACGTGCTAGAACTAGGCTGCGGCTGCGGAACCGTCGGTCTCTCCCTCGCGCAAGCAGTCCCGGATACCGACGTAGTCCTCACAGACCTCCCCGACGTGCGGGAGTTGGTCGAGTCCAACATCTCCCGCCTCAACCCCGCCATGGCCTCTCGCGCAACGTTCCAGGCCCTGGATTGGGAAACCCTCCTGCCCCCGACCATCACGAACCGCACGAACGATCTTATCATAGTGTCGGAATGCACATACAACACCGATACCCTGCTTCACTTAACCAACACCCTAGCAGCCCTGGTGACGCGTTCCCCCAAAGCGATTATAGTGGTGGCGACGAAGACGAGACATGAGAGTGAGGCGCAGTTCTTCGCCCTCATGGCCCAAGCGGGCCTGATTGAGGACGGGAGGACGAGGGTGAGGTTGCCGGGATTGGTGGGGACGGGGTATGGGGACGGAGCGACAGATGTGGGACTGCATGTTTTTCACGGGAAGAGTCATCGGGTTAGTTTGAGTCCGCGGGGGAGCGAGGAGGGTGTCATGCAGGTGAGGCCTGGGAGCGCGAGGAGTGGGAGGCGGAAGAGGGGGGAGGGGAGGAGCGAGAGTGAATGAACGCTTGAAGGAGTGGTGGTGGGGGTGGGGGTGTACGATTGACGACAAACTCTGGGAATAGATGGGCGTCAGGGCAACAGGATGGCGGACAGTGTGTACGAGTGAACGAGCATTGAAGCAAAGGGAACGAATGATGTTGCAAGATCATCGGGTTGAGTGTCATGTAGCAAGACCATCGGATTGAAACGAATCATCCAGCAAGACCATCGAATCGAGCACATCCTAAGCACTCAGATCAAAGTAACCCCTAAACCGCGCTCCATCCTCAATCCCACACTCGAACACGACCTGGTAACACGCCATCAGCAAACGCGGGAAGCGCTGACACCAATACCCCAGATACCCGCCCGCCAACGGCCCAACCCTCCGCTTCACCTCCTCGGGCATATCCTCGTAATGGTTCTTCTTATTCCGCAACGCGCGCAGCAGATCCAACAACCGGTTCCCGGAGTACTTCCGCTGCTTCCCGAGCGTGTCGACGAAATGCCTGTCCAACTTGGCCAAGAAATCCGCTCGGGGGCCGATAACCTCTTCCGCTCGCCTCTCGAGCAGTGAAAGTGGCCAGGAATCGCCGGCGTAGCCGTCGTCGGGGACGCCGCGGGGTTCGCGCTCGAAGTGGTCGCTCATGTCGCAGAGGAAGGCGAGGCGTTTCTCGGCGCTCCAGAAGAAAGGGTGTTGCAGGACGTCGCGCGCCGTGGGGCGGTGTTCGGGGGCGTGCTCGAGCATGTGCGTGATGAGTTGCATGGGCTCATAGGCGTCGGACCAGCGGGCGAGGACGGAGAGGTTCTTGCGGTCGCGCTTGATGTTGAGTTCGCGGAGTTGTTGCCTGTAGCAAAGAGAATTAGCAGCGTGGGTGAGTGGGGTGAAGACGATGGGGCGCTGGGAGGAGAGGGGTCTTACCAGCCATTCTCGTCCTCAAACGGGTGGTTACCACCAGTCAGCACCCAGAAAAACAGACAACCCAGGGAGAAAATGTCAGCTGCCCTCTTAACCCCAGAAACAGAGCCATTGGGCCCATCGCTGACATTCGACCCTCCATTATGTGAGTTCTGCTTCGAACCACTATCGACTGGATGAGAGATAAGCTCCGGCGCCTTCCATCCAGACGTCCCCGCGTTCCCAGTAGGGTCGACGAGGGTGGATACATTCTCTGGGAGATTCTTCCCCAACCCGAAGTCGGAGATGACCAATCGAATCGGCTGGCTCTGCTGTTGCTGCTTCTTCGGGAACGCGACGAGGATGTTCTGGGGCTTGATGTCGCGGTGGATGATCCTCAGGTCGTGCAGGTAGTACAGCCCTGCTGCGAGTTGTCTGAGAGCTTTCGGGACGTCCTGCTGAATGGCGTGCTTCAGCCCACTAAGCTGCACCTGCCGCTCCTCCGTCCTCGCCTTCTCGCTCTCCCAGACTTCGTACAAGCTCGCTTGACAAAGCTCAACGGCAATATACAGGAAGTGCTCATCCTTCTGCTGACAGAAATATCGCACAACATTCTGGTGGTCATCGCTCTGCTGCAGAAACGAAACTTCCTGAGAAGCGAGGTCGTAGAACTGCGATAGCATGCGTTTGACGGCGACCTTGCGACCCTCAAAGGAGCCTTCGAAGACCGTTGTGCCGCAGCTGCCTTGCCCGATGACTTTGTCCGTGTGGATGACGAGACTGTTGATTTGCAGTGGACCGGAGACCTGAGGGCTTTCGGACGCGGCGACGGAGATGATCTCGACGGGCTGAGGTGTAGGAGAGCCTTTCTTCTTAGCAAAGGTCTCGGCCGCCTGCTGTTCCTTTTCCTTGGCTTTCTTGCCACCTCGCTTACCCCTGGTTGCCTTCTTCTTCTGCTTCTGTTGTTCGCCCGCTTGGTCAGGTGAGCCGTTCTCCAGACCGTCTTCAAGCTCCGGCTTCTCGTCGATCTCGTCAAGTTTTCCTGCATCAGATGACTTTGCTGGCCTCGTGTCCGGACCCGGGACATGAGGGAATATGGTCTCTTCTGCCGGCTCCGCTTCACGGACTTTCGGTTGCTGATCCACTTCTTCGGCCTTCTTCGGACGAGGCAACGCGCCAGACTGCAGGAACTCGTCGAACGCTTGCATGTTCCCGAGACGCTTTCGCGGCTTGACAAACTGCTGATATAGGAGCCCGATCATAGCGACAAGGCCAAGCACAAGAATAACACTCGCCAACGAGGGCCATGGCAGGCCGCTCGATCCAGAATCGATGGTTTTCAGGGCTGAATGGTCAGTTGCGCTGTCCGGGGGCTCTACAGTCGGGTGCTGCTCGGGCGCTTCAATCAAGGGCGTATCATGGTGGCCATGCATAGGAGTCAGCTGATGGACGCCAGCGAACTTCTCTCGCTCCTTCTTGGACATTGGCCAGGCCAAAGAAGGTTCAGTGTAGGAAAGGTCGACGTAATATCGAGTTGTTGCTGCTCCTTCGGTGACCATCGGATAGTTCCTCTCCGAGAAGGCGTACCAGCTGCCGTCTCCAGTGCAGTTGACGAACACGTTGTCGGCTAGGCCCTCCTCCAAGGCCTTAAGTTCGTCAGGTGACGGCGCCACCGGCTGCGGCAGCACGACAAGCGCTACGTCGCTCGAGAAGTCGTCGTACGGCCGGACAATGTCATAAACTCGCGCCACTGGAGACTGCAGCTTGTGACGATAGATGGGCTGTTGAACAGCTCCCGTGCTGTGTGATTCTTCGGATCCCATCTCGAGACCAAACACCCAGCCGTCGTGCTTCGTATACACGTATGTGCTATCCATGCTCTGGCGATATTTGCTGGTCAAGTCCAGATCGCGGTTGTTTGGCACCCATTCAAAGTACTTGATGGTGCTTATAGGCTCAGCGGTGTAGAGATCCTGTATGGCAATGGTGTATTCGGTCCTGCCGAGCGTGAATGTTCCATTGGGCTTGCACTCGCCATCATCCGGCGATTGGAGTGGGCTAACCCGTCTGCAGCTTCGGTCGTCGTTGATCATAGCTCCCACAGAGCTAAACGACTTGATGATATTGCCGGTCGCCGCGTCGATGGTGTACAAGGTGGTCCGCTTCTCCGCGTTGTACGAAACAGCAGGGTATCCTTCTGAGCTGTACGGTGCCAGCTCGAAGAGTTCTTTGACCGTAAACCCCAGTTTCTGCATTCCAGCACCAGATCCAGGAGCGTAGACGTATACAGCTCCGTGCTGACTAGGCTCCACGATCCATAGAGGGTCACCCCCCAGCTCGGGAGACCCATCGCCTGTACTTCTGTTGTTTCTATGGTAGATGGTCTCCACCATGGACCGGTCTGTTTCTAGCTGCCACTTCGCAGCTCCGCTCTGTCGGTCACGTGCGTGGATCTTCCCATCAACAGTCGCCAGGAGTATGAGGTCCTCGACTTGCCAATCCTGCAGAGACCGCGCCTGTTGTCGCGAGATGCCGCCAGTCGCTGACGGCTTGTATGCAGGTGGTGGTGCTCGAACGGCGTTCTCCGCCGGAGACACAGTCGCAAGGGCGCGCTGGTTGTGAGAAGCATTTGTGCGCGTGTTTTTGTTTTCGGAAAGGGCTTCCCGCGCCTTTCGGTGACCGCTTAGTGAGGTGGCCAACGAGTCGGCGGCGGTGGGCCTGTAGCGCTTCTCCGAGGCGGCGGCGTCTTTGGAGAGGCGGTTGGGTAGGTCGTGGCCATGGTAGGCATTGTGGTCTGAGAGAGGCTGCTGCTGCAGAGCGCCAGTCCAGGGGACGATTAGGCTCCAAATGAGGAGATCTCTGAGCGACATTTCGCCATAGAATGCTTCATGAGATGTTGTTTCGAGGGAGGAGGGGGTGTGGAGGTGGGTGGTGGGCGTGAGAATAAGCGCGAATCCCTTGCACTGCCAGACCCTGAGAAGGAGTGAGGTGGACGGAAGCTCGTGGCACCGGCGGGATTTCGAAACCAACAACAACACCCGTTTCCGCCCCGCTATCCCGTCACACCAACCTGTGGCTGCAACGCATCTGATAAGACCTTATTCATGCTCGTGAAGACGGCTTTTTAGAAAGAGTATGGGACTTTTCGGCCTCCATGCGTGGTTCTCAGACGCCGCCCACAAGCACCTGAAGGTCGTCCGCCTCCGTGAGAACTTCCAACCTGGATCGGCGCTTCCAACATCACTCCAGGCAAGGGTGAATTCCTTCAGGAACTACTGGAGTCGGGACGATTCTGAAGAAGCGTGCTCCTCAACGCCGTCTGGCTCGAGATAAGAAAATCTATCGTACGCACCGCAGACTCTCGAGAACAAGAACCCCAAGGCGAGCAGCTAGACAATGGCATGACCACAGTATTCCATTTGTTCGAGAATGCTGAAGAGTTCCACTTGTTTTGACCAGCTGCCCGGTCCCCAGCATCCCTAATATTACCTGTTGCTATCGTTGAGCATCCGAGTCTCGACCTGAGGGTGTTGTTCGTATTCCCAGAAACTTTCACTTTGGACTCCACCTACTAAGGTAAGATAAGTCGCTCTTGATGCTCTTCGATCTATTTCTCCTCCTCAATATCCGGTCGGTCCTTGTGCGGTACATTGCTCCTTCTTGGTTGATCCGGCAAGAAGGGCCCTTTGCAACACCTATCATCTGGTCGATGCAAGTGTCAGGTCAAACACAGCAGCATGGAACCAGTAGGCTTAGGAGAAGGGCAAGAAAATTTCGTAAGAGAAGGACAATATTGTCTCTTCTTTCTCGCAACTCCTGCTACACCCACGCTTCTCGTCACTAGCTACTCGCCTTCCAGAGAACTTCTCCATAAGCTGGACACTGGATGAAAACACGCTGACAATCACATGCAACTGACTGTTGGCATTTGTTTATGTTCGACGGAAGTGTATCTTATCGGGGTCTTGACGACCTCCAGATAGCCGGTTCAAACAGCTGGCAGTACTGCAGCTTGGGCAACTTATGGGCTCGTGGTGAAAGCTGCTTCGTCAGTTGTATGGAGATACTTCGATGTTCTCAGAGTCTCTCGATGCTCGAACGCGCTCTAGATTTTCGCTTGATACGTTTTCAGGAGGGTTGTTCAACTCGAGCACTTCTCCCACTATTTGGACCCTGAGTTTTGATAGACTGTGGCGGTGCACAAGGCTGAGACCCCGGGCTGCGTCAGCTTCCATTCTTGGAACTCTGAAACGCCTTCTCCCAGCAACCAGCACAACAGCCTCGCCTCGTCAGCGCTCAGCATGTCTTCCCACTTTCACGTTCTCACGTTCGTTACATCCTTTCACACAACCTCAAAGACCACACACAGATGGCGCCCACGGCCTCGGAGTTAGGATACCTAGCCCGCCGCGCCGTCGTCACCGCCGGCCCTGTCGTCGCGCGCCACTACCTCGAGCAACGCGACCTCACCGTTCGCGGAGCGCAGGGCGTGACGTTGGGCGTGATTGCGGCATATGTGGTGGGCATAGCGATTCTGTGGAATGTGCCGTATCTGAAGTATATTCTATGGCCGTTTAAGGTACGCTCTCGCGTCCAACAGCCTTATCCAGCGAATGGCACTGACGGACTCAATCAGATGCTAGTGATAGCATTTCACGAGTTCGGGCACGCGAGCACGGCATGCTGCACCGGCGGCCGCGTCGAGTCCATATCACTTGATCCGCACGAAGGCGGCGTCACGCACATGAGAGGAGGCGTGAGCGCCATTACCCTTCCTACTGGCTACCTGGGCTCCTCGCTCATAGGCGCCTTGCTCACGTTCTGCGGCTTCAACACGGTGGCGAGTAAAGTCGCCAGCATTGTCTTGGGAGTCTGCTTCTTACTCGTGCTATGGTGGGGTATGTTCGCTTCCATCCCATCTCACCGACCACGGTTAACTAAGTGAGTCTACAGGCAAGAAAGACTGGCTAACCATCCTCACCATCCTCATCGCCGTCGGCATCATCATCGGCTTCTGGTTCGTCCCCGAAGCCCTACGCTTCTACGTCCTCTTCATCGGCGTCATGTCATCCCTCTACAGCGTCTGGGACATCTGCGACGACCTCGTCTTACGAAAAGTCAACTCTTCCGATGCCAGCCAGTTCGCCAAGCGATATGGGGGCTCGTCGCAGTGCTGGGGCATTATCTGGAGTCTGATCAGCTGTACGATCATGGCGGCGGGCATTGTGGCGGGGATTGCGGCGTTTCCGCAGACGTCGGCGCAGCAGGAGAACGACTCGGATGGGTTTATACCTACCGGGCAGAGGTTTTGAGGTGGTTGGAATTCACAATTGCGCTAATGTATGATGCACGACTTGTTATGAGGCACGTTTGCAGTGACAACACTCAGTTCAGCTCCATTTTTTTCTCACTTCTCGGAAACTTGCAGCGCTGCTTGCCACAATATTGACGAGGCACAGTCATGACGGCAATAAGCATCTCAAAGTGCGTGTTGACAGGGTGCCAAAAATTGGAGCAGGCGGTAAAGCATCCATGAGGCACAGCAGCGCTTCGAAGTCGCAGGCGCTGGCAAAATATCTCATCCTCAGGGCATTACACGCGCACTTGGCTGGATGCACTCCGAAGAATCAAGATCACCTCATCCAGCGGCGGCTGCTGAGACAAGGCGGCGCAATATCTGAGCCCGATAGTCAAGACCTGCTGGCGCCGACAAGATGATTTGTGCAAAGCATCCATGCGCTCGTGGACCGTGAGGCAGCTCATGTGACGTGATACTGCCTCGGAATTCCTTCTACGCGACCTATCGCTCATCGACGGTAGGTCTTCTGGGTTGCTTCTTCCCCCAAAATCACAATGGCGCTTCTCCTGATTGCTGCACTATTCGCATCTGTCATGGCACAAAGCTCAAGCAGCACTTCCAAATTACCTGCTGCTACCACCGTGAACCTCTTCCTAGGACTGGACGACTCGGGAGCACCTAATGGCCTTGTTAGCTCTGTGTTGCATGCGGACCAATGTGTAAGAGGGCTTCCTTCATTACTCAGAGAATGCCCTCTTTGACGATCGATTACTGAACAGGGCACAACAAACGCACTTATTGCACCAAAGGCTCATTCAGCGATACAGGGATAGTGTCCGGTCTCTGTGACCTGGCTTCCACCGTATGCCGGACGCACTAGCGCACTATAAGACAGCAACCAAAGCTAACGCAGTGTAGGTCACAGCCACCTACGGACCGAGCTCGTACGGCCTCTCCATGGTCGGTACGCCCTCGATATTCGACGGCAGCGACGGAGGCACTGTCATGAGAGTGCAGACTTGTAGTCTCGAGGGCACGACCAAAGCCGTATGCTCCTTCACCACGGCCGTGGAGCTTTCCGGCAAGTCGACAGCCACTTCGACGATCGCCACCTATACTGGCAGCGATGTCGTCTATGGTAAAATTGCGATACGCGGCAGCGTCTCGAAACTCAAGGCTACCGATCTGCCAGCGTGTACCTCGAATCGTTTGGAATGGCGAGCGCTGCGACTGGGATCGGAAGGGTGTACAAGATCATCGTTGCGCCTGGAGCGGCGGCGTTGCTGGCGAGGGCTTTGGTGTAGATGCGCTGCGTATCTGTCTGGCTAACTTCGTCATTACACACATCTCCGTGATTGACTCCCTGCCTACCCTCGTTGCATTCAAAGGGACTCGCACGAGCTGGTCGGTTTCAGGCTGAGACTACCTCCTAAGTGTGTCTTGCCGACGGCAATTGCTTCGCATTATCATCAAATCGATCGAACGGCTCCTGCAACCACCCTCCATCTGCCAGGCCCGAGTATTGCTCTTGCAGAGAGCTCTATCTGTTGATGAGCGTCTGGACCACACGGCAGCACCTACTGCACTTGGTAGGCGAGGCAAAAATTACCCAAGTTGGCAGGCTGGTCCCAAAACTCTCTCCCCACAGCTTGACACACATTCACTTTCTCACAAGCTCCCCGACAATTGGCTGCCATCATTATCATCTGTCCTTGCTGATACACGGTAATCTTCGCATCACCAGGCGCCCAAGAGCTCTATACTGGTCTCAGATTCCGCTTTGGGAACTGGAGTCCGTTAATCTCATAGAACATATCAACACCATCAGCTCGAACAACAATGTGTAGGCACAAGGTACAGTCCGTCCATCTCCATCTCAAAGCCATACCATATCTTACACTACCAAACACTTTGTTTCAACATCAACAACAATGGCTCCCTTCATGAACTACTTCGGCCTTGGAGCCGCCCCAGCATCGCCAGAACCGAAGGAAGACCCAAAGCAGAGCCCCATCCGAGCACTGCCGGCAGCATGGTTTACCTCACAACAAATGTATGAGTTGGAGAGACGAGCGATCTTCTCAAAACGATGGCTGTTCCTCACCCATCGGAACCGACTGCAAGAAGCGGGCGACTACCTCCGCTACACCATTGCCGGGTTCGACATAATCGTTATCCGGGATCGTTCGAACAACATCAACGCATTCCATAACGTTTGTCGACACCGAGCGTACCCTGTGGTCGAGAAGAAATGCGGAAAAGTGAGCATTCTGGCTTGCCGATATCACGGCTGGTCGTACGGCTTGAACGGCAAACTCGCGAAGGCACCGCAGTACCAGGAATTGGATGGCTTCGACAAGTCTCAGAATGGCTTGTTCTCAATTCATGTGCATGTCGATATCAACGGCTTCATTTGGATCAACCTCGACGCGCAAAAGGAGAAACCAGAAGTACCGTGGGAGGCCGACTTCGATACTGTGGACAAGCAGGAGAGGTTTGAAGACTTCAACTTTGACGACTATGTGCTTGACCACACTTATGAGCTCGACGGAGGGTACAACTGGAAGATCGCTTGCGATAACTTCAATGAATGCTACCACTGTCCGACCACCCATCCGGATGTGCCGGCGTTCCTTAACGTCGACTCCGCGGATGTCGAGGTGAAGGATGGCCACATGCAGCACGATCATGCTTCGAACCCTGAGCAACGGAGGCAAGGGTTGAACGTCAACAGCACATACTACTTCCCGAATGTGTCGATGTCGGTTTCGTAAGTGAACTTCTCTAACGCAAAAGTGACCAGATTGCTAACGATCCTCAGGCCACACTTCCTAATGATCCAGAAGTTCCTCCCCGATTCGGCAACCAAATCAACCCTCCACTACGAAGTCTACCGCAACAAGAACTCCTCCGACGAAGAGTTCAAGCTCATCAGCGAGATGTACGCTCGTGTCATGGCGGAGGACAAAATCCTCTGTGACCGCGCACAGAAGAACTTGAACGCCGGTTCGTCACTCACATCCCATATCAAACCACCGCACCATGCTGATCCAATCTTCAGGTGTCTTCGTCAACGGCGAGATGCACCCCAAGTGCGAGAAAGGCCCTCTCTACATGCAAAGCAAGGTCCGCGATGCAGTGACGGACCACTACCGACGAGAGAAGGCCGCCGGTGCTGAGATCTGGCCTGCGAGGCAGAAGTTACCTGGGAATGCCCTTGTCAGCCAGGAAGATATTGATATGTGTAATGGGCTTGACTGCACGGCGCCGCAGCAGGAGGGTTTGGTCTGGTGAAGGAATTGTATAGTAGGTGGTTGCTTCCTCTTGCATTGGTTGGGGACGGATAATGACGACTGGCGTTCTGCTTAGCGTACGGTGTCTGGAGTATGTAAGTAAGAATTGTACATGACTGATGAAACGTGAACTTCGTTGTTGTAGATATTTTTCTTCCAACCTGGACCAGACATTATGGTCAGAGATACGAGGTACCGCAAGCTGTGTGCCTTCGGTTTTCTGCAGACATTGATCCATCGAATTGTGCTCAGATTCCATAACTTTCGCGCAGGATCCCGTGAGCCATATGTGTCCCACAACTGTTGATCGCTTGAGGTATGACTGCTCATAATTGTTGACAAGCACTGAGAATACCCGCTCGTTTGTCGCCAGACAAGTTCTCTTCGTTGGCAAGGAACAGATGCAGGACATTCTCCGGGCAAGCAGATATAGTACTCGGCCAGAGCAGGAGGTGTGGATGCATGCAATCAATGTCTGAGCTTGCGTGGGTTTGAGCCCAGAAGCAAGGGTGGGCTGGCATTGTTCTTCTCGTGTCCTTGTAGGCATAAAGTACAGTACTATGTCAGGTATGCCGCGTATTCAATGGGTTTGAACGAGACCTCGTCCGTCAACCGCCAATCTTGACAACTACTTTCCCAACCTGCTTGCCTTGCCAAATACTCTCAACCGCCTCCTCCGCCTCATCAAACGGAAACGTCGAGTCAATGATATCGTCAAACCGCATCCCCATAGCCGAGATAGCAGCACAAAGATCCTCCTGATCGTGCCTTGAACCAGCATTGATGCCCCTCAGATTCACCCTTCTGTCGATCAACGTCGGCAAAAGTTCAGCCATCTCGGTCGGATCCTGCTTCCCTAGGTATCCAACCTGACTGACAGTTCCACCACGGCGAGTGCATTTCACGCTTTGGACCACTGATCCGGTGCCGCCATTTTCCAGGACAAGATCCACGCCGGCACCGTTCGTGAGGTTGAGGACTTCTTCGTGCCACATGGCGTTCTTGTAGTTGACAGTGAAGAGTGGTGGGTCTGCGAATTTCGTTCGCATACTCTCCAGTTTTGAATCGCTTGAGGAGCTCAAGATGACCCGCATGCCGCTCGCTCGAGCGAGCTTTAGGGCGAACATGCTGACGCCTCCGGTGCCTGTGATCGATCAGTACAACTGGAACATAACTTGAACCGAATTTGCAAGCATGCCTTGTATCAACACCGTACTCCCCATTCCACACCCCTCCAACGCAGACCACGCCGTCACCCCAGCACAAGGAATAATACTAGCCTCAATCCAATCTAGATGCTGAGGCAACTTTGTGACCTTATCTTCATCAAAGACGATATAATCCGCCAGCACCCCATCCTCATCCGCAGCCAGCCACGATCTTCTGGTTTCTCGTCCGGTAATGTTTGCCGTATCGACGATCGGTGCTACACGGTCACCTTGCGAAAATCTTGTGACTCGTTCGCCGACTGAGATAACTCCTCCAGCGGCGTCGTTGCAGAGGATGCCGTTGGGGGTTACTGGCCACGGGTTGCCTCCGTTCGCGATGTTGGCGTCCCGGTAGTTGAGGCTCACGGCGTGGACTTTGATCAAGACCGCATAAGGCGGGAGTGGAGATGGTATTTCTTCGCTAACGAGTTTTACTTTAGGGGTTCCTGGGGTGTAGTCGTCCGTTCGTCGGTACGCTTTTCGGCTTGATGGTTGGGCCATTGGGGCTTGCTCGTTCGTGCTTGTTGTTCAAAGTGGTTCTTTGCGTTGAATAGGATCAATACTTCTTATATGTGACTTGATTCCAACGGCAGTCTGTACGTCGCCTGGCGTCCGAGCTGCATATGCATTTCTAATCGAGCATTGCTCAAGGCAAAAGTTTCCCAGACAATTCCATCCAAGAGAACTCCGTAGGCGGAGCCCCGAAAGAACACCGATATTGCATCAGGCTCTCACCTCCTTGTTTGAATGCTTCGAAGTTAAAGATGTTGCATGCTGTCATCAAGTTGGAGAGGGAGGCAAGTTCGGTACAAGGCGGCGAAGAGTCGGCAGGACTCGGTGTTGAATCGCCTTGCTGGACGTCCTACCTATTGGCCATGAAGCAACGATATCCGTGACCGCAGCGTGAGATCGTAGGAAGAGTATCTGCTTCCTTCATGGCGAGGCGAAGTATCGCAGGAAGGTAAAGTCGTATGTTCTCACGCCAACTGATGTTCCATGCGCCGCCCGACCGACACGAATTACCGACTGATGCGCTCGCAATGCTATTTCTGTACAGCATCAAAATACGAATCGAGATCAGATCGTATGTTACGTTGGCATGTATTGTCAGTATTTGAACCTCTCTGTTCAGCTATACCCATACGAGACGATGCCCGTCTTTCACCATGTCCGGCCCTCCAGTCTATCAGAAACCCATATATGCAACCCGCTAAAGCTTGACTTGAAACCTTGGATGCGTCCGAATCCTCTCCCCATACCGATAGAACAGCAGCGGTATAGGACACAGCGCAAGACTGATGAACGCCAATAGCGAATTGCCCCAGCCCAATCCCAGCCCATCATACATCTGCAGCCCAAACAGCGGAAACACTGCTCCCAGGATCGACCTCAGAATCGTATTCGCAGCCATGGCCGAAGCCGCGTAGCGCTCAAACGCATCGACAAGATAAGTGTTTATGCACATGAAAGACGCGAGCAAGCCAACACCAACCAACAGTGTGCCGAAGAGCGGCACAGCCCATTGAGTCTGATACTGCGCCGTCCAGCCGTAGATGAAGAGGCCGACGGGGATGAAAGGTCCTGCGTAGATGAGGAGAGGCAGACGGTATTCGGGCTTCAGCTTGCCCTCGCTGTGCTTGGCGGCGAGTTTCTTCATGATAGGGTCGGAGGTTGAGCCTAGGATGGCGAGGCCGAGGAGCATGCCGACGCCGAGACCGATGTAGACGAGGCCAACGATGGATTGGGAGAAGCCGTAGTTTTCTTCGAAGACGAAGGTGAAGGTGGTGAAGAGGAGGTACATTATCCCGTCTGGTATCTTTGTTGGTGGTGAGGCTGGAGAGTAGGGAAGGGGAAGCGACACTTACAGACAATGGCGAGGTACAAGCTCATCATCGCGCAAATGAGCGAGAGGAACATGAGCTTCATCGGGCGGAGCAAAGATCGCCTCCAAAGCTCAACGGTGGTGATTCCAAGATCGAGTTTCGAGCGTAGGTTGGGATTGCCGGTCTCCTTCCGTAGGCGCTTGGCCTTGCGTTCGAGAAGGATGGGGGCGTAGGTCTCCCTGGCGAATACGAGAGTCCAGATTGCTGCAAAGCCAGAAGCGATCGATAGCACCCAGAAGATCCTGTATCAACGTCAGCTACGTTTGTCATGAGGCTGCATCGGAGCCACTCACCATCGCCAGCCCTTCGCCTCAGCCAGAAACCCACCGCATACAGGTCCTATTACCAAGAGTTAGTTCCCGAATCTAGCTCGAGTTGCTCGGGATGTTGTAGCTATACCTATCACAGGCCCTAAAAGAGGCCCAATAGCCCAGATGGACATGGCACTACCACGTTGCTCGGGCTTCATCAAATCCGCGATTGTACCTCCTCCATTGGTAATCGGTGCAATTCCAAAACAGCCAGCAAGAAATCTGAACGCTATCAAAGATCCCATGCCAGGCGCAAGGGCGCAGGCGACTGTGAACAGCACAAAGGCGACGTTGCAGAGGTTGTAGATTGCGACGCGGCCGAACATTTCGCTGAGGGGAGCGATCACCAGGGGGCCCATTGCGAAGCCGAGGATGTCTGACTTTTTGTCAGTAAACACATCAGACGGTCGAGACGAAAGGTGAACCTACAGACTGAAACGACGAATGTTGCGAGGGACGAGCTATATCGCTGTTAGCCTGTGTTTGCGATCCCGACTGTCTTTGGAGAACATACTTCGTAGTCTCAAACTCCCTGATGACGTCCGGCACACCAGGCGCAAACATCGACGACGCCAAAGGTGTCAACAATGTCAAAAACGACAATATGCCGATGTTACTCCATTTCTTGCCAGCCGACCAATTTAACGGGTTTGCTGGATCATCAGGGCCCTCCCAATCAACAATGTTTGGATCCACTGGTTCCTCTTTGACCTCTTCTGCTGTTGGCTGCGTCGGATGACCTTTCTCAACGTCCCGTTGTTCTCCGTTGTCAGAGTTATTCGACGATTCATCATGCTTGTCTCTTTTCTCTGGGTCGGAGGTCGTTTCTCGGTTCAAAGAGTCCTGGTTGGGCTGTACGACGCCGGCGTTGGATGGGATGTCGGCATCGTGGCCTTCTTCGAATGCGAGTCGTTCTTTCTCGGGCAGATCACCTCCTGCGACAACAGGGATGTGTTCGTGTTTGTGCTCGGTTGCGGCCATGCCGCCTGGCTGTGGGACGATGACATGTTAGCTGTGTTACTTCGATGTAGCTCGTTCGCGGAAGCTGTCCGTCTGAAGCTCAAGTGTCGAACGTGAAGCGGGTCCGATGTACGACTGCGTACCGCTGCGGTACACTCGTGCTGACCCGAAGTCTTTGTCTGCAGTCGGACAAGCTTGAATATGTGCTTACCTGAGATTCCGCGATCTAGGTTGCGGTCGGGAGGTCCGTGTCACTCAGATCGTGCTAGGGTGCCAATGCCGGAGGAGTGGGAGAGTCTACCACGAGGCTCTTGGAGATGAAAAAGCAGCTGTTCTGGGATTCCCACTGTCGATATAGGGAAGGACACAGGTGTATAAGAAGGAGAAGCAGCCATTGTTCTAATGACACCGGCCGTCCGGCACGCAGTGCTTGGACGGGCGATAGAGCAGCTACGATCCGGCGGCGTGCATAGATTATTTGTGCAAGCACGGCAAGAGCGATTCGGCAGACAAGCCTCTCAGACGCCTTGTCTCCAAGCCAAGCTGTAGGTTCTATGCAGCGTTTACATCCGAGTTCCGTTCTGCTGGGGCCATCTGGAATCAATTCTCCTGGCCCACGGACTGTCCATGGCCATTCCATGCTGTCCAATCTTGATCAGCCTTCTAACAAGAAGGAGCATCGATCGGGCTCCGGTCCGGTGGCGATGGTCCAGATATGGCGTGGAACGTGGCAGGTTGAATGCAATTACCGAATCCGGCGACACGGCTGAGACTGAAGCTCTGTTGTGGGATGAAGCGAGCTCCCACGTGTCTCTGGCTTCGAGCACTCAGTTCGTGATCCGCGTGTTGCCATTCAAGGTGGCAAGTCACTAGAGTAGGAGCTGAACATTGAAGTGCTGTTGATGCATGAAGGCGAGTCGAGAATGGCTGTCTGTGACAGCATGGCAACGCGCCGCAGAAACGAAATAACACCGTGGAGGCATCTTGGTAAAGCTGGCGTACAACGGACAATGCTCGAGAGACACATCGATTCGGTATGGGTACTGCTGTAGCGAGGCGAGAGCGATATTCTGGCGCACGTTTGAGCACGTATGACCTTCTGTATTGACTTGCTGGTCCCGGGATGGCACTCGAGGCCCGAACGCCGGTCGTTAGATAATCACTCTCTGCTATGTGAGAAGCACGGCTGAATAACGACACTGCCATGGTGCTGTCTGTTAATACCACTGTTAGAGCAGCAGACTCGCTCAGGCAAGATACCGGAGCTGGTCGAAAACGGCACTTATCGAACACATCCATCAGCGACATGACTTCGCCATACGCCGCTGCGCATGCAAATCCCCAAGGAGCAGGAGATGCCCGCCCAACTGGCTCGCAGATCATCGAAAATCAAGGATTGAGAGGCAAGCTCAACGGCAAGGTTATGGTCTTGACTGGGGCAACATCTGGCATTGTACGTTACTTTGTTGCCGCCATGCCAACGCCAAGGACGCTGATGGCGATTATGTAGGGCCTCGAGACCGCACGTGCGCTGTCAATGACAGGAGCAACGCTGTTCCTGACGGCTCGTAACTTACCCGCAGCTGAGAAAGCCATCCAGGATATCCTGGTGCTCGGTCGTATCTCTTTGATCCGCATGGACAACAACTCCCTCACCAGCGTCCGAGCCGCCGCGACCGAGATCCTGACCAGGTCGAACGGCAAGGTCAACATCTTGGTAGCCAATGCAGGCGTTATGGGCATTTCAGACCATCAACTTACCGAGGACAACCATGAAGTACACTTCCAAACGAACTTTCTAAGCCACTTCATGCTTTTCCAGCTCTTGAAGGACGCCCTGCTGTCGAGCGCGACCTCGGACTTTCACTCCCGTGTCGTCGTCGTTGCGTCCTCGGCCCATCGCGCCGCCACGCTACCGAAGAGCGACGACTACAGTTTCGAAAAGTCAGAGTATGACCACAACATGGCATACGCGGGTTCCAACCTCGCAAAGATCTACCTCGCCAACGAGGTCAACCGTCGCTACAGCTCTCAAGGTCTCTTCGCGACGAGCCTCCACCCCGGCGCTATCAACACCAACATCAGCCGCAACATCGGTCCTGAGTTCGTGCAGCAGATCTTGGCCAACCCCGATGTCGTAAAAGTGTTGAAGTCGCCTGAGCAAGGCGCTGCTACGACGGTGCTCGCGGCGGTGGGGAGGGAGTGGGAGAGCAGAGGAGGGGTGTACTTGGAGGATTGTGCGGAAGCGAAGCGTGGGGTGGATGACGGGCAAGTGTTTGGATCGGGCTGGGTGGAGCAGACATTTAATCCGGAGGCCGAGGGGCGGCTTTGGAGAGATGCGTTGGAGCTTGTGTATTTTAAGGTGGGTGCTTGAGACTGTTTCGTTAGACGTATGTAGCATTTAACGGCGTGTATTGACCGGATCAACCAGCTGTCGCCTTGGCCAGAGCAGCGTAATCCCAGTCCGCCTTGATGACTGTGAAAGTTAGCACTCGTCTTTTCACAAACCCATTCGAAAGTGGGAAGTACTCACTATCAGCAGCTTTCTCCGCAACGGCATACACGCTCGACACAATGTTCCCAGACACATGATTTGGGAAGATAGAAGCATCCGCGACTCTGACATTCTTCGTGCCCTTGACCACAAGCTTGGTATCAATAGCGTCTCCGAGCGCAACGCTGCCGCAGGGGTGGTACTCGCTAAGGACGAAGTCATGCACGGCTTCGGTGGCTTGCTTCGTGTCTTGGAGGTTTGTTTCGGGGGAGGGGAAGAGGCGCTTGGAGATCTTGTCGGCGAGGTGTTTCGACTTTCCGACTTGGTCGGTCATCTGGAAGAGAATCAAGGCGTTAGTAGCTATCATAAGCTCAGACACGAGGGATCTCACTCACCTTTAGCCCCGCCGCCAACACAGCAGCATCAGCCGGATGGCTCAAGAACGCCGGGTCAATCCTCGGGTGCTCATTAGGATCTGACGAAGTGATATGCACAGTCCCTCTGCTGACCGGGTACTGCAAGCAAACCACTGCCGTAATCCCCATCGGCGTCCCGGGCGTATGAGGCGGGAACAAGTAGGCTTGGTCCTGAGCCCCCTTCTCAGGGCCCGCGGTAGACGGGATCAAGAGCATCTGGAGGTTAGCCGACTTGTTGTCTTTGAGGTGCGCGATGATCCGCTCGTACTGCTTTCGCTGGAACGGTGTGACGGTGTCCAGACTGTCTTCGATTGATTTGACCGTACTGGCTTGCTCGCTCTCCGAAGCGAAGAGCTTGTATGGGAAGAAACCTTGCGTGCTGATGATGTTTGTCAGTGGTCCGTTGCCGTGCTCCATCATCTGCTTTTGCGCTGCTTCCATGACTGAGGGGTCGTAGATTATTTCGAGTGTTGGGTTGCCTTGGTTGACTTCCCAGCAGAGGCCACTGGTGGCATGGTCTTGGAAGTTGGCACCGACCGCTTTGTTCTGGATCTTACACTCCACACCGGCGGCTTGGAGCACATCTGGGTCACCGATGCCGGATAGTTCGAGGATCTGTGGCGATTGCAGAACGCCGCAGCATACTATGACCTCCCTGCTCATCCGGACCTTCTGCTTGCTTCCTTCAAAGGTGAACTTGACGCCGGTAGCTCTGTCGCCGTCAAGCTCGATCGAAGTAACGGGAGCGTTGCATAGCACATGAAGGTTCGGGCGCTCGGCGTTCGCAGCGAAGTAGCCTCGCGCAGCATACGCTCGCTTGCCCTTGTTGGGTCCAGTACGGCAGACGGCACCAAGAGTGTTGAAGAAGCCAATGTGATCACCACTCCAGGGATCGGTTGGTTTCTTCGACATGCCCGTGACTTCATCACAAGCCTTGATGAAGTCGTGCTCGATCGGCAAGAAGGACTCATTGAAGGACGTTCTCACGGGCCCAGAGGTGCCATGATGCTCGCCGACGAAAGGCATGGTTGCGCGATCAACAACCTTCTCGTCGATGGGCTCAAGGGTTTGATGTCTCCGCATGTAGTACTTCATCGATTCCGCGCCCTAGGAATAAGCAGATACACTGGTTAGCAAGTCTCTCGATGCTGTCTAGAAGTTGAGGAGCTCCGGGAGCTTCGCGTGCAGTGCAATGCTGTCCCAGAGAACCACTGTGCCCATCACGACTTACCCATGAGGGATCGTCCGCAATCGTCGCCCAGTCATCGTAATCCTGCAGCGACCCGCGAACGTACATCATATGATTAATCGCACTGCTACCGCCAAGCGCCTTGCCTCTAATAACGTGGTGTATCTTTTCTTTGTTATGTTTCTGCTGTCGGTCAGCGAAACAACCCTGCCACCCAAAAGGTTTCCGAGCTCACCTGCGGCACGGTCTTGAACTTCCAGTCGTAGTCTGGGTTCGAGAACGTCTGAAGGGTCATGGCCGGGCAGTCGACCATAATGTCCCCAAGCTTGTTGCCTCCGGCTTCGAGGACACCGACTGAGACATCAGGATTCTCTGTTAGGCGAGCTGCAATTGCGAGGCCGGCGGTGCCTGCGTAGAAAAGGCGTCAGTTACAGTCTCGAGCTGGCCACCTGGCTGGCAGTCTTCAAGCACCCCGGAGCTGGCATGGCTTGTGACTCTGTCTCGGAGAAGCCTGCCCTCATGGATGCGACTTACCACCCCCGATGATAATATAGTCGTAGTTGTGGCGGAGAAAGTCCTCGGCGGATGTCGACAGCGCTGGTAGCTGCACACCGTTGGTGTGGCCGCTCACTCCATTGGAGTGGCTCTCCGTGTCGTTACCCGCAACCATGGTTGCGAAGGATAGAATATTAGCACGTGAAAGGACAGGGAGAGTCAAAGTAGTGCTCGAGACAACGAAAGCAGGGAACAAAATATATGCTTGACGCCACGCCTTTTCATTCGCGAAACTAGCTCTGGCTCACTTATATGCCTCTTTTAGCAGTCAGACAACCAGGTATGCCATCCATGTCCGGGTCAACAAGGCTTGGATATCAGTCCATTACCAATAGTCCGACAAGGTTCGAGCTGCAGTGGCTTGCAGCCGCTCCGAAGAAGGAGACTAGTAAGTGTGCTCACGAGCTGACAACTGCTCTTGGAGGGTCTTCGACACAGCTGTCATGCAGCGGGATCAGTAAGCTGCCTGTTTCCGTCTTCGCAGGAAGCCTTGTTGGTGTGTATACTTACTACCAGCACAATGGGCCTGGAAGACCAGCGATTCGTTCGTCTGCCTTCCTCCGTGCAAACCAAGACCTGAGTTAAGCGCATATGGCTCTGGGATGACCTCGTTTTGTACGTCCTAGCGGCATGCCGCGTGCAGTTTGAATGTCCATCACCAGCAGCGTAGGGTTGAGATGCGGCCGGCTGTACCTCCTAGGGCTTATTAGCCAAGCCCGACTGCATGCAAGGAACAGCCGAGGCACACCTATTGCCTTGCACGGAAAACAGTCTTCAATCACCGTTCAATGGCCATTTTCTCAAGGCGGCTTCACACTCCGCTTTAGCATCATAGCCGTACAGCCACGGCTGAACTTCAGGACACTGCCAGCGGGAAGGAAACTTGCAGTCGATCTTACCGCCCAGCTTCGACAGCATCAGCGCATCTCTCGCTTGCTGCTTCGGGCCATCGCGCATGTGAAAATCGGCTCGTTGAGCGAAGGTCTCACGAACAATATGTTCACCTCGCTGCTTCCGGAGACTTTGGTATAGGTGAAGTACGGCGGGAAGCTGGGATTTGAATTGTAGTGCCGAGAGGAGGTAGCCAAGGACGGCGCCGTCTTCGATGGAGGAATTAGCGCCCTGGGCGAGGTCTCCACCTGTCAGCAGTATAGAGCAGTAGGGCGTTGTATTTGCTTACATGGGAGCATGGGATGGCAGGAGTCTGCAATGAACACAAATTTGGACTCGACAACCCAGTGCTCCATTTCTGGTCGGTGCATAAGCCTATTCCAAAGACAATCTTTGTCAGCAGCTCTTCCAAATGTACGCGACTCGCAGTTCTAGCGACTCGCAGTTTGTTCTGGCTGGTGCTGACTTCTGCGACATAGAAAATGGAGCAGGATCACCTACTTCCACTTGTCCACCGACTTCACTTCATCGAGAAACCTGTTAAGAACCGGATCCCAGTTCTTGAACAGCTGACGCATCTCCTTGATGGAGCCCGGCTGACGGGCTACATCTGCAGGGAGGTCGTCTGGAACACACAGTACCACGTTGAACATCTCCCCATTACGTAAAGAGTATGCCACCACGTGGGCGTCCGGGCCAATCCAGAACTGACAGGAAGGCTTCGATATCCAGTCCCGTAGTTCCTTATCATGCACATCCTCAAGTCTGAGGACGATGCGGTAGACAAGGTCGCCAGTAGGGAGAGGCTGATCCTCCCGCCCAATGATTGACAAGTACTTTGCTCGGCATCTCGACCAGAGGCCATCCGCACCAACCACTAGATCGGCATGTAGCTGCTCCCCCGACTCCAGAGTAACAGCGGGTAGTTCAAAGTCAATATCGGCGACTTTAGCAGCCAAGCGTACCGTCACGCCCAGTTCTGCGGCTCGACTAGCAAGCGCTCGTTGAACGTCTACGCGGTGGAGGTCCCAGAATGGAGCGTCGTACTTCTCTCGCATTTCTAGATTAAAGTCGTCCGTCCGGGACAGTACTTTACCATCGGAGTAGCGGCGTACTTGTAGGAAAGTAGGCTCCGCGGCTTTATGCTCCAGGGAATCGTATATGCCAAATTGCTTGAAGATCTTGGTGGCGTTTGGCGTGCATTGAAGGCCCGCTCCAATCTGTAGTGAGGTGTTAGCCTGTCGACTGTTCGGACGGAGAGACTGTTCATGCCTCTGCAAGCTCTCGAGCCGCTTCAAGGACGATGACATGGTGACCAGCCAAGGCGCAGGAGATGGCAGCACTCAAGCCACCAAGACCGGCGCCGACGATGATGATGTCCAGAGGACGAGGCGAAGTAGCCATCGGACACAGTCGTTGCAAAGTATTGCTGGAGTAGGGGAACCGCAGACAATCCATCTGGGCAGAAGCACTGTTGTCTTGGAGATGGGTGGGTAGGTCTGAGCACGCTGCATATATTTGAGTCCGTCGCTCACAAGCCCTTCTCACCACACTCCTTCCGTCTTTACTTCCTCCCTACGACCACCACCTTTACGATATATCATCAAACAACATCATATTCACGTTCCGCAAGCTCGTAGCTACTATCTGGTATCCAAAAACACTCCCAGCTCGCAGGACAAGGCAATTATAAAGTCGATCATCGCTCATTGGTCAAAATCACCCTAAGATATTATCTATACCACATACGGCCATAATATCTTAACTATACCACATACGGCCATAATATCTTAACTATACCACATACGGCCATAATATCTTGACTATATCACATACGGCCACAATTATGGAGCAGAAGACGACTACTATATACACGACCATGGTATAAGTAGCAGGTCCTGCTCGCACCTTTCCTACGTCTTATATCTACAATCTCATCATATCAGGCTTCTCTCTATTCACTTTGCTTGACCATAGTTTCTTCCTGACACCTCTTCACACCCACCGATCCTTCATCTCAAGACTTTTCGAGACAACATGGACCACCCCAACCAGGCTCAACAGCCCACGAGCTCCTCTTCCTCAGCATCGACCAAGATCCAGAATGTGTCGTCCCGTTCTTTGGTCGTCAAGTTCATCCCCTCCGCCTGCGGCGAGCCAGAGCATGGTGGTCGATTCGTCCTCCTCGGCACCCTCACGGACAAGCAGAACGTCCGACGCAACTATGGCATGGAGATTGCGGCTGAGCGTCTCGCTCATATGGCAGTCAACAGACGCCTCATGATGCTGATCGACCAGAACGACTTCCGTGGGCCGCATGCGAAGGACGTGTGGGAAGAGCTTCTCACCGATGTTGAACTATGGGCGCTGCCAATCACTTCTGCTCTCCACACGATCACGGTGGTCAGGCCAGTCTTGCTTCGCGCGGGAAAGATGCGTTCGGACAAGTCGGACGAGCAGAAGAAAACCTTCATCGCCAACGTCAGAGCACTGGAAACAACATTAAAACCAAGCACTCCAGCTGCAGAGTTGCCAGCTTCTCCGGTCACGTCTCCGGTACAAACCACCAATACTGATCGAGCCTCTCCGAGGGCCTCTCCGCCAGCTACCGCACCCAGAGCCAGACCTAGCGGAGTACGAAAGGCCACGCAGTCCACGAAGAATATCGAACGGGCCCGCGCCATGGAGGCCTTGGTGCGGCATGATCCGTTCATGCAGAATGCGACTCTTGTCGATGCAGATGTTCCGTCCTCGCTGGAGGGTATCAAGGCACTGATGGAGACCGATAGCAAGGCGGTGGTCGAGTATATCGCACGATGCAGGAACAGAGCGACTGCGTTGAAGGGGTTGGCTCATCGGCAGTGAGAGGGTTTGCTGATGGGTGTAACGTCCTCTCGACAATCGAGAGTCATTGACAGACCAAGAATGATACAGCAGATAGTTTGCTATTACTTTTGATATGGAAGAAGGTGGATGAGACTGCGGATTGGTAATGCTGATTTGATCTTTTCACTTACGGCCGTTCATCAACGATTCACGACATAGCAAAAAAGACATTCACCCAGGGCCCTTCACCGATATCTTCCTTTATTCGTCGATCTCAATCGCTCACCACTTCCTGGCTTCACTTGTCCTCTCCCGTCATTCACAAGTCCGAATTCACAGTCTTACACTCGTCCACGTGCCCGACTGCCTAAGGGAAGTTTGCTGCCTGCCTCGTCCCTCCTACACTCCCCAAACCAACCCAATCCCCCACCCACCAGACCAACTTACTTCCATCACCACCATGGCGCCCAACAAACCCGGCCCACTGCAAGCACTCCGCAGGAAAGCGGCCTCTCAAGCCAAACTCACAAAGGTGAACACATCCAGCACCCCTTCGACAGCACTTTACTGACCATTCATCTCGAGAAGACTGCCCTCGCTGGCTCGGGATACCGCAACCTCCAGCGCCGCAACGCCGCGGTCACTGGGGCCTACCACCCTGAAAACGACACCCAGGAAGCGGTCATTGTGCGCGCTCTCTCGAAGCCGAAACCGAATAAGGTGGTCGTAAGTGACCGCGTCTGACCTTCTGAGGTAACCAATCGGCTCAAGAACGTCACTGATTGATGCGTGAACATAAGAAGACGTCCCTCAAGCCGCGCATCGCCGCACCAAAGCCAGACCAAGCGCCTCCAGCAAGACCGAATACCGAGTATTGGCTCAGCTACGGCGGCGTCTCCCCACCAGAAACCACAGAAGAAGTGTTTCCAACGACTACGGTGGCGGTGGCGCGCATCGCCGGCTGGAGGCTCCATTCCTTCACCGACAGTCTGAAGATGCTACTCGACGATATCGTGGCCTATGATGAGATCGCGGTCACCTCGTTGAACATCGGGGGTGAAATCGTGGTGGACGTTCGGATCTTGTTCGGGACGGAGATGGCGGCGATGGCGGCGAAGGGAGGGTTGGATGGTGAGATGCTTGATGGGAGGAAGTTGCGGTTGGGCTACATCTGATGGAGCGATGGAGCGTTAAAAAGCGGTTGTGTGACCGGAGCTGAGTAAAAGTAGTTCTATGGCTTTGAATTAATGCTACGATAAGGTGTTGTCAAATTCACGTAGCCTGATTATCAACGGCCACCACAAGCGCAGCCTCCTGCTTCTGCCCGTCCAGCTTCTCCATATCCTGCTTGTCGAGCTCGAAGTCGTAGATGTCGGCGTTTTGGGCGATGCGGCCGGGGTTGTCGCTCTTAGGCAATGGAACCCAGTTCTTCTGCAGACAATATCGGACGAGCACTTGTGCTGTTGACTTGCCGTGCTTCTCCGCCACGGACGAGAGGTCTGGATCCTTGGCCTTCTGGTTCCGGACGAGCGGGCAGTACGCTTCGACGATGATGTTGTTCTTGTGGCAGTAGTCGACGATTTCTCGCTGTTGGAGCCAGGGGTGGAGCTGTTGCAAAAGTCAGCACTAAGCACAGAATTGAATAATAAATGGAACAAACCTCTAGCTGATTGACCATCGGTGGCCAGACCTTCGCATACTCCTTCATCTTCTCAATGTGGCCAATGCCGAAGTTGCTCACACCAATCGACTTGATCTTGCCCTCTTGCTGCAGCTTCTCCATCGCTTGCCACATCAACTTAATGCTGGCTGCGCCCGGAGAGGCGTTGTGAATCAACATCAGATCAAGATAGCCATCCTTGCCGCCGATCTTGTGTACACTCTCGAGGCATTTCTGGTACGTTGCTGCATCGTCCGAGCCGGGGGATAGGATCTTGCTTGTCACGTAGATGTCTTCCCGTTTGAGGCTGGATTGCTTGACGGCCTCGCCAACTTCAGGTTCGTTGCCATAGACTTGGGCTGTGTCGATGTGCCGATATCCGACCTTTAGAGCTCCAAGACATGATTTTGTTGTGAGGTGAGAAGGACTGTCCCAGACGCCAAAGCCCAGCAAGGGGATGGCTTTGCCGCTTGAGAGCTTTGCTGTGGATGTGATAGTGAGGCCTGACATTGTACTTTCCGGCAATCCTGAGGTGGCTCTGATGAGGTTGAAAAGCTGCAATGTCACAAGTAAGGAAGAGGATTTAGATTGACAATGCATTGACGATGACGCTGCCGAATCTGGAAGCTGCATTCACTCCGAACCAATCGGGCCATATTCGGCGACATTCAGATGCAAAGGAGAATTTAACCTCATCTCTACTCACCAAAAATTGTCCGTCAAAGATGGTGCTCGAAGCAATACGCTACAAGGAAGGCCAACTCCAAATCCTCAACCAGCTGAAGCTACCGCACCAAGTAGAGTATGACAATGTCCGCTCTGCTGAAGATGGCTGGCATGCAATCAAGGAGATGCGGACCCGTGGCGCCCCTGCCATTGCGATAGTTGCGGCGCTATCGCTTGCTGTTGAGCTCCAGACGATTACGACGTCGGATAACGTGGAGGAGGTGCTGGCGTTCATCCTCGAGAAACTGGACTATCTGGTCACCAGCCGCCCGACTGCTGTCAATCTTTCCGATGCTGCGAGGAAGCTGAAGCGTATTGTTGAGAATGCGGCGAAGCATGACGGCAGTGACGGGGCGGCGGTGTCGAAGGCTTACTGCGATGCGGCTGCGCAGATGCTAACTGATGATGTTGCCGACAATGAAGGCATCGGCAAACATGGAGCGGAATGGATCATGAAGCATTCCGAGGGAAGCAAAGTGAGCGTGCTTACACACTGCAACACAGGGTAGGCTCAGTCTCGATCTGGTGAAACGAATGCTACTGACCACCACAGCTCTCTGGCCACTGCTGGCTACGGCACCGCACTAGGAGTCATCCGCTCATTACATGCCCAAAGCTCTTTGCAGCGAGCCTTCTGCACGGAAACCAGGCCCTACAACCAAGGCTCCCGCCTCACAGCTTTCGAGCTCGTCCACGACAAAATCCCAGCTACGCTCATCACAGACTCCATGGCCTCAGCATTACTCCGCCTGAAAGGTCCAACGGAGAAGATCGCAGCCATAGTCGTTGGCGCGGACCGTGTAGCAGCCAACGGCGACACTGCGAACAAAATCGGTACCTATCAACTCGCCATAACAGCAAAACACCACGGCATCAAGTTTCTGGTGGCAGCGCCCCGGACGACGATTGATCTACAAACGCCGTCTGGCGACAGCATCGTTATCGAAGAGCGGCCGGGGAAGGAAGTAACCATGATCAAAGGGCCACGATTCGACGGAGTGGATGTTGATGTCAACAGTACGGAGGTTGTGAGTATTGCTGCCAGCGGAATCGACGTCTGGAACCCTGCTTTCGATGTTACGCCTGCCAGTCTGATAGATGGCATCGTCACTGAAATTGGCGTGGTGGAGAAGGGGGAGGATGGGAAGTTTGATCTGACTTTGGCGATGGAAGCACAGAACGAGGGTATTAAACCGACGAGCGTGGGAGGGCTGTGAAACAAGGGAGGATGCTTTACATGGGTAAGCCTTGAACACGCCACTCGGCAATGATTTATGAACACGTCATTAAGATGGGCTATACTGAATTATCAATACATACGTCCTTACACCGAATGGCCCGGGTCTCCATCAATCCATTCAAAACGCTCATTCACCAATGTGGACTTTGCTGACCACCAATTGATCCATGTGGAATTATAGCCGCATAGCGTAACGCTAATACCCCCAAGACGTCTCAAGCTGATCCAACGGCATGCCGACAGGATGGCATTTGATGTCAGCATATCGGCCAGCGACTATTTGATAAGTTCCAGACAGCCCAAGCGCACGACTTACAACTCCAGCGTCGAAATCCTTGATCTCGAGGAGCAGTGCCGGCCACTCGGTCATTTCGTTGTACCCAGTATCTGCATCTGGACCCTGCTCCAGAGAAGGCTCGAAAATTGTGATGGAAGTAATTACCTTGTGCCCAAAAATGGCTTTGTTTAGGATTAAGGTCCATGCAACGTCCTAGCATCTCGGGAGCGCCAGGAGAGCGTAGAAAGCCCTGTGAAAAGACAAGTCAGTGCATCGCTTTTCATCAAGGTATTGCGGCGAGATATTGACCAATGTCCTGCTTGAAAGGTTTGGCGTTTCTTTAACCATCCTCCGCGCTCTCCTCCGTCCCACTCAGGCACTCTTGCGAGCCACGAGCTTCGAGACCGAAGACAGTATGCAATGGCCGATACTGATTGCTCGTCGTTCATGCTCGCTACAACGACATAATTGAGGTGGTCCTGTTCAAGTTCAGTCATGGCCGTACCTATCGCGCTGGAAGTTTGTCTGCTACTGAGTGATGGGAGGCCCCACAGCCATGCTGCAGGAGCACTAATGTCGCTCGAACCTTCTTGCAGCATGTTCGAGTGAGTGATCCGACAGATGAGTTTGAGCATACTGGGAACAGCCGTCGTGTGGATCGCAGCGGGCGCCTCCTTCTGAAACGCATCTTGTTCAGGGGGTCTGATCTTGGTGACTTTGCTTTCCAACAGGACCATGACGCCGTCCATGGGATTGCAAGTCATATCAAGCAGGACAGGCTCAATCTTGGAATTCTAGTCAGCAAGGCAGCAGATGGTGGACTGTTCTCACTTACCTTGTCTCCCTCTTTGGCGTTGGTCCGGAAGGTGTACTCACAGCGAAACCGCCAATTGGGGCCAGGATTATACAAACCATCCACCATGCGAAATCTGTCGCCTTCCTCCAAGTCAGCCCCCCGCTGGTTGTCCGATTTTACTTCCTTGGCAATCGGGAGGTGTTGTAGGATCTTCGACATCGGACTATACAGCTTGCGCTTCATGTTGCCTGGCAGCCAATGCATTGCACGATCGCCGGTGACTCTTGGACCATTCCACCGAATATCGTCCAGCAGCCGCGACTGCATGACACACCAATCGCCTTCCTTCGCTTCTGCTGGCGCAATGAGAAGTTTCCGGAACTTGTTGATGCTCAGCTCGAGGAGACTTTGTATCCCGCTAGTCTCCATTTCACCGATGGACACTACTTTCGGGTGCGGTAAGCCGGTATAGGGGTACGGACGTACGCCCGGGCTCGCTGGGTAGCCTGGAGTCGGACCAACTTGGCAGTCTTCTCCCAGTCTCACAACGTTGACTGGTTCGACATAACGACTATGCGTACCCTGCGGACAAAGTGCTGCCTGTAATTGGTTTTCCAGCTCTTGAAGCGACAGTGCGGACAAACTTGGTCTTGCCTGAGCCTGGTTCGCCGGCTTCCAGGGCGGTAAAGCCAGAGGGCCGCCTGTGTACTTTGTGGATTGCTTATTGCTGGCGCTTTGGCGCCTTTCTGGTTGCATTGTCTTCGCTTCAGCGTTGGAAGAGGACCGATCAGTTGCGTCGATGGAAGTTGGAGTAGTGATTCGTAGTTATTTGCTTTTCGATGATTTCGAGGCTGTCGATGGAGATTTGGATCTAGGCCTGTCAGTATGCGGGAATGCAGGGGCTGGGAGACTTGAACTTCTGTGGGATCGTGGTACCGACTGGCTTTCGCTGATGAACTTTGCTCAAGAGTGTTGTTACGGATGTGGAAGAAGAGCCCCTCGAGGAAGTGCATACTCCCTTAAGTACCCGCTGCAAATGCGTTTGCTGCTCTCAAGTCAGTCATTCACCGAACATTATACAGGTCCGCGTTACCATACCGCATTCAATGAAGCCTCGCCATGGCACGCTGATGCAAATGCTGAACTGTGGCGTGTAGGAAAACGACGGTCCATCATTCAATGTTCTCCTCGTCGGTCCCCCGACCGTGGTGTGTAGTAGAAACCTGTAGCCTGCAATCGGGGCGCACAAGATTAAGTGTTCGCAGAAATGAGCAATAATAAGAAAAGAAGATGAGCTCTCCATCAAATAGCTACTTGTACTTACCATCACCACCGAAATCTCACCTGTGTACACCGACTTCTACAGGCTTCTTGAATCATGGATGTCGGCATTGCTCTCACATCACTCATACGCTGTCCTCTGTCCACTGCAAATTCGAATTGGACAACACACCGTTGGATGGTGGTGACTCAAGAGTGAATGGGCGGGCAATCAACATTGGGAAAGGCCGGACCCTTTTTCAGACGCCACTCATTGCGTACTTTAGTCGCCTCTGGCATTGTGTCATCCGCAATATCTTTGATCTCGAGGAGCAAGCACGGCCAGTCCCTCATGTTGTAGTGGCCCTTGCACCAGCCGCCAGCCGACGTCGTTTGTGTTGGTAGGAAGATTGTGATACTGCTGATCACTTTGTGTCCGAGAGAGCCCTTGTGCAATATCAGAAACCATGCTACATCCCGACATGTCGGTAGCGAGAGCAGAGCCGCATTAGCCCTGCGCAGATATGGTCAGTCTCAAATTTAGCGAAAAGTCGACCTTTCGAAACTCACCAATGGCCAAGCTGAAATGTCTGACGACCGGGACCTGTCCTCGTAACATCCCATTCTGGTACCTCTCCGGGCAACACGTCACGAGAATCCAAGCACCGCCGGATTACTGCAATGGAGAATTCATCTTGGATGCTGGTCACAAAGACGTAGTTCAGCCAGTGTGCATGAAGGCTGATTGCAGTTGCACCCATGTTTCTGAGATGATATTGGTAGTCGCCAAGGCAGATAGCCTTTTCGGCAGAATCGTGTTTCGCAAACCGTTTTCCCTCGTCGGTCCAGTCCCACAACCATGCGAATGATTCTGAAGCATTGTTGATCCTGTTGCCTGTAGGTCTGGATTGAGCCTGGCGCCATACTCTAGCAAGTAGAGTGGGAAACATTGTTATGTCGGACATGACATGCATGTCTGGTCCGGTTTGAAATCTTGTTGTCCCAATGATGGAGCCCAAGTCCTCCCTCTTCAGTAACACGATGACGCCATCGAGCGGATTGCACGTTAGGTCGTACAATATGGGCTGTAACTGGAAATCATCGAAGTAGCACATACAGCAGTCTGGCTGCAGATCTCAGCTCTTACACTTTCCCCAGTGCTAGTCACAGGAGTCCGGTTCCGCAACTCTACTGACTCTACTGTAACGCGTCGATTCGGACCAGGGTGTTGACTGTTAATCATGCGATGTTCTTTGCTCAAGATCGATTCCTGGGCCCCATCGCCACTGATCTGCCGGGAACCTACCGTGAGGCGCTTCAGTATTCGACCGATAGGCTCGAACCCATCACTGTCCATGCTTGCTGGGCCACAGAGTTCTGGCCAATACGTTCGGGAGCTCTGCTCCAGCTGAATTAAACGACGGCTGCTCGTCTGACTCCGCAAGCTGACAGCAGTCTCACCGTCGACAAAATCTTCGAGTGAAGCCAATTTGGTGCTTGTAGGTTCGCCCAGTACAACACGATCCCACAACAGAGCCTCGTCAAGGCGCTTGCTGTCCTTCATGTGCCCCTTAGGCAAGCCGGACGCAGAGTTTGGTATTGGTCCAGTAGTGTGTATCCACTTGAGCGAGGGCGGCACAATGGATGGTTGAAGGTGCTGCCCGTCAGAAGGCTGTGACACTACGTTCGTCGTGCCCGCAGACCCATCCTCTTCGGGCACAGGAGGGTCCAAAGTGAAGTCCCAAAAACCTTGATCCCGACCAGCCAAGAAATCATCCATGAACTTGGCCAGATCGGGATCCGTGCCCCAATCGACTGTGACGAACGGCTCCATGGCCCCTTCATCAGGTGCTGCTTGATTTCAAGACATCGCTTGTGAGCTGGAGCTCGCCTCAGCCTGCTCAGTTGTCCTCGGAGGCGGATTCGGCGGTAACGCGAGGGGTCCTTGGCTTTGAGCATGTCTTTTGGGCGGAGAAATAGCACTATCGGCGCTCGGTCGCTTCTTGGGAGGCATATCTGATCGTGTTCGAAGGCAATTTGAATGAAAAGTATTCGAACAAATTTGTATAGCGGAAACAAGTGTCGATGTGGGCTGGCAGTGTACTTTATACAGCTGGCGGATTAGCTTGCTGGATTGGAGTCAGCAGCGTCCTCGACACAGCGGTGACTACAGGCCCTCCACCGTTTGCTCCAAGGCATGCGCACCTGCAAAGTGACGTACCCATACCCGCGCCTCTTGAATCATTGAGCGATCCGTGCCATCCACTCCCAACATCACGGGCAACTCCACCACCGGCCCTAGCGCCCACGACGATCTGCCTTGTTCCTCTTCTCCCCTCCCACACCCCCCTCAACGCCCCCGCACCTCCCTCACAGCCTCCCTCCTCAACCCACTCTCCGCAAACAGCGCCTCGATCAACTCCACCACCTCCTCCCCCGCAAACTCCAGACTCAACTCCCCTTCCTTCCACATCCACCTGATATCCGCCATACTGCTCTCCAGAATCTCCGCCAAATACTGGAACTTCAGCCACGTGGGGCAGTAGATGAAGGACATATCCTTCCCTTCACCCGTATCGCCTTCGGGAGGCTGGGTGAAGATGTCTCGCACGGAGAGGACGGTCTCGCAGAGCTGTTTGAGTTGCTGCGATTCAGGCTCAGAGATATCACCTAGGTCTTCGATCTCGGTAATCATTTTGGTGGTGGCGGTATTGAGTAAACTGCCCAGACTCTGCAATAGCGCCCCAGAGCTCAGTATAGGTTTCCACATCGCATGCACATCCCTCAGCCTCGCCACCGCTCCCTCAACCGCACCCTCACACTGGCTCTTTTGAGGGAACTGCGTACATCCCACGAATCCCTGCGCGCCGTCCAGCAGGTCGATGAGGATAGTGCGCTGCGCGTCCATTTCAGCCACATAGGCGCGTTTGGCGAAGACTTCTAGCGCGGTGAGGTCGCTGTCCATTTTCAGCCGTGAAGAAGGGGGTTGAGAGCTCTGCCAATTTCGCAGCTGGTCGGACAGGCGCGAGGCGTCGTTGTAGATGAGCATGTTTCCTAGGCCGTCGACTTTGGCGTAGGCGGTGGGTGCGGTGGCGCGGTAGATGGCGAGGGCGAGGGTGGGGAGGGTGTAGAGTGCTGCTGCTGCTGGGGCGAAAGGGGAGGAGGTGTATTGGGGTCCGGCTAGGGTTTGGGCGTCGGAGATGGTGGATTGGAGGATGGAGAGGATGCCGTCGGGGATGGAGGTGACGGTGAAGGTTTCGCGGAGGGTGAGAGATTGTTCTTGGGGTGAGTTGCCGTTGGGTTTGGAGGGACTGTTCGATGCGGTAGGTTGGGACTTTTTGGTGGCCACTGGGCTGGAGGGTTGAGATTTCTGGTCGTCATCACCCCAGCCCCATGCATCTTTTTCATCATCGCCGTTAGTACTTGCGTTGTCCTTGTTGGAGCGGTAGTCGTCGTCCTCGATATCCCAGGCGCTTGCCTCATCATCCTCGTCTTCTGATTTGGCTGGCTCGACGACCGGCTCTGGTGCAGATGGCTTACTCTCCTCTGGGTCATCCCACGCCGCATCCCAGTCATCGTCCTCGCCCTGAGTAGCAGTCATGCCCATTTCCTCCTTGCTGACCACTCTCGTCTCCACCCTTTCCACCGTCTTTCGTTCCCTCAACCCCCCAAACACTAAATTTCGTGCATCACCAAGAACGACTTCCCGCCGCTTCGTCAGCCAAGCTCGAGGAGCCTGCTCTGCCCATTCCCGTAATGGTCTAGTCCCCGACCACCCTTGCCCTTCCAGGTAATCCGTGAAGGCTTCAAGGTCCGCAAGCAAGTCTTGAAATTCAGGTATGCCTTCTATGGCTGTCGGTACAGCAGGGTCCAGCCATTGGTTTTCGAGACGTGCAGCAAGCGCGGATACAAGCTCAGCTGAAAGTGGCTCTATCACAGTGGCCGGTAGCTTAGAGTTCAGGAAGTCCGTGATCCGTCGTAGGTCTTCAAACAGCCCTTTCGTGCTCAGGTCACTGCTCTTCCCACAGCACGAGCATTTTCCATGTTTGACCTCCACCTTCGCCACCTGTTCGTCCTCATCGACATTCATTCTTGGTCTCAGTAGCGCTCTTTCGATATCCTTCGCCAGCTTCTGCACCACCCCATCAAAGATCCCCAACGCCTTCAGTCCCCACACAACAGTCTCGAGATCCAGCTCTTGCACCACAGCATCCGGCACATTGGCATCAATCCCATGCTTCTGCACCCTCATCCACCTCTCCTCCACACTGACTTGGACCAGCCCATCCCAGCACTCGGTAGTCGTCTCTGCCATTCCCCGCTTGAGTCCCTCTCTCTTCTGTCTCAGCACCTCGACTGCCCGCGGTCCCATTCGCCCTTCTAGATCGTCGGTTCTCTCCTCCGCTCCCCGCATCGTCTCGAACGAGTTCAGCACATCTGCTGTCACGGCTTGCTCGGCCGCCTTCTCCAACAACTCGTTGACTTCGTTTGCATCTTCCAAGGCAGTCTGCAAATGCTCGTTGAACTGTACCTCCCGCTCCAACAGCTTGACCTTGCTCCCGCTATCTTCGACTTCATCTTTGACCTCCCTGCCCTTCTCTGCATCTGCTACAATCTCCCTGGCTAGGTCTCGCGAGCGTAGTATATCCGCCTGGAGCGACTTAGCGTGGGAGATCCAGGAGTCAATGTCCGGCGCGGTATCTCGGGAGAGGGAGCGAATGGACGATTGGGCCTTCTCTTGTTCTGCTCGAAGAGACAACAGCAAGTTGGAGAGGGTAGAGGGGGTGAGGGTGGAGGAGGAGATGGACTCTGAATCCGGGTAGACAGAGGAGGTAACATAGGAGAGTATGGCCGGTGGAATGGGGTCGGCGGTGGCCATCTTCCGTCGTTGGTATAGGGGGGACTCAAAGTGCTGTGACCCTCCACTGCTCTCATCGGCTGTCGTTGATATTTGGTATACAAGGTTGGGTATAAGGTGCGGTCCGAGCCAGTCCGTTGTGGATTTTGTCGTCACCAACCAGCAGGCCGGGACAGACGAGCGGGAACTTGCAACATTCGAGTCGACTTCACTTCTTGAAGTACGGCCTTCACAGGGTGGCGTTTTGCTTAATCCTAGCATAATACTCCTGCGTCCCTAACACCACCATCGATAGTACCAACGATGCCGCTCACCAAATCCTCTCCATCGCCCGCTGCACGCGCCTCCTCCCAGTCTCGAGACAAAAGCCATCGTCACTCCGGATCTGGCTTTCATCCCTTTGGCGGACGTGTGAGCAGACAGTTTGGTAATACGGTGAGTCTTTAATCAACTGCCCACCTATCCACCACGACCGAGAACAACGCGACCATGGTATACACCACAGCATCACGCACTAACACCTCCCAGCTCTCGCCCGAGGAAGCCTACCTCTCCTACCACGACGTCCGCCTGACCTACGAAGACATCAAATGCCTCAAAGACGATTGGCTAACCGATAACGTCATCGCCTTCTGGGAAGAATTCCTCGAGCGCGAAAAGCTCTCTGCCTACCCGAAAGCCCACATTGTCCTGCTCCGCCCCTCCATGTCCTTCCTCCTCATGAACACCCGCGATCCGTTGTCGCTCAAATCCGCCCTCCCCGATTTTGCAAAGACGAGCCATATCTTCATGCCTGTGAACGACTGCCGGCAGGTCGACGTAGCGGAGGGCGGTAGCCACTGGAGTCTACTGCTCGTGAGCGTAATCGACGGCGTGGCGTTTCACTACGACAGCATGGGCGGGCACAACGTACACGAAGCCAGGGTAGTGTCGACACGGATATCACAACTGCTTGGCAAGCCGCTCAAATTCATCAACCTTGAGGACTCGCCGCAGCAGGAGAACGGCATGGATTGTGGGGTGTATGTGTGCTTGCTGATGCAGCATCTGCTGATCCAGAGGCTGTTGAAGGCGCAAGCGCATGACAAGATCAGCATGTCGATGCGGGGAAAGGAGGTGGATGCGCATGGGGGGAGGAAGCAGATGCTGAAGGTCATCGATGCGAGGCGGAAGGAGGGCGAGAGGCGGCGGTCGTGAGTCCTCCATGATGCATGGACTCTGAATATGGCTTGAGGAGGCGACTAATCTGCGTTTCGTGCTATAGGAGAAGCCACAGCCCTCACCCCGGCAGCATGTCACATCAGCACTCCAAATCGCGAAGTCCGCCACGGATCGGCGTCGAAAACGAAGATGACTAGGCGCCTGCGGAAATGACGCTACTACTATCTTGATGTGATTCGAACTGGCTTTGTATTCAGCGATGGCGTTTGGGAAACCTGTGCATAAGGTGCGGGAATGACGAAGGATTTGACGAGTACATGCGTGATGATGGGATTATGAAGGAGGGTCCAGCTTGTGGAGGCAAGCGGGTGGTCAAGAGCATGTGGTATCAGAGCAGAGCACTCGACAAAGATTCGGACAACCACTTACCAGCTCCGTGACCTACGACTGGCTCGAGTCGTCAAGAAAAGCAAACATGCGATACCCATTTCCTTTCTTCCAGCCTCGCAACTTGCTTCCTGCTTGATATAACCACCAGCGGAAGAGTATACTATCCTACATCAACACCTAGCTGCCTTTGGACTGGCAAGTGACCCGCAAATGCCCATCACACGGAGCACTTGGTCAACGCTAACCACCCAGGCCACCAGCATGCCCAACGCCTGCATCCCAGCCTCTGGGGCCTCACGATCGCGCTCGAGCGCAACGACCGCCGCCTCCTCGACCAGTCCCGAATCCGACTATCCTGAGCATCAGCCCTGCGAAGCTGTAGACGAGCACGATCCCTCGAGCGCCAAAGCAGAGACCGAGCCAGAAACGGACATCCGCCGCATCTCCCTACATGTAGAAGCAACGTCTCGCCAACGCATCAAGATCCCTGCCAAACCGCCTACCTTAGCAGGGACCCAGGCTTCAATTCTCGCCTCACGCCGTGGCGCCGTGAGCCGTGAACCCCTGTATTACGACATCGACGGCAAGACGATGACGGATAAGGGCTGGCTATCGCCCGTGGGATCCAAAGCCTCGACGCCGCCGACTGTGAACCCGGAGGTGAGAGAGAAGCTGGAAAGGGCTGGGCCGCACCAATGCTTCACGGTGGGCCGGGGGTGTGGGTGCTTGGAGGCGGTTGAGCGGGCGGACGAGCAGCTGGACACACTGGAAGCATCGTTGCAACCTCGAGGCGAAGGGATAGAGGGCAGTGCCCACCCTCCGTCGGCTGCTGTGTCGCCCCTGAGGTTAGGCCATGTTCCGGCACTCTTGGGACCGGTCAGCGGATGCAGCGATGAGGCTTCTCCCATAGATTCTGGTGGTAGGGCGGACGCTATTGACAGCAGCGTCTGGCCACGCCCAAGCGTACGCGAGCATGGCATTCCAGCCACATCCGAGCGACAAGTCTCTACGAACGACAAAGATCTAGGCATAGCCGACCTGTTGTTCCATGACGGCGCATCGGCAGATGGGGACGTGAGTGAGCTTAACTTGGACTCTGCACCGGGACCACGTAGCGACAGCGGAGACCGAACACGGAGAGGACGTACAGCGAGAGCACGCGTGCGCCGAATAGTTGCAGCTCGGAACCTTCCTCATCACCAGGCTCAAACAGACCAGAGGAGAATCTATCGCACGGCAGCAGTGATGTGGACCGACTCCAGCACACCCTCAAGCTTCTCTGGCAAAACCCACTCTACACGGATCTCAAAATCACCACTGGCAACTACGACTTTTTCTTAGTCCATCGCTGCATCATGGCCGCCCAATCGCCCCACCTCTCCCACCTCGTCAAAGACCACGCTGTCCCCGCCTCATCGAGCGGCGGTCAGGCGGGTCATGTGCTCGACCTAACTCCCGCAGACCCAGACGCCCTCGGCAGCATACTCCGGTATCTCTACACAGGCCTACTCATCGTACCCACCTACGCCGAAACGACACTCTCAGGCCCCGACCTCGCTTCCCTCGCCATCCTCCTCCCAATAATCGAACTGACAATGGAATATCAACTCCGCGACCTCCTCCGCGAAGCGAAGAACCAGTACTGCTGGACCACCTGCGCATGGCCTACGGGCCATCCTCTCCTTCTCGCCGAAGCGTTCGTCGCGACGTTCAAAGAGGAAAGGCTGTGGGAGATGCAGCAAGCGACGCTCGGGTGCACGTTAGCGTTCGCTGAAGAGCTCGTGAGCGATCAAGATGTCTACGACTTGCTGCTGGGCGCGGGGGAGCCGCTGAAAGTACTAGTGGTAGGGATGAGTAAGCGCATGCTGCGGGTGGAGGATGATGTGGATGTGTCGCCTTGCGTGATGAGTCGGGGGGATCGGAAGAGGGCGGCGAGGGCGGAAAGGGCGGCGAGGCTTGTGGCTACATGTAGGTTTGGACATCTGAGGAGGGTCTAATTTCTTATCGCGGGGGTTGGGGAGGTGGCGGTGGCGGCATAACGACGAGAGGGACTGCGTACAGTGATGTGATGGGCTCCATGGCCATGCCAATGGAGGCGATGGAGGTATGGAGATGATTCAGGATCACTACCATTCATTGGAGGTTCTAAGGACGTGAGTTCCATTCAGTACGTCGACTATTTGAAGCTAAAGCTAGCTATGTGCTCTTACGATGACGATGGTCTTTCAGCAGTAGCAAATACACCATATGTTGTTCCTCCAAGATCGTTCCGACATTTCTCTCTTCTCCCTTGACCTCCTGGGGATTAGCAATACTGCTCAAGAACACTCTGCAACCCCTTCCGCAAACCACTCTTTCCCGCTCCGTGATCTCTACCCCGCTGACCTTTGGCCTTCTTCACACTCTCAAACCCATCTCCCAACTTCCCTCCACAGGCCGCGAGCTCCTTGCGCAACCGCTTCTTTCTCTCTTGAAGTGAGGCGACAAACTTCTCATGCTGCGCAACATGGCTCCGCTCCATCTGTTCCACAAGCTGTACACCGCGACGCTGGTAGTCCTCCACGATGTCCGTGACAGCAGTCTCTTGATCGACCAGATGGCGAACGACTCGGTGAGCGACGTTGACGAGCTCGTCGAAGAGATTCATTTGGTGCGGGAGCAGAGCGTTGCGCCAAAGACCCAGATCGGACAGAGCGCTCGCTGCCTGGCTGTCCTGTGACGAGGCCTCGGAAGAAGGGGCAGTCGACAGGCTTACTGTCCGCTTTGCACCACGAGGAACGTGCTCTGGCTCGACGAGGGTCTTGTCGGGATCATCTACTTCTGCCTGCTTCGAGTTCCGCGTGTGTGCAAGTTCATCAGCGGAACGTCGTAGTTGCTCGATGAAGTTGGAAGAACTGCCGAATTGGAGGCGCGGCTGCTGGGAGTCTGACAAGTTCGTGAATGGATCCGTTTGCAGCCTCTCAGCCTGATCTTCGACCAGCAACTTGCCTTTCAAAGTTGTGCCGTGGGAGGTAATCGCTCGTGAGTGCTCTTCTGGCGGCGCTGGACGGGGCTTGATGTTGCTCGAGATTGGCTGTTGTTGAGCAGAAGGCGGTGCGAGCATCTCAGCCTCTCTGATTCTCGTAGGCCTGGTGGTGGCGTCCGGCTTGCGAGCAATGACGGTGTCAACATAGCCAGCATCAGAAGAGACATTGGCCTGCTGGGAGAACACCTCAAGCACAGTGGCCTTGCCATCCACAACCATGCCATCTGGGATTGGACTGCCAAAGATGTCGACCTTCTGCGAGCCTTGGGATGCGTGCCAGCTGGGCTTTCGTGATGGATGATTGGCAGCTTTGGTCGTGATGGCAGTGTCTGGACTCAAAGTGCCAGACTCATGTCGGAGCAACGGGGCGGCGACACTACCCGTGGTTCTACGCTTTTCATCGTCCTCCGTTGCAGCAAATCTTGTGGTCCTCTGCACTCGTTTCGAGGGCGGCTCGTCAAAGAGAGAGGGCTCTAGCTTCCGCTTGCCTCGCATCTCAGTAGCGCTTCCTGCGGTAGCGGTCGTGCTAGGAACTCCAAGCTTGGTCGATCTGATGGGAGGCTGCTCCATCGCAGGCTTGGCTAGTTGGGCTTTGGTAACATTCGATGCTCTCGGTGATCGAGGCTTGAGTTTCGGAGGCGGCATAGCTTGCTGTGAAGCTGTTGGCTCAGTGGTCTTGGCCAGCTCTGCGGCTTCTTGCTCGTCAATAACGTGTGTTGTGTCCTCGAAAGCTTCGATCGACGTAAAGCCATCGTCTTCCTCGTCCGCGAGTGGCGGCAAGGCTGTCTGGTTCGCGCTACGATCTGTAAGACGCACGGATGGAGGCTTTGCAACAGTCGGCTGTACCACCGGCATGTAGTCTTTCTTCATGAAACCGGCGAGTGCATCTTGAACGTCAGTAGTCACGTTCTTCATGGGTGCCGGCTTCTCCATCTTCGCAGGTCTCCCGCTCGCTGCCGTCGATGATGGACCACCAGTGGGTCTGGCTTTGCCCTTCGCCGGTGCCTCTCGAGGTGGGTCGGAACTGCGATCTGTCCAGGCTGACCCAGGAGGACTCTCCTTTGCAGATGACCTGCCCTGATTCATTGGGCCATCCTTGTTGAAGCCAATGATGACCGCCTTCCTCGTCGTATCTGGATTGACGAAGCCCGCTGAATGCGGTGCTGGAGTCTGCTCAGCTCGCAACGGAGGTGAAGACCTCATGACTGCTCGAGTCTCCGCGCTGGGTCTAATCTGCATTTCGGCATTTCCAGTAGCGTGTTGTTGAGCTCTGCGGAGAGCAGGCGGAGAGATTGAGCTACGCTCAGATGATAGCTGATCAGGAATGACAATCGCATCGTCTTGGCTTGCACCAGGAACTGACCGTGGAAGTTGCTTTGTAGTAGAGCGAGATTCCGCGTTGCTGCTCTGCTCACGCATGGCAGCGCCTTTCGCTGAGTTCGCCCCCGGCCTCTGACGCTTGTTGGCGGCTTTGTCGCTAATCAGGGGCCCGTTCGCCTTTCGCTGATCAAGCGCCAGCGTGTCTTCGTCGTAATAGTGCAGCACCTGCGCTTCGAAGTCCTCCAGTGTCTCATCTCGCTCTGCGACGACCACAGACTCATTCTCCTTGTCTTCGTCTTCGTCAGCGAGCAGCTTCACTTTCTGCTTGCTGCCCGGTACTTTCGTAGCTGCTGGCGGTGGCTCTTCGCTTGCGCGTCTCATCCTGTTCCTGACTGTGTTGCGCGTAGACGCACTCGCAGCTGCGGTTGCTTTCGAGGGTGGTTGCTTGGTAGAAGTCATCTTGGCACCAGAACGAACATTATGCACTTGCGCCTGTGCGGCTCGCGAACCACCGGGTGCGGCTTTCTTCTGGGGCTGTGCGGCTCCCTTTCCTTTTGAGGGCCGTGACTTCTTCGCTGGCGGGGGCGAGTCCTCGTAGGAAGACTCGGAGAGGTCGTACACTGCGTCTTCTTTCGCACCACGCTTCGGCTGAACTCTTCCAGTAGTCTTCGAATTGGCCAAGGCCTTTGACTGCACAGAAGGCTTCTTTAGACCAGAGTTTCCGGCGTCAACGTTGCTGCCGCTCGGACTAGATGTCAGAGCGGCTCTTTTGCGCTTCGACACAGCTGCTGAAGCGTTGGAAGACGAAGGTGCGTTATGAGCGGCACGACCCTTTCCTTGCAACGGCACTTTCTTGGTGGCAGCAGGCTTCAGCGTTGCCTCGGGGCTCTTTGCCTTCGGAGCCGATGGCTGCGAGCCAACATGATTAACAGAAGCCGTCGCCTTCTTCGGTTGCGTGGACAGCGCAGTCGCCGCGGGTTTGACCGAGGTCGCAGTGCTGGGCGTCGCGCTGGATAAACCTTGTCTTGCTCGAAGAGCATCCACAGCAGATGGTCGACCGGCCATGACTGGAGCTGGCGTTGCTTTCGTGCCGGTGATGCTCGGAGTCGGCAGCCCGCTAGGCTTCTGCGCTACAGGTCGCGTGTCAGATTGCTGTGTCGGTTTTGCCTCATGAGGTGTCTTCGAAGTGAGTGCGGTTTGCTTCTGACTGCGCTGGCTCGCGCCTGGGATGTTGTCTACCTTATGTCAGCTAGATTCAAGCACAAGTGTGCAAGTACTCACATGCGCTTGACCGGGCCTTTCTTTGCTGCGTGCTGTCGCCAGTCTCCTTCTGAACAGTAGCGCCTCTTAAAATCAGCTCGTCTATAGCACCCTGCGCGATCTGCTGAGCGCCGTCCTCGTTGAGGCTCTTGGGACGCGACTGCTCTTCTTGCGGAGCTTGAAGGTTCTGCGAGTCGCGCGCTACTGTTGCCTTCTCCTTGGTCAATCTCTTTGTCGCGTACGGGCTGACGGCGTAGAGCTCATCGTCTTCACCGTCTTGCTCGTGTAGCCGCTGTGGTGGTTGAACGGCGCCGCCTTGGAGAGCCTCAGTTGCTTTCGGGTACGAATCCTCCACGATCTCAACACGCTCGTCGGCCGCGGGTGGTCGCTGCGTATCCAGTGGTGATGACTCAGCCCCCTGGCTAACGTTCAGCGCTTCTTCACTCCGAACACTGCTGATCTTAGGAGCCATGTTAACACATCGTGAACAGGATGCTTATGCGGGGTGGTTGCAGATGAAGTGAGGTTGAAGTAAGGTCCACGTGCGGGAGGCAACCGCAAGGAAGGTGCAGACCAACATGGGCTGCACTTTCCTCATGGACTGCGCAGGCTGAAGACCTCTCGATCTTAATATTTTACAAGAATACTTACTGCTACACCATCTGCCTCACGAACTGATCCTCTTCTTGCAGTAAGTGATCCTTTGCCTTGCTCTCAGACACCCGCCGCTTCTCTCGCAGCCTTTCATCATCTCCGTCACCGTCGCCTTCGTCGTTACCACCATCTGTTAACGTCCGCTCACCATCACCAAAAACCTGCTTGAAGAAGTAATCATAGCTCAGCCACACAGCCTTGAAGATCGCCCCGAGCAAGCTACGAAGCCAGGTAGGTATTCTGCCCTTGTCATCTGCGAACATCTTCCCCAAAGCAAAGATCGCTGCAACAATTGGACCCCATACCGCGAGAAAGATGTACGATCCAACACGTTGTCTTGCGGTGGTGACAGTGTATGACCTGATGTTGAGCAGGTAATCCTGGTACTCGTACGGCAAGCCCAACTCCTTAGCACCATCCGTCATCAGCTTCAGATACCGCGCCGAAGGCTGCGCGTAGCTCATGTCTGGACGCTGGAACCGACCACCATCTTTCGGCGGAGGCTCATTTGGCGGCACCGCTGGCGCGAACAGTGTGTGCGCCTTGAACGGGGGCAGGGTTGGGTTCTGCGGCACAGGCGCGTCCGGCTTGTTGAGCGGCAACGGATGGCAGTCTACTGTGATATCGTGGTATGATGCGCCACCGCCCTCCGTCGCGATGATGTGCGCATAGTCTTCAGCCGTGACCTCGTACACCACGCCTATCAATCCCTTGTGCCATCGGTCTTTGTGGTATCGATCCTCCTTCGCGATCAACGGCGACTTTTCGTTCTCGGCATTTGGCGGCGGGTCATTGTCTGGATCTCGAGTACCTGAGTTGGCGAAGCACGGCTCTGCATACGGTATTCCAGGCAAGTCGAACGTCAACCGCAGCGTCGGAACCTGAACATTGACCTGCGACAGCGGCTTGATCCCTCGATCGCCTCGGAATTTCTCATTCGACAAGTTGGAGCCATAGCCAAGGTAGAGATATGTTTTGCGGACGGACTCGGGTTGTTGCAGATGATTGAGAAGGTCTTGGGGAACACCGCCGGGATGTGTAGCAGCTTCGGAGGGCAGAGATCGGGCTGAGGTGTGATCGGTCATACATGAGCTTCGTTTGGTCATCGTGGGTATTGTGCTGCGAATGGCTGCTGCCGATGCCTCAACTCGAGCAGTCCCTGAGTCTGCCATTGTGCTTTGTTTGATCTTTAAGTAAACGAACGACGCAACAACAATAAACCTAATACTTCTCTTTGACCCTCTTGCTTATCAATTGACCTCTGGTCGACATTCGGAGGCGGCCATATTTTGGCCCGAAGCTCCGGAGACATTGACGACACCACTCGGGGAACGACAGCGACTGCACTATACGACGGAATCTCGTGACTATTGTGCAGCATGGCGCCCGAGCAGCCCACCGCGACCGCGAATGCCAACAGTTCGGAAGAGGCAGACCTCGCGAAGGTGCGCACACCGTGAAGGCCAGCCCCGACACATCCATCTAACGTCCAACGCACAGGCCTTCCAGGAGCTAGCTAAGGGTGAACGTACTGCTACTGCACTCGAAAATCAGCTGAACAGCATGGAGGCGCGGATAGAGGCTCTGTTGGCACAGGCCGAGAGAGAAAAGCAAGAAATGGAGCAGATGAGGGCGGCGGGCGAGAGTGAAGGGTCTGAGCAGGATCGGGGAGGGAAAGAGGATGCTTGAATGGATACTGGTTCTATGGAGCCGCGATAGTAGACCAGCGTGAGATGGTTGCAGCTGTTCGGCCGTCTCTTGGGTGCAAGGAGGAGTGGTGAGATCGCCCTGCGAGGGAGCTGTCATGTTGCCTACGACCACGCGTTGGATGACCTCCGTCAGCCCGGCGCAGTGAGTTGGAGTCATGCCGAGCGTTCGGCGGACGTGTTCTGGGTCATACCACCACGACACCGACTCACCCACACAGTTGAAACTGTCTGGCCTACCTATCCATTGCTGTTTGTCTCCAATGGAGCCCAGCTCTGGAAGGGACGCGTGCCACAGCACAAATGATCCCGAGCGCGGCTGACCAATTTCATGCTCATATGCAGACACTTGCTCGGTATCGTAGCAATGAGTAATGGAGAGGTTGACTGTATTGAATGAATCATGCAAACAATTTGCCCCTTGGATGTATAAGGCACACTCTGCGTGCCCTTGGGTTCAGAGATTCATTCCAACTACCTCATCACTCCAACATCTCCATTCTAGCCCGCGTACTAATACAGCAGTCGATACGAAGCATCGACTATCGACTACAACATTCAAAACGTCACCTCCGTCCTCCATGGATGCCCGGCGGTCGGACGACAATGCATCTGGCTCAGCTTTCCAACACCATGTAACAACGTTGTATGATTTACCTCCAACCTCGTACTTTAGCTGGAGGCCTAGAAGTGCGCCCCCGTCTTCGCAACCTGTTCGGCCTGCTGATGACGAGCAGTTGCACGCTGCTGTGCATCGTGGTCGGTCCGGAATCCATCCTCACTTTCTCGCCACCTGGGAACAGATTAAGGGCAGCGAAGGCATGAAAAGACGCGACCGCCTTCTCGCCATGTCTCCCGGGACCAGACAGGAGACCACTGCTAAGTACAATTTTGACGTAATCCACATAGCATCCAGCGAACGTGTTCACGGCCTGGACCCCTTGCTCCCGATGCTTCAATCTTTATGGGTCGGTGATGTCGCCCGGCCGCAAGACGCACCGCTATCTAAGCAATATCGTACTGTTCGCAAAGTGGAGACTGGCCACAACCCCGGGCCGAATCGACTGCTTACGGTGAGCCAACGGCAACCTTACTACGTCCGTGGCGACGAGGAAGCGCCGGTATGACGGCAGTCCTCTATGCTTGGCGGTCCATATACTGACCTACATTCTACTAGCCTACAAATGCGTGGCTTCAGACTACCTGCAATCCCTTCGATGGAGTGCTGGTGATTGTAGCCCGTTCCACGCCAACGGAGATTCTGCAACAACGCGGCTCGCAACATGACGCTCCCTTACAGATTGGACACACGGCGTTCTCTGAAAGCATCATCGCTACATGGAAAGCTTGCCATAATAGCAGCACACAGCCCCGGAATGATGAGGCCACGACATGGTTGTTTAACGGCTAAAAGATTGCGAATACAAGGTATCACACACTCGGCCCTATGCGCAGGTGGTTGAATTACGTCGTCGTCGCTAATTTTCGGTACGCATCGGACATTAGCATCATGCTCCGGTGTCTGGGATCGAGACTATGCGGCACGCATTTTCCGGCGTGGGGTGATACTGGCAATCCGCACCAAGCCTTTGCGCTCGGGTCTTGGTAATTCCCACTGTTGCTTGTACAGTGAATGCGTTGACATGTAAGTAGGCCTTACTATGCGCTGTTGGGCCTCGAAAGTTGTCAGGATATCGTCTTGGTCTTGATTCAAGGCAAACTGGAACTCGGTCACAAAATTGTGAAGTCTATCACGATCTTCCAACCCACGCCGCAGCCAAGCGGCAAAGGCTACTACGACATGTCCGACTGGCCAGCTCTCCTTCTCGAGATCGACGATTACAAGGAGGAGTATATCGTCGAATCCGACAAAGGAGGGATCACTTATGACGAAACCGGGTTGAATCGTCCACCGCTGATGAACAGTTGGTGGGAGTCCCTCAATACAACACCGCCGAATGCCTCATGAGATGCGGGTCGGTTTCGTTCGAAGAGCCCGTCCCTATGAGACACTGTGGAGGCTGATCCCCGTCTCGAAGAAGCAGGACTGGACTTTGATATCATTCACCAACGACAGTGACCTCGAGAAGGCTGTTGGTTAAGGGAGAACCGTTATCCAGGAGCAGCTTCTCGCCACTGGCGATGCAGTTCAGAACGAGCGGGCCATGCCGTTGTAGCCTGTTCTTTGGGCTCTCACCTTGTCGTCCTGCGGTATGTAGCTGCTGAAACTAATCTGCCTGCGAGTAATACGCGGTTCCCTGCGCCAACACCGCCGATGAGGCGGTGACGTGCTCTACGATTGCTCATGTTATATGATCGAGGAGTTTGCCGTTTTGCGAGGACCGCATAGTCTTTCAATGCCTTCCGCCTGAATCAAACATTAACGTCTAAATGAACGTTACATTAGCTCCGGGTGCTCCCGTGCCAAGCATACCCAAAAGTTCGACCCACGCTAACAATTTGAAGATTCAGTCTTCACCAGCACCTCAGCTGCGCCAGACGTCCTACAACTTCAATCAGATCCACACGAAGTCACAGCGGCGGAAATAATAGCGCTGCTGACCATAAAGACGGACCGAGCCCAAAGCCAGCGACACAGCCACAGCGACACGGCCAATAACTTCCAGCATGCCCGGTATACCTAGGCTGTCCCTCGTGGAGGGCTCATTCGAGGAGCTAGCCGGAGAGCTCGCAACATATCTGGACAGTGTGAAAGGTGAAGGTTCGAACGTTGCCGGCGATATCAGTCCACATCTTCAAAGCGCAGAGAAGCAGGAGGAGGGACAACAGACCGACAAAGATGCCGTACTCAAGAAGCTGGTGACTGCGAGCTCTGTCTTGAACTCTGCCCCTGAACGCGAACTTCAGGCTGCCTACAACCTCCTCATCCACCTCATCTCCCAATCACAAGATCCGGAGAACTACCTCCCCCCAGTCTGCCGATACTTGTCCTCGCCCATCACCTCTTCACCTCACAATGGCACCGGCATCGCGCTTGGCATACTGGGAACGATCTTCAACGCTGTGCAGCCGGACGATGAGACACGGTACTTCGTGCTGTTATCGATTGTCAGCGTGATCAGGAACTCTGGCAACTACGACACACTAAGGCCGCAGCTGAAGAACCTTGACGGCTGGCTGCAGGAGTGGGAACTGGAAGATGACCAGAAGCGCAAGCTGTACCTCGCAGTCTCTGACGCGGCAGCTGCCACGAACGAGGCAGACGATAGCTACCTCTACCTCATCAAGGCTTTGCGCACCCTCCAAAGCGACCCGTCATCCGCAGAGGCCCGCGAGTTGTCAATCAGAGCACTTAAAGCAGCTGTGCAGATCGAAAAGCACTTCGACTTCGAGGATCTCACCGCTCTGGACAGCATCCAAGCATTACGCAAGAGTGATCAGACGTGGTCTGAGATCCTTGAGCTTTTCAGCTCGGAAAGCTACGAGGATTTCCAAGACTTCAAGGAGTCCAACCCGTCTTTCTGCTCGGACAACGGCCTAAACGAAGACATCCTCGACCGCAAAATGCGTTTGCTCACTCTCGCATCGCTCGCAGCACAGGCATCTTCAACAAGAACGCTGCCTTACAGTGCTATCGCACGAGCTCTCAATATCGCAAGCGAAGACGTTGAGATTTGGGTCATCGATACCATTCGCTCCGGACTCGTGGAAGGCAAGCTCTCGCAGCAGAAGCAGGAGTTCCTCATCCATCGCAGCACTTACCGGGTGTTCGGCGAGAACCAGTGGCGGGAGGTCGCGAGTCGTCTGGAGACGTGGAAGGGCAGCCTGGTGAACGTGCTTGCCGTGATCCGAAGTCAGAAGGAGGAATTCGTCCGTGAGAAGGAGGTGGAGTTGAACGGCTCCGGTATCCAGAGTGGCCAGGGCTACAGGCCTGATCGAAGGCAGAGGAACGCCGCTCCGGCTGTGGAGGTGGAGTAAACGGAGCGGCAAAGAAGCGGCATTTGTTTGAAGGCATCATGGTTCATGTGTCAGCGCAGGAGTTACGGGGGCATGGCAGCACCTGGAATGGTGTGACATCTGAGGGCGGATACGACATGAAGACTCCACCTCGAAGCAGGATGCAGTGGTCATCAGTGGAGCATGTGATCTGTAACGAAGGGATAGAAGACCTACAAAAGCCAAGCTTCAAATGCTACGAGACTGGCCACAGAACCACCATTCACATCGTTCGACGGGCGTGTTTCCCATCTCTCCACTTCGACCCACTGGTGTTACCAAGGCCCTAGAACAGGTTCTCGTGGTGTACGGACAGCGAGCTTCGTACCACTGGGCATCTGTCTGGTGACTCTACTTGCTGGGCTACTTATGCATGAGATGGTGGAGGTCGCGAAGCTGAAAGCTTCCTGCTCGTCCAAGCCAGGACATTCAAGACGATAGGGAGATCGGGTCTGAGTTGTCTCTGGGCCATGCAAGCACAGTCGGTGCGCTTACACACATTGCATTTGAAACAGATCCTGTCTTGGAACGCCGGCAGCTCAAAGACCATCGAGGTGCGCAAGTGCAGATTGTGTGGTGTAAACCGCCACCTTCCAACGAGTACCATGACTGTATACCTCCGTTCCCATATCAAGTCTACTTCACCACTGCAGCAGCGGCAGTAGCAGCTGGTCCTGGGTTTCCTGGACAATTTGCACGCCGCCTGCAACGAAGCGGGACCATCGTGTGGGACGACAGGACCGATTCAACGTGTCAATATCATCTTGAATTTTACCTCGAACCACTTCCGATGTGCTGTCCTGCGCTCATCATCAGTGAGAAGAAAGCATCTACCGGACTCAGGCCGGTCTCGCGCCTTCTCTCTTTACCTGGCAATGGACTGGAATTATTGTCGTCGATGGGCCGAATTGGGCACATGATGACCTTTTATGGGTAGTCCTTCCTCAACACACCGACCTGGCTAAAGCAAAAGCGTTCGACCAGCACCGTCAGCCGCAAGACCATTTCAGGCACGAGGAACGTGTGACACGGTCTCCGAACTGGGCGTACACAATGAAGCAGCTTAGGAGATTCTGGGTGGATGGGGGAGGCGGCGGCATGGAACTGACGCTCGCCTAGTACAACAAGGACCCTGGCAGACCCGGAATTACCCCTGTACCACGGTTGCACTATGCCACAGGGTTCGGCGGAGTCAACTGGCCACTCGGAATTCCGCCAGTGGGCACGGTGTCTGAAGATGCAGCGATGACCGGGACTTCCGATGTTGAAGCGCTGTTCGAGGAGCCCTTGCCATCGAAGGATCTCCGATGCGAGAACTACACCGATGTACACGGCCTGGTGACGACCAGTGTGTGGAAACCGCAGCTCTCGAAGAAGAGGCCTACATTCTCATTCACCCTGTACGTCTCGTCGGACAGTCAGGCACTTATTCCAGAAGCACTGTTCAGGGCCTTGAACAAGGAAGGGCATGCTTGCGGACTGGCCCTGGACACTTTCTGTTGTCAAAGACTTTCCCGACATCGCATCCGCGTTTCGGTATCATGTTCGGGCTTCCGTGCAGCGTACCACGCATCGCACGCTGGAGAGAGACAGCTGCGTGCGTATGTTGGTGACGACAATTCAGAGACGTAAACTTCCCAGGCTAAGTAAACTTCCCGAGGAGATCTTGCAGCTTATAGTGACGGAGCTTTCGCCGCCCGGGATACCAACGTACTGCCGCCGTCCTTCGAGACCGTTCCGAGGCGTGCTATGTTCCTCGACGCAGCGCATATGAAGACTGGACCCAGACTGGTGTACTCTAACCACGAGCCGGCTTTTAGTAGAGCAGTTGGCTCGACCGGCTCCAATGGCATCACCCACCTGAGCCACCGGCCAGACACCGAGTTTCTATACAGGCACTGCGACACGCTTGCCAACACGCCAAACCGTTGGTCCTGCGTAACCGACGAGCTGTGGACATTGTGGACGCTCTGCAGTCCTCGTCCCGCAACGCTCAGCACTTCAACTGCGCCGTATATTCCATTGGCCATTGCCAAGAACCCCCTATCAACCTATTTGAACGGCCAGGTTCCGTTTTGCTACACGCTGCATGCGGATCAGCCTGTCACGCCCAGCAAAATGACCAACTTGCTGCTAGACACAGTGCCATGGGCAATGACCCTTACGGATCTTAAATCCGGACTCACGGTGCCATTTCGCAAATGCAATCTATGTCAGTTAACGACCCAGTACTCGAGGCGTACGACTGGTAGCATGCTCAAACAGTTCAAAGCTCCACCGAGCCGTGGAATGATCAGCAGCCCCTCGAGACACTGAGGCCGAACGTCGTAAGCGAGAAGGAGTTCTACATCTGCTATACCGGCTTTTGAGAGATGGGTCATCCGTCACCTAGCGTCGGCAGGTACCGCATCACAATGCCTGCTGAGGTTTCAATCCCTTTGCGGACATACGGCGAGGTAGGGGCGTTGGAGGGACCGTTCAATTTGCCGCCGATGAAGGTGTACTTGGACAGACCTGTGGACACTACCTATGGGATGCCGAATTGACAGCGTGCTCTCGGTCGTAGGGCGAAGGAAAGCGATATTGGTGTACTAAATCGTCGATCCAACAGCCTCGAAGTATGACAACATGTTCACTAATTCTCTCGTCCCCCAAAAGCCCTCCCAACCCCTTCGACCCCTCAGGCGAGGTGACAGTGAAGCCGGCCAACCGAGCAACATCTTGCAGTCTTCTCCGACCAGAAAGGCCCCATCACTCTCCTCAGCTGGCCGTCATTGTCTGTGAGAAGGAAGGGTTGCTTATTACACGGCTCACTCTGACATGGTGGACTGGGCCGCTTTTCATGTCGACGGGCTTGTCCGTACCCTCGCCCATGTCCCCCACATCCCACACCTCCTGCAGCCCAAAAAGAAAGAAAAAGCATGTCCCCGGAACTCTAGTCCGCCCCCCATTTCCCATAAGAAAGGCAGGTCTGAAATAGCCCGGAGCTATCCTCCCAGCACCGCGCCCAACGTCGCGCCATCCGAAGAGGCTCAATCACCGAGCCGCGAAAGGAAGGGAAAATCAATCTTGCGCATTCAAAGCCCCACCCTTAGGCAGAGACTTCCGGCTAGTGACCTCACTGCAGTGGAGGAAAACGATGCAGTGGGCGTTGTGTGTGATCTGTTCTGCTGCGCTTTTTGGTTTGAGTTTGTATTTTTCGAAAAGAAGAGGGAAGAAAAAAAAAAGAGCCGAAGAGAAGGCGGAGGGGTGAGGTGAGGTCGTGCGTGCCAAGGCTCACGTGCTCGCTTACCTTACCTTGCCTCAGAAAGGGAAATGGAGAAGGCACGCAGCGAACGTACAGTACTAACGACGACGAAGAATCAATGCCTGGCCCCATTCACCTGCGCCCCATTAACCTGCTGTTGCTGTTGCACCCTCGCCTTCCCCCCAGCATTCCCACCCCCATCCGCCACCTGCGGCACCGGCATCGGCATCGGCGGCGGCGGCGGCGGGGGTCCATAAGCCCTCGGTCTCCCATCAAGCCCCTCTTCCTCCTCCGTATCTTCATCATCATATTCGACTTCCTCATCATCCTCATCGTACTCTTCATCCTCGTACTCGCTCTCCGTCTCGCCCTCCAGATCGTCCAACCCGCCCCCATGCGCCGGCGCCGCGCCCGCGTAGCCACCGGTCTGCATAGCGCGGCAGAGTTTCTTCAACTTCTCGTTCTCCCGCGTCAGACGGTCGAGCGCTTGCTGCGACTGGCTGCGCTCCTCGGCCATCTGGAAGATGTTCTTATTCGTCGCTTCCTGTTTACGGGTGAGGTTGAGGTTCTCTTTCTCCAAGCGTTTGGTCTTTTTCGACATCTCCTCCATTTCTTTGCGGAAGGTGAGGAAGAGGTCGTTGCTGTTGTTCAGCGTGTCTTCGACCTGCTGGGGGGGTCAGTCAGTTATCCAACTAGTCAAATATCTCATATCTCACGTTCGGGATTGGGGAGATGGGAAGGGGATGGGCAAGACACACCGCGGCAGGAAGGATAGAAGCACGTACCTGCTTGAACTTCTCCACATACACATTCAGCTGTCCGCGCAACTCGCTCTCCGTCTGGCTGAACGTCGACACCTGCTTCGTCAACTGATTGCTCTTGCTCAGCTCATTCTCCTGCGCGCGCTTCAGTTGGTCGTGGCGCGCGATGTGGTACGCAATCTCCAGATCCTTGGTGCGGACGAGCGACTGGAACTGCAGCTCCCGCAGCTCGTACTGGTGCAGGAACGAGGTGAATTTCTCCCGGAACATGCGGTCCTGCTCCAGCTCTTGCGTCTGCCGCTCCGGCCGGCCGTAGGAGAGGACGTCTTCCACGTCGTATACCATGTTCTCCAGCCGCTGATGCAGCTCTTCGTTCCGATCCGCCGACGTCTCGCGCAAGTCTCTTAAATCCTCCTTCAACTTCTTGTTCTCCCGCGTCAACTCCCTGCTCAACTTCTCCAGCTTCTCCTTCAACCCCCTCTCACGCGTGCGCTCTTTGCCTACCTCCTCCTTCTCCTTCTGCAGCTGGTCCCCTCTCTTCTTCGCCTTGACGTGCTCGCGCTCCACTTTCTTCATCTCGCTCAGCAGTTCGGTATACTTCCGCTGCACAGTATCCAGCTTGCTGTTGTGCGGCTCCATCGTATTGAGCAACTGACTCAAATCCCGATTCGCCTTCTTCACCTCCGCTTCAATCTCCGCCGCTTCGTGCGCATTCTCCGTAGACGAAGCTTCCAGCTGCGAGATCTTCGACAGTAAAGCCTTATGCGCATCGGCCGGGTCATTGCTCGCCGCCGCTTTCTTGCCCTTCGCCTTCCCTTTCGCAGTCGCAGGCGCAGCGGTCGATGGAGGAGGTGGAGGCGGCGGCGCAGTCGAGGCCTCAGAGGCCGATGCATCTCGACTGTAATCCATCGGTGATGTAGGAGAGTTGTGCGAATTGCTCGATGGGAGGGGGTGCTGGTTGTGGCTCGCTACGGCTGCCATTGCATGGTATTATGGGTTGTTGTATACTGCAGAAAGCCAGCCCAGGAAAGCAATGTGCTACTGATACGTCGCTGTCGCCGTTGTGGTGGTGATGACAGAGCTTTCGTGGATGCGTGACCTTCGGGATGGAAGGGCGAATGTCACAGTTTTGCGATCGCCTTGCTTGGCACCGCTCGTCCCGTATCGATGTCGCCGCTGTTATGTCCCTCAAGAATGCCTGTAGTCGTCCTCGCCGTGCTGTACAAGCAATAGAGTCGAGAAGCAGAGCGCCGCCGCCGGAGACCGGAAGTGTAGGTTCGCCGCGCAGGAGGTGGAGTCTCTGGATTGCCTTCCCGCAAGACTTTTCACCACCACACCCTCTGTCAACTGCGGCAGGCCTGGCGTATGAAGCTGGTGGGTTTGAAGTGGTAGCTCCCGAGTACGAATATCAGACTGTCCTCGAAGCCTTCATGCTGCTGTGTAATTTACTGTGCATGAAGAGAGCAGATGCAGTGGGACCAGAATGACAGCTGCACTTCTCATTGGCTGAAGTATGGACGGCATCATGGAAGACCGAAGGCATGGGGAGCAAGAATGGTCTACCTGATGGACAACGAGAACGATCACGGCTACTGCTGAAATGAAGCTGAAGACGGTGACACTTAGTCGAGCAGAGAATACCTCCCTACCTTCCTATGAACCACAAGCAAGCAAGTACACGCATCAAAAAGCAACCTCTTTTTCTTCATGATCCCGCAAAAGCTGCACGCACATCACCCATAGCACTCCCTCGTTAGAAGCGCCAGGCGAAAGGTGAGAATCCTTCCATGCATAAAGCTCCCAGATGCCACCCCCTGTTCCCTTCCGGTCCGTAATCTATATTGGTATCATCTGAAAAGCAATAGCAAGCAGAAACGCCTGGCATTCATGTCTCCCACGTCCGGTATGGTGTTGCCGGGATGCAGCTGATTCTCAGCCGGTGCCGGCAGTCGTGGGTGCTCCGAATGCAAGTCGCTAGAACGCCCGATGAAACACATGCATGCAGGATCGCTTTTCTGATGATCGTTGGTGAGGAGAAGCGGCTTCCGTGACCGCTGAAGAAAGTATCCCGTCAAAGAGTCCGCCTAAAGTTCAACGCCATGCGAAATCCGTGACCGTTGAGCAGCGATATCCGCCCAGCTCACAGAAGCCGGAAAGTTGTCGTAAGTCCGTCGTGAAATATAGGCCGTAATCTGCTCAGTGCTCGCTGTTGTTGAGCAGAGAAGATCGCAGCCCGTTGCCACGCTGGAAAAGGAGACTGTCATGTCCCGACGCCGCATGCTATGCATTTTCGGTCGATGAAAGTCAACGCTGTCTATCATGCTGATCTGGGTATCGTTGTTGTCGTGTGTCGCACGCTCGGTCGATCTGCCGGATCGGAGGAGTCCGATATGAAAGAAGCATTCGCGCCAAAAGTCGTAAGGAAAAGGGAGGTGTTGGTATTGGGTAGCGGTCAAGCAGACCGCTTACCACCAGCTCTGGCCACCGCCACCGCTGGGGTTGCCGTAACTGCCTCCGCCGTAGCCACCACCCATGCCGCCGCCTGGAGGACCGTAGCCAGCGCCGCCGCCGTAGCCGCCGCCACCACCACTGTATCCGCCCATACCCATGCCCATGCCGCCCCCGTACTGCGGGCGCTGACCACCGCCATAGGTACGCACGTCCTTCATGGCAGAAGAGCCACGGCCACGACCGCCAGAGCGGCCACCGCGACCTCCACCGAAGCCGGAGCCCTCACGAGCGATGCTCTCCAGGAAGCCGGGCACCTCTTGGTTGGCCTCCTTCAACAGATCGATGAGATCGCGCACGACGCCCCTATTGCCGCGGTTGAAGAAGGCTGTGGACATTCCAGTGTTGCCGGCACGCCCAGTACGACCGATACGGTGGACGTAGTCGTCGATGTCGGTGGGGAGGTCGTAGTTGACAACATGTTTAACATTCGGTATGTCCAAACCTGGCTTGTGAATTAACATGCTGTCGACACAGAGGAATGATTTAAAGGAAAGGGAGTGGAGTTGAGGATAGAGGCGACTCAAGCCGGCAACAGCGAACGGCGCAACCTTCTCGGAGCGGAGTCGTTCCAAGAATTGCCCAAGTGACTGTCACCAGCTCGGGGCTGTTTTGTCGGTGAAAGAAGGGGGGATGAGAAGGGAAGGAGAGGCGGCGATGAAAAGGGATACGTACCACGAGCGGCAACAGCCGTAGCCACCAGAATCGGGCAGCGAGCGTTACGGAACATCTCCAAAGCCCTCTCACGCTCGCGCTGGGTGCGATCGCCGTGGATGGAGGTCGCTGGGAAGCCCTGAGCGATCAGGAAGTCGGAGAGGGTGTCGGCCATGCGCTTGGTCTCGACGAAGATGAGGGTCAAACCCACACCATGCGTGTGCAGGATGTCGAGCAGCACGCTGCGCTTGTCGTTGTCTTCGACGTATTCGACCTTCTGCGTGATGTTCTCCGAAGTGGAGCCGACACGACCAACCGAGAGGAAGATGTACTCACGGAGGAAGTCGCGGGCGAGCATCTGGATGTCGCGGGGGAAGGTGGCCGAGAACATAAGCGTCTGGCGGTTGTTGGTCTGCGGCATGTCTTCACCCTCGACGATGCGGCGGATCTGCGGCTCGAAACCCATGTCAAGCATACGGTCAGCCTCGTCCAGCACCAGGTACTTGATGTTGGCGAGAGAGATCCGCCCTCGTTCTATGAGGTCAACAAGACGGCCTGGGGTGGCGACGAGCAGGTCACAGCCACGCTCGATCTGACGGAGCTGAGAGCCGATGTCCGCACCTCCGTAGACGACGCAAGGACGCACCCAGGAGCGGTACGCGAACTTGCGAGCCTCTTCGTGGATCTGGGAGGTGAGCTCACGAGTGGGAGCGAGGATGAGAGTGGTGGGGTAGGCCTTGCGCTGACGAGCGAAGCCTCCCTGCTGGGGCGCCGGAGCAGCCGGGCCCGTCTGGTAGGCCTGAGACAGGATCGGGAAGAGGAAGCCACCAGTCTTGCCGGAACCGGTCTGAGCACAAGCCATCAAGTCACGGCCGCCCATGACGATCGGGATGGAGTACTTCTGGACCGGCGTCGGCACCTTGTAGCCGGCGAGATCGATGTTGGTGAGGAGATGGTCGTCGAGCGGTGGGTTGGTGAAGGTGGTGACGGCCTCTGGCACATCCCGACCGGAAGCTTCGACTGGGATGTCGTCGTACTTCTCAAAGTTGATGCCGGAGGTGGCCTTCGCAGGGTCGTTGGGAACGCCGAAGAGCTCACGCTCGACACGCGGGTTCGCCGGGCCTGGCACATGCTTGCCGTCTCTCCACTGTCCGTCTCCTGAACCCATGGCCGAGCGACCACCGCCGCTGCCGCCGCCGCCAGGTGCGCCGTACGCGTTACGATCGAAGCCGCGAGGAAGCTGAGGCGAGTTGTCCCAGTTGCCGCGAGGGGTGAAGGCCTGAGCAGCGCCCCAGTTGCCCTGGCCGCGTGGTGGTGGTGGGCCGCCTGGGCCGCCGAAGCCGCTGAAAAAGCAAAGTCAGTCACGTCCATTTTGGAGAAGGTGGGAAGTGTGGATGTGTGCTTACTTGGGTGCCTGCTGGCCTGGTGGTGGTGCCCACGCGCTGCTGTTGAGGCCGTTGGCCATCGGAGGTGGTGGGCCGCCGTCGAAGCCGTTAGGGGCTCCGCCTGGTGGTGGCGGACCGCCGCGCTGCCTCATGTGCGGTGGGATGTAGGCCGCTTTCTCGAAGCCGCCGTTCTGCTGGGGAGCCCCGTTCGGAGCGTGCTGCGAGTCCTTGAGGGACAGTCCGTTCATGTTGAGGTTGTCAGCCATGCTGCTGGTGTTCGCTGGTTTGCTGGGTTTGCTTGGTTGGTTGAGTGAGTGACACCGGTCGGTGAGGTGAGGTGGTAGGAATGTCGTGAAGTGCCTCAAATGCAGTAAACACCCGCAAAGAGACAAGGAACGACTATGGTAAGTGTTTGTGGTGTGAGGAGTAGTTGTTGTTGAGAGGTGGTAGTGTTGGTGAGTGACGAGGAGGAAGGCGCTGCACAAATTTTAAGATCTGCTGGCGGAGCCTTTTCGCGCTAGTCGGGATCTTCCGCCGATTGCTCCTTCCTCGACTGAGATCGGGCGGCAAGCAATTGGTCGGGTCACGTGTGGAGAACTTCGGAGCTGGAGTCGTGAAGAACTTGGAAGTGGTAGGTAGGTAAGCGTGAATACTGTCGTTAATCTTCACTGCTGAAAGCTATCTGCATTGAACTGCACATGCATCACAGTCGTGAGCGCTGGTCTCTCCTTCAGACTGCCGTGAGCTGCTGTCCACGCGCCTTAGCCTTGAAGCGCTCATATCCCATCCGACTGTCCGTCAGCAATAACCTCCTCAAGCCACACGCCTCAAACATCAAGCGCTCAGTCTCCCTCCCGCCGCCCATAGCACAGTCCCCATCATACCGCCCAGCAAGAACCTCAATAATCGCCCCCTCCATACTCCTCCCCACTACTATCCACATCCACCTCCCCCAGCAACTCGCGATCCTCCTCATCCAGCTCGCCTTCTCCACCACCGTCCTCATCGTCCGGCTGCACATCAAACCTCTCACCGCCCCTCCCCGTCCCGCTCCTATGCCTCTTCACCTGCCTCGCCCTGCCGTCCTCGAACCCGTCCTGACCTACTGAGACGGCCTTGACAGCGCCGCTGCGTCTGCGCGGAAGACCCCAGCCTTGCGCGCGCATCTGCCGGCGCCGGAGCATGACGCGACCGGGCTCGGTGCTGTTGTCCCAACGCTCCAGTCTTCTTCCCGCCCTGTTGAAAGCTTTGGCAAGGCTCCTCGCCTCCTCGCCCAGATCTTCTGGATCACCTTGCGTCGGCGCATGAGCGTAGCCAGCGAGGTAGACGTGCGGTCTCCGGGTTGCGTCCTCTTCATACGCCGTCTCGAGATTCTCCCTGCCCTTCAGACGCCAGTCGTCGTCCTTGTCGGCACGCTCCCTCGCCTTACGGGTCTTGATCTGCTCTTCTTCGGAGTCGTAGTCGGCGGGCGTGGCGCTGATGCGCTTCCAGGCGCGCAAGATGGGACCTTCCAGCTCGCGTTGCGTGCGGGCACGTTTGTGCACCTTGCGAATGCGGCGGTCCAAAGTGTAGTCAATCTGTTGCTTCCTATGCGACATGATGGCGGATTGATGTTGCGTGACGCCGCGATTGCGTTTCTGCGCTTGGTACGAAGGCGTTGGTACATGGTCGTGAAAGGAAGATGGCATGGTAGAGCTTGGGGCGATGTTGTGGTAGCCTGGTGTGGTCGGTTGAATCAGCCCTTCGTTCACGAAATCGAGCGGATTGTTCGGGAGTAGACGGGGCTGCTGTGTGCGGTCTGTGGAGTTGGGTGCGGAAGGGTCTTGCTTGTTGCGGCGCCAATTACCTCTGCCTGGCCCTTTCTTGAGCATGTCGCCACGAGGAGGTGATGTCTCCGACATCATGTCATCGTTGTTGAGAAGGTTGTTGATCCGCATATCGCCATTTCCCTGGTAGCGGTTCGCCGCTGGAGAAGGAGACCTCGTGTAGTCGCTCGCAGTCTCATGCTTGAAACTAGATCTTCCAGCGGAAGTGTGGGTATAAGCTGGCATGCCTGCTTCGCTAGCTTCATCTTCCGAGTGCATGTTGTTGTTGTTGCCTCTGACACTGACCAAGCCTTTCTCCTTTCTGGCGCGCTTCAGTGCTGTCATTGCTGGGCTTGGTTCGCTGGCCAGGATTGCAATCCGTTCGTTGCGCTTGACGGCACCATAGTGCTTCTCGTCCTCGGTGTCGACGTTCTCCATAGCAGCCTGCTCTTCGGTGAGGCTCTCGAGGGTTGGCACTTTGAGTGGAATGAGATTCCTCTCCTCGTCACCCTCGCCATACTGACCTGGTCCGAATGGGTTGCGCTGGGTGTCCTCGTGCCCGAAGTTGCTCTCCAGATACCACCAGATAAGCCACAGAAATGCTTTAGCTCTGCTTTTGCTGCTCAGACTCGGCCTCATGACCAGGTCGAAGAAGTCTCTGGGAGCAGGGAAATGGACTTCGCTGATCTTTGGTGCAAACTGGCTCAACACAAATATGAGGTTGACAGGGTTGGTGCGTGGTATCTTCGCGGCCTTGACCTCGTCAAGGGTGTTGGGCTGCGGGTGGTCTTCTGTGGCGCCCTTCAATATCGACTTCAGCCGCGGAGCATCCTGCAACTGCTTGTACGCATTGGGGTCTTGACGTGCTTGAAGTGCCGGTATTGAGTGATATGTGCGTAGCTGTGCTCGCATCTCCGGAAAGACTAAAGAAGGTCAGCATAGCTTCTCTTGTATGATCGAATGTAATACCTACAATTCAGTGTAGTGTTCATCCTGCCCACATTGACCAGCAAACAGACCATGGCCATAGCCAGAGCACCTTGGGTATCCTGCAACAGCTTTTCTTTCAGAATCTTACTACACTTGCTGCTCTTCGCCATTGCATCGATGTAAATCTCGGCGAAGGTATTGCCCTGGCTGCCGTCGCTGCATTTTGTGAAGCACTTCGTCTCGTCACCGAACACGTCGCAGAGAAAGTCATACTGTATGTCCACACGCCAGAGCGGGACACCATCGTCTTTCTTCAAGTGACGAATCTTGTTACCAGAGTACACCGAAGAGACACTGCCGCTTGCGTTGCGTCTGGTGGATGTGGTCGTGGAGGTATACATGGGCTCGTTCCCAGCCTGTTCGTCAGTCTGCGCCGCATCTTGCGCATCAGCAGCGGGGCCTTCGGTATGGCGAGGAGCTGTCGGCGGTGGTGGCATAGCGGTGGATGCTTCTGGCGGTGGTCGAGGAGGTGCTGGCTCGTTTGGCGCAGGCGCCAGGATGTGGGAAAGGCTCATGTCGGGCGAGATTGGTGTTGGCTCAGACGGGCATTTGCATGAACCGCATATGTCTGGTCTCGGGCTGTCGCATTCTCAATGCTGACACCTCCTCTTGGCGCAGCAGTGTGTCGACATGCTCTGGTGGTTCGTGGGTGCGATCGCCTGGTGTGCGTTCTTTTGTGCAAGTGATTGAGGTGTCATGAGCTTGAGCTTGCGTTGGAACCTGAAGTGGAAGCGGCCAGAGCGGCCGGTGATCGGCATGCCGCTCCGACGGTATACGAAGCTTATCGAGCTAATATCGAAGCCAGCATATAATCCTGCATCTTCTTATGACCACGTACCTTTATTCCAAACAACTGCTTTCCATTCATTGTCCAATCTTTCTGGACTCATGAGGGTACTGTACTTGGACGTCTAACTGCTACAGTAGTACGGTGGCAGGTGGGCTGCTTTCATCCTGTTACGTGGGGTTGTTGTGATTGAATCCGCCAATTGGCATCCCTGTCCATTCTAGTATCAGCAGTTTGTATCACCTCGCGCACATGCATGAACTCGGATGGTGACATGTTATGATTCCGTCCAATGCTTCCCGGCCGCTGAGACCGATGTACTTCTGATGCTTCTCATGAATGTCGTCGCTTTCACATGCAATCGCCTTCCCAGTGCACGGACATCGGAGTGGGGGTGGAGGAATTCTGGCAATGAGCACAAGAACGAAGACTCGCAATTCGCAACAGCATATTCACCTCCAACGACTGAACACATCTGCGGGGCGCATATAGCTATAGTCTGCGATACCTGACTAGACGGCTAGTGTTGGTTGCTGGTCTGTCGACTCAGCTGGACCCGACAATCTGGAAGCACATCGTGGCGAGGCGAGGCGAACTTGACTGCATCCTGTATGCTTCCTACTGGCTCAGTCACTTCGAATTCTCAGAGGTGTGCTCGCCCGCTCGTGGCTATATAGACCCCACCCGCCTCTGCGCAATACATATCAACCGGCAAACATGCCTTCCGCAGCTCGAACCACACGGTTCAAGACCCTGCAGACGCTGAACCTTGACTACGCCCCAGTCAAGCTCACCCAGTATGAATCTGCACGGACCGGCCTGAGAGTAGTGACAGTCGATCACGCTGGACCCAGAGTGGAAGGGTACTTTGCTCTCGCCACCGAGATCCACGACGACTCTGGAGCACCTCACACCCTCGAGCACCTATGCTTCATGGGCTCGAAGCGGTACCAGTACAAGGGTCTGCTGGACAAGCTGTCAACTCGAGCGTTTTCTACGACCAACGCGTGGACAGCTACCGACCACACCGCTTACACTCTTACCACAGCTGGATGGGCTGGCTTTGCACAGATCCTGCCGGTCTACTTGGAGCACTTAATCGTGCCCACGCTGACAGATGCCGGCTACTATACAGAGGTCTTCCACATCGACGGCAAGGGCCATGATGCAGGCGTGGTGTATGCGGAAATGCAAGGCGTGCAGAACGATCAAGCAGAGCTCATGCAGCTGGGCGCTCAGCGACTGCTTTATCCCGAAGGCAATGGCTTTCGATATGAGACTGGTGGTATGATGGAGCAGCTTCGCGTTCTAACGCCAGACCGGATACGTGCATTCCACAAGGAGATGTACCAGCCGAAGAACCTGTGTCTGGTGTTGACTGGTGAGATTGACCACAAGGAGCTCTTACACATTCTGGACGACTTCGAAGAGACCATCATCGACGATGTCCCGGACGTTAACGCACCTACAAAACGACCGTGGATAGATTCCAAGCCGACGCCACCGCTTTCACAGACGACCGTCGAGCGCATCAAGTTTCCGGAGGAAGACGAAAGCATGGGCGAGATCATGGTTGGATATCTGGGACCTGACTGCAACGATCAGCTGGCAAATGGCGCGCTCGCCATCGTCCTTAGCTACCTCTGTGGGTCATCAATCACTGTGCTCGAGAACACTTTGGTGGAGAAGGAGCAGTTGTGCAGCATGATCTACTACTCTACAGACACCCGACCCGACGTTGTCATCTGGTTCTCATTATCGGCTGTGGCGACCGAGAAGCTGGGAGAAGTCGAGCAACGATTCATGTCACTTCTGAAAGAGACGACTGCGAAACCACTGGATATGAACTATATCGCGGATTGCATCAAAAGATACCGCAGGGTCATCAAGATGGGCGCCGAAAATGCTGGACGCTTCTTCTCCACGCCGGCCATCGAAGACTTTCTCTTCGGCCACAGGGATGGTCGAGACCTCAAGGCGCTTGAGGATCTGAAGGAGCTGGACACGCTGGAAGGCTGGAGCGACAAGCAATGGCGGGACTTCATGTCGAAATGGCTCGCCGATGCAAAGCACGTCACCATCTTGGGTGAGCCGTCGAAGGAGCTATCCGAGAAGATCACTCGTGAGGAGGAAGCTCGTGTCAAGGCTCAACAAGAACGGCTTGGAGAAGAAGGTCTCAAGAAGCTGGCCGACAAGTTGGCAGAAGCGCGAGCTGAGAACGATAAGCCCATCCCAAACTCGCTGCTTGACAAGTTCCCGGTTCCATCTCCCACGTCAGTACACTTCATCTCAACCACAACCGCAAGAGCAGGCAAGGCTCGAAAGATGGGAGAGCTGGACAACAACATCCAATCGATCATCGAAAAGGATGACAACGACTCGCCACTGTTCATTCACTTCGAGCACATGCCTTCTAGCTTCGTTCGGATCAAGCTTGCAATGTGCACGGCATCGGTACCTCTGGAACTCAAGCCACTTCTCACGCTCTATATGATGAACGTTTTCGCCACCCCAGTCACGCGTGAAGGCAAGCGGATGGAGTTCGAAGAGCTTGTCTTACAGCTGGAGAAGGAGACGGTGTCGTATGGTGTCAACGTGGTATCTGCCAACAGTGAGATGATCACTATCGAGTTCGAGACTGAGCCTGAGTACTACAAGAGCGTCATCGACTGGCTACGAACTCTGCTCTTCGATGCCATTCACGACCCGAAGAGATTGTCCTCCTCACTCACAAAAATACTGGCAGACATTCCCGAGGAGAAGCGGAGCGGCTCAAGCATGATGGCTGCCGTCAACCAAATGATCCTGTACGAGCGGGAGTCGAGCGTCCGAGCACAAAACACCCTCTCCAAAGCTCTGTACCTCCGCCGCCTCAAGAAGCTGCTCGCCTCCAACCCGGACGAAGTCATCGCACAGTTTTCCCAACTCTGCCAATCCCTCCACCGGCCCGAAAACTTCCGCATCTACGTCGCCGCCGACATCGAGAAACTGCCCAACCCGGTCTCCGCCTGGTCTACTCTGATCTCCGACTCCAATCCCAACAAACCGCTCGAACCACTCGACAACAAAAAGGCCCTGCTCAGCAAAATTGGGAAGAATCCAGGCTCAACCTCCTACATCATCCCCATGTCCACTGTCGACTCCTCCTGGGCTCTCCTCACCGCCAAAGGCCCAGACACCTACGACCACCCCGACCTCGCCGCCCTCATGGTCGCGACCTCATACATGGACGCCGTCGAAGGCCCGCTCTGGGTCGCTGTCCGCGGGACTGGACTCGCCTATGGCACCAGGTTCCGCCGATCAACAGAGACAGGGCTACTGCAGTTCTCCATCTCCCGCTCACCGGATACCTTCCGCGCATTCTCCGCTGCCAAAGAGCAAGTCGAGGGCTATGCGAGCGGAGCGTTCGAACTAGACAAATACGGTCTCGAAGGCGCCGTGAGCGAAATCGTCCTCGGAATGGCGGAAGAGCAGCCCATCTACGCTTCCGCCGCGCACCAGAGCTTCTTGAATCAAGTGATCCGCGGGGTGGACAAGGAGTATAGTCATAAAATGCTGGCTCAAGTGCAAGATGTGACGGCTGAGCAGGTTAGGAGCGTGATGCGGAGGTATATGGTTCCGGTGTTCCAGGCGGGGACGGCGAATCTGGTTGTTACGTGTGCGCAGATTATGAAGGAGAAGCTTGGGGAGGCGTTTGAGGGGGCGGGTTTCAAGCCCGAGGTGAAGGCGTTGGCGGATTTCCAGGACGATTATGGGATGAAGGGGGATGGTGCGGATGGCGATGAGGATATGGAGGATGATGATGGGGAGGGGGAGGATGATGAGGACGACGATAGCGATAAGGATGACGAGTGAACGGAATGATGGAAGAGGACGACGAGTGGCGGACGCTTCATACTGCAAGACCCTCAACTCACAGTGTGGAACCCTGTACTCAAGACCCGGAGGTGGGGATGGTAGGCTCGAAAGACTGGTGTATCAACTCCTCGGGCATCCCGACCGTGGCAGCCTGGGCCAAGGTGTACTGCAGAATCCAGAGACCCTCGTGTGACCTTTCGGTAGTTCCAGATAACGGCTCATTGCTCCCAAGAAAGGGTGGTATGACTACACACGGTCTCGCCGTTGCATCTCCCATCCGTCAAGAGCGTGCGGCAGTTTTTAGTACTTAGTACATCTTTAAACACCATGCAGTCATGGTTCCCGACATTGGGCCCGATCTCTTGTAGACCAACCATATCATCCGACGCCGCCAGGACGAACGAGGGCCTCTGCTGCACGAATGCCTGAGAACCTTACACGTGATCGATCGACGTCACCTCCTGCAAGAAGAGACGACTGGAACGGCCAAACATCACCATCTGCGAAATTCTTTCGGTCCGATATATGGCTGTAACGTGAGGCTTAGCAGGTTGCCTTTTCCCGTCATTTGGATACCATCTGATCACGAGAAGGCACTGTCACGAAGTCAGCCGCTGCCAGCTGAGGGCCGAGAAAACTTGAAGTCCCGCAAGCTTTCACTGCGCCTCGTCATTGCGGACTCCCGTTACCATTTTACCATCACGCTATCGGCAACGGCTGCTGCGCGATGGTGTTGGTGTGACTGAGAAAAGTACACGCTGGAAGAAAGATGTGTTCGTGCGAGCGACGCGGTTCCTGGCAGACGATCTGCTGTTCATGCACGCAATGATCGTTCCTTGTGCCTGCAGAAAGGAGCCGGGATGTGGTTGGACGTGCTAGTGATTGGTCGCTGCTGCCGAGGCCGTGTTGGCGGCCTGCGCGACTTCATCAGTCTTCACCGGAATACCTCCTCAAGCCTCGTAGGGAAGACTAGACGCTTCACGGCCACTTTCCCACGGCCGCCAACAAGCAGACGCTCTTCATGCCGTTAATCGCCTACTGGACAGCCGCGCGGTGACTCGACGGAGGCCGCTGTCCGCTGTAGCCTTAGTCACACGTCACCCTCAGGCTTCCCAGGCAGCATGACAGGCACTTCTCCCTCACGAATGACCACTTCTCTTCTTCCATTGGCGACGGTGAGATCGGCTAGCGATGCAGTCATGAGTGGCATCGCCGACAGGGCAGACGGTAGGTACCTGCCACAGCATCTCCCCTTCTCGAAGGCTTCCATTCTCCCCCGAACACACGGACCGCATCTGCGCCATTCTCTTCTTGTCCTTAGCTGAGTACAGCTCTGCAATTCGCCACCTCGTTTTCCTGTCATCTGCTTCCACTTGCACCATTAGATCTCAAGGCGACGAGGAGCAAAGACGTTTTAGTGCGATCATGCGGCTCCTGTTGTTGCAGCGTCCAGTGCCAGTGCAAGCCGAAGCGCACCAGGACAGTTCGCCTTTGGACTGCGGCCTGCATTGCCATGGACGGCGGCCTCCATTGGCCTGGCGCTGCCTGCAGGCGTGAGTAACCTGTGGGTTCCTGAGGGTTGTGGGTGAGGTCAGTCATGTTGTTGTTCAGATAAAAGTGTAAGGGCCTGTTGGTTCTTTCTTTCCGTCTTGTCTCATATCATTTCGTACCAAGAAGAACAGCGTGCCACACAACAGCATACCTACAACACATCAATACCAATCGAAGCACACCACAACGATCACCAGCAGCCTACCACAACCACCTACCGCCTGCGACCACCACACCCTCATCTTCCTCCGGTCTGACTGTAAGACAACCACGGACACCTACAGCCGCACCACACCCCTTGCCTCTCGATCCATCGCCATGGGTCCGCAGCCTCGCGACCCTCCTAACGGTCGATCACCTCCGTCCCGACCTCGACCACCGAAGCCTGTGCAGCCTCGAGACGACGGCTGCAATCGATCACCCAGCGCTTGTTACTCTACTCCGGCAAGCACAAAGCCGGATGACCCTTGGCCAAGGGACCCGGGTAATGCTCGATGGGCTCGGTCACGCCCACGACCTGCGAGAGACCCGAATCCGAGGGACCCAGGTATGTTTGATGCTCTTATATAGAGTGTGATTGTTGCCTATCGAGCCGTTGTCTGACTCTTCACTTAGGCACGTGAGACTTCCACCAACGGTTGGACATATCAGTACACCAAACAGCATGACTCCGACCACAACGAACATCGCATTTCCCGTCTTGGGTTTTCTTGATCGGTGCTTTCCGCATTGGGATAGAGGCAGGCAGCATGCTCGGCGTCAGGCATAGAAGTGTCTTTGCTATTTGCTTAGATGGGTATGCCTCGCGGCACGGCAGGGTGGGATACAACAACAGAATGACTTGGATGCATGGCAGGGAACATTCGAATGGCATTTTTCAGCGCAGGCGTCTCATTGGACGCTGGGTCTCAAGGGCTGAGGCTGGCATGGACGGATAGCGATGAACTTTTAGATCTTCGAGGATGTCTCACGACATGGTGGATTGTACTGTATAGACGAGAAGATCTTGCTGGCAGGAGTGACTGGTAGACTAGAAATACAGCTGCGCTGGCGCTTCTTGTACAGTCCGCTTCTTGTTCTTGGCCACAGAGTGAATGCAGTGTACATCGTTCGTTTCCTCCGTTGTAGCCTGCTGGAATCTCAACGTAACGCCGCCCAATGCTCGCTAAGCCGCTCACGCAAAAAAAGACCACCCTCAATTCCGCCTATCAATCCTATTCAACTTCGCCGCCGTCGAAATCTATTCCCCATTAGCACCCGCCCACCACACCACTCCCTTCCTCCAATCGGATATGTATAACTCACCTGCGTCCTAGTCCTCTGCCCCCTAACCGGCAATGCCATCGCATGCCTCCTACCCCGATACGTCCCCATATCCCGCAACCGCTTGATATTATCCCGCATCTGCCGTCTCAAATCGTTCTCCAGCGTCATTGTACTCAGTTCCGCGCTTAGTTCTTGCGTTTGTCTGTCGCTCAAGGAGCCGATTTTGGCTGTCGAGTGGATGCTAGTCTTCGCCATGATTTGGGCGCGCAGCTGGGGGCCGATGCCGTAGAAGGTTTGGAGGGAGCGGGCGACGAGGCGGGAGTCGGGGAAGTTGACGCCGAAGATGAAGACCATGGTTGCTGTTGTGGATGTGGGTGTGGGGTACGAGATTGGGCGCGGTTCTCGAGGGGAGGGAGTGGCGGGAAGGGTGGGGAGAGGGTGTGGTGGGTATGAGGTGGTGGTGTTTGGAGGTCGAGATGATCTTCAAGACGGGGAAACTTCGGGGAATCCAAGAGCAGTGTTTCTCGCACGTGATAGTTTCACTGACGACACCTCTCCCGTCGACGCGGATCGTCTTGTGTCTTGCTGCTTTCGAGAAGCTTATACTCTATGATAAATAAGACGAAGTATCTGTGTGTCGAGTGTTCAGGATGGGAGCGTTCTCTTGGGTGTCAAGTAACGTTGGATGATTTGGCACGACGATGTACGCGCGAAAGTATGCTTGAGCGTGGAGACGGGAGGAAGACGCTGAGATCGGATGCACATTTCCAGATTAGATTTCTCTTCCCTCGATGGCCTTGAGTCGCTGCATAGAAACCACATAACATACTATGGACGACAGCAGGCTGGTCGCGAGACCGAAGCGCAGCACAGAGTGTCAGAGACACCAGATCAATTGCACGCTCGTATCGGTCTTCTCTTGGTGACGACCTGCGGTCGTGTGTATCAAAACTTTTGGTAGATGCCTCATTGGCTAGGAAGAACGTAGTCCTCCGATCTCAGATCATTCATGCAAATGCTTGCTCTCGTCCACATTTTCCCTCTGCAATACCTCCTCCTTGTGCGTACCCGCTTCCTCCAAAGTCTCGGCAACCTGATTATGGTGTCAACTCAATCTCTCACGACGGAAATCATTCTCATCCACGAAATGTAACATACCTCATCTCCAAACAACGCCGCAATCTCCTCCAACCTAGAGTGATGAGTCAGCAGGTGTCTCCGACAATTGGAGCAGGGATGTACGAACGTTTTGTTCTTGGTCTCGGGGTAGAAGATCGAAAATATGATAATGAAGATGACATCGCATATTAAGAAGATAAGAAAATAGCGCCACGAGATCCTCTCGATCGCCAGCGGTGTTATTTGTGTGAGAAGGATAACGGTTATGTTGAACACAGCATAGCCGGTAGCTGTGCCTGTCGCTCTTATGTTGGATGGCATAATCTCCGAAGAGTAGGCTGGGAAGAAGGTGTTGATCTGTGGAAGTTAGCACAACTATCCAACCACCCGCTTCGAGAAGGGGTCGACTTACGAAGCCTCCTAAAGCACCGAAGGGTAAAAGGGTCAGCAAGTGTCTCGAAGGCGAGGAGGGTTCAAAAGGTCTCAGAGCGCCACTTGCAGTGTGACCGTGTCCTGGAGAACCCTCTTACCCATGAACACTCACCGTATCCGAATCCATAGAAGAACATGCCGAATATCACCGCTTTGCCAATCGAAATGTTTGTCGAACCTCCTGCCTCGTAGACACCCCACAGTGTGACTAACATTATCCCACCTGGTATCATGAAGCCGTAAGCGATAAAGAGGAGAGGTCGGCGGCCGAGTTTGTCGACGACACAGAAGGCAGTGGCTGTGGATATGCATCCAAGGGTACCCCAGATGCCAGTCAAGATCAGACTGAATACATTGCTGAAGCCGAGGGTGGTGTAAATCGTGACTTGGTAATTCTGTGGACAGTCAGCATTGAAGCCGTACCATCTATCAATGACACTCACCTGCAACGGAATAATCCCCGTAAGCTGGCCTGAAGGGTGAAAGGGTCAGCGAATGTCTCCGACATGAAGCCGGTTTTGCCCTTTATTTTCTTACCGAATAGAGAAAATGTCAAGATGAGGTACATTCGCTTCCGGTATGAAGGCCGCTTGAATATCGCAACGATGCCCAACTTCTCGTCTTTCTCGATGTGGTACTGAGATTTGATCTGATGATATTCCTTGAGGTAGAAATCATCGTCGCCAGAAGGGCTGCCATGGAGCCGTTTCAGTGTCTCCAAAGCCTCATCATCCCTCCCCTTCATGACCAGCCACCGCGGCGAGAAGGGCATCCAGAAGGAAGCGAAGAGCATCACAGCCGCAGGAACGAGTTGTAGCCCAAGAAGCGTTCGCCAGGCCGCGTTGCCGGGTAGGAAGTAGAATCCGAGACCAACCCATTCGGTGAACATGTAGGAGAAGTTTACGTTAAAACCTTCCAGGTAGAAGTGTCAGTCATGTCTCAAATCGTAGTGGACGGTGTCTAGGACCAGAGGTACCCCTGTGCCCACGAATGCTTACCGTATAGTGCTCCTACCCGACCGCGGACCTCAGGGCTGCAGATCTCGCTGGCGTAGGTTGGGCAGACGGAGAAGATGATGCCCTGTGAGACGGAGATGCGTGGTTAGCTTTTGTCGTTCAAGGATGACGACGGGCTGTCTCCGACACATTAAGGGCACTGCCACTTACACAAGCGATGCCACCGATGACACGACCAACAACGAAGACGGGGAAGTTGGTAGCCCCAGTCTGCATCGCGGATCCGAGCAACGACAGCACGCATGAGATTTGTATCGTCCGGAGTCGTCCAAACTTGTCCGGCAGGTAGTAGTTGAGAAACGAGCCAACTGCGCCGCCAGCATAGTAGGCAGATCCGAAAGCTCCAATTGTGGTCGGCGTCAGGGCGAAGTACTCCAAGAAGTCTTCATATCCGAGGATCGAGGTCGTGCAGCCGCTGTCGTATCCGTAGAATAAAGAGCCTCCAGCAACATAGAAAATGCCTGTGTAGCAGAAGGGTGTACCGTTTAGCAAGCGTCCCGGACGGTGTTTGTGAGTAGCAGTGCTTACAAAGTGCCTGATATTTGTTCATCTTGCCGACATATATGATTCCTTTGGTGATATGAAGGAAACTTTCGCAACACCTCGAACTTATTTGAAGTCAGAAAGCAAATGCATAGCAGCCCTCGGCAGGAAATGATCGTGCCCGCTCCATTAACTCGGTAGCAGCCCGTCTGCACGGCAGCAATGCCAGTCATCTGTAAACGACCGTAGGATCTGCAAGGACTGGCTGGGCAGCAAGTCATGTTCTCCTCGCAGCGGCAGAGTTAGCACCAATCCGCGGAGACTGGAGCTGATCGGAGGAAAAGTTCGGCTGCATGGCGTACGAGTAGTTACTGGAGGGCAAGCATGGCTGTACAGCGAACGACGAGGAAGGCAGAGCTCGTAGTTTCGCGGACTCCTCTGATGCGTATGACGGGACGATCGCTGGCTGGTTGGTGCCTGTGACTTCTTGGGGAAGACACTTGTGAAGAGATAATGAAAGACGGTGTCAAGTGTGCAAGCATCCCCGTGGGGGGTTCTGCAGGATTGAAGTCAGTGGTGAAGTGGAGGGCGTTTGACTCCACGCTACCTCGGGAGCAGACAACCGAGACAATTGATCGCCTTAATGGATGTTGCTGGAGAATTTACTCTTCGGTATGGCGTTGGACGTTTGGATTGAACCAAGGTTTGGATATACGCAGGAATATTGGGCAGGATGTTGGTTGTGAGCTGCAGGGATGAATTGTTCGAGAATGGATGGCAGCTCAAGGCAACCTGATTTACGAACTGAATCAACGACCTCAACACCCACTACATCACTTCCCTGAATAGTATTTCCGAGTCGTTGACACGTGAACGTATATCTTTGCTGTCGAGAGCACCACCATACTTCTGCGTAAGTGCTCGAAGAACGAAGGCGGAGGTGGGACGGAGATCTGCAGGCCACTGCGCGAATGGTTGTTCAATGTCTACGTAATTTCAGCCAAATACCAACACCACTGACAACCAAAGAGTAGACCCTCTACCTGGCGGATTCAAGGCTGACTTCTACGGGGCGAAATGCTCAAGAGTAAACTCTCGAACGTGCTGGAGGGGGCTGAAGAGCGAACTCTCAAACGCGCTTGTATGAAAGGCTGAAGAATGAACTCTCCAACGTGCTTGTGTGAAAGGCTGAAGAGTGAACTCTCCAACGTGCTGAAGGGGGCTGAAGAGTGAACTCTCAAACATGTTTGGTGACGAGGGGGTGAGGGTGAGAGGGTGCCAGGAGAAGTCAGACATCAAGCCCCCCGTAGGACTGCATCTTCAGTTCGTCAGCGTCTTCCTGCATTTCCCTAATTGTCTCCTCCATAGCCGCTTTCTCCGCTGCCTCCGCTGCCTCCTCCGCCGCAGCTTTGGCAAGGTCCATAACGGCAGATTCGGGAGATTCATAGGCGCCAGCGTCCTCACCGAATTCTACATCCATGGCTTCAGACTCTTCGTGCTCCGTCTTAGCCTTCTTCCCCGACCTCTGACCATCGTTGCCGGATGTTGTGCCTTGAGACACCATGGCTTGTCGAGCAGAGTGCGGAGCGTATGTCGGCCTCGGAGTGAGCGCAACATTGTTGTCTTGGTAGTTGGCGTCGTTCCAGCTTCTGTTATTCTCTGATCGGAACTGCGGTACGGTCGGTTAGCAAGACATCCGCGGTCCGTAGACACAAATTACTTACTGGAGACTCCTCGGGGGTCCGGCGTACAGCTGGGAACTCAAGAGGGTGTCCGGCAGGAGCTGGCGTAGTAATCACTTCGCTCCATATCATGTTGCCTGTGGCGTACACGTAGTAGTACCTGCGGTACCGGCCATCCCAGCCCATACCTACAGCCTTGCCATAACGAGGGTGCGGCGGTGGCATCACTGGAATCTCGCTAGGGAACTCTGGATCGGGCGGACCAGGGCCGTAGTGCGGTGGTGGCAAGACTGGAGCCTCGCTCGGGAAGACAGGATAGGCTGTCGTCTCTGGCGTAGATGCGGCGTAGGAGCTGGGAGACTGCGTATCGACGATATCCTCATGGATATCCTCATGTTTGCGCTTCTGGCCCGCAAGTACCGAGTCCCTCATACTTATGGCGATGTCAACCGGGCCTTCGCCGTCCATTGCTGATATGATGATGTTGGTCGTCGCGGTTTTGTCGGATTGTAGAGGTCTTGATGTTGGAAGTGCGCGTATGGGTGCGTGTGAGTGTGGTTGCGTCAGTGTCTCAGCAACAATCGAAAAGTCAACTCGCAGCTGGTGAAGTGAAGTCGCGCGACGTAGACTGCGGCGAAATAGGCCACAGAAGCTGGCTACCTTACCTCCCGATATGGCTCACCCACCACACCACATCCACAACTTCGACGGGGCGACTACCTACAAACGCTCTGAATCATTCAAGTCTTTTATTACAAGACAATATCGTCTCTGGCTGGCCCTCTCCAGCTCATTTGAACAATGACTGGAGGGTCGAGCGGGTGGTCCTCTTAACCTGGCCGCTCGCGGCAGAGACAAGAGAAGAGGCGCGGTCGGAACATCTCAACGCAGTTTCTCGCATATTGCATGGGTTTCCCAAGTCTACGAGCAGCATCACATCACATCGACAAGGTATTGTTCAATGGTGAGAAGGTGACGTTGGAAGGATGGCCGGGATGTCGTCTGAAACAGCCCGTGCCAAGAACAACAGCCTTTTGTGCCTTGCATGCCCCTCCGTGAGCTTCAAACTGTGATCTGTCGTCTCCCTCCTAATTGCACATTCCATCTGATCACTCGAATGACCGATCTGTTAACCATGGCGAACCTCCGGAACCTCATCGTCTCCCTCCTCCTCATCTGCACAGTCTCTTTCCTATACTTCGGCCAGACGGTTGAAGCTCAGGGCAAAGGACCAAAGATTACACACAAGGTCTACTTTGACATCCAGCATGGCGACGAGGACGTTGGTAGAATCGTGATGGGCTTGTACGGAGGCACCGTGCCGAAGGTATACCCTATCCCTCAATCCAACACCAACACTCCATTGCTGACCTGATACACCGCCAGACCGCCGAGAACTTCCGCGCCCTCGCAACTGGCGAGAAGGGCTTCGGCTACGAAGGCTCCACCTTCCACCGCGTGATCAAGTCCTTCATGATCCAGGGCGGCGACTTCACCAAGGGCGACGGCACTGGCGGGAAGTCCATCTACGGCGCCAAGTTCCCCGACGAGAACTTCAAACTGAAGCACTCTAAGAAAGGCCTGCTGAGCATGGCCAACTCGGGCAAGGACACCAATGGCTCGCAGTTCTTCATCACCACTGTTGTCACGAGCTGGTTGGATGGGAAGCACGTGGTGTTTGGCGAGGTGCTGGAGGGGATGGATGTGGTTGATAAGATTGAGAACTGCCCGAAGGGACCTGGAGATAAGCCGAAGGCGACGGTGAAGGTGAAGAAGAGTGGGGAGCTGGAGGTGCCTGAAGAAGGTATCAGGGCCGAACTATAGCCAGTACGTTGATTACTCTGCGTACTGGTGTATCATTAAGAGGGTGGAAGTTGGCTGACGGCGATGTAGGTTACACTGGGACGGCAGAGCCAGCGGAGGCTTTGAATGGAGCTGGCGACGAGAGGCTACTGTCTGGCGAGAGCGTGAAGAAGGCGGCGGCTGAGCTGCAGGATGCGGTCAAGCTTTCGAACGAACCTTTGAGCTGGACGCTGAAGCTCTTCATTCTGGCTCTGATTGTTGGTGCATGCTTTGCCTACGTCCGCGTGCACACACCGAGACGGACGCCGGCTGGCAGGCATGGAGCTTATGAGAAAGGCGCGTTGCCATAGATTTTACGAGACAAAAGTTTGAACGATCTCCTGGATTTGTTGGTCGTGCTCTCACTACTTCATATTTCTCGTGGCTCCCTGCATGGCATCCTGCCTTCACCGTCGACATCAACCCATCTGCTCGAGAACGACGACGCGCTCAACCGAGCCGTGTCTCTTTATCCTTAATTGGCATCTCAGAGCCCGTGGTGCTCTTGTACTGGCCGCGGATATAGTCCTGTTTGAACGTCAGCACCATATCAAAGCCCACAAAAGACCCTTCGTAACTCACCGAGATCTGCTCGTCCTTCGCCTGTTCCACAGCGCTCTCGTTGTTCTGCTTGCCTTGCCCCATCACGTTCTCCTGGACGTAGTCGATCGCTGGGGTTCGGGTCAGCTGCTGAATGTGGGACCTTTTCTTGGACGCATACCCTTGTCAAGCCCGTCCTCCTACAAAATATGACAGACGTTAGCCTTCTCCTCTTCCTGCATAGCCCACCACAATTGCACTTACGTTCTTCTCGCTCGCCTTTCCCCCGCCGGCCGCGGTGTTGGCCTTGTTCTTCAACCAATCCATGATGTTTGTGTAGAGTGGGTTGAAGTTGATGTGAGGTGGGTTCTGGGATCGTTTGTTAGAAGAAGTGAGAGGGCAGGCGAGTGTCTTATTACCTTCTCTAAAAGTCGCAAGATCTCTTCGGCAGGTCTTTGTTGGAGTCGGGATTGTGAAGGTGAAGCTGAGAACTGAGGTCCAGATGTTGTTGTTCCAGGCTTGGAGGTCCCTCCTTCGTCCTTGGCGTGACGTCGAGCGGCAGCTTGACAGAGGACAAATCTCACAATTCCGGGTTGTGCTTGCATGTGCGTTCAAACGTGCCATACGACTGCGTGTGGTGAAAGGCAGTGAAGCGGCATTGTCACGAACTGGTCTTGTGCGTATATCGGCATCCCAGGACGACGCTATATTCCGAAAAAGGAAGGAGTATCAAAGTGCCATTGAACCCGGTGGCTTTCTATCAATCTCGCAAGGCACATGGGAACTCATCTGTCGTCCAGTGTTGCTGTCGAAATCGAATCTTGAGGTCGCAGCATCCGGTTTGACAAGGCATATGAGAAACACTTGCCTTCTGCCGTCGCTGTCGTTATCGAATTTTGAGGCTGCCAGGATCCACCATGGCCGCCCAAAAGCGCACCCCGATCACCATCCTCACCGGATTTGTAGGCGCCGGAAAGACAACTATAATTCTCAACCTGCTTCCCCAACTACGGCGTCTCACCCCAGGCTACAAGCTCGCCCTTGTGAAGAACGAGATAGGCGACCTAAACGTCGACACTCAGCTCGCCGCTGCAGCCGAGATGGCGGAGAGTAAGGAGCTTCTGGGCGACTGTATTTGTTGTACGAACGTAGGCCAGCTCGAGGATGCCTTGGAGTCGTTGCGGCAGAGCTGCAATCCTGATCGTGTCATAATTGAAACTTCCGGATCAGCCGAACCACTGAAGTTGGTGCTGGAAGTCAATCGGATCGGCAAGGCGACAGGACGATGGGAGCTCGACGGCGTCATAAGTGTTGTCGACGCCGAGAACTGGACGGGATATGCCAGTACGAGCTTCACGGCGAAGTTGCAGGCGAGCCAGACTGACCTCATCTTGATCAACAAATGGGAGGAGATGGGGGAGAGGGAGTACGATATCTTCCTCGACCGGCTGGGAGACCTGGATGTGCAGACACCGCAAACCAAGAGTGATCGCGGCTGGGTGGCGGTGGACCTCCTTTTCGGCCTGGACAACAAGATGGTGAAGGGTTGGGCCGTGGATGGGGCTGGAGGCGAGTGTGCGGAGTGTGGCCATGGACATGCGCATGGCGGGAAGCATGAGCATGGAGAAAAGCACAATTCCGAGATCGAATGTATCTCTGTCACTCTCACTTCACCAGTCGATGGGGCGGGAGTGGACTTGAAGAAGCTTGACGGATTGTTGAAGTTGGCCCCCAAAGATGAAGTATTTCGAATAAAAGCAGTGCTGTACTCGAACGAACAGCCGGAGCCTTCCAACGGAGCGGAGGCCATCAAAACCGAGGGTCGAAAACGGTACATCCTCAACTGGTCCTTCGGCCGATGGACCTGGAGTACCGACGAAGTGTCCGAGTCCGAAGTGGTACCTTTGCGAATGTCGGTCTTTACGGCGCGGTACGAATCTACCAAATGGACAAAGCGCATCCAGACTGGAGACTTCATCGCTTTGGCTGCTCAGTCTGACCAGGCGGAGGGCCGGCTTGAGGTCAAGCGTGTGCAGTAAGGTACGTCAACCTGTGTAGCCTAGGAGTTGAGCAGTACGCTTCTCCGTCACAAGAAATCTTTGCAGTCGACTTCACTTCACGGTTGCTCCAACAAAATCATGCCCCGTCTGAGAAATTGGTCGCACTCTTGACTAGGAAGGATCGCCACACATCCAGGCCAAAAGAGTTATTCACCTAATGCTCCTCGAACTCTCGATGGTACTACAGGCGCGACAAAAGAGTTCACCGCGAGCGACAGTGCTGGGTTACGTCTCTAAACCAAAGGCACGAAGCCAATGGTGGAGGGGGTGAAAGGGGCCCAAAGGCACGAAGCCAATGAGGATGCGAGCATGAACAGCAACAAGGCACGAAGCCAAGTCACCGTAGACATGCAGGGCAGACGAAACGTTGCCCATGCCTGACAAATTTTTCGATGCAATATATTACAGCTACGGTTTTGCCGAGGTTCGGCCGGATCTTGCTCACGACTTCACAACCGCGCCTCAGAACGCAATCTAGAGGCATGCTGGACATTGTGCTTCTCCAGCGGCGATTCCATCATTCAAGGCACGAGAGGCTCTCGATCATGTTTGGCCGGACTCTCGTCAATGGAGAAGAAGTTCGCCGCCCGTGGACTCAGGTGCATCCGTTGCATCCTCTTCACGCCTTGGAGAATGAGGACCATGCACGACACTCCTGGAGACTCGAAGGCGACTTCTGGCACCTGCTGACTGCGCTTCAAGATCGGCCTTGCGATGTGGTGGTGAGACTCGTCTTTGTTTGTAGCTTGCGAGGCTTAAAGCGGGCCACCGCTAAGCGGCCACCATGAATTGAGACCACTATTCGCTTTCTTGCCTGGCTACAGCAGTCCAGCTGGCATGCTCTACGATCGGCCAGCATCTGAGTCCAAGTGGTGGGCCACGCTACATGACCGCCAGCATGATCACCGGCATGGGGAAGGCGGTGTTGCGGGTCGAGGGCCTTGTGACGAGTAATACAGCAAACACCATTCACTGTCGACCTAGCCACGGCCGAGCGCCGACCGGGGAACCGGACTGATGTTTATTTCCTCTCCCGGCTGCAAGATCTCAACCCGCGTGGCCTGTTCTCCGAGCAGCGAACATCTGAGTCCAAGCGGGTGGGCCGCGATGTACGACCATCAACACGTCCAACGATACCGAGAAGGCAGTGTGCGGGACGTGCGCCTCGTGAGGAGTGGTACAGAGCAAGCACCGTTCACCGTCGACCTTGCTTGCTCCGGTGGTGAATGATGGCCCTGTCGATCGGCAAGCAATGTTCTCATGAAATAAGAAGGGTGCCCGGGTCAAGACACGGCCTCGACTTTTCAGCCACATTCCCAATTCCCCGTTACAATTTCAAAGTGTCCACAACTCAACTGCGACCTACAACCATGGCGCCTAAGAAGTCGAAGGAGAACAGAATACCAAATAAGTCCAGCAAGAGTCAAACCTCGAACATGTCCAAGCAGACCCACCCACCCCGTGACCCAAAGACAGGCCCCCCTCCCAACGATCACAAACCTGAAGGTATCACCAACGACGGAGACGTTCCGCATCTGGACTGGATCCAACACGGTCGAAGGTCTTACAACTATCTCGCACCTATCAGTTCCAAACAAGCGGCGACGTTCAAGCAGTCCGAGAAGGCTCTCGCCATTGAACATGCGAAGCGACCACGGTCACCAGGAGAAATCAAAGCGCATCAGAACAAGCAATTGCTATATCTTTGGACTGAACGACGACCTTTCGACTGCGAGTCATACTCAATGCACCAGTTCACCGATGGTCTACTTGCGGCTCTAATGAGCCACAGGGCCAACTCTGATCTACTGGACGACGACGCAACGTATATGTCGGAAGTAGACTGCGCCAATGGACAACAAGCAAATTTCACTTTTAAGGTCGAGCAGTGGGATGTGCTCTATCCTGATGGCGAAGACGAAGAGGCAAGTCATGCTACAGTGGCACTTGCTCCGAATAGCTCTGGCTAATACACCTCTAGGAGAAAGCGCGTTTCCAGAAGATTGTTCGCTCATTCGACGTCGTTCTTGCTACTCTCGTGGCAGCGTCCGATACCTTCAAAGCCTTCATTGAGCCGTCGGTAGAGGGAGGCTCTATCACTTGCACAGATGTTGATCCGCTCAGCATGGAGCTGTGGCTCAAATGGATGCACGGCGGCGAGTTTGAGCGTTCTGACACTCGCAGGTGCACGGTTCTCGACATCTGGATGGTCATCGAAACCGCCCGCCGATGGGACCTCCCCATTCAAGGTATTGTCCCGCCACACGCCAGCACCAAGTTCCGAGGCATTACTGCTGCTCAAACATGGTTCAGGCACTGGACTGATTCCCGCTTGGACGTCAAGACGGTGGAGAACAAGTGCACACTGGCGTACGAGGATGCCCAGGCTCTCATGTACCCATGTTATGCTCTGGACTTCCAGGACAAATTCATGTTCGTCACGAGGTGGCTGGTCTTCAACACTCCAGCAGACGTACCAATCACGGAGGCACCGCCATCAGGCTACTACGGAGAGGATTATACGCTCGACCCTCGCATCCTAGGTACGTCACTGAGAACCCTTGAGATTTTCTTCGCATGAACAAGCTAACCCGATCACGATGGATAGCGTTCCTAAACACCGTCAAGGATCTCTTGCTCGAATTCGTTGACGCGCAACTGTACGCTCCATTGCGAGAGTTCGCTGCCTCACCCGTCGCGAAATTTCGCACTGTCCACGAGGTACTTCAACAAGGTCTGACTGACGTCGGGGCGTACCCTCTCGGCGAAACGACTGTCTGGCATCTCACCCAGAGGCTCAAAGAGTACAAGAATCCGGACGTCTCAAGTCTCTCGGAGGTACCATGGAATGTACCTCATCTTCCGGCCGCTGTGCATGACGCCGCGGGGCGTTTCGAGAAAGCCTTCAGTGGGCTCTGTCTCGACTGCATGGCCGCTTCTGACCCGGAGACCGACGTCGATCCGGAGCTTCACTGGCGTTATCGGAATGCCAAGGGCGACGTGGTCATCGGGTGTCGGTCGAAGCACGATTTCATATCATGGTTTAATAGTTATCTTGGTCCTGAGAAGAGGCGGAAGTCCACCTGAACGCATGGCGTAGGCAACCCAATTGTTGGCCTACACACAGATGGGCCCTTGACGATGTCCGGGAAGGAATGGTCTAACGCGAGGAAGTCGCAGCGAGGCGGGCACGCCAACTCCGGACCAGCATGAAGCATGGGGAGGCGTTCGGGGTTCTTGCGGGCCGTCTTTGTGCTTGAGAACCTCTTACCAACGCTTGAGCATGGTGGAGGTCCACCTACCTGCAGGAACAGCATCTTTAGGGTATGTAGCCTGTGCCAAATGCAGGTAAGCATTGCTTCACTTCAGGTCTCTTGCCATGTCAATTCATCAATCATTAAACTCCCACTACATCGTTTTGCGATCATGTGAGAGCTAAGCCGGGAGAGCCCGCTCATGCCCACGAGGAAGTCATCGCCCTATGCTTTGCTTCTTCCTGTTCACACAATACTTCCAGGACTTCCGATGTCAATTCACCACCCTCTGCGGACAAGTCGAAGGGACACTTCACTCGCCTGCCGTGCACTTACGGCGGGGTACACGGCAGGCGGCACTGCTTCTCCCGGTATCCGATGGCTTTCGACTCCTTGCACCAGCATGTACTGCTCATCAACAACCTCTACGCCTGCGAGATGTGCGCTGCTCCGGTTCTGCGTACTTCTTGCGGCTTACATCGGGAACGCCTGGCGCTCCCTTCACTCAGAAAATCTTCTCCCTCAGGACAGCGGCACTACGGCGTGCGCGTCCAGAACCAGGGCTCACACAACCCACCTTCCCCCTGGAGAACGCAACCACTTAGGTGTCTCTCCTTTATCCAATCTCCTCTGGCGGCGCTGCTTCGGCGTGCACTGTCTTCTCAGTTCGCTCTGCGTCCCTTTACTCAAATACACTGGTCCGGCAAAGGAGATGTATCTTCGACGATCTCCCTGACACACCCTGATACTTCTTCTGGCCACTAAGAATCTAACGAACAACCGACATAGACCTGAGCCTGGCTCAACCCACGCCGTCTGTTCGCAGCGGTGTTTCTCACCATCATGAGCATCCGGCAACGACACCCGCGATCCACGTCAATCGATTCGAATCTGCACGCTCGAGATTCTCGGATGTCGGCCGACCATCTGGAGACCTCTTTGATAACCCACCTTCTCCAGCTGCCCGAGCAATGAAACGCTCGCCTGCGTCTTTGACGCCGTTCCGGAGCCTCTAGGGGTGAAGGAGCTAACAAAATCCACAACTCACCCACCCGTGAATCATGCCCGCGAAAGCGGGTTCCACCTGAGCACATGCACGGATGCAACCAACGTGTGTACTCACAAGCACCAAATAACACGATGAAGACCTGAGCCTAGCTCAACCACAAGATACACACTACTTCGCCCTGCTGGCGGAAGACGAAATGTCGACCTCACTGGCGCTTTGCGAAACCTTTTGCGGAACGGAGAAGGGCGAATCGTGGCATATGCACACCCGAGAACTACTGTTCGCCGATGCGACGACCATCAGCATTTCAATGTTGCATCCTAAGCAGTGTGTGTCGTATTTCGTCTGTCATGACGCGCACGTGTCGCTGCAGGTCAGTCGTGCCTTCCTTCTTTGGAGACTGGCGCCTAGCGCGCACCTTCCTTTTTCGCGTGACCACTCCTCGATGAGCTGAGCTCACTTCATTCCACTCTCCAACACCAACGACATCACACACGACTCGCTCAAGATGGCGACCGACGTATACTGGCAGGTCGACAAGGAAGAGTACAACATCGTGGACCAGGCGGACTTCATGCTGCGTGTCGTAGAGCACGAAATCGTCCACCGTCCAAGCGAAGAGAACAACAACCAAGCTGTATGGCTCAGCTTCATTACCTCACCGAGTAGCCTTGCTAATCTCATCAGCAGACCAAAGTCTCAGTGCCTAGCATGGTGCATCTGTTCAAAGTCGACCGAGCCACTCTCGCAACCAGCTCTCTCGTCTTCAAAAAGATGATCAGCCCAGACGGCCCATTCAAGGAAAGCACGCTCACCTGCATCGATCTACTCGAAGACCACCCGCAAAGTGTTGAGATCTGGCTCAAGTTGGTGCATGGCTCCCTAGACCTCAAGTCGACGTACAGCACCACGACTATCACCGGCGTCTGGGAGGTCCTTGAGACAGCTCACAAGTATGCGTGGGATCCTGAGATGCCTGCAGCCAAGGCGTGGTTCTCAAATTGGTATGGCGCTCGCAACTCTGGGGAGTTCGACTTCGGAACCTGGCAGACGCTGCTCTTCCCAACGTACACATTCGACCATGCGCAAGGATTCGCCGCCGCCACAAAATACATCGCCTACCACGCTGTCGGGCATGCCACGGAGAAGAAGCCACCCGGGTTCTCGCACGACCATCTCCACCTTCCTCAGCGCATCATTCAACAGGTGAATGCCGCCAAAGGCCGCTTGAGGACAATCCTCCATCGCGGCTTGTACGAACCAATCGAGAGCATTCTCCGCAGCACCATGTGTGACGAGCATCCGAAAAGCCTGTTTTTTTACGAACTCGCCTTGACACACACGGGAGCTTGGCCAATCGAGAGCAAGTTCCTCAACAACAACGTCGACACCATGCTGAGGAAGCTGGCCAACTTCCGCGACCCTCCCAAGCGTGATGCAGGATGCTTGCAATGCAACGACGACTTCGCCGGCTCGGTGACCGAGGCAACGAGGAAGACCAGTGATTACTTCGACGGGTGCTGCCTTGACTGTATGGCCCAGTCCAAGCCGAAGTTTGAAGACGAAGACAGCGATTATTGGAAACACTCGCGTCAGAACGTGGCGTGGGACGAAGACTGCCGGCTGTCGCACGATCAACCAACATGGTACTTCTCATTCATGTATGTACGACTACCAGGTGGTAGAGCTCGACATGTGTTCAAATATCAGCACATTTGCTGACCTTCACTTACTAGGGGCCGTAAGGAGAAGCAGATCCAGTGGACGAAGCAGCAACGTCGCAACTAGGAACGAGTCAGGTGGCGAGGAGAGTAGCTGTGCTGATGGGATGAAGGTGGTGTTACAACGATCAGCAGGAGCGAGATGCTGGGTCAAACGACTTCATATCGTACATGACGACTCGCTAGATATGCCACAATAAAAGCACACAGCTTGTGCATCATCTCACTCTATGCTCACTCTCCCCTTGAATGCACTTCCAGTCATGCAACGCCCGATGCCTCGCGCTCATGCCACCAATCACTACGGCGCCAACACCTGCCCGCCATCCTCATACTCGACCTCCCGTATCCCCTCCCCATCCACCACTTTCACCACCACCCCCTTGAAATCAATCGGCAGCCGTCTCTTCAATTCATCCGTGCACATCCTCAGAATCTTCATCCCCTGCTCCAGCGAGATATCCGGATGATGATGCTTATCCAATATACTCAAACAATAGTACTGCGCGTACCCGTGCGCGGCGTACGGCACCGGCGCACAGCTCGCGAGATAATCGATCCAGTAGAGCTCCGGCTTGGATGTGCGCGGGTCGAAGCCGCCGAGGAGCAGGTTGACGGTGTACGGGGAGCGGGAGCGGAGGGAGCGGGCGAGTTCGGTGCGCACAAAAGAGGAGGTCTCGGATGGGGTGAGGTCGGTGGAGTTGCGCATGGAGTAGAGTTGGATGTTTGCTTGGATGTATTCTGCGAATTGGACTGGACATTATTATTAGCAGGGGTTGGAAGGGTCAAGGTGGAGGGTGGGGGTGTACTGGTATCGCCAGCTTCTCCGACGTATGCCATGAGGGTGTGTTTGTTCAGCTGCCGGGTCTTGTCCTCGTTGGCTTTGAGGATGGTTGCGCCGCGCATAGCTGCTTTCGAGGCGGCGACGATGCAGAAGTCTTTGCCTGTGATTCCGAGGAGGACCTCCCTGTGGCATCATCAGTATATGCTCATGAGCTCGGGGAAAGGATACATACATGATTGCGGTTGTGGAAGAGGAGTAATCTGAAGTTGTTCAATGTTTCTCTATGAGCTGTCGTCCAAGGCAGATCGCCTTACGCGGTAGGCGCTCGGGCCACCTTCGGCGATACGTTTATCCAGACCGGCTCAGAAAAGTTGCGATCACATGCTTCGACTTTCACTCGATCGCATACCGCCCACAAACGACAATGGCACTCAGAGCAGACGTCAAGACGACCTTCGAACCCAGCCGAGTCATCCAACCCATTTATACCGGCGGCAGCGTCGCCCTCGACCAGCATGGCCAGTTTCTCGCAACATGTCTGGGAGAGGAAGCTCTTCTCACCAGCCTGGATACTGGCGCGCATCTGGCGCCGATAGAAGGAGTAAGTGGGATGTCACGACGGTCGCTTGGTCAGAACTGACAATTGACAAAGTTGCTAGGACGGTGAACCCATCACAACGCTCGCTCTTACGCCAGATGCTTCATACCTCATAGTATGCTCGCGATCACTTTCGATGCGCGTATATGCGCTTCAACCGACCGACGACGGGATAGAGGCGAAGCTGGCAAGGACTCTGAAGCCGCACACAACGCCCGTCATCACGTCTGCGGTGGACTCGACCAACACATTACTTGCGACTGGAGGCGCAGATGGCGTGGTCAAAGTCTGGGATATTCGAGGCGGCTACACCACACACACTTTCCACGGCCACAGCGGTGTCATCTCAGCTCTGCACTTCTTTCAGGTCGACCCAGCGGCCGTGGTTCAGACAACGAAGAACAAGAAGCGGAAGAGTCGGGATGCCGAGGAGGTTCAAAACGAAGCTACGGCTGGCTTCAGACTGGCTTCTGGTGGTGAAGATGGCAGGATACGAATCTGGGATCTGCACAAGCGGAAAGCTGTAGCGAATTTGGAGGCGCATGCATCGATTGTGCGCAGTCTGGACTACTCTTCTGAGCTGAAGATGCTGCTGTCGGCTAGTCGGGACAAGACTGCCATGCTTTGGAACTCACGGACGTGGGAGAGTCAATCGACGATACCTGTGCTGGAAAGTGTTGAGAAAGCAGGGTTCGTTGTTGGCAGCGCGTACTTGTATACAGGAGGCGAGACGGCACGATTGCGGATATGGAACACGCAAACTGGGAAGGAGGCCACGGAAGAACAACCCGCAGGTTCAGAAACGGAGGCTATCCTCGACGTACTTCACCACCCAGGCCTCGATTTCTTGCTTTCTGTGCACGCCGATCAGACGCTTCTCTTACATTCGCTGGAGCCGCTCAATGGAGCACCCTTGGAGAGCATACCATCCCTGCCTGTCTTGCGGCGCATATCTGGGACCCACGACGAAGTCATCGACCTGGCATACATTGGCGCTGACCGCAAAATACTTGCACTCGCCACGAATCTGGAGGAGTTGCGGCTCATCTCTGTTGAAGACAGTCAGGCAGTAACCACATCGAGTCCGTACTTTGGTGCGGACATCGCGGTTCTCAAAGGCCATTCAGACATCATCATCACCATTGACACAGACTGGTCAGGTCACTGGCTAGCGACAGGTGCGAAAGACAACACAGCAAAGCTCTGGCGTCTGGATCCCGCGAACGACTCCTATACATGCTATGCTACTGTTACTGGACACGCGGAGAGTATCGGTGCTGTGGCTTTGCCGAACGCATCTCCACCTGTCGACTCGAAGGAATACAGCAATCCTCTTGCGCATCCGCCCAAGTTCCTCGTCACTGGAAGTCAAGACAAGACGATCAAGCGTTGGGACATTGCTTCACAAGCAGGCAAGACGTCGCGAGCTGCGTACACTCGCAAAGCACACGACAAAGACATCAACGCTATCGAGACTTCATACTCAAGCTCTACGCATCTCTTTGCCTCAGCATCACAAGATCGAACTGTCAAGATCTGGGATGCCGAGACCGGCGAAGCGATCGGTGTCTTGCGAGGACACAAGCGTGGCGTTTGGTCTGTTGCCTTTTCGCCACCGAATACGCCAGCTCTTACCACCAATGAAAGCGGTGGCGCAAGCAGTGCGAAGGGCATGGTGGTGACTGGATCTGGTGACAAGACCGTGCGGATATGGAGCTTGAGCGACTTCAGCTGTCTGAGGACATTCGAAGGACATGCGAATAGCGTGCTGAAAGTTGTTTGGCTACCGACACCAGATCAGAGCAGAAACGGCAGCAGAGGGGCCGTGCAGGTAGCAAGCGCTGCTGGCGATGGTCTGGTGAAAGTCTGGGATGCACAAGGCGGGGAGTGCGCAGCAACGCTCGACAATCATATTGATCGTGTTTGGGCGCTAGCTGTGAAACCTGCACCAATCATACCAGCCGACCAAGCCAAGAAGCGCGGTCAACAAGACTCGACCATGACCGACGTTGAGGCGGAGGAAGCAGAAGAAGAAACACCCGATCCTGCCTCCTCCCTCACCCTCGTCTCAGGCTCCGCAGACGCCACCCTTACCTTCTGGACCGACACAACCGCCACCACCGCCCTTCAAGCAACCACCCGCGCCACCGCCCGCATCGAACAAGACCAAGAACTGCAAAACCACATCCGCTCCGCCAACTACCGCGACGCCATCGTCCTAGCCCTCCAGCTCAACCACCCCAAACGCCTCCTCGACCTCTTCACCGCCGTCGTCAACGGCGAGCACGAACCCGGCAGCTTCTCCGGTAAAACCGAAATCGACGAAGTCCTGGCGAGTTTGAGTGATAGCCAACTCTGGAATCTCCTCTGCCGCCTCCGCGACTGGAACGCTAATGCGAGGACGCACAACGTCGCGCAGCATATCCTCTACGCCCTGCTATGTCTGCATCCGAAAGAGCGGCTGCTCAACCTCCGCAATCGTCGGAAGAAAGGCCAGAGTGCTGCGGTGAACGGCGAGCTGGTAGAGGCGATGGCGGCGCTGGATACGCAGGACCGAGAAGATGGTGGTAGCGGAGGGAAGAGCAAGGAGAGCGTGAAGGATGTCGTGGATGGGTTGAAGGCATATACGGAGCGGCATTATGCGAGGTTGGAGCGGGCGGGGGAGGAGCGGTTTGTGCTGCTTTGGGCGCTGCAGCAGATGGACGAGGTGGGGGGTGGCGTTGATGGTGGTGAGTTGACGAATGGTACGGTCAATGGCGTTGCTGGTGAAGGCAGGGACGATGTGATGATGTTGAACGAGACGTAGCTCTCATAGCCTCGACCGGACATCAAGTCGCTTTCAGAGTCTTTTTGATCCTCTCCATCTGCTCCCCCGTCACTCCACAGCCTTCAAGATACCCCTCCACCCCTCCAAACTCCCGCTCAATAAACCCACACACCCCCCCCGCCCACCCGTCCTCACAATCCGCGAAAGCGTCAGGGAGCCCAATACTCCTCACCTCCTCCACCTTCGCCTGTCGCTCCTTTGCAAGTTCTGGCCCGGAAGCCTGGTAGTCTGCTTCGATCGCTGAGACAGGCACTCCGAGCAGCAGGAGGATCAAGAGGACGATGAGGCCGGTGCGGTCTTTGCCTTGCGTGCAGTGGATGAGTAGCGGGTACACTCCCTTCCCTCCCTCCGAGGATTCAGAGGCCAAGAGCGAGAACACCTCCGCTACTTCAGCCCGACAGTACCGCAGACTATCCTCCGCCAGTCCGACGAGGCCTCGAGGCGCCATTACGGCGGCTGCCAGGATGGAGATTGCATACTTGCGGTAGCCGAGCGAGTACCAGAACGCCAGCCTTGCTGTCGAGAAGTACGGTAGCTGTGACAGAAGAGCCCGCGTGTATGTGGAGCCGTTGAAGTTGATATCTACATATCTGATTCCTGGGATCCTGCCGGGTGGTTCTGATGAGGTGGAAGTGGTGGTGCCGGGGGGTGCGGGGAGTGCGCGCGCTTGGTCCAAGTGCTCGGTGGGCGTGCGGAGGTCGAGGATGGTTTTGATGCTGAGGGTTTGCGTGAGGGTCCCGTGGTCGGAGGGGGTGGCGGCGTCGGGACGGGCGGAGCGGTAGAGGAGGTTGGGTTTGAGTATATTCCTGGCTGATGTGGAGTTGGGGAGCGTTGCTGCGTCGCGGAAGTTCAGGATGCCTTCTGGGCGGATGGGCTCGCTGGTATCTCGCTGGGGTTCTGGAGTGGCCATGGTACGGGGGAGAGCGTGAGAAGTCCTGTGAGATGTTGCGATTGTGTAGAGGCTGACGGCGAGTCGCGTTCCAAGTTGGCTGTAAGCCGGGTACTGTCCCCTCAAGAGTGGACGGGCGGATGGTATTCGTTATATCGTGAGGTTAGCTGCGATCTGTTCTCCTGATAGAGATAGCTACGACTGAGAATAAAACAGCAGCATTGATCCAAGTCCAGACCGCCTCCGCAACGGAGCGTGTTAATCTATACTCCTTGTGCAGATCACTGCAGCCACAATATACATCACCGACGGCCGCTTAGGAGCTCTCCGTCCCTCAAAAATATGCAGGGTGGCCACATGTGTTGGAAGAAAGTTGCTATACAACTCTCTCCTCTCTGTCCTCGAGAACTACATGATCTGCGGGATGCGGTCTAGACCTCGACGGCGCCGGCAGGGATCCAGCACGGTGGAGGGTATGATGTAGCTGCCCGTTCGCTCGGTATACGCCGATGCTCGAGATGAGAGATTCAGATGAGCAACGTGTGTTTTTCGTCCGCCCAATGCTTTCTCTAGTATACGATGACTTGTGACAGCGCACCATACTTCTACCAAATAGTTGCTGTCGAACACCTGCGGTCGAAATAAGGTAGGTGGTGCAATTAAATCCTGGCGTCGTTGTGTCGATCTTTGCGCCGCGGAAGATCACTGACGTAGTTGGCTTGTGCCCAGCTCATGCTCTCCGACTCTCCTCTCTTGCTTCAGCCACTTTCACCTCTTCCAAATCGAACACAGCAAATTTCAATACCCCCCCCCCCCCCCAGCGTATCGGGAAAGGCCATTTGATACCGACACGACCAGTTGCATCAGCCAGACGACTTCGCGCATCGACGTCACCTCGGACCCCCCGCGCGGGACGCGAAACAAAACCATGTCCACAACAACAGCGCCGCAGGGCGACATATGTCCGGACCCGTCGGTCCATGAACGCAAAGACCAACTATCCGCAGCTGCCTCGACCGCCGCCTTGTACGCCACTCGCGAGAAAGAGTCGCCGCTGGGGAGTGATGGCCGACTGTCCTCAAAGAGCGCCGCGACCTCAATGCGCTACGCAAATGCTCAAGACCTGCCCTCCTTCCCCAGCAGAGGCGGCCTGTCCAGCGCGGATGCAGGAAAAGCTGCAACCATGAGCAAAGACTACCGCATGCAGGAATTGTGGCAGCCTGAGCAGTCGACGGCAGGTTCAAAGGCCGCTCTTCTCGCGGCTAAGAATGGAGGCAAGCTTGACCTGTGGGAGGCCACACCGAGCTCCGCTGGACATTCAGCTGCGACTCTTGCTATGCAAAGGAAAGGATTGAGTCCTGAGTTAGACCGCGGCCATACGGATGTCGGTAGAAACAACTCCCTTCTGGCTGCGACCAAATCGCTGGGAAGGCAGAGAGCGGGGAGTATGCCGGTGTCTGCACCCTCAAAGTACCCGGACAGTCAGAATCCATCACGCAATGCGCTTAATGCGGCTACAGTCTCGCATCGCGCTTCTGTGAGAAACACTACCGACGGCTGGAACTCGGACGCAAATCAGGCAGCTCGAATTGGGAATGCGAACTTCGACCGCAATCTGCTGAAGGAGGACCCTCATATCCAGTATCAGGAAGACATCGACGAGCAAAGACATCAAGCAGCTCTACACGCCTCTGCAGCTTCTTTCGCGAAGTCACTCTATGTCGTCCAGAAGCGTGGCGAGGTTGACCCAGAAACATCCAGCTTGCACGACGATGACCAGCCCAATGTTGGCGCCGCCGGAGCTCGAACGGCGCACACTCGCAATGCCTCCGCCGTAACAACCAACCCCAACCTCCGCGAGGAGGCTATGCGCTACATCCACCTCCAGGACGCAGCGCATAAGCTCGCACAGGAGCGCCTCGCTAAGGTCGACAAGGAAATGGAGGCAGGAAAGTACTGGGAATACTACGGCTACCCCAGCAAATCACAACGCAAGTCCCGCCGCTCCATGCGCAGCAGCGTCCCAGGCGACCGCAACGGAGGCGACCGCAAACGCGCCGCCAGCGAAGGCCGCGGCCGACGGCTCTCAAATGACAGCGACTCGGACGACGAGGTCCAAGCCCAGCGCATCCGCCGTCAGATGTCGCAACTCAACACCGCCAGCAACACCGTCTCCGACAAGCAACGCACAGAAGATCGCGCCAAACTGATGGCTGCCGCTGAGAAGCGCGTCCACGCCCAGATGAGCTCCATGGATAACAAGATGTTTATGGAGACCGGCAAGCCCACGCAAGCCATGATGGACGAGTGGGAGACCAAGGCGCGGGAGAAGGCGGAGCGTGACCGTGTCGATCGCGAGCGTCACCCGGGCAAGACGCATATTGGGGGTGGGAAGTACATGGATGATGCGGATATCAATGCCATTGCGGCGGCGAGGCTGAAGCCGACGTTGGATGAGCTGAATGATACGGCGGAGAAGAAGAGGGCGAGAGATGAGGAGTTTAGGGTTCAGAGGGATAGGCAGGAGACGGAGAGGATGGAGGAGAAGATGCGGAGTAGTGAGCAGAAGGCCGAGTTTAAGAGGATTAAGGGTGAGTCTGAGATCCGAGAAGACGACGACGTTGTTTCGTATGCTGACAATTCGAAACAGAGCAAGACAAAGCTGCTGCCAAGCGAGAGAAGGATGAGCGTAAGGCTGCCCAGCGCGCAGAAAAGGAAGAGGCGAAGAACCGCAAGTCGATGGAGCAACGCAAAAGTCGCGAGTACAAGCGCGACGAAGCTGCTGCTGCTGCCGGCGAAGATGACAATGAGCCCGCTCATGATGACGAGACCAAAGAGAGAGAGCTCGAGCCGACCAAGACGAACGAAACGACGAAGGAGAAGTCGGGACGTGGCATGTTCGATCGCATCGCCAACAGGCTTAAGAAGCACGGCGGTGACGAGAAGAAGACAACCACCGAAAGCAGCGCCATCCCGCAGCCTGGCGAGAGGGCAACGGTAGAAGAGAGCGAGAAGCATGACGATGACACGAACATGCCGGTCGCAGGTATCGCTGCTCTGTCTGGCGGTGCTGTTGCCGCCGCCGTCGTGGGAAGCGAAGCCGTGCCTGAAAAGGACAACGTCAGTACGAAGGACATCGTTACTGGAAAGAATGACGGCACGCTTGCTGGTGGCAGCTACGAACCTGAGCGGACGAGCGGTGAGCATGATGTGAGCAGCACGGCTCCCGTCCTGCCAGAGATCTCTCCTCTCCCTACCGTCGACATGGCGCATGAACCGGAACATTCTCACTCCCCACCACCGGCTGGCGTCGAGCAAGAGCACCCTGAGGTTCCCGTGCGGTGGATCGACCATGCTTCCGACCTCAGCGGGGAGTCTTCACTCGCATCATCCGAAGCTGGAGAGGCCGTTGAAGACAGAGAAGTCCCAGCCATCACAACCAGCGGCCCGACACCCGGCCACGAAGACTCTGAGATCGCAGCACTGGGCGGCATCATCGCCGCCGGCTCTCTCGGTGCCGAACGCAGCAAGAGCCACGACAACGGCGCAGACGTCGAGGATGACTTGGCCCAGCGACCCGCATTGCACCCCGTCACGAGCGCCGAACACACCGGCGACTACACCTTCGCCGGCCCGGCTGGGACTTCGGGGCGCCCGGATCTGGAGAGGCATATTTCTAGGATCCCGGATAGTAGTTCTTCGTCTGAAGCGGACGATGAGATGGTGTCGAGTGATGATGAGAGTGCGTTTGTGGGGACCGCGACGTCTGCGCAGCCCGTGCAGGCGCAGACGGAGACGCCAGAGAAGGATCGGGCGGTGGTGGTTGATCCGACGCCGGCGCCTGCGAAGGATGAGCCGGCTGCTCCTGTGGCTGGTGAAAAAGCTGCTACGCCTGCCGTTGAGCCAACGAAAGAGACCACCGACACCAAAGCAGCGCCATCGCCGGCAGTGGCAACCGGCCCATCGACGACGACTGAGCGGAAAGAAGCAGAGCCAGCGGAGGATAAAGAGAAAAAGGGCGTCCGCGGCTTCTTCAGCAAATTCCGCAGCAACAAGTCGTCCAAACCGGAGACCACCCCCAGCAGTAGCAGCGGCGGGAGACTGCACAAATCGCAGCCTTCGACGTCAACGTCGAAACATCCTTCAACCAGCTTCTCCAACTCCCGACCCCCGCCCGCCGGCGAAGCCACCACGACCACCAGCGCAGCCGAGCCCAAACCCTCCGACACAACAACCCCGGCGCCCACAACCTCCGCCGGAACAGCAGTCGAAACCCCGGACCTCCCCTCAGGACCCGGCGACGCAGCAGTCGAAGAACGCGCCGCCAGCCCCTCCAGCTTCCGGCGCCACGCCAACTCGTCCCGGGATTTGGACGATGTGAGTTCGAGCGGAGCGGAGGAAGAGGATTTCTCGCGCGGAAGGGGAGGGGAGCGCGTGACGGCACTGGGCCGTGGCATGGCGACAACAGCTGGCGCGGGCACTGGCGCGCCGGTGGAGCAGACGACGAGCAATGAGGAGCAGTTTGAAGAAGCGCGGGATCATTTCGACGAGAGCCTGGCGCCGCCGCCGGCTTTTGCCGCGCAGGGGAAGAGTGAGGGGAGCCCTGCGAGGAGCAGGTTTTCGGAGGATTTGTAGGGTATACTTGGTGTACTGAAAGGCAATGAGGGAGGGGGAATGGGGAGGGATGTAATGGGTGGGTTACTGGATTGGATGGGAAGTGAGGGATGGGATCTGGGATATTGGGCGTGTTATGATATCTGTGTTGCGTTATCTGTAGTAAAATGGTCGTTTTCACCTTTGTCATCGAGATTGCGGTCGTGTAGCAAACAAAGGTGAGATGGTTAAGCATGTGGTTAGTAGTCCATAAGCATCTCCTCGCTCTGCTCGCGAGATCTCGCGACTTGGACATCCGCGTCTTCCTGCTGAATGCCATCACTGCTGAGCCAGGTCTGTTCCTGAAGGTACTGCTCCAGCTCCCGATCCACCAGCTCAGGGTTGAAAGGTCGTCGGTTCTCAACATCCATATCCGCATGCTGATCATCATCGACAATACTCTTCTCTCCAGTCCCAGCCACACTTCCATGCCGATCCCCACCCTCCTCATCCAACGCAAGCATCTGCTTCACAAATTCCGCCTGCAACTCCCGCAGCCACTGCCGCAACGTCTCGGTATCCATCTTCGAGTCCTTCGCTTGGCCCAGATGCTCTTTTAGATTCAGCATCAACTTCCTCCGCCTCGCTTGAACAATAGCTGGACCTTGCGCCTTCTTCTCTCTTGCCTGCTGCTCCAGAGTCAAGGCGACGTGCTCGGCGTGCTCGACCACATCCGGAGGGAGTGGAACGACACGAGCGAGTTTGAGACCGTAGTGTTCTTCTTTCTCCGCTCCGCTGGCGATACGGTAGAGCATCTCCATCTTGCTCTTTTCGCTCATGTCGACCGCGAGGTGCAAATTGACGACACCGTTGCGCTCGGAAAGGATTTTGGCGAGGTCGCGGAAGTGCGTGGCGAACCACACCAGCGCTCTGCTTCTGACAAGTGCTTCGGCGATACTGATGGCGATAGCAAGGCCGTCTCGCGTGCTGGTGCCTCGTCCAAGCTCATCAATAATAGCCATGCTGTGCCGGTCGATGTTGCGGAGGATGAAAGCAGTTTCACGCATCTCGGCTGCGAAGGTTGAGACGTTGGCTTCGATGTTGTCGTCCATGGACACACGGGCGAAGAGCTGGCGGATGATGGGTAGAGCGGCGTACTGCGCTGGCACGAAGCAGCCAACTTGCGCCATGACGCTCACTAAGGCGACCGAGCGGATGTAGGTGCTTTTGCCGGACATGTTGCAGCCGGTGATAATTTGGAAGCGGGTTTGCTGGGTGGCGTAGACGTCGTTGGGGATGAATTTGGTGTTGTGGATCTTTTCTCTGATCGGATGTCGTCCACCTTTGATGGCGAGAGTTTCAGAGATGAGTGGGCGGACGTAGTCTTGACTTGTGACCACTTGGGCGAAGGAGGCAAGCATATCGAGCATTGCAATACCCTCGCAGATCTTGAAGAGGACTGACATGTGCTCTCGTACACTGCCTATGAGCTGTTGAACCGTCTTGTCACTCATATTGAGCACTTCAGTATGGGAGTCCACGGTTTTCTGGCTGCGTTTAGCCAGGTCCAGCGTCTGGCACTCGATCCACCCTTTCTTGCGCACGACGTTGATGAATATCGCTGGCAAGTCTCTGCTCGCCAGCTCCTCTTCCTTTATGCGGAAGTAGAATTGACGTCCATGCTCGTACTTCTTCTGAATGGCCATTGAGTGCTCTTCTGCCAGATTATCCATGTGCTGAAAGGCATCTTGCATCGCCTCATTATACGTCTGACGTGCGACATCCAATAGTCCGTTCACGCCAGACTTGACTGCATAGGTGCGTTGGTTGCGCAAGTCCAGCGGCTGCTTCGCGTAGGTGGTATCCTCATTGATGACTTCATTGATGAGCTCTTGGATCAGCTCGGTGTTCTCAGTCGCACATAGCCGGCGAATCTCCTCTAGCATGGGCGAACGAACACCGACGAGTGCTTCGAAGACAGGCTTGATGAGGTCAACGAACTGCTTGAGCATGATGACATTGTTGATGGCTTGCTCAATGTCGATCAGTGTTGTCTGCACCGGCACCAGGATGAGTTGGGTGAGGATCTTGTCTGCGTCGAGGAAGGGCTTCAGAGCTTGCCGGACGGCGAAGAACATCTCTTCTTTGGTGCTGAGCTCTTCCAGCGCCTCGTAGCGAGTGTTGAGCGTCTCGGGGCTTGTCAGTGGTTGCAAGACATTGCTCCTCAACAGCCGGCTTCCCATGGGCGTCAGCGTCTCATTGAGCAGGCCAAAGAGGCAGTCCTTGGATTTGGCGTCGTGCAGGTTCTGAACAAGCTCAAGAGAATGCATGGTGGACAGATCAATCATCATCGAGCCTTCCGATGGCTCATACTTGATGCGCAGCGACCGCATCGGGAATGTCTTGCTCATGCCGAGCTCGACATACTTGAGCACGGCCGCAAAGCAGCAGACGGCGTAGTAGTTGCCACTCACGGCCGTCTTGATGGATTCGACGTCCTCAGTGAAGGCTAATTGTTGGATGTACTCGATGCCGGTGGTCTCCGCCCAGTACCTGCGATCAAGTAGAGTCATGTTGCTGCCGATGTCATCCAGACTGTCCTCAATGATGGAGAAAAGCTTCGACTTTGGCTGGCTTGCCGAAGACACAATTAAGATGTTGGTAGGGTTGAAGACAGTGAGTTTGTGGATCGTCCGGACGTACGTCTGGCTGTCGCAGATCTGGCTTAATACCGCTTCAGCCGTGTCGAGGTTGATGAAGGCAAGACCGACCGTGGGTGAGATGCCACGGGACTCGCTGACTGCACAGACGATCTCCTGATTCTCGATACCGAGTGTGGACACGCCTGTTCTAGGTCTGGCGGTGCTCGGCCGGCCCACGCTGCGAGCGCCAGGACGTGGGCGGGAGGCGGCGGTTGCATACTCGCCAGTGGTATAGAAGGGGTTGGAGGTGCTCGCGAGCTGGTTCGAGGTGCTGATTCGGTTCCCGTTGCGAGTCGTGGTGCTGGCTCTGTATCCTGTCGTGCCGGTACTGTACGGCGTCGACGCACGAGAAAGTGGCGCCATGAAGCCGGTGATTGTGTTATATGTGATACCTCCAAGAATGGTTGAGAGTGAAGCGTTGGAAGAGGTGAAGTCAAATTAAAGTTGCCGTGGTCTTGCCTCGTGTCAAGTCGTGCCTTCCAAATCTGGTCGCGAAGTACATCACCTACTTATGTGGCGGAATGGCTCTCTGTTACCGGATCTACTTCTCCTGCGGCAGAGCACTCACATACGATAGGTATTCGCGTGCGCGTTTGCGAGTGCTTCAGCAATGACCGGCCCAGCCACTATCCCAACAGTCCAGGCTTTCCGCATCCTTCAGGTAGACCTAGGAGTCGGCCGTACCCTATGCAGGGAGCAGCTCGCAATCATACAGCGCAGCAGCGCAACGGCGTAGCGAGAATTCATCGCCATTTAATAGACGGACTGGGTCCATACCTGTAGTTGACCTCAGTTCCGCCATATCTTCACCGCCTTATCCTGCCCTCCACTCCCCACCCTCTCGCCGTCCGGCGCCCAGTCAACCGCAAACACCTCGTCTTCATGACCAGGTAGATTCTCCTTCAGCGTCCCTGTCCGTACATCCCAAGCCTTCAGCGTCGTATCCTTCGATGCACTGACCAACAGTCGGCAGTCCGGCGAGAACGCACACTGGTATACTGGCGCAACATGACCTCGCAGAGTGCTCAAGAACTTCCCATCCGATGCGGACCAGAGTTTGATGTGGTTGTCGAAGCCGGCGGACGCAATGAGCGCACCGTCGGGTGAGAAGGTGACGTGGTTGACTTGCTTTTGATGGCCAACCATCCGTTGCAGCGGCTTTGTTGACCGCGAAGGCTCCCAGAGGTACATGGTGCAGTCGTCACTTGCCGTGACCAAACGCTCGATACCACCTGCTCCGGCGGTCGCTGCATCGTACCTCTCCTTCGCCTTCTTCCGCTTCCCTTCTGTAGTCTCCGGCACTGTACTCTTGCCCTTGTAGTCATAGAAGCCCGTCCGAAGCACGAAGTCCGTCGAGAGCGCAAGGTGGTTCACCCAATGTGCGTGTGCGTTGAGTGTCTGAACCAATGTGCCTGACTTCGAGTCCCAGATCTTCACCGTCCTGTCGTGCGAGGCCGAATAGATCAAACCAGCGCCACCCCACTTGACGCATGACACATTGCCCTTGTGTCCCGTGAGCGCCATATCAGTGTGCTGGCTCACAGCGTCCCATACTCGGATCGTGTAGTCTTTCGATGCAGAAGCAAGCCGTGGCCGGCCTGGCTCTCGCAGGTGGTAGGGCTCCCAAGATATGCTCGTGATCCATTTCGTGTGTCCCTTCAGCGCTCCCCCAAGCGGCGTGCCCTTCACCGGATCCCACAGCCGCACCGTGTTGTCCATACTCCCAGTCGCCAGTATACCATCATCTGGCGACCACGCCACGGCCAACACCCACCCCGTATGCCCCTTCAACGTATGCACCGGCGTCCCCGTCTCACAATCCCATATCCGCGCAGTCTTATCTCCACTTCCAGTCGCCAACCTCGAAGACGTCGCCAGCGAAAACGCAGTCGCCAGGATAGCCTCCCCATGCCCACTAATACTCGCCGAACACCTTGTCACAGCCTTGACCTTAAACACCGCCTCTGCTCTACAAGGGATATCAAGCTGCAACTCCGTCGTCGCCACCCCATCCAGATACGCCTGAATTACCTTCTCCTGGCTGAACTCGCCATCGCCCAAAGGATTAAGGAAGCGGTAGGGAAGGCGCTCGGATGGGTCTGTCCTACCGAGCAGGCTGTTGAGGAGGAGAGAGAGGTTGTTGGGTCTGAGATCAGCGAGCGAGACACTGACGACTGGTCCCTGCGAAGCGTTGGTGTCGCTGTCGCGGAACTGGACTCGGACTGAGGCTTCGGGTGGTGGTGTAGGTGCGGTGACGGGTTCTCGTGCTTTTGCGGCTGCAGCGGTCTTTTGCCGTTTTGACGGTGGGGGGAGGACGGTCGCCATTTTGTCTGCTGTTCTGGGGTGCGACTGGGTCGATGAAGAGGCCTCGACAACTTGAGAGCAGATCTTTGAGGTGATCTCAGAATTTCTTGAAACCTGACTCGCGCCGAAGATTGGCTGTGGCTAGTTCTACTCCCCCGATCGAAGCACGCCGGCGCAACCTCGGCTTGGAGCGGTGGAAAGAGAAGGGCTTCGAGGAGGAAGGGGGGAAGTGGTGTAGTGTGGATTTTTGAGTGCTGAGAGTGGTATCACTTCGGGACGAAGAATAGGTAAGTCACACTGCGGTGCAGTGGACAGGCAAGGCAGTCAAGGAAAATCGTGAAAAGTCGGCACCAGGCCTTCATACTGCTACAGCATTACATAAAGACGCCATACTTTGCGCCAAATCCGTTTCGCCATGGCATCGTCCAGTCATCAAGAAATAACCACACATTAAGCTGCACTGTCCTCGGACCCAACTGACAACACTCAAGCAGACCACCACACCCGTATCGTAGCAAGAAGCCCAGCCAGCTAGAAGAACAGCACAATCTCCCCACGGTCATTCCTCCTCAATCTCAACGACTTCCACAACTCCTTATCCTCGTCTTCCTTCTCGTCGGTACTTCGAACGCCACGCTCCCGGTGATATCGCTTCAACACCTTGTTGATCGAGCAGCCGCGATCGCTATCAGGTCCCTTGTTGATGAATGACAAGAACAGGTCCGGGCGGGAAGTGTAGCTGACGAGCTGATTCGTCGCGTTCGGCTGGACTGAGGAGGGGCGGTCGGGGTACTCGATAGCTTTCATGTGTTTCGCGCGAGGCCGGTCGTCTGATGAAAGCGATTCACGCTGTCGGCGGGAGCGATGGCGATCATCGTGGTAGCTGCGATCCGGGCTTGCGCGGCGGCGTTGCTTGTCGTCGTGGTATTTGCTGTCGCGAGAGCGGTCTTGCTTGTCTTCTGCGTGTTTTGAGGAACCTTTAGAAGTCGTTGTGCCGTAAGATACGTAGCTTGACGTGCGTCGGCTCTTCTTGTCGGCGTCTGCTTCGCCTCTTTTTGATCGCTTGACAGGACTCAAGATAGGTGTCGGCCCGGCGTCGATGCGATCTTCAAGGAACTCAGGATCCGTGATGAGTTTGTTCAGCCCGCCGGTGAGACCAGAATGCAGCACTCTGCCATTCCTCCCTTCTGTTGGCGCATCTATCATCATCTGGTCGCGCGAGGATGGACGCTTGGTAGTGGACGACAGGTCCAACTCCTCGACATGCCCTCGCTTGCGCTTCTTATCGCTCTTCTCGATGGTAGGTCTGTCTTTGGTATGTCGTCTGCTCTCTTTTGGCGCAGGCGTAACGTATGCGGGAGGTGGCATGAGGTTGTGCGACTGCTGAGAGTCGGTCAAGTTCTGCCATGAGTCGTAGCGCGCGAAGGATGGTTCCAGTGGACCATCACCGTATGAGAAGCCTGTTTGAGAGAACTGCGAGCCATCCGTTGCGTAGTGACTGTACTGCGAGTCGCCATTCGGGTAGTGGACAGACTGCTTGATTTCACGTCTTGGTTCTGGCGCGCTGATCTTATTTCTGGCGCCATTAGGCGTCTCCTCAGTCACCAAAAAGTCGAACACGTTGACGTTCTCTGGTAGGTCTTGCGCCGCAGTAGGAGGTGTTGGTGCCCTTGGAGGCACATCCACTATGGCCACTGCCTGCGAATCATCGCCTCCATCCGGCGCATCTTCGACGTATGCTCGCTGTGGCACCATTGGGTCTGAATTCCAGCTACCGGGCATCGACCTGCCCTTATCACCCTTCTTGCTCTTCTCCCGGTACAACGAGCCCTGCACCTTTTGCGCCTCGCTGATGCAGCTTGTATGTGATCGGTAGTCGGTGCCGTGGAAGTGCACCATGCAATCGATGCAGCTGAACGATGCGCCTCTACATTGGTTCCTATGTTTGTCGAGAGACTTCTTGGTCAGGACGTCGCCGCAAGCCTAAGGTAAAGTCAACAAACAGGTTTCTTCGGCGCACACGGTGTGGAGGGTCCCATATACCTCGCATTGGAAGGAAACCATGGCGGCAGCGGAAGCGCTCCTATATAACAGGCGCGTATGGAACGGAAGGTCAGGAGGTGTTCGCGCGTGTCTGAAGAGGATGTCGATGTTTCAGCGTCTGCACGTCAAATCCTCAGAAGGCACAAGGCTGTTTTTAGAATCTGCATCCCGCATTTTGTTAGCGTGGTTCGGCGCCAGGGGGAGTCGCCGCACTCACTTCTGTCTCGACATTTTAACAGATGACCAGACACCTCATACCTCATACCTCATACCACCAACTATCAATCAGACGACCTTGCGAAATGATAAGGGACCAGGCGTCACAGCGATTGATCGAGTCCGCGAGAGTACGCACCACTTATATGCCACTACCATGGCATCTGCCTTGCGTGTTGCCTGGCCGCTTGGAGACACCCTCGGCCAGTATCGCTCAATGGGGAAGGTGAGATACCAAGAGTTTTATCATCGATAGCGAGGAAGAATGATGTCGTTCAGACGCATGGCGTGGTAAAGTATACGGCAGTACCTCGTGTATGTTTCCTTCAACTTGACTTGTTCGCAACTGCTGGTCACGATGCATATCCCAAGCATATTTGCCTTCTCTGCTTTCATCACAATCACCTTGGCATACCAGCAGGTTCGCCTGCCTTCTTACTTAAGTCGAGAAGAGCATGTGTCGATCAACCCGAAGGACTACCCGGCCGAACACATATATATCCCAATTGACCACTACAATGACAACGACAACCGGACGTTCTCCAACCGGTTCTGGGTAAACTCGAAGTACTACTCTCCGGGCGGCCCAGTCTTTTATTTCGACGCTGGCGAGCAATCTGCCCATCCATTGGTCCCGTACTTCCTCTATGAGGCTTCCGGGCCTAGTAGCGTCATGACGCTGGCGCGGATGTTCAACGGACTGGCGGTTCTCTCCGAGCATAGGTTCTACGGCGATGCCGGTCATGGTAGCTTCCCGTTCCCCATGAATGCAGATGGGATGGCAGAGGGCGGGTACGATGCTTACAAGTATCTCACGACCGAGCAAGCGTTGCAGGATCCAGTCTACTTTGCGCATCACTTCGAGCCGCCGGGGCTGGAGCACTGTTGGGACGAGCTGAAGCCAGAAACCACACCATGGGTGTGGCTTGGTGGAAGCTATCCAGGTATCAGAGGTGCCAGTGAGTGTCAGGCATTTTCGATCAGGACGGTTTGGTGCTAACAGTGGTGTCCTTCAGTGATGCGTGTGCGCAATCCAGAGACTTTCTACGCCACTTGGGCTTCCTCAGCGCCGACCGAAGCGGCTGTTGATATGTGGACATACTACGCCCAGGCAGAGCGGAGCATGACTCGCAACTGCAGCGCGGACTACACAGCCATCACATACCACGTTGACTCAATTCTGGCCAATGGGACCAAGGCCGAGCAGGACGAGCTGAAGATCGCACTCTACACAGCAGTCATGTCGACGCCTGGCGGGTCGAAGCCGTCATCTGTCAACAAAACTGAAGCTAGACAACTGTCGAATGCAGACGTTGGCAACTACCTTCTGCTTCCACTAAGTTTCTACCAATACTATGGCTTCGAAGCATCCGTCCAGCCATTCTGCGATATCATGCAGACCGAGAATCGGACGCATGTGCGGACTACAGACAATGGCGGCACGGCGCCAGCGCTTGCTTTTGAGTCCGGCCTTGCGGAAGCCCACAATATTCCCAGAGCATGGCAAGCTTTCCTAGTCGGGATTGCTGAGATTGACTATGATAGCGTTCCATATGAGGGTGATCCGATCACGGGGTACAGCTGGATGTGGCAATACTGCTCTGAATATGGTAAGACCTTTCCATTGAAGACGACGGATTTGAAGCGTGCTAACTTGGAATGATTACAGGCTACTACCAGCGCGGGAACCCAGAGAACCCACACACGATCCAATCCCGCTTCATCTCGCTCGAGCGCTTCCAACACAACTGCGACGAAACGTTTCCGGAAGGCCTCCCTCCACAGCCCAATGTCAGTGCGGCAAACAAGTACGGTGGCTGGCACATGAACCCTTCCAACACCATGTTCAGCTCCGGCGAGTACGACCCATGGCGAGCCCTCTCACCAGCCTCCGTCGAAGTCGGCTCTCCGAACCGCACGAGCATGCAAAAGATTCCGGAGTGCAACGTTGCGCCGCCCAGCGATACCGTCTTCGGGATGGTGTACCGCGATATGGTGCATGTGAGCGATATGCGGGCATTACTCAATGAGAGCGATGTCAATCACCAGAACTTCAGCACCGTTGGGTTCAGCAGTCCGATCAGCACGGAGCCGTTCTATGCCGGGGTGGGACTGTTCCAGATGGCGTTGGAGGAGTGGTTGCCGTGCTTTCGGGGTGGGAAGTATGGTGAGATGACGTTCCAGTTTCCGAGTGCTGTTGGAGAGGGCTGAGGACCGTGAGGACTAGATTGGGCGTGTTGACAATGACGGGCAGCAGTAGTTATTCGAAGAGCGAGAACTTCCGAGTAGGCCTTCCCATGAACGCGAAGTTATTGCTTCAGTCAACAATCTCGCAATCGTGTAAAGAACAAATTAGGTCCTCCTTGCGTCGCTTCTCGTGATGTTCACATGAAATGAGGTCGGCACGGCATCGCTCCTTCCGTTTCAGATTGGCGGATTGCTAGTCGAACTTTCACAACCCTGCGGCGACTTCACCGCACCAATCTCAGCGATCTTTGGCACAACCCCATTCCACTCCACTCAACTATCAAAGCAAGCATTGTGTCCACACAACCGAGCCCATAATCCTCAAAATACCGGACAGCTATCCCGCGCTGCAACGGTATGGCTCCTTGCAGCTCGAATCACACCCACGCAGAAGTCATAAAGTGCATGTGATCAACCAAGCAAGCTTTCACTGACAGCTGAGGTACTAGAGTTGAGCTCCAACGACTCCCTCAATTAGGGCTCAGGGTCGTGTGAGCAAGCCATAAACGCCTCTACCCGCTTGATAGACCGCGAAGAGCCCTACCAACCAAGAAGCCGCCAGGCCGAGCAGAACTGTCTTCCTCATCTCGAGTGCATCCCCGATCTCCAGTTTGGCCACGGCGCGATGCTTCTTTCGAGAGTACCATCTCTGGAAGGCAGGCTCAGGAACCATCTGGGCCGAGGCTCCTCTCTCGTCTCGCTGCCAGGTGCTATTCCTGTAGTCCTGGTAGGGCTGTGGGTCAAGCCACGACAGATGCGTCAGGCGTGACCACAGAGATTCGTGGCTTGCTATTGAATGCTGTGACAGACGCCACGCTCGTTGCTGCCGGTCGACCAGAAATAGCGACAGGAGGAACGAGACCATCGTGAGTGGAGCGAGTACAAGCTATTGAGATCTCATAAGCCAAGCGAGCGGATGGACGACGACGAGGCTCTACCTACATCAGCGAACGTCGAGGTCGAGTCGCCGCTCGCGCCCTCGTGCGCCGCATCAACCGAGGGCCTGTCGGTAGGCGCGTCGTCGGCTGCCAGCTCCAGGAAAGGGTCCGAGCCTTTCTTGTTCCTGTGATGGCGGCGTGTGCTGTGTGACGGGTCTGTCATGCCGGTCATGGTGTCAGACGATGACGCTGTCGCTACCGAAGCAGCCATGGCTTCGGGGTACGGCCGGGTGTGCCACTGAGATCACGCTAGAGCTGCACTCCGAAACATCGGCATCAAAGATTTCAGAGACACGTTCTAAACATGTAAATGGGGAATGAGGTGTAGGTATGCTATGCGATGCTGAAGGTGTGCTTCTGCAGGTTTCGTGTTCGGATCTGCTCGGACGAGGGAGACCTTGGCTGCAGCAAAGCATGAGGCTCAGTTCCACGAAGCTAATAGGACAACATGGCGAGGATCGATTCGTCGCACCCAGATCGTATCGTTCTCGAATTGGTAAAATGCAACGTCCCAAAAGCTGTCACAATGCAGCAGATCTGGCGAACGTTTGTGTGTCCTCAAAGTCGACGGAAGTTCCGTGGGAGGTGAAGTCGAAAGAAGGGTGTTTCAATGGCCTGCGCCACGACAGGGGTTTTCGAGGCTGTGCTTTGGGCCGCGAATCGGTGGTTATTTTCGAGCCCTAACTCCGGCGTCAGAACACTTCCTGGCTACGAGATTGGTTCGCCCAACTCTCCTCTGGAGCAAGGATTCGCGATCTTCAGCTGGACGGGGTGCCAAGGGGCGAGCAAGAACACGCTTCCCCGGCGCTGCGAGAGGTTGGCGAACTTTGCTCGGTTTGCCAATGGCACGTTACGAACACATGGTCGCTGCGCGTCACCTCGCCCACCAAGAAAGGTGGGTAGCCCGTCCGCTTGGACCTGAGTGCTTACAAACTCCCGGCCGGAAAACAGCCGCTGGCCCAATCCTGTCAAGCAAAGCGAAAGGTCTGTCCGTTTCGGCTGGTCAAGGTTGGGACCCTTGCCGGAAGGGGTGCATCCCGGCATCGATCTCTCCAGATCTGTACCAGCAGCCAGGTACAGCTGAGCAGGGGCAAGCGACAGATGGGCGGCATATGGCGTATCAGAAGCCATGTTGAAAGCCGTCTACAGCCTCTACATCGCGGCACATCCGCTAGATGTGCGTTGTGGAGTATGTGCTTCGACTACCAGCGCCACCTGCTACTCTTGTCGGCTGTCTTTCCGTCCAGGACTCTGACCAATGCGAAGACCTTGGTCCCTCCGCGATGCATTGATGAACATCGAGGGTCTAGTGGGGGCACGCTTACAACTGAGGTTGCAGGAGTCCAAAGCACCTCCGCCGCTTGCTCGCAGCCGTTGAGGGGCGTTAGTCGTCAAGCCCATTTCACCTTATATCCAATCAACAACGGAGAGGGCACAAAAAGCTCTCGCGGCAGTAGGGAGTTATCACCGATGGCTAAACGGCGACTTAGCTCTTCTGCTGCCGAAGACCAAATGGGTCGGCCGTTGAATTGGACCAGAGCACAAAAGATCAACGTCCTTGCCCGACAAGCCTAAGCCTTTGCTGTCATCGAATGTTGCCACCCGACCTTCCAATTGTACCTCTTTCAGACATAATTGGAGGCGATGCTGCATCGCCAGTGCTGCAATGATGTGTGAGTGCGACGTATAAGGTGCCCCTGATGAGGAATTAGAAGGCATTCTTATAACGACCCGCTTCTCGCCATGTCTAGTCAGTTGACCACGAACACTCCTACTTCCGGACTCCCAGCACTTGACCGAAACATGGCGAACAACAGACGGACAGCAGAGCTCTCTAGACACGAATCGGGGACATCCTCGCCCGCAACGTCCCGCTCTGCTAGTGGAAGTATGGAGCCTCCAACATGTTCCTTGTTCAGACTGGTCAACCATGTCCACTGACACTATACCAGGCAGCAAGGCATCTTCTCCAAACGAACAGAGGAACGCAACAGACTTTCAGTTCCTCAATTTCTCACATCCATCGGATGCAAAGGATTCACGAGCCCGGAAGACCGTTCGGAGTCACGTCACGAAGCAACAGCACCAGCGTGAGCATGCCGCTGCTGCTGCCCGGCGCACCCAAAGCTTCCCGCAACCCGAGGACCGCGTGGAAACGGACGACATTCCAGCGCCTCGACCCCATGCTGCAACATACCCATCCAATCGTCCGGCGATGGACGACCCGGACATGGACATGCCCTTACCGTTAAGCCGCATCACAGGCAGTCCCGAAGAGTCGTCCCAGTCGCCATCTCCAATCTCTTCTCCTTCAGAACAGCGAATCGACCCTTCGACCATCTATCCGGCTGCTTGGCGGTCGTCCTTGAACACCGTCACAGTAAGAACATCTCGCATCCATTACGAGTACATAGGCTGACCGCAGAGCAGGAGTACTATCTGAACTTCATGGCCGCCGACATGCCAGATATGGAGAGGCCAGACAGAAGAGGATTGCTTCGATCACGCTTCTTGCCCCTCTGTCTAACCGACCCTGCGCCTTTGCACGCTTTCGTGCTCATGGCGGCATCGCATTACGGCAACGCCAACGGCCCTCAATCACACAACATCGACATACAACATCTCCGAAGCATGGCAATGTCCGAGGTCAATGGCGCTCTGCAGCACCGTTCACGCAGTCTCAGCGACCAGATGATCGCGGCGGTCACCATGCTGGCCTCCTACGAAGCACTCTCCGGCAACCACGATATCTTCCGCACGCACATGACGGGGCTGAGACAAATGGTGGGCATGCGCGGCGGTCTGCCGGCATTGGGAGTCGACGGTATTCTGGAACGCGCTTTGTTGTGGGTCGATGCCAACGCTGCTCACATCACCGGCTCGCGCATCTACTTTGACAACAACACTTTTCCTTCAAGCGTGGAGCATCCCAGACCTCATCCGCGTCGATTTTCTGGCGGCTCACCACGGAGACAGTCGCCCTGAACTTTACTTCACATCCAAGCTCTTATCTGCGCATGCATCAGAAATTCGGCAATATCTATACCCCATACAGCATCATCAACCCTATCGAAAAGCATCTGTACTCTAGTACCAAGCGAATCGGCAGTGCGGGCACTGTCTCAATGGATCTCTCTTCGTCGGAACGGATGGAGGAAGGATCGATAGCAGAATAGACCTAGAATTAATTACACCATCACTTCGAAGCTGTCAACCTGTCCTCTACTTCTTCGGTTCTCATCCGACGTGCGCAGCAGGTGGGACGACTGCGATATGGCGGCGGTGCTCCATTCCTCTCCCTTGAGTACGATCCCGACTGTGATACGCAAGTCCGCAGCAGCTGAACAAACGTTGGTTCCGATCTAGACGCTTCTCCCATCGAAGAACGCGTTTAGGGTCGCCAGTCTACTGGTGAAGGTCGTCGCGATGGGTCGCATTGCTCCTGCACGGGGGAGCCACTGGCTTCGCATCGATGTTGATCGTCGAACACAGCTTTTGTTCATCGGTCAGGCCGAAGTCGTTTCGTTTGGCCCACGTCGACCGCACCATCATTAGGTGTACCGGAGTAAAATCATTCATGCGTGAGCGTTTCAACGACGATCAACCTCGCGTGGGCCAGACACAGCCTCCTTGATGTCGCGTGGAAGTCGGAAGATGAATGAATCGTTGAGAGGACGAAGGCTCAGAGCGGAGTGGCCGGATCGCCAATGGCTTTATCATTTGACTCGAGGACATTGAGAAGCAGCACGAGCCCACGATCTCGTTTCAAGGAAGCCTTCGAGTAGCTTGAACGCACAGTACATCTCTAAGAAAATAGTCCTCTGGGTACGTGATTGGTCAACAACCAAGCAACATGTCGGCAATGTATGCATTAGCGAGAACTAGGCTGGAGAAGGCATTTGCCAATTCGGTACAGGCAGTCCGGCAGTCGATCGCCGGTTTTAACAGGTGCGCGAACTTGTCGTCTCGATATTGTCAAATGCGCGAGGCGCAGCTTACACTTAGATGGGTACCTGATATTCAAGCTTGGCCTGTGGGATAGACATGTGAACGGGCAAACTTCGCCAGAATGACAAGGAAAGGGCCCACAATTAACGGCTGGGCTTCATGGATGCTCTTTCCGTTTGCCGAAGTGAAATTCTAGGAGGAAAGGAGACTCCGAAAGGATGCCAGGACAGTTAGAGGATTTAGCTGGCAAGTACGGGGAAGACATCGAAACTGGGTGTTTTGGACGGCATCACCCGGAATACTCAGGCTGGCGGCAAGTCAACATCGGTTCAGAGACGTGAGTCAAGACCGCTGCCGCAGAATGCGGTCCTCACGGAAGAGCCAGGACTGACTGGGGGGATCTTGAGCTGTTTTGATCTTGGTGTCGAATTTGAGGTCGCTCCTAATCGCTCACTGAACTTGTCTCCCGGACAATCCTTGCCGCGTTACCCCAGATCGAGCACCCCAGAAAAAGCATTGCCATCGTGTCGAAACTGTTCGCCGGTCGTTGTTCCGTCTCCCATGAAAGGCCACCCTATCTCAGTCTCCTTGCCTCGCGCTCAGACTCGAGTAAGCAGAGGATGTCGTCCTCGCGGACTGTGCGCCAATGTCAGCCTCACCATTTCGCCTGCATATCCTTTTCGTATTCTTACCTGGGCCCTTCACGTTGCGGATGATGCTGCGGGTCGTGTCGTCCATGAATTCCACGCGCACTTGTGTCACACCACCTCGCGAGCCTGCATATTGTCAGAACCCTTCCTTCTTATGCTCTTGGCCGTATCGCTGCCGTTCTCATTCACATACCAGTGCGGCCGAGGACTCTGGTGACTTTGACGAGCTTGACGGGAACCCTGCGAGCGATATCAGCGTGATGCGCCACCGAGATTGCGGGAAAATCGCCTACTTCTGGGAGTCCATCTTTGCGACTGGGAGTGTGTCGGTGTTGAGTGGTTGTTGCGGGCGGTTTCGTAGTTGGCGTGTCGTCGAACTTTTGGAATTCCGTGAATGAAGTTCGCGGTGTATTTCTGACGGTGGGCTTGGCGGTCATATGTCCGCGCCACCCGGCCATAAGTCTGCTACCGGCACGAGCCGAGCGATGCAAGGACGGCCATTGAGAAGAGGAAATTTGTTGACCGACGAAAGTAAAGGCGAGAGTTGAAATTTAAACCAACGTCGACCACAGCTCAAGCGATCTAAAGGCTTCGAACGAGCGCTGACCATTGACTCAAGCTACGAGCATCGTCTAACACTTCAATTTGAAAATCTCTTAAAAGGCCCTATTTGTTGCTGCTTCCGTCGTACATAGCATTGGCTTCATTCCACAGCAGCACGACCAGCACATATCACTCGCTTCGCCATGGATCTGATGCACAGGTCTGTCTACCTCCATCTCGAGCGACTCCGTTATGGATCATAAGATTGACAGCGTTGGCAGCCTCAACGATCGCCTACTGTTCGCAGTACCAAAGAAAGGACGTCTTCACCAACCCTGTCTGGACTTGCTTTCAGGCTCAGACATACAGTTCCACCGGCACAACCGACTGGACATTGCCTTGGTCAAAAATCTCCCACTAGCATTGATCTTCCTTCCTGCTGCAGACATTCCCACATTCGTAGGCGAAGGTCGCGTTGATTTGGGAATCACTGGACGAGACCAGGTCGCTGAGCACGAGGCCGACACTCCACCTACCGACACGACCGGCGTGGTGGAAGTGATGAACCTGGGCTTCGGCAGCTGCAGATTGCAAGTTCAGGTGCCTGAAAATGGACCCATTCAGACGTCTGATCAACTCGTTGGGAAGAATGTTGTGACCAGCTTCACTGCGCTCTCAAAAGCTTATTTTAGGGATCTGGAAGCGCAGCGAGCGAGGATGACCCCGCAAGCGAATGGCGATGCAAGTAAAGACCTTCAGACGACGATCAAGTTCGTTGGCGGTAGTGTGGAGGCAGCCTGTGCTCTGGGAGTGGCAGATGGTATTGTCGACTTAGTGGGTGAGTTAATCCGCCTCTTCTCAGGACCTGAACGACGACCATGTTAATACGTTACAGAATCCGGCGAAACCATGCGAGCCGCAGGCCTGAAAGCCATCGATACCGTGGTGGAGTCTACAGCAGTACTTATCAGCTCAAAACACCCATCGGACCCGAAACTGCTGAAAAAGATCACGAGCCGGATCAAGGGGGTCATCACCGCGCAGCGATTCGTCCTGTGTACATACAACGTCTCACGGAAACTCCTGACGAAAGCCTCCCACATCACTCCCGGCAAGCGCGCACCAACTGTCACGGCGCTCGAGGAGGAGGACTGGGTTGCGGTGCAAGCGATGGTTGAGCGGAAGCAGATCGCCAACGTGATGGACGAGTTGGCGGAGCTGGGTGCAACGGACATTCTGGTGACGAAGATTGACAATTCCAGGACGACGTGGTAGGCTTTGTCTCTGAAGTGCAGATGCGAACATGATATTACGGAGTATGATAGATCATATAGAATATGCTTCCGTGGCTCGAGAAGTCGCTAAAGTGGATATGGTATCTCTTCTTTCGCCATAGATGATCATGCAGCGTGCAGGCTTAAGAGTATCGACTCGCCGCTCCAAATCCTGCTTGTTCGTCTTACATGCAGAACAAAAATATCTGATAAAAAGTGTGCCAATGTTGTTTTATCCCAGGAAGCGGTACCTTAGTCCGCTCAGATACTCGGTACCCCAAGTGATGCCGAGTGTTTGCTCCTTCCTAATTGGGGAACGCTCTCGACCCACACTGTCGACGGCATCAGTGGAATCAATGCTTGAACCCTCATTCTCACTCTCTGCTCCCATTTTTCTTTAACACATCAAGCCATCAAAATGCCCGAGACCAAGTACCTGGAGACAGAGATCACGCTGTCGCCACAGTCCGAGCCAGCAAGCACCAAATTCCCTGCTAAGCTGGCATACTGGACGTTCGGGAACGTCTCGAATCCAGCAGTTCTGCTGCCCACCTGCTATGGAGGCTCCCTGGAGACCACAACACCGTTCTTGTACTCCGATGGTCATACATCTGACCCCATCTTTCCACCGTCGAAGTACTTCGTCATAGTAACGGGATTACTCGGAGGCGGCGAGTCGTCATCGCCTTCCAATACGCCAGCACCATTTGATGGTCCGAACTTCCCTCATACGACGTATGAAGACAACATTAGACTACAACATGCCCTGTGCGAGAGTCTCGGCGTCAAGAAACTCTTCGCCTACATCGGCTTCAGCATGGGCGGCCAGCAGGCTTATCACATGAGCACGCTCTACCCGGAGTTCGTGGAGAACATGGTCTGCTTAGCCGGCAGTGCAAGGACGAGCTGGCATAACTGGAGCTTCTTGGAAGGTCCGAAGCATGCTCTCATCACCGCCGTGGACTTTGAGGGCGGGCATTACAAGCAGCCGGCGAAGCAGGGTCTCAAAGCGTTCAGCCGGGTATACTCTACCTGGGCGCTGTCCCAGCAGTGGTTTAGGGAGGAGTGCTGGAAGGAAGTTGGGTTCAACTCTGCTCCTGAGTATCTGGAAGCGAACTGGTCTGGTCTCGGGAAAGACGCAAATGACCTCTTGTGTCTGCTGTGGACGTGGCAGAAGGGCAACATCTGTCTGTACTACCCGGAAGACAAGAATGATCTGGCAAAGACGCTCGGGAGGATCAAAGCGAGATGTCTCATCTTTCCTTCGAGAACGGATCAATACTTTCCGCCAGAGGACAACGAGGAGGAGGTCAAGCACTTGAAGCATGGCGAGTTTCGGTGCATTGAGACTCCTTTCGGCCATATCGCTGGTGGAGGAAGTGGTCGGAAAGCGGATACGGAGTACATCATTAAGGAGATCAAGAGCTTCTTGAAGATATAATGTGACCACATGGAAGAGTTTAGCTATTGTATGAAGGTCGGTATGACTTCCACTATGCCGGTTGGCGATCTCAAGATGCGTTTCAATGTGGATGACGAGGCACAGCCTGCATCGATGTCGACCGAAGAGCCCTTCCCGGAAACGAGGATATGGACATCAGACCATGATCTGCTCAACAGTAACCTGTGCGTGGGTTGGAGAAGAGGCAAAAAACATTCCCGTGATCGGCCGTCGTATTTCGCCTAGCTTCTCGAGTGTGACGATGTGGTCGTATCGGAACAGGTGTGCCCTCATCAAGCTGACTTGCGCTTTGAAGAAGGGGTCAAAATGGAAATAGTGGTATACCAGCTCCAGGCCAAATCGAACTACGAATCTCTCACGGTCCGAATTGATTAGCAAAAGAGTTCATCTTGCACGCAATTGATCAGAAGTTCTCAATTGTGCAAGACTAATCTCCCAGTCTTTGAGCGGCTAATGGGCTCTCGCCCCTAAGATACTCTCCGTCTGTTGGCGTGGCAAACCAGCATGACCAGGTGGTCTAGAAGGCACCATCCATTGCTGGATTCACGAATGCAACAATTTGCAAGCTGCGATATATCCTGTAATTTGGCGGCCGAGCTTCTGCCGAACGGCACAGCCCTGCTTTCGCGATGCTGGTGTGACATGTGACACGCCAAGGAGGCCGTGCCCCGGCCACCTTGCAATTCCACCGACTCAGTCTTCGCCGAAACTTCTTCAGGTCAACTCGTCTGAGCCACGTCCTCCCCTTCTGTAGTTGCAGCTTCCCAACCATGGCGGACCAAAGCTCCTCGGAGAGCGACAATTCGGTCGACGAGAAGGCCAAGCGGGCTACGGGCGACGCAGGAGCTCAAGCCCAGCAACACTCTTACAGCTGCATCAACCTTCCTCGATTCGGGAGCGTTGGCCTGTCTCTACGCCCTCGCTGGCCCAGACTGCAAGACATTTCCGCTGGAGGTTACAGTCGGCAAGATTCTGAACACCATGAATCAGTGCATTACGACCCATCTGGACAAGAAAAGACGTGGCTTCCCAAAACGCACCATGAAAATTCGTGGTCGCACCCCAGACTACTACCGCATCAACTTCGATCCCTCTGCCCAAGACATCACGGGAGTGAGCCGCCGCCTGCACGACTTACTGAGCGCCAACCAACATCTGCCGGCTGGACAAGTGCTGGAGATCCTAGATGAGCAGAGCTGCCGTCCGTTCGCCCTCTCGAATCGCAAGGATGTTCCGGGAGCGAAGAAGATCGGGACAATCGGACAGTACCCTCAACACATCGACAATCGCCACTACGTCTCTTGCTGGAACGATCGTCTTGAAGCCCTCGCTGTCTGTGAGGCCGCGGGTTGGTCACTGAAGGAGGTTGTCGCTGCGGTCATTCAGTCAGTCCGTGCTCGCTGTGAAAAGCTCGATCCGGACTCCCTCCTTCTCCGAGACCCTAACGACCTGGAGAGCCATGATCTCTCAGCTAGACATGTCTTAAGCCGCTCAGCTCGCAGGAAGCGCCCTCCACCTTCGACAGCCGAACTCAGGAAGCACGTCGGAGAATGGAGCCTCCGCGATGAAGTAGCCGGATTTGCTCGGAAGGTACAGGAATGCTTTGACCAGCCAGATCGCACGAATGAGCAGTACGCGGACATGGTCGAGCGCGAGCTGTACTGCTTCAAGCTGGCGAACAAGAAGGCCGCAGTCAGGCGGAAGAGGCATGGTTGAAGCAGTCGACAATGCTCGTCTGGGGGCTCTCAGGGGACCGGGGCTCTCATTGCACGGGCAGCAAAGCGCAAGAAGCGCGGTTGAAATAGCTCGACAATGCTCGTCTGTGGGTTCTCGGAGGACCGGGACTCTGTGACCATTGCAGAGGAGCATCGGAGAGTAGAACGCAGGATCTTGTGACGGAGAGAAGGCTCGCCGACATGTATCGACATGAATGATGCTAAGCATGAGCTCGTGGTGTTCACATTGTAATTGACTGTACTCACTTGCTACCGATATCCGTCCGGATCTCAGCCCCATCCTCCCTTCCCTCCGAAACCACCACTATCCTCCGCATGCCCCTTGCCCTTCCTCCCACCCCTCTGCTGCGCCGCCTCATGCTTCCTCAACTCCTCCGGCACCCGCGACAACTCACTCTTACTAATCATCTGCTTCAAATCATACATCACATCCGCATCCTCATTGCCCAAGAACGTAATCGCCACACCTTGTTTCCCCGCACGTCCCGTACGACCGATACGATGCGTGTACGCTTCAATCGTCGGCGCCATGTTAAAGTTCAGCACCAGACTGACGTCCGGAACATCGATACCACGACCAGCCAGATCCGTAGCGACGAGGATGTTGACGCTGCCGTTGCGGAGTGCTGCAAGCGCGGCTTCACGCTGGTCTTGCGTTTTACTCCCGTGCAATGTAACGGAGGAGTGGCCCATCTTCTGGATATCGCGAGCCACGACGTCACAGTTGCGCTTGATGTTGACGAAGATGATGATGGGTGGGACGAACTCGCGAGAGTTGAGGATCTCGCTAATACGCTTCTTGCGCTTGTCTTCGCCCTGGATGAACTCGACTCGCTGCTCGACGGTGTCGACGGCCTCGCCGATGTTGCCAATGGTGACAATGGCAGGGCGACGGAGGTACTTGCGAGCGATACGCTCGACAGCTGGAGGCATGGTAGCTGTGTACATCATGGTCTGGCGGTACCGATCCTTGCCGCCCAAGTGCTGTGACATGAGTGTAGCATCCTCAGCCTCGTCAGTTTCGGGCTTTTGGTTGCTTACAGGCAGGGCGTCGAGGATCTTGTTGATGGGTTCCTCAAAATTCATATCAATCATGCGGTCTGCTTCGTCCATAATCACGTAACAGCACTGAGACAGCACCAGCACGCGGCGCTCAATACAGTCGACCAGACGTCCGGGAGTGGCGATGATAATCTCAGCGCCATCGCGCATGTTGTAGCTCTGCTGTTCGATGGCGTGACCACCGACCAAAGACACGCAAGTGAAGCCAAGCGGAGTCGCGAACTTCTTAGCCTCAATCTCGATCTGCTGTGCCAGCTCGCGAGTGGGCGCAAGGATGATTGCATATGGTCCATCATTCTTGGTAGACTCGTCAAGCGGGGGAAGCGCAGAGATGTATACCAGTAGTGGCAGCAGGAACGCAGCAGTCTTTCCCGAGCCAGTGACAGCCACGCCAATCAAGTCTCGAGATTGAAGGGCAATGGGAATAGCTGCGCGCTGAACAGCTGACGGCTGTGTGTACCCAACCTCATCGACAATGTCCATCAAGTTCTTCGGCAAGCCAGACTCTGACCAGGACCGCATAGGGTTGGGGATGCCGCCGCCTTTTGTAGCAATGTTGAAGTCTTCCTTGAAAATACGCCAGTCACGCTCACGCATCTGCTCGAGCTTCTTCTCGCTCCAGTGCTTGTCGATGCCATTCCTGCCGCCTTCTTCGCGCCTTCTTCTCTCCATCTCCAGAATCTCCATGGCGCGCTCCCGTCCGGCTTCAGGGTCTCTTTCTTCAATCGCCCGTGCGTATGCCTTGGCCATGGTGTCGTTCGAGTCATCGGCAAAGCCACCTAATCGACCACGTCCGAACAAGCTTGTCCCCTCTGAACGACTCTGGTATATCGGGTTGTAGTCCGGACTTGTATCTTCCTCAGTATTCCAGGCAAAGTTGAACTTCTTTTCGGTCGTCCGCTTCCGCTTCTTCTTTGCACTGAAAGTCGAAGTGTTGGTGTCCGCACCCATATACCGTTGCTTGATCATCTCGGCTGCGACGTCGTGCTCCGAGCCCTTCTTCGAGGTCTTTGGCCCATCCTGAATTTTGAGTTCCTTTGGCGGAGGCGGCGGTGCCATATCATAGCCCTTGTTCGGCAGCGAACGCATGGATGAAGGACCCGTAGGGACCTGGCCGTTGCGGGCATTACGGGGACCTGTGGGAGGTCCGCGATGCCCGTTCGCATGACCATGAGAGGACGGAGGAGGTGGAGGAGCTGCGTGGCCGTTCGACCTGTCGGACTGCTCCCTTTGCTTCGCCTCCACAACCTCCTTCTCGCGCTTTTCCAGCGCTATACGCTCACGTTCCTTCTTCGACAAAAACTTCGGTTTGGCTGCTGCTTCGTCGGCTGCCTTCTTCTTTGCCAGCAGTTCTTCGATACTGAGTGGCTGAGCCTTTGGCGTTGGTTTGCTCCAGCCGATCTTGCGCTTCTTGGTTCCAGACTCGCTTGATACGTCGCCGTTCAAGTCGCTTGGTGGTGGTGGTGGTACCGGGTCTGATGGAGGGGGCGGCGGTAGATATGAGCTAGGCGGTGGTGGTGGTGGTGGAGGTGGCACATCGTCGTAGCCGTTCTCCATATTGCCGGCTACTCCTAGTCAGGCGCAGTTGGGTGACGATGTTGAGATAGTCTTTCAGGTGCACTCAAGTTATGGAGAGCCGGGATGCTCGGTGATGCGGGCCGAAGCGGAATTGCTACACCCAAAATGGCAGTTACGGCAAGTCTTCAATGGCAGCGCATGAAGTGGTAGTTCAAAGGTGTGATTCAGTGATGGACTTCTTGAGATGGAGTTGGTACGAAACAGCGAGTAGCGTCCATTCAATCGTGGAATAGCATTAACGGCGGCTAGGAATACTAAACTACATTGTCATACTCTCAGAGCAGACCTCACAGCTGCGCCCTCAAGGGAATGTCCTTCCATGCCTCGTCGAACCCGGCCGACCTTACCCATGTCGATACTCCTTTGGTCTTAGTATTCTCCACGCTGTCAATCGCCATGTGGCCCATCAGCAGCCAATCATCATGCTTGATCCTGAACTCATCCTTGTGCTCATATGGCTTGCAGATGCTCTGGCCGTGGGCAAGCGCTCTGATAAGCTTGGCTGAGTGCCCATCGTCATTGAAGTCGCAGACTCGGTCCTGGATGCCGTCCCAGCCGGATTGGTGTCTGGGCTTGTATTCGCGGATCTCATCCAGGCGGATGTCTGGGCATTTGCGGGAGGCGTACATCGCGAGGTCGAGCCTAGTCTTCCACTCTAGCAGACGGGCTTTGTTCTGGTCGCTGAGCCAAGCCTGTTTGAGGAAGGCCGGGAAGAAGATGGAAGAGTTGACGCAGTGCCTGATGAGAAGTATTAGATGTTGCAGTGCTGACAAGCGGAACAAGATACTCACATGTAGTAAAAGTCAAACATCACCATGTTTGGCGGATGCTGCGCGCCTGCTGTGTAGTAGCAGACAGCATTCGTCATTTCCGCAGTCTTTTCGTTGAGCTCATCTGGCTTAACGTGAAACTGTGCTGCCAGCTCGGTCATGCGCTCGCCTGCCCTAGGAATGATGCCGTCGTAGATCTTGTTGCCGTCGTCCCAATGAGCCGCGGCCTGCATGTCCTTGTCGCCATGAATGGTATCGAGTAGTTCAACGATGCTTTTCGATGGACCTCCTCGACTTTCTCTGGCAGCCTTTTCAGCCGGAAGTAAGAGCTTCCCGATCTGGTCATCGTGGCACGATGCTTGGGCGAGCGCCTCGGCCACGATAGCAGGCTGGCGGAACTCGACTCCATACCCTGCTCAACGTCAGCGAGTGTTCAGATTACTTTCGCATGCTACTCACCTAGATGAATGAACGGATGAAGAAAACCAGCAAACAGCCTCACGAACATGGCCTCAGCACGGTCGTCACCTGCAAAGACATACTTCTGTAGGACCTCTTGCCAGCTGCCCTTGTCGATCTCGTCCTGGAAGAAGCGGAGGAAAGTGTGGTAGTTGTCTCGTGGGTTGAGGTTCTTCAGGAAGCCGGCTGGGTCTTGGAGCTCCTCGAGGACTTCCTGGTTCACGGGCGGTTGAGAACGCTGATAGCTTTCGTTTGTCTCGTAGTTCTTCTGGATCTGCTCAGTCGACGCATTCAACGCCCATATCGCTAGCACATGATGGGCGATGTGGTTGTGGAGGCCCCCATCCTGAAAGAAAATATGCCAGTCCTTGTGATTCTTCTGCAGTAGTTCTGAGGCGCACTCGGTCTGTTCCTTGGTGATCCCGGTGCGGTAGTATTCAGGCCAGTCGCCAACGTCCGTACCAAGCTGGACTTTGCTTGCTGTCGCCATTGTTCTGGTTCTTGCTGCTATAGGTCGGATACTTCGTAAGATGGATGGGCTTCGGAGTCTCAACATCTGGCAGATGCCATCTCCTCTGAAGACGAAACGCTTGTACTTTAAACTACCTTGACGAACGCACAACGTTACCTCTTCAAATTGGTCGGGCTCTTTGCCATCTGCAAAGTCCGGCCACGTGACGAGTCTTACTAAAGCAATAGCCAATCAAATACTGCTCTGTCTCGCTGTGACCGCTGGATTACCAGAGTGGCAAGAGACAACGAGCCTGGACGGCAGGCCAAGGCTGAGACTGTTCGTCTTTGAGATCCTTCGCGTGTGTTGATCTGCTTGATTGATAATCGAGGAGTTTTCAGTCTGCAATCTGTGGTTTGAGAAGAAGAGATGGAGTCAATCCGCGATTCCGAAAGTTGGGCTCGCCTGGCTCGTGCTGCCGCGACTTAGCGTGTGTTCTGAACGTCACGTCGTCTCTCCTATCCAATAATCAACGTGTTCCTGGAGCGAACATGAAGAGGAAGCGGAAGACTCAGCGGGATGCTCGCGAAGGCAAGCGACAGAAGCTGGTCCACGGCTCAACACAGCCTCCGGCGTGGACTCTGCTCCGGCAATACTACCCAACTGTGTTGACACTCAGACGATATCTGGCCTCACGATTGCCCAAGAACCGCCGGAAACGCGTGCTACATTACGGACGTGGCAATGACAACAATGCCGATGCGGATGTTCATGTGGTAGGACTCCTGGATAGTGTTACTGTGGGCACTTTCAACCACAGCCCCAAGAACGATGAGGACCTGGAGAAAGACATCACGGTCTTTACACAGCAGGTGTCCGAGTCTTCGGCAACCATTGGCCCCACGCAAGGTGCCTTGAAGCAGTCCGAAGTAGGTCGCACTCATATCTGATCTCTTTTGTGGAATTTCTGTCACCATGTCACGACTGTAGTAGGGCTACTGATTATGTACAGATCGTTGATTTCGTTCTCTGGCAACTGTTCCGAAGACACTCTGGCTCACATGCGCCCTCGCATATGCTTTGTCGTGGCTATCAGAAGTACGCTACAAACTCGACAACCGGCGCGGGCGTATGCGCCGTCCCTGGAGTGCCGGGTCTCTTCTGCAATACCGAGCACCATTACATTTCAAGATTGAAAAAACATCCATGGTCCACTCTGCCTTCTCTTCTTGGCCGACATGGCGAACGCATACTTGCGGACCTTCTGTTCCATTGTGGATTGTTCGAGCAAGTTACGGGCGGCAGCAACCTGAATCAAATTAGTGGTGTGCCACTCAGCGACCTGAAGCCTTTGCCTCAGCATAATTCAGAACCCGATGGCCAGTCCATTGTCATCCTATCACTACCGGCGGAGGAACGCGTGAAGCAGGCTGCTGTGTCTGTGCGAAAAGTGTCGGACATTCGCTTTCTCCGCCATCGCATGCTATACGCAAAGCCTGTCGTGTCTGCTCAAGGCCATGTCCGCTTTGGTTTGGGTCATGCCCACGCTCTTAACCAGCGTCAAGTGGATAATGAGGATATTCGAGCAAAGCACATCTTAAAATACGTCTTTCCAAAGCAATTCGGACTGCATAATGTCCTTGCTTCGCAAACTGACATCCAGGACACCTCGCAGCCTTTCATGGACTACACTGACCGCGAAAAGGAGATTGCTCGCTTGATCTGCGACTGGAAGAGAAGGCGAGGACCCGCGGAGGAATCTGGACCCAACGAGCCGCCGTTACCGAAAAGGCTGCGCGGCGGTGCCGTGCTGCTTGCCAGTCGCCTGCTTAAGCGCCATTCCAGGAGTGCATACACTGCATTGCTTGACCATTACTGTCCCAGTCCTATAAAGGATGACTTCAATCCGGAAACTATTACCAAGCACGCCTCCACATCGGCACAAGTCTCTGCGTTTTGCAGAGCAGTCACATCGAAGGTCTTTCTGGCAGAGCTCTGGGGGGATGGTGACGCAAAGCATCACAATCGGCAGATACTACTACGAAGCGTCGACAAGTTTATCCGTCTGCGACGCTACGAGAGCCTGACGCTGCATGATGTACTGCAACGCATACAGCTCAGCGGCATTGGATGGATGTCTCCCGAACCTGTGAAACAAGACGAAAAGATGAGCCAGTCAGACTTCACAAAACGCAAGGAGCTCATGGCCGAGCTGCTGTACTACCTTTTCGACTCCTTCCTCATCCCGCTGATACGAGGCCACTTCCACGTGACGGAGTCTGGAGCCCACCGGAACCAGCTGTTCTACTTTCGACACGATGTTTGGAAGGCGCTGTCAGATCCGGCTCTTGCTGCTCTCAAGGAAACTATGTTAGAAGAGAGCAGGACTGCGAATCTCAAGACGGCGATGGAGAAGCGTGCGCTCGGCGTAAGCAAAGTCCGCCTGCTGCCGAAGGAGCATGGCATGCGTCCGATCATCAATCTGCGGAGGCGTATGCCACGGATGAAGAATGGCCAGTTGGTGCTGGGGAAGAGCATCAACAGCATCCTCACTCCCGCGTTCAGTGTCTTGAACTATGAGAAGGAAGCTAATGTGGGCATTCTTGCCTCTGCCATGTTCTCGGTGGAAGACATCTATCCCTGCTTGCAGTCTTTTCGGCAGAATCTTAGCAGACAAGGTCTTCTGGACAAGCCGCTGTTCTTCGCCAAGGTTGATGTCAAAGCCTGCTTCGACACCATCCCACAACAGCGACTGATGGAATTGGCGAGGACCATCCTTGCGCACGATGAGTATCGCATCGCAAAGTACGCCAGAGGCAAGCTGATCGGCAGCCACAACCAGCAGACGCCCGGCTTCGGATCCAAACCGTCGTGGCGCTTCCTCACCAGAGCGGGTGCTGGCAAAGACGACTTCGACTTCACCGCTGAGACCAGGGCCGATACCGAAGATGGCCGAACACGTTCAGTCTATGTCGACGGCGTTGTCCAGAAGTCGGAGAGCCGCAAAGCAGTTCTGGACCTGTTAGAAGAACATATCCAGTCCAACCTAATCCAGCTCGGCAACAAGTACTACCGGCAGAAAGAAGGCATACCGCAAGGCTCGATCGTCTCCAGTCTGCTGTGCAGTTACTTCTACGCCGAGATGGAGCGGGAGCTGCTCGGCTTCATCAATGATGGCCGTAGCATCTTACTGAGATTGATCGACGATTTCCTGGTCATCAGCACTGAGCGGGGCGTGGCAGAGCGCTTCCTGCGGGTGATGCATGCAGGCGTACCAGAGTATGGCGTTGAAGTGAAGGCGGAGAAGAGCCGGGTCAACTTCGAGGTCGAGATTGGTGGTCGAGCGGTACCGAGACTGCCTGTTGAGTGTGACTTTCCTTACTGTGGCACTGCTATCAATACTGTCACGTTGGACTTGAGCAAAGACAAGGAGAGGCGGAAGAAAAGCAGTGAGTCGCTTCTATCATCAGACTGCCTGTGCGAAGCTGACGAGAGATGTCCAGATATCCCTGACTCCATGAGCGTCGAGTACTCGAAGCTGCCGGGACAGACCTTCTACCGCAAGACGTTGAGGTGGGTTCAGCACTTCCATGCACTCGGTTGTTCCTTCGCACTGATCATCGACCGCAGCGCACTCAAACTCCAGATGCAGCCCATGCTGCTCAGCACATCCTACAACCGCGTCCCGACGGTCCTCTCCAATCTTCACCACAGCTTCACGGAGGTGGCGCAAAAGTGCTACCACTACATCCACTCATTATCGCAAGCAAAACAGCCACCACCACGGCTGCTCATCCGTAAGTCGCGGCCTATTCTGCTTTTGTTTTCCCCGAAGCAAACATTTGAGGGCGAAAAATGCAAAACATTCAGCAGGCGGTATTCCCGCAAGGTCACCCATTGCAGTACTAATCACCCGATTGGCGTCTTCAGTCCAGGAGAGCGGACGGGATCCTCTTCATCTCACCATCTGTGGCCGAATGTGAAAGGAAGAGGACGAGGTGGTTTTAAGAATGCAAGAAACGCTGACCAGAATGTTTGTAGGGACGGTCGATGATCTGATCAAGCTTGCTTGTGTACTAATGAAGCGACGGAAGCGCACGAAGAAGGATGTGGTGCCTTTTGAGTGCGAGGTGGGGAATGCTCAGGCGAGATGGTACGTCTAGTATCTCCTTCCTATCTTACGATCGTTGTTTGTGGTGCTGTGCCAGAGCAGCTGAAGCCAAGACCTGAGTTCCTGCTTCGCAGAATCTCGGACATCCAACGAGCCACACTCCGCAAGAGAGCTTCAGAGCTGCAAGCCACCGCCTCCCAAACTTTGTGTTTCAAGATCTGCAGTCCAGAGCCGCTTTGCTGCGAGATACTGCACCCTGCTTTTGGTGCGCGATACGAGTGCGAGCACGAGTTGCTAACGTTTATCGATGACGCAGGCTTGCATGTACGGCGTTCCGCGATGTTTTTGGGCGGAGGCAGACGAAGTATAAGGAGTTGCTTGGGTGGGTGGAGGGGCAGTTGAGGTTGCCTGGGTTGCGGAGGGAGGGGAGGATATTGGAGGCGGTTGTGGAGGTTTGATGATGTTGGCAAAGGGTGTGTGAGGGGCCGGGAGGTCGGGGGGTGGAGTAGTGGGGGATACGCAGTGAGATTCGTGCAGTGTTACTCGCAGAACCTGCGGCTTCATGCACATGTTCTTGGGGCTGGTATGGCGATCGTGGCAGGCGATCTAGATTGGGGTCGAGGAATGCTGCTTGCCGCCGTCACTACCTTGTGCTGCAGTGGGCGATCATGAACACACAGTCAACGAGCAAAGTGTAAATGTACATGTATCTTGAGCTTATCGTCAGATCGAAGAGCAGAACCGCCGCGGAGCGCGCTGGCGCTTGCTGGCGAGTGGTGTAGACCAAGCATTCGAAGGCGTTTTCCCAGCGGCCCAGCCTCACCCGCAGACACCTGCATCTGCAGACCACCGGCCACTCCTTGATTGCAGCTGCAGCATTCCACGGTGATGACGGCGGTGGGCGGACAATCGCATTGTTGTTATCGTCAGCCACTTGTGCACATGGACTTAACTCTCAACTCACGAGCCTGTCGTTCGTAAACATCTCCATAACGAAATCGATCTATCTTTAAACCTTCGTTCTTGACGAAGGATTCTATTCAAGCCACCCGCATCATCCACCGATTGGCTGGACTCAACGTGCGCTAGCACCAGGGGAAGGAAGGATAGTCGGGCTGGAGAAAGGACGAACGATCGGATCCGAGTAAAGGATGACGGCTGCTGCTTGTCCTCCAACTCTGCTACCGTCGGCACGCTTCATCCACCATTTCTCTGCCCCCTTGACGCCGCTGGACGAGGGCCTGGACGCGGACGACCGACGACAGCACAATTGGGATGGTTTGAAGAGCGACGGGTGTACAGGCGGCGATAATATTAATATTCTTCCATTGAGAAATGATTATCTTCACTCACTGATTTTGCGGCAACGGTGGAGCGCCAGCGGACGGTATTCAGGGAGTACTGGGGACAGGAGGAGGAGTTCTGCCGGTCTGAGACAGGCTGAGACTGTTGCGGCGCCGCGGGTCTTCAATTCAAGGACGAGACCTCAGCGGTCATTGTCGGAGCCTTTCGGGAGGCCGGCGACAATGGCGGTTGTGGTTGAAGAAGAGCGGGAGGCAGCGGGCAATGGCGAGGGGAATGCACCGAGTAGCCCGCCCGATCTGAGCTATTCGAAGTCATCGAAGAGTTCCTCGAGATCCGGCGACTCAGACACGGACGAGAATGTCTCAATGGAAAAGCTGGAGCAGTTGGACGAGGGCAGCGTCGATGAGCGAGACGAGGTCGAACATCGAGATGACAGCAACTTAAGAGCAGAGAACCGCCCCACGCTTCGTCGACCGCCACAGCGATCTTCGTTTTCACCTCCATTGACCATGAAAGAGCAGAAGTATCCGAGTCTGAAGGGTGCGGTGAGTGGGGTGCTAAGAGATCAGTCCTTGAGTCTTCCACAACGTCGAGGGTTGCGCAGAGGGGTTACAAGTCCCGCCTCGCCTTCATTCACGATGGGGGGAGCACAGAAGACATCGTCGAGATCACCTTCACCGAAGAATCTCTCGAGGCAGAGCAGCATGACCATCTCGCCACAGACGTACACTGGCGCCAACGGCAGACTATCGACCGAGTTGCGATCGCCAAATACGATTGGCAATATGGAGCGACGGAAGTCCTGGCAGCCAGGACGAAAGAGCGTGAAGCAGCTGGAAGCCGAGTGTGACAACCTGGATGAGGAGGTTCCAGACGAAGCTGTTCTTGAGAACGTCCCGATATCACCAATGCCAGGACAGACACGGCTTTCACCACGAACTAGTAGATCAACGACACCAAGTCCGCATCGAAGGCCACCGCCACAGCAGCACTCGACACTACACTCTGTACCATCGCACACCAATCTCCATTCCGCGAAAGTTCCTAAGAACGCCAAACGACCTTCAGCGCCGACGATCATGCCCAACGGCCAATATGGCTCTCCTCGATCACCACGACATGTCCGACCACCTATGCTACAACACAGTAATACAATGCCATCGCATTTCATGGATCCGTTGATGAGGAGGCATCGTTCGAAGTCGTGGACGGAGGACTTGAACGAAGAGGCGAAGGCGCTCTCTGCAGCACTGGAAGAGTACGCAGACCGCAAGTCGGTAGAAAGACACGGCTCGGGTGCGAACAGCGTCTCGAGCAGTCCGCCACGAGCAGACAGCATGCCGAAGATTCAACGGGCGAAGACTACGATCATGGACATGCCTCCTCTGTCGTATGGAAGTGTCATGATCGATCCTCTGCCTTCAAGCAAGGAGAAGGAAGCTGTATTGTCGAAGACAAGGCCTTCGTGGCTGCCTCCGAAGGACCAGAAGGAGGACAAGAAGCATATCAAGGAGTGGGAGGCGATGATGGCTCGCGCTGCGGAGAATGAGAGGAAACGTCAGCTCAAGGAGCGAGAAGCTCAGGAAGACAGCGATGAGATGAAAGACAATCTTGCTCGGATTTGGGAGCAGCACGTCTTGCAGAATTGGGACATTGTTATCGCTGAGCCGCGCACGCGAGAGCTCTGGTGGCGGGGCGTGACTCCTAAATCTCGTGGTGTCGTATGGCAGAAGGCGATCGGCAATGAACTTCAGCTGAACGTCTCGTCATTCGAAGCCGCGCTCAACCGCGCCAACGCTCTGGAAGAGAAGACTGCTCAAATGAGCCCAGACGACCGCGCCGGAAGCGACGGAGCCGCCTGGTTCGCTGCCATCGCTCGCGATGTGCCCGTCACTTGCCCCGAGCTGCGGGAAGCAGAAGAGCGCACCCAGTTTGAATCCGCGCTCCGTGACGTGCTGAAAGCGTACGCCATCTACCGCCGCGACGTCGGGTACGTGTACGGCACGCACCTCATCGCCGGGCTACTGTGTCTCCACCTCCGACCCGTGGACGCCTTTATCTCGCTCGCCAACATGCTCAATCGACCACTTCCGCTCGCCTTTCTGGCCCACGACGTCACAGCCATGGGCCGAGCGTACGAACTCGTAATGAGCACACTCAAGTACAAACTCCCGCGCCTCCACGACCACCTTGTCTCGGACTCCATCCTCGCTGGCCGAATCGGCGAGATTCTGGACCCCATGTTCCGCTGCCTATTCGCCTACCATCTGCCCGTCGGGCACGTAAGCAGACTCTGGGACGTCTTCGCCTTCGAAGGCGACAAAGTGCTCATCCGCGCCGCGGTCGCCGTGCTCGTGAAGCTGGAACCGCGCCTCTACGGTTCTCGGGAGGAGATTCTGAACATTGTCGGCTGGCAGAACGAGAAAGGTCTAGATCTCGGGAGTGAAGAGGAGTTCATGAATGCCGTGCGCGACGCGGGTAAAGTCGACGGGAGGAAGGAGGAGGTGAAGCCGGTGTATGTTTGAAGCTTGGAAGAACGACAGGATGACAGGACCTAAGATTGGATTGGATGGGATGGAATTGGGTTTTTCCGCGTACGAGCAACGGATGCATTGCTGGGCGTTTAAGGGGATAAACGGCACGCGAGTGCGGCTGTATGGGGGCTGTGACGCTCTTGGGTAGGGAATGCATCGCAGGGGATAGGAGAGGATGACCTAGAGACTTTGTACGTATTGTGTATAGTGGCGCTGAGATGCCGTGTATGATGAGTTTGATCTCTAGCCCCTCTCAGCGGCTCGTGAGGTTGAGTGGTCGAGCAGATGGGGATGGGTGAAATAGCTGAGCCTCTGGTCTCGATCACGCTTCTGGGTGAAGCTCAAATTCGTCGCTGTGAATCTGGCATGTGAAAGCGCTTGGACCACCCCGGCTTCACAAAACATTCCTCCATGAACTAGGCTCTCCTAAGACTCACCACCGACTCAACAACCACAAACAACTCAACAACCCAGAACAGAAACAACAATTTCAGCTCCCAGTCGACAAGACACGAGCAGCGAACATCCGACACCACCTCCGCCATGCCGGTCACCGTGAGCACCACTTCCAGTGTGCCGACTGGCATCGGCCACACCACGTCCCGCGTCGAAGTGAGCGTCGAGCCGGACATCACCGCAGCTCCCACCACCCCACAGACCGTCTCTTCCGACGTCACCAACAACCGCGAAGCCGTCGTGCAGCAGAGTATCCACGAGGCACTCCCGAAGCTCCTTGCGCAGGCGTGTGAGGCTGCGGCCACGGTCACGGGGTCAGAGAGCACGGGAACATTCACTGATTACTATCGCGATCGCCACTCCCGCTCCTACCCGGCCCCACCCATCCTCAAGCCGGAAGACTGCGTCAAGATCAGCTTCTTGGTCCACGGAACTTCCCACGAAGCGGTGGTGTCCAAGGACTTGAAGATCCAGCAGCTCGTGGACCACTACCTTGCCGAGCAAGACTTCGAGTGGGAGCTGCGCTTCAACAACCGCGTGCTCAAGCCTTCGGACTCCGTCGGCAGTGTAGGTCTCACAATACCATATCAAAGCGAACAACACTTCTGCAGCTCGAGATGGCTCATGGGGACGTGCTGAAGATGGAGACGTGGGCAAAGGATGGGGAGCACTGAGCGGTAGACGGGTGAGAGGACAGCGAGCAGCGCATGGCCTTGCCGACAAGTTGGTCGCGATGGAGAAGCCGCCGCGCAATCAAAGCTAGGTTGCGATGGACAGGGCGGACGTCGGAGAGCTTCCACAGTGGGACAATCGTCCCCTGTCTCCGGTGCTGTTGAAGTTGATCATATGAGTGTTGACCACGAAGTTCATTGACCTCACTCAATAATCCTCGCTTTTTCTTCCTTTCCTTTCCTTTCCTTTCCTTTCCTTTCCTAAACCTGCATGGTCAAGTTGACTGATACCGCCCGCACCGTAAGGACCGCGTCCTGATATTGTTGCTGGACGTCGTACAGCTGACACAGTCGAAGATCGCGTGAAGGACGACGATGAGCTCGAGATCTTTACTGTGGAGTAAGATGGGGGGGGGGCGGGGACGGGGAAACTGGTGCGGCGGCTTTCAACCGGAATCGAGAGTTGTCGGTGCAAGGTGGGAGACGTTCTTCGAAAGAGATGTGACGTCGGCTTCATGTGACAACGGTTGACCCCTTCAATTTTCCTTCCTCACTGTTTCCAAATTCTCTCTTGCGCAGCTGAACTTCTTCGACATCACTTCCGACACCAGCGCATCGAGCAACAACCACCATGTCGATCAGAGTCGCGGCCAGCGTTCCAACCGGATCCCGCTTCTCCTACACGGTGAATATGGCTCTCAGCACAACTACCGACACCAATCTTCAAATCGCGACCTCCGGAGATGAGAGCTCGCACTCTTCCCTCCACGACAAGGTCCTCGAACCTCTTACGTCTGCAGTGTACGACATTCGCAACGCAGTCGCCGACCCGGGAGAAGCATACCCAATCGCCCAAATCGACGACAGCATCGCCATCAGATGCAGTGTCGTGATCACGAGCCACACCGACTACCCCTCTTGGTAGAAGGTCCGTGGCGAGAGCATGAAGCTTTGCGTCAATAGGCGTTGCACCCTGGAAGCAGTCAAAGAATACTTCGCCAACAGCCTTCAGCTAGATCCGGCCGCATTCAGGCGGGTGGAAGTGCTGGGACAAGAAATGCAGGACTTGTCAAAGAGTCCGGCCGCGGTAGGAATCAATCAGTGTTCCAAGCGCTTCCTCACTGACATCATCGTAGCTCGACATGGAGGATGGAGATTTCATTGGGTTCTTTCAGCATGAGTGCGACTGCGGATGTTTCCGAAGGCCGTGGAGTACAACATGCAGACCACAAGGCGACAGAAGGCGGGCGTTTGCTCTTCTGTCTGCTGTACTAGCAAAGGTGGGATTTTACGGACAGAGAGCAGGCAGGAAGACCGAACCTTCCACCGCGTGGATAGCGAACGGGCAACGGGCATGGCGGCAGAGTGTGAGGTGGTGCTGCCCAATACAGCTGTCTTAGACTTACCACGAGAGCCGCTATCGTTTGTCCTCGTGTCTCAACTGCCTTCCTGCATGTTTCTGTTGACTTCTTCCAGACCCTTGTTTCAGGAGTCGTTGACAGCGCTTTGTCTAGGTTCGCTTTCGCTGACGTCTTCGCTTCTGATGGTCCTCAAAGACGCAAATTCCTCACATCTCTGGACCACTTCATATCATCTCCGCCAATACGCAGAAAATGTCGGTCAGGATCGTCCTCGAAATCACACCCGGCGCAGCACCCGCCTCCTGGACCCTCGAGACATCTCCCAACTTCGCACTCGCCACCGATGCCGCCGCTCTCGTCAACCTCCAGCAGAAGCTCTTCAGTGTGGTGGGTGACGTCTCCAGAACAATCATCGAGAAGGCCAGCAGGCCCGAAAATGCCACCTCACCAGGCCAGGTAGCAACTCATGCCGGAAAACCAGCAGAAGGCCCTTCGACGAAGTAGCCTTCGCAAGCCTTGGGCGAGCGGGTCCTCTGCGACACCTTCGGTCACATCATCAACCCGATCTTCTGCGACGAGATGTCCGTTGCATGAGGGAAGTTGAAAGGACGGCAATTGCGGCGGAGTGTAATAGCTTCTCTGTCGCCGTGATTGATATGGACCGTGATTTGGAGAAGACGTACCGCGTCGGATGGGACTGCAAGCTCGCTGACGTGGTGGACCGCTTCTCTGCCGACTACGGCATCTCACTGGATGGTTCGGAAGTTTACAAAAGTGGGCAAGGACGAAAGGCGGATCTTTCGAAAACTTTCTCTCAGGTGAGGTGCCCCGAAGAGTAAGTCAAGTGAAGATGCTGACCAGTCCATAGCATCCGGGAGTTTACGTGACACATGGCATTGGTGGAGTGCTCGAGCTTCACAAGAAAGGGTAGCGCTGTGTCGAAGCGGTCGCTGGGCCCCAGAGAATGGATTGCACAATGGTCTTGAGAGCCAGCGGGTAGCATGAAGTGCTGAGCGCACGGTGAAGGAAGGGCCAGGCGTAGATGTGCGTAGTTCGGTTGGGTCTTCCAGGCAGAGCTCGAAAACGCTCGCGGAGGAGAGAGTTTAGCGTTCAGAATGCTGACCCATCGGCTTTAAGTTGAATGCATGTGACAGCCCCACTGTTCATTTTGAAAGCTTTGCCGCGGGACCTCACTCAACTTCTTGACACACCACCACCTCTCACACTCTCACTGCAAACAACCACAGCACAGTCACCATGTCGGTCAAGATCAGCACAAACGTTCCGACCAGCGAAGGCCACACGCCGTACATCGTAGAAGTGTCTCTCGACAGCTCCGGTAGCCAAACTTCTGGACCCGTCAAAGTTGGGAAGAAAGCCGACGCAAGAACGAGCGCCGCAGCTGCGGCAGAGGCGAAGCTGAAGCGCAAGATCCTCCACATCGTTCCAGCGCTCGTCGCCAAAATCCACAAGGCCATCCAACCGGCAGAGAAGGCAGACGACCAGGTGTTCCTCAGAGTACAATCCTGCATCTTGATCAAGGTCGACTACGAGCCGAGGGACGTGTAGTCCTATGAACTTTACGTCCACGTGGATTGCACGATGAAGTCTCTCCTCCAGGGGCTGGCCGAAGAATGGGATACCGGTATGGACTTCTTGGTGTCCCGGCACAATGGTGTAAAGGTCAACGAATTGGCCACTCCATCTAAGGTACACTCACCATTAAGTTGCCTGTAGCTGCATTGCTGACAATATCCTAGCTTGGATGGAAGAGCGGAGAGCTCCTCGAAGTTTGGGACACCGATGGGCCGGAGGAAGAGGATCTGTAGCTTCGGGAGGGAGTCGGAAGCGCCACAGGGCGCCCATACATCGTTCGGTTCTGACGGCCAGCCATTGGCATGCAGCTTCGAGCGCGCAGAGGATGAAGTCAGGACATAGCTGGCAGGATTTCCATGGAATGCCAACTAGAGCTTTGAACATCGTCGCGCAGGGCAGTCTCCAGAACTCGGCACCCGGTGCGTCAGCCTGAAAGTGAATGCATGTGACAGCGCGTTCGCAACCCCACTAGTCCTTTTCGAAATTCTGCCGTGCCACTTGTCATTCTTCTTCACTTCCCACACCCACCATTTGACGAAGTGTCTAGACAACACGACCAGCAACCATGTCGGTCAAGATCACCACCGAGATACCAAGCAGCGCGAAGCCTATCTCTTACACAGTCGAAGTAGCTCTCGCGCCAGCCACAGGAACCAAGCGCAAGAGATCCGACGACCGTGAAGAGAGGTCCGCAGCCCAGCGTGAGGTGCTCGCAATCGTGCCAGAGCTCATCCACAACATCCACTCGTCAGCCAGCAACAGATTCCTCACTGATGACGATACCGTGACAGTCGTTCTGATGTGGGAAAGCGCCGTATCGGATCGTGAGAAGAAGACTTACTACGCCCACCCGGACTGCAAGATGCAGGCGATGCTAGATTCCTACCGCATCTTCCTTGACTTCAAGGAGTCCGAGCAAGTCTTCATGAAGCAGATGTGCGGGAACATGGAGGTCACGGATGGCATCGTGCACGGCACCGACACGCCTCGCAAGGTTCGTCGTATGTTGAATATGGGTTTTTCCTCTGCTAATGTTGTCTCAGCTCGGGTTCAAGGCGGGTGACACTGCCAGGGTGTGGTTGCAGTGACTAGATATATTCGATTGAGCTGGATCGACCCTGAGGTTTTAGTACGCATTAACCAACGTACATGAAGCCGGACAGAGAGCTGACTGCAGTGCAAAGCCGGACGAACGAACTCAAATCCAAGACTAGATGACCATCTGCACTCATGCTGCAAAACTGGAAGACAATGTGTCTGGGAGGAGGGTATGAACCGGTAGTATCGTGCGTAGGCTGTGTGGAAAGCGTTCAGCAGACTTGTGTTTACTTAGTTGCACAAAGAAATGCATTCTTACGTGGCTTCTCTCGCTCCCTCCTAGAGCTCGCCCATGGGTATCATCTCGCTCGTCAAAGTCCATCGAAGTCTCCTTTCCCGCCCAACGCCGCCGCTATGCGCAATCATTTCATCCTCCGCTCCTCGCATCATCTCCGCCCACCCCTCACAAATCCCCACCACCGCCCGCAATCTTCTTCAACTCCCACTCCTTGGTGAACTCCTGATCCAGAATCTGCAGCTCCTTCACCAACTCCTGACACGCCTGCACCACCGCCTCCTTCGGACTGACCTCCCCATCCGTCTGCACGCGCAGCTTGAAGACGGCGAACAGCGGGTGCGGGACCTGGTAGCCGGCGAAGACGACGTGCTCGGACTTGACGAGTTTGGCGCGCAGCAGGTTGCCGAGGGTGTGGTCTTCTTTGTTGAAGGTGAACATGGCGGCGTGGGGGACGCCTGGGTATTACCGTCGAATATTAGCATTTTTGACATTTTCATGTGATAGTGGAATGGTATCATCTTACGCGTCTCCGGCTCAAACTCGACCTTCTTCTCCCCATCCTCCAGCAAGAACAGCTCGTACCTGTCCGGCGGCAGGTCAGCGAGGACGTCAATCTTGGTCCCGACATTGCCGTTGATGCGCGGGTCGAGGGAGCACGAGTAGCGCGAGGCGTTGCTCCACGAGCCGACGGGGGCTTTGCCGCCCTTGGCGTGAATAGTGAGGGCGCCAAAGACGGGTTCGTAGGCCATATTGTTGTACAGGTTTGGTGATACAGGTGGATGCGATGCCGACATGGATGTGTGTGTAGGATGTTGGGGGAGATGGAGACAACGTACCTGTCTGGAGCGTTCATTTTGGGGAGATTGGGTGTCGTGACACCTGGTGAAATTTGCAAACGAGTGACGTTCGCAGCATGTGAAGGGAGGAAGGTGCGATCGTGAAGTCGATGGAGGAAGATCTTGATAAGATCAGCCTCAAGGATCTTCGGATCTAGCCGTGGTGTCGCTGTCTTCAGATGCGGCTGACGGACTTCAGCCCGCGGAGATGCTGTGGCTGTTGTCGGGAATAAGTCGAGAACTTCACTGGAAGTGCTTCGTGAGTCGTCGGTGTTGTCGAGAGATGACTGAGAGAGGTATTGGTGATGTGTAATGGACCGCCGACCTCGCTGAGATAGAGTTTGATATCTGACCGCGGTCAATGAAGTGATGTGAGATTGTTGAAAAGAACTCAATGAAGTGAACGAGAATGGACCAACTCAAGAGAGATTACTCCTGGATTGAAGCACCGCTGGTTGCTTGCGGGCCAATGCGCCTGATCGCCCTTGCTCCTCTCGCAACGGAAGTCAGCAAAGCAGGAGGCCTCGGATTCGTGGGAGCAGGAAGTGATGCCTCAAAACTGGACTCAATACTTGGAGAAGTGAGGAAGCTCTCAGCAGAAGACAAACGCCTTTCACAAGTTCAAGACGTCCTCCCCGTCGGCGTCGGCTTCCTTCTCTGGGCCGGTGACAAGCTGCTGAGAGACGCCCTGCCTTCAATTGAAAAGTATTGCCCAGCAGCAATATGGCTCTTTGCCCCCAACCACACCGATGACCTCAGCAAATGGACCACAGAAGTCCGCCGCGTCACCTCCAACAAAACCAAACTCTGGATCCAAGTCGGCACCGTCGCCAACGCCCTCGAAGTCACCCGATCCTGCCACCCAGACGTCCTCATCGTCCAAGGCCAAGACGCAGGCGGCCATGGCCTGCACAAAGCCGCCGGCATCATTCCCCTGTTCCCTGAAGTCGACGACGCCATCACCGACCTCTGCCAGACCTCCTCAATCCCGAAACCAGTCCTAGTAGCCGCAGGCGGTATACTCGACCCCCGCACCGCCGCCGCGGCCCTCACGCTCGGCGCTTCCGGTCTGGTAATGGGGACACGCTACCTCGCGACCCCTGAAGCGCAAATCGCCGCCGGCTACCGCGACGCTGTCCTCGCGGCTGCAGACGGGGGTCAGCATACCGAGCGTACGAAACTGTACGACCAGCTGCGCGGGACGACGGACTGGCCGGCTGCGTACGGGGGGCGAGGGGTGTTGAATGAGAGTTTCCATGATGCGCAGAAAGGTGTGGAGTTTTGGGAGTTGAAGCGGTTGCATGATGAGGCTTTGGGGACCGGGGATGCTGGGTGGGGGCATGGGGGTGGGGTGGCGAGATTGACGACGTATGCGGGGACTGGGGTGGGGTTGGTGGGGAAGGTGATGGGGGCTGGGGAGGTGACGGTGGAGGTAAGGGAAGGGGCGAGGAGGGTGGTGAGGGAGGCCGGGGCGCGGCTGTAAGTGGTTGTGCAGGTAAAAGGGATGGAGTCTGTGTATGTGTACCTTTCAAGCTATTCTATGCTGTTTAACCTGTACTGACAGCATCGATAACTTCGTTATGCGTAGACTGGTAGCAGAAGTGGTCTCACGTCCTCCCAGGTCTCGCCTTCCCGCCATGCTCTGCCATTCGGGTCTCTTCTCGTTCCTTGCCTCAGCTCTCGTATCCCAAAGCCGTACCTTGCAGTCGAGGAGATCTGCTGGTAGCTCAGATTGGACGCCACCGCCCACCCGCATTCTCAAAGTCAACACTCGGTCGAAATTGCATATTGCTCCAGCTGGCATCGCCTCTGAACCCAACCCTTCGAGAGAACCAGGAGCAGGTGGTATCGCACTGTCCGAGTCCCTCCGATGACTGTCCGACTATGCTTCGCTCTCGCCAATATCCCCCTCTGGCCCTGCGTCTCCATTCTGTTCCTCGAGTCCCAGCAGCTTCGCCTCCACCTCACAAACGGCCGCAGTCTGCTCCAGGCCGCTAAAGCATCCACTACTGATGTTCGAATCACCCCAACAGCGCCTGTACGTTACGCACACCATTGCCCTACTCGGCTGCGCGGAACGGAACAGGCCCGAATCTCTGATGAGTTTCTTCTTCAACCCCGCAAGCTGCGCGGCATCGAGATGTGGCACTCTTTCGTAGTTGATAGGCTTGCGCAAGCGGTGTTCCTCGAACATGGTGACGGCTTTCAGTCCTTCGAGGCCGACGAGTGCTTCTTCTGGCCCAATCTTCGTTGTTTCGTTGAACCCCTGAGTCGCCTCGAGGGTGATGCTGCGGATAGCCTTGCGCTGAGATGGCAGGAGCTTCTCGAGGAATGGATGGACTAAAAACGGGGCGTAGAAGGTGAAGTTGATCTCTTCGAAGGGTAGCAAAGCGGCCTCAGAGTGTGTTTGGCGGCAAGTGCGTAGTAGCGCCATTGGGAAGCCTAATTGTGTTTGGACCGTGCCCCAGCTCGCCCGACAGGCGTGGTGGCGTTCTGCATAGGACTCGTAAGGTTGGAGGCGTTCGCTGTCGCGAATTGAACGTGCGGCTTCGTGGTCTCCGAGGCTAGCTTTGCAGACATAAACGCTGTTAGTGTAACTGACCCAAGGGAGCAGATCGAGCCGTAGCGCAGCAACGTGTAGCGTGTCTGGGCATAGGACGAGGGTGTAGATGCGGTTGCGTATCTCTGGTGGGAGTGAGAGCAGTGGCGTGGCTGCATTTGCTTCTTCGATGCTGAAGCTCTGCGTCAGTATAGCGCCGTGCGAAAGGAAAAGTTAATACGTACGCCAGGTTGGCTTTTCCAACGAGGGCGCGCTGCACTAGGCGCTCGGAGCGTCGATACTTCGATGGCGGCACGACCATCAGAGTGTCCTCGGTCGACTCCTGGCTCATCTGAACCACGAAAGGGTAAAGGGTTCAGCAGGTGTCTCGATGTCGGAGAGGAGTTCAAAAGGCCCCAGAGCGCCTCTTGCAGTGTGGTCGCGTCTTGGAGAGCCTTCGAGCTATCATTGCTTACCCTCGTGCTCTTCGATCGGACTGCAGTCGACTGTGGTGGCAGCGCAGATGGACTGCTTGTTTTTGGCGGTGCCGCAGGTCGCGATCCAAACAGCGTGCCCCTTTACGCGCCATGGCGTGGACTGTGGTAGTGGCGACCGTATGTGGTGAGCAGCGTGTGCGATCGTCTGATGAGCGGCGCGCGCGGATATCGGTGTCGAAGATGTCGCGTGAGGAAGGTTGTGTGAAAGCAGCGAAGGGAGGGCAATCAGGGAATAGTCCTGGCAGTTGATTTCGCGCTAGTGAAAGCCGCCAACGTGGCGTTCATATGATAATAGTCGGTCGAGGACCTCTGTAGATGCAAGGGGCGGAAGGCCCAGCGTAGCGCCAATTGCGTACCGTCGAACAAAGGGACGAGGGTGCCGATTGTTCTTTTGAACAGTCACGCCTAGGACGTCCAACGTTCGGCACTCACACTTCCGCACTCACACTTCCGCACGCTCTATTGCTCGTCATTTGGAGCTTTTGCCGGGGAGGATGGCATCGAGTCATTGCACTTTAGCCTCCACTGCGCCCAACATGCTCGGCCAACGATCTCAGAAGTGGCTGATTCCCAGTTGGAAGCTGTGCCGCTGCCGGTCTTGCTTCCTAACGCAAGTCCACGCCGATGATATCTCCAGTCAGAAGTCCCAACTATCAATCCGTTAGCATGATCACCGGGCGAGAAAGGGAAAGCATTACAACTCACATCGTTCGCAGTCTCGCCATTCTGGATTTGACGGCCTTCGAGGGACATCACGAAGTCCGACACCGCGACCTCTTCGTAGTCTTCGGCAAACTTCTCGAGCACTTTCTGAAGCGGCGTCCTTCGAGCGGTATGGAACAAAGCCTCGTCATCAATGAGGACAAGCGAGATTCTCAGCGAGCCACTGTTAAGCTCAGGCACATCACCAATTGAAACCTTGGAGACCGATTCTGCGTTTACCAGTTCCAGATTCGACGATGTAAGCTGTCTTCTCTCCGAAGGTTGTTTATGGGCATACGTCTGAGCTTGCAACCGGTGCTTCCTTTTGGCATCATCAATGTCCATGTTGAGAATATGGATGGTCTCCATATGCCTCATAGCGAGCTGAATACCCGTCAGCACAACTGGCTCAATAGGGCAACGCCAGCGTTCTCGACTTACGCTTGCTGGGGTGTCGTTCTTGCATGCAAGGGCGCCGTCGTATGTCATATACTTCTCATCACGATCTATGTGGAAACGCTTTAAGAAGTTTTTGACCATTTGACGAAGCGCTGTATTTCATGTGGTGCAGATGAGCGCCTCGTTGTCTTGATGTTGCATCTTCAAGAAGAATGTCTCCGGTAGCGTGCTGATGACAACAGCTTCCTCAGCTCCTCCCGCCGCAAGTCTCATAGGTCCAGGCCTGCTTTCATTGGGGGTGTGGTTTATCCGGCGCCGCTTCTTTGGGTGCTCCCGGGTGGAAAACCTTTGATGTCGGCCGTCTTCAGCCTGGGCTGCGGCACGGAATCCTGATAGAACATCTGAGGAGGACGCGGCCATACGTTTCTGGGTGCCGCTCATAGAACCATCGTCCTCGGCATCCTCGAATTCAGCAGTTGAGATCTTGACTGTGCAACGAGCTGTGGAGCCACCCTCGAGCTCGATTGAGGTCTTGACTCTCAATGGCATTGATATCGATGAATTTTGGACTTGTGCTCCTGCGGACCAAGATAGGCACCACTTTGATGTAAATTTCGCTTGTTGCTCCTGTTGTTAATGATGAGATGGAAGCAGTAGACTTCACGAACGCGTTGGTAGACGCGCTGCGCACGTGGCACCACAACTAATATCACATCACCTCCGTCATCACTCTGCCTATCCTCTCAATTAATTCGGCATTTTGAATTCTCGCAGTCGGGTGAGGGCGATTATCAAGTATGGTTGCGGACATCAATAGTTGAGCGGCCAGGAGTGGTCAAGTAGGACGGTGTAAGGTTCAGAATATGGCTTTGCTGCAAAGGCGGTTTGTATTTATCGTATGTCACCACTGTATATCGTTTACCCATATATTATATCGATCGTCGACCGTGAGCCCTTCGCAACCCTCCACACCCTCCGTGGGCTGCTTGCCTCCCTTTGTCCGGCCAATCCGCCCTGGTGACTACCACTCCGAACACAACTGTGTGCTTGTTACGACTGTGGACGACCCCGTGCAGTGGCAGGAGCAGGCGAGTAGACGGTCAAGTGTTGGCGTTAATCGATGCCGATATGTAGTACTGATGGGTAGAGCTGCTTGGAAATCCTCGGACAACTTGATGACCGGTTACGGCTGAAGTCGGAGCCGGAGTAATATGCTGATGGATAGCGACAGTGTCCGGATGGTGAGTAGTGATATGATCCGGTAGGCGAAGCATAACGGTACGCTCGCGATGAGCAGGGAGGTTGTCGTAGGGCGAGTATGCGGTATACCCAGGCGGTATTGAGTCACGGAAGCAATGGAACTCGGTGATCGATACGTTCTGTCAGCTGCAGTTCTCAACACGTAACAGTGTCGCTGCTGAATGGGTCTAGCTTGCTATGTCGTGTTCAGTGTGTTATCCCCGGTTGAAGGCAGTCAGCGACTTACCATGATTCCTACGCAAAAGGCGCAATCACATCCCGTCGTTGCCTCTTTTTTGCCATAGGTTGGACGCCCTCTTCCTCAAGTCGCGCCCGAAGCTCCGCCTGACGCTCCATCTCCGCTCTGGCCTCGGACACTTTGGCACCTGCCTGGATTTTCAAGAATAGCTGACTGGTGAACTCTGCCATTGTGTGGGCGTGCATGTCGCCAAAGCCCCAAGGGGTTTGCAATTCGTCCCTGTCGATCTCGACAACGCACTCTGTGGTTTCACCGCCCACTGTGTACGGGATCTTGACAATGTGCGACATCTTGTAAGCGTTGCTCTGCCGAGTCCTGCGTTGAAGATGAGGTCAGAGCGATTACTTTGTCGACGGATCCGATGTATTCTTGGCACCGAGAAGGACGATCTTGTCCGCGTATCTGAGAAGGGCTATAGAAAGGAAGACGGTTGAAGGCATCCTCTAAGGACGTCCACTGGTGTTTTGATGTGATGTGCTGGCACGCGTTCAGCACGCGGCAGCAAACGCCACCGCCGTCGAAGCAACCAGAAGAACGCGTACCAGAGTTGAGGTTTCCGGCCATCACTCATCCCAGCAGTCGCCTGCAGCATGCCGACTTTGGTACAATGTGACAGATTGCTCGGGGATCCCAATGGAAACTGCCGCGAACTCGGGAGGACGAAGCGATGAGCGGGTTCCCACGCTGGCGATGAGCCGGCTGGACATGGGTACGACAGTGGAGTTGCGGAAGGATGAAGTATTCCTTCGCTTTGATGCTCTGCCGCTCTATCACCGCCATCTCTATATCTGGAACGCCAGACCAGTGAACTGCCGATGAGCCTCTCGGGCCTCCAGAAGAACAAAAACATCCGCAATTGGGAAGACCTTGTCACAACGCTTCTGCCACCGCGACACACATCCTCATCAATGGATCATACTGGCAGAGTGGTCTTTGAGACGGCTTGGGTTCGTCGAATGGATCCTCCTCCACCTCCCCGGTCTCCGCGCCAGGAACAAGAAATGATCTACACATTGATCCGCGTCCATTGCCTCCACATTTACTATTAGGCCGAAACTAGAAGGGCAGCCGGCCGGTCATGAGTAAGGTAAGTACATATCTTTCGTCTTGCTCGCCTGGCCTTGTTTTGTCGCCGGTAGTCCAGTCTTCATGTTGGCTATGAGACAGCATTTCTATCTGAGCATTGGGCTCATCAGCCTGGCGACCACTGCCAGCGCAGCCCTCACGCACGACGAGGAAGGGCCTTTGCTCGGAGCAGATCAAGGGTACGGATCTGAACCTCACGGATGGGGCCAGGATGACTACGAAGGCTGTCAAGAGCAACACCCCGGACACGCAAGGCGACAGGACGCTGGCAGCCACATCGAAGTGCCCTCCTCTACCCCGGCAGACGCATGCCCGCGCGTGGACCCAGACTTCATCGGCTTTGCATTCGAGGAAGCATCCTTCGTCCGCTACGTACAGAATGACGATGGCTCCGTGAACCAGTTCTCACTGAACTTGATAGACGCTATCATGTCAAGGACGGGAGGCAAGCCTATCATCCGCCTAGGTGGAACTTCTCCGGACTACGGCAGATTCATCCCATCGCAAGAGGAACCGGCTCTCCCAGTAGCAGAGGTATACAACTATCAGGACATCGGCGGGACATCAATTGGACCATCTTACTGGGACCTCACCGATCTGGTGCCAGACGCTGTCTATGTAATCCAAGTGCCCTTGGCTGTCACGAACGTCTCCGAATCAGTGCTTTGGGCGAAGACAGCTATCGAGAGCATCGGGATTGACAGGATTCAGGCGCTTGAGGTGGGCAATGAGCCTGACCTGTACGCAGACAACGGTCCTGTTGGGACCAGGGGTCTAGGCCCGCCATACTATCAAGGCACGCTCACGAACGAGACCTACACCGGCAACTTCACCAAGTACGTCCGCGCCATCAAAGCAGCCATCGACGACATCCCCAAGAAACACTTCTTCCAAGCCTTCGACACATCATCACATCTCGGCGCCGACGCGCTCGCAACAGGATACATCTTGGACGTCGAGACGAACTTCGAGCTCGGCATCAATAAAGGAAATAACATCGAATCCGTCGCCGGCCACTACTACCAAACCGACGGCGGCCAGTACGCAGACCTCGAGACCGGGCTCATGCAACACTCCGCCATCGCCAACCGCCTGGATCTTTATCGAAAGTTCATCGTCTACCTCCGAGACAACCATCCGAAGATCCCGTATATCATTTCGGAGATCGGAAACTCCCTCAATCCAACGCATGCTTACGACTACCAAGCCACGCTCGGCTCGGCGCTGTGGCAAGTCGATCTCCAGCTCTACGCCATGACCATCGGCATTGCGCGTATCAACTGGCAGCAGATTATGCATTCCGGGTATGACATGTGGCTGCCCGTCGACAGCGGGAACTACACGAGGACGGTGTATAGTAACTTCTACGCTATGCCGTTTGTGGCGGATTTCATTGGGAAATCTGGTGGTGCTACCCGAGCGGCGCAGTTGGAGACCGAACAGGAAAACATCGTTGCGTACGCGGCGTTCGTGCGCGACAAGCCGAAGCGGGTGGCGATTGTGAACTTTGATTTCTGGGACCAGGGGGACGGGGCGAGGCCATCGACTACGTTTACATTGGAAGTGCCGTCCGGTGTGAAGAAGGTGAAGGTCGAAGTTCTCAGCAGTCCGGAGGGAGCGCATGCGAGTGGGGATAGCATGACTTATGCTGGGAGTCAGTGGACTTCTGAGAGCGAGGGTAAGGAGGTCGAGGGTGTGCGGGATGACTCGCAGACGTTGAAGGTGAAGAAGGGAAAGGTCGATGTGGAAGTGTTTAACAGCCAGGCTGTGCTTGTGCATTTAAGGTAGGTAGGCAATCTGATATGAGCATCTACTGATGGTGAAGACGCATCTTCTCATTTCTTTGTCAAGACAAGAGCTGGAGCGGCATTTCAAAGTGGCAGCTCACCGCCGCCGAAGCGATCAGAGGCGCGCTCCAGAATCAGTCACCACTGGCAATGGCATACCATGCTTGCTCTTATGGCGACTTTGAACGCCATCTTCTGAGTTAACAGTGAAACAGCTGAGCAGTCACAGGTACAGGATCACTGGATGCGGCGAGCAGCAAGCTGTTCGTTGCCTACCAGACTACGTAGGAATCGACACTGCAAAGCAAATGCCCGTGCGAAGAAAATGGCGCAGCGGTCGTGCCTCATGGTCTCCTGCGTCAGTTCATCGATTAAGAAGCAAACGGCATAAGCTACGCTCTTCGATTCCTGTGGATGTGAGTCAGCATCTGGCACCGGATGACATTGTATGGAATTACTGACCGGACATGCTTGCTGCGACTTGTGTCCTTGGGCCGTGATCAACGTTCTCGGACTGGTATACTGCAAGGATGCACAAGCTACTCCGTCAGTCTGGAGTAGTTCATGCAGTCGGCCACAACCTGAAGCTGGGCTCTGCTCCTCATGTCCAACTGCGAGATCGTCAGCCATGGGAACGATAACTTTTGGTTAAACTTATAAGTTTACATTCGAAGGAGTGTGCCTTTTCCGCAACACAGTACCGTCGTACACCAGATTGTACTTGTCGTGGACCGAGTTCCCCCACTGCTTCTTCCACGTTCGAAGTACCTCTTCGAAAGTGTCATGTGGCTTGATGCGGAACTTGCTCTCTGTACCACGGTGGTGTAACTGGATCCCCAACTCCTCATCACGGGCACCAGTCGAAGGCTCGTCGCTGCTTTCAGTCGGTGGCGTACCGCAGCGCTGCTTCTTTGCCGGCCTCTGGATCTCGGCATCATTCGTCGCTCCTACCACGGTCAAGATCAGGGCGGAAGAGAAGTCTGCGATGCGCTCTTGTGTGCGAGTGGTGCTGTCCTCCTCACCGGCCTTCTTGAATGCAGCGGATGGTACTTCGAATACACAGTGCGAGACCTTGTCTCCTTCTCCCACGGGAAGGGAGATGGTGGCTTTGAACGGAGCCATGTTTGCTGGTTGTTGTGTACTTGCTGATGTTTCGACGGTGACTGTGGTTTTGAACCCTCGATGTGTACGCTGAAGGTGAAAGCTTGAAGTGCTGGGAAGCAGAAGAGTCAGAGCAGGCTGCAGCCAGAAGTGAGGAAGGTGCGAGTGAAGTGCTTTGCACACCTTCCCCTGGGAGAGTGGTGAAGAAAGGGAACCTCGCCTCCCCAATTTCGGCATATGTCAAGTGAAAGGTGCATCGATCACGAAACATATCTGAAGATATCTGGCTGGACCGACCCCTTGTGCTAGCCATACCACTGCTGCTATTGCTGGGAAGCTTCAGGGCCAAGAACGAAAACCCATGGACTGGCCTAATAACCCACCCAACACCACCACATCACCGCTCAGAAGTTGATGCTATCCGGCATTGCCACAATCACCTGCTCCTCCTCAACACCGAACTGCAGAAGCGTCAGCATCCAGCCTCCAGCACGAAAGGGCCCGCTACTCACATCCGCCATCGTCCCCTCACCATCCTCATCCGTACTATACACACACCCACTCGGGAATTTGAAGCGGAGCGACGTAGCATCCAGCCCAGTCCGGTCACTATACCGATCCACCAGCTCGCATAACGCAGCCTGCTTCGACACTTCAAAACACTCACACTGGTTCATCAAATCGCGGACGGTGATGACGAAGACCTTCTCCGACTCGCGGGGCCTGCCTTTGTTGTCCGTATCACTCTTGAACCCGATGTTCGTCGACCTTTCCCGACGGAGATCGGAATCCTCGCTATCGCTCCACGTGCGTACGGCCATGCGCCGGTAGGCTCCCCGGTCTGCGTGGCCTGTCGACCTCGCACGATGCGCGTCCGCTGCCCAGCTTGCGTCGAGCTTCGCGAGAGGGTTGGGCAAAGGTTTTGGGTGCTCATCTTTGGAGTACCTGGCCGGTTTTGCTGGCACAGCCTTCGCCGGCGCAGTCTTCGCCAACGACGTCGGGTCCTTTGCGCCGTCCCACCCATCGTGGTCCTTGGGATTCCAGGCGCGGACAGGGTCTCTCGTTGTCGAAGCTTCGTCCGTGTACCACTTCGGTGGCTTCTCGAAATCAAACGTGATGTCGTAGATGAAAGCGTGCGGTGCGGACGCCGCCGCGTACTTTGGGTATGCGTAGATGATCGTGCCGTCGACGATGCCGACCTATCCGGAAGAGTCAGCCGAGTTATGGTATGTAAGACGACAAGATCCCGCTGACCTTCTCCAGCAGATCATCCTGCGCGGTAGAGCAAGTGTTGCCGGAATTGTTCAGAACGAATCTATCAGATGGCATACCAACACGATACGCGTAGGCGAAGATCAAATCGGCCACCGTGTTGCCCTTCGGCAGGTCGAACTTCTCGTCCCTGTTGTCCGGATCGCGAACAGTGATGCTGATGATCTCGCCGTCGTCTTTGGCCGGCTTCGTCGATTCTTTCGCGGCGTTCTTCTGATCTTTGCCAGTCTTCATCTTGTTGACAACGTCGTCGAGGGCGGATTCAAACGAGGCTTTCACGGTCTCCTTGACCACTGCTTCGGCATCGTCCGTCGATGGAGTGCGTACATCGTCGTTCGGAACGAACTTGTACGGCAAGTCGTTGACGCTTTTGATCGTGGCGTTCCATAACTCGCGCATTAGCATTTCATCCAGATTGCAGGAATCATCAAGAGGGAAGTATTGATGTTTCTTCTGTCTCATCTCAACGACGGTGTCGAGCGGAAGGGCGATGGTGAGTTGGATTGACATGTTGTTGCTGATATCGTGGTCAGCTGTGGAGGAGATGGAAACAGTCGAAGGCATGTTCACGTTGATTTTGGTTTTGATGGAGTGTGGTGTATGCTGAGAGGTTCCAGAAGATGTGTTAGTCCAGTCAAAATGGAAGAGACAACAGGATTCCAAGATCTCGAGCAGGACTTGTGGGATATAAGTGCTCGACGTGGTCTCAACTCCGTGGTACTCGACCGTCTCCAGATGATGGGGGTGGCACAGCGCATGGTGGCCCACCATGCCACCACCCGCTCCGAGCGCAGGTATCCGTCGCTGGGGTGGTAACGAAGCACAAGGCCACGCCTTCGTCACGGGCTACCTAGTGCTCGCCGCGTCGCACTGGAAGTTCGCTGCCTGCCCGACTCACCCATCGTATCACCAGTGTGGAATGCGTGTGCGCCAGCGGAAGAACAACTTGGCCACGATCGCCGGAGTATGAGGTCAGACTCGTCGGCACCCTGCATGGCGTAGGCATCCTGTCATACCCAACCCATGGGACGACACACGGCTCGGCCGTTGCGTGGTCTGGAAGCACAGCAGGAAGTGCATGCTCCTACGGAGAAAAGACGTTGCACTTTGAAGGCGAACTCTCCGGCATGCTGTGTGCTGGTGGGTTGAGTGTTGCAGCTACAGCACCCATTGAGCACCCCGGGATTGCTGTGGAGGGGTTTCGCACGCTGACGGAACCTCGAATCTAGTACACGGCCACTGGTCTGGGGGCGACTGTCGTTGACGATCTAGGGTGAGTTCGCCTGGCAATGATGGGCGTCCGTTCGCTGGCGCGGAGGCGCAAGCAGTTGCCACATGCTGTGGTTGCACGACTTCGTCATTTCAGCCTCGTGAGTACATCGGTGGTCTTTGTCGACGTACTTGGTGGTCAAGATATCCTTTCACGGCGTGCTGATGCCTTCGGTGGGGATGGTCAATGTTCGTTGGACGACCAGCGGTCACACACGCCGAATTGTGGTGGTCTCAGCCTACCAGACGGCCTGTAAATGCCTCTTTCTCAGCCGGACGGATAGTCGTCAAGTGCTTCTTAGATTGGGAACTCTGCATCGTTGAGCCCGGTAGACCCAGCCATGATACTCCATTGCGTATGATGAAATTATAAGTAACGCGCGACGTGCGATATCGCGCAGTCTCGAAACAGAAAGTGAAAACTTATCTGGACTCACCTCGACCTACCACCTTGGACGTTACGGTGAACCAGCTTGCTCGAAACATCTCTTCATTGCAAAAAGGCTCAGATTATCGCTCATTTCTCGCAGCATACAAACAACCTCCCGCTCATGCATAGATAAACAATCAGCAAATCATCTCGCCTCGCCTCGCCTCGCTCCCAGAAAACGCCATAAGCTCCACGCCAGAAGTACAGACACACAGTAATGTTCCCTCCCCATGCGCCTCGAGCGCCAGGCTGTGCGAGGCAGTCCGCTAATTTCGCGGTGAGTGGTATTCAGTCATGATCTCGTCGATGGCGTTTAGTAAAGCGCGGTAGAGTGGGTGGTAGTAAGTCAACATGGTGGTGGGTTGGGAGCTTTGCGGCTTTGATGGAATTGAAGTGGGTTGGTGGTTTGTGGTTGGTGGGTGGTGGTGTCTCCCTGGTGGTATAGTTCGTGTGAGAGTAATTCGGTTGGTCGGAAGAAGTGTTAGTGTTTGCAGAGTTGTGTAGTCTCGAAGTGAAGGTACTTGAGTCGCAGAAGGTTGGCGACGGTAGCGATCACTGATGATCCATGGACTCTGTATCCCTCGGCGGCGGCTCAACAGGCTGTGCAGTCGACGGTGTAATATCTTCATCCTCCTTCTCCTCCTCCTTGATCGGCGGCTCCTCAGACGACGACTTCGAGCCAAGATCCTCGACCTCGATCTTTCTCCTCTTGCCCTTTGGCGCAGGGTCAAGCGGTGTTCGGCAGTAGGTGACTGTCCTTGTCACGACTTGCCGTACGCTCATCTTGCCATTTGTCGTTTCGGGGATTGGTTCTCGAGGTGAGAATGATGCGCTCCAGGGTGCAGCGCTGACTGGTGTTGTTGAGTACGGTGAGGGAACAGACTGGGCCGATCCAATGGCTGGAGTGAAGGGTGACTGGGGGATGCGTAACCGGGGAGTGCGTGCCGATCGGGGTGCTGCTGGTTTCGCGAATGGTGATGGTGGGATGATGACTCGGGGTGATTGAGGTCGTGATCTCAATGTGCCATTCGAGCTGGACTGGGATGTTGCGCTCTGTTGAGATACGTTGGAGGTGGTGGAAGTTTGAGAGTCGTAAGAAGTGTTCCGTGACATTGGAGGTAGCGGCGCAGTAAGCGGAGGAGTGATCGAATGCTTCTGGGATCCGGGTGCGGATGAAGGCGCTGATGTCTTCTCTCCAAAGTTGAAACGACTGCTGGTGCTGGTGGGTGCTGGGCTCATCATGGCTGGGGACATCTTATTGAGAAAGTCCAGATATGCCGAAGGTGGCGTGATGGGCGTCTTCAGTTCGTCCTTCTTGAGGAAGCCAGGAGAGCCGGTCAGAGGACTGCACATCTCGGAGGGAAAGCTTCCAGATCCAGGAGTCTGCAATGACGATGCACTGCTCGATCGCTTGTCGAAGCCAGCGGCAGCCATGGTGGCGGTAGCAGTGGTGGAAGCCATTGCGGCGTGTCGTCGTTTGCGTGTGGGTAGGACCGAAGAATCAAATGAATGAATCGGCAACGACGACGACGTCGAGGGCCTGCGAGCTAACGATAAGCAACGCCGGTAGAGGAGGAGGAGGGAAGCCGGTGGTGATGGGAGCACCTTAGGCTTAAAGAGCGGGAGGAGCTTACCTGGAGCCGCGTGCTTCGAAGCAGCAACAGCAGCAGCAGCAGATTGCTGTTGGCCCGCGACGAGGCATTCGACGCACAGCGCAGCCAGCTGCGTGTCTGGCAGCTATTCCTGGGCGGGCGCGTAGAGGGCTGCAACGATGGAGGTGTTGTCGCTGCGGCTACGGCGAGCGATGCAGAGTCGGCGCGAGGCGTGTCCAATCGCAGAGGTTGTTCCACCGAGCTGGGTTTCACGCCTTACTGCCGTTGGCTACCTCCGGCGCAGCCCTTCACCGGCCGGCGGCTTTTTCCACAGTGTCGTGAGTAGATGATCGTTGATTTGTTCGAGAAGTCCTTAAGCGCCGAGATCCTTGCGGCTCGTGCGGTTGGTGCAGAAGGGAAGTGCCGGCTGCTGCGATTGGTTGGAGTCTCAGGAACAACAACAGTCTTGGACGGACGATGGTTTGTTGGTTGCTGGAAAGTTTCAGGACTCGCTTTGGCCGAGAGATGCTGTCTGCAGACACAATCACCAACGTGACGATGTACAGCCTTGATCAGAAAAGGCGAAAAGGCAGAATGAGGGCGGCGATCGTGGGGTTGTTTAGTGCGTCCCAACTGGATGGAAAGGCGCACGCGGCGGGCTAAAATGAAGAAGGCAGTCTTCTGGAAATCGCAATGTTCTTTAGAGTAGGTGATGGTTTGACCAAGTGCATGCGGCACGGCAGCTTCCAACTTATCAATACTGTGCAAGCGCTCGCCATCGGATCAATAACAATGTCGTTTGGGCAAAGATCTGAGAGCGTCAACGAAGCCCAAGGCAACGCCGTGGTTCTGCTCTCCATGAAGTCGAAGGGGGGGTAAGGATGTCGTAGGCGCGCGTCACTGTACTCCCCAAGGCGAGACGCCTGTCCACTTTGGGCGCTCTGCACGACGATAGGCGAGCCTTGAGTGCCTGGTATGCGCTGTACACGATGCACTTGAATCCGGGTTGTGCTGCCGCCACGCTGTACAAGTGCAGGCGCTTTCCCGGTTCCAGCGTGTCGCCTTGTACGGCGCTTGCTGTTCTACACTGTACAGTGGCCAGCGAGCGGAGATCAGGCCATCTAACTGTGTATTAAGGCGCCTAGTCTGGGGTGTTGCTGCCACGTGGAGTCTTGCGAAAACCAGCGACAGTACCCTGTAATACTCCATCAATCCTGTAATGGTAGAATGCCAAATGGTCCAGCGTAGGCGTGGTAGCCTCTATGCGCAGCCTGTAGCTTAAGAGGTTGCCAGATCGTCAAGCAGAAGGTCTGCCAACCAGGAGAGGTTCAATGCGAAGTGAGAATCGAGTCTTCACAACATGCTTCCCATCATCCCCTTTCCTTCCCAATATAATACGACGCTCCAGGACAGTCAGGACACTTCGACCGCTTTTCCAGCTCATCATTATCACACTCCTGGAGATCCCGGATCCTTCGCAGAATCTCCATAACGTCACCGTAAATCCGCCTCCTGTCCCGGAGGCCTCTCAGCTCCGTCTCCAAAGGTCGCGACTGTCCTCTGAAGTTGTAGTCACTGCCAAAGCTCATTCCTGGTTGCTCATCACGTGCCGCCTTGTGGGCGAGCATGAGCTCGTCTATGTATCCGGCGTCAGACTAGTGGGCGCCTTTGGATTTTATGATTTCGAGCGCCCGATCAGCAGCGACGGACCTGCAACGACGTATGTATGTCCGTTCTTTCTCATCGGCCCACGAGCCGCCATCTGCTTTTGCAAGTGCGCACCAGAGGCGGTACCAGTCTATCTGAGCTGTTTGAAAATCCTCAAGCTCCCAGACCCAGGGCATCTTCCTGAGTAGCAGGTCTTTAAAATAAGTCTGCGGTAGGCGTGTAAGCGCCGGAGACACAAGTCGAAGGTTTGCTGCGTCTTGAGGATCAAGATGGTGTACGATCATGGCACGCAACTCGTACGACAGAGTCGCAAATGGGTCGGTGGTGTCGTCTGGTTGTCGAAGAGATTCGAACACAACTTCTGATGAGTCAACGCTCAGACAGCCACGAATGTGGTCGTGCAGTCCCGGAACATTGATGGGGCCGGCCATGAGATACTCTGTGCCAGGTCCCGCGTTGAACCTGGGCAATGTGTAAACATATAGCCATGGCGAGCACATAGATACGAACCATCCGTCGGATATAATCTGCCGGTCAGTCGTTATCGGTAGTTCGTGGAATCTCCTCGTGCCACAACCTTGTTTCTGTGGCATGTTAGAGGCGCAGCTCGTCCGGAAGAGCAGCACCTACATCTCGGAGGTCCTAAAGCCAGTCAATCACGACCTCTCCAAATGTCTGTCTGCTGAGTCTCTTGAACATTTCAAAACATCGAGGGTGCATTGGAAGTGCCGCCTTCTTGTCACAACGCTTAAACCGCAAAGATCAGCTTTCAGTTCTATCGGGGCCATATCACGCATTGAAACGCACCTCATCTTCCGAATCTAGTTCAAACTTCGTTTCCCTAATACCGTGTCGTACCGGCTGGAAGTGAACTGCGTCCGTTGCAAGTACTCCGGGAACCCTTCCAATGCCCGTGAGAAAACACTTCCAGGCGCCAGCCTCGAATGGTTCATGATCCGCTTCCGGTTGCCACTTGTCAGTCTTAGGACACAAGCATTGTATCTGCATGATGGGCTTGTGAACGTTAACTGCTGCTTAATGACCCAGGCAGATACGACTTGCCTTCATCTCCTCTGCACTGATCCTCCAACCCGAATATCCAAGCCTACTAGTGCAGTTTGGTCCAGCAATGTGCTCGAGTAAAGAGGCTGCACTATCGTTAGCGTGAACTCGGCCTGCGGACCACCTACGGCACCGCTCCTTACTTCGCTTACGCATCACACGAGTGCAGCCTTCTGCCCGGCAAACCCTGGAGTCAGAATCGTCGCACTGCTGCGTAAAGAGTGTCACACCTCGTCGCCGGGCCTGAGGTCTTCCGAGCTCATCAACGTCAGGCTCGCACTGTTTCTCGAAAGACGCAAAGCAAGGCGCTCCGAAGCTCGCCCATGCTGCTTCGGGTTGTTCGTCTGCGGCAATTGTTAGCTTCTCCTTACACCAGCCAGTCAGGATTACACCGGCCAGTCAAGGACGGTCTCGTAGCTCTTGAGGCGGGTGTCTCGATATCAGCAAAAAGACGACAAGGTCTCGGAGTACGGTGTATCCTTTTGGAAGAGTCTCGGAGAAGCCATGCATATATCAAAACAACCTACGAGCTTTTCGGATCCTCCCAACTTGAAAGTGGACGCCGCAAAGCTGGCACGGCTGCGACAGATACCCTTCGTCGTCATCATCGTCATCGCTGAGCTGGTCAAGATGATCGGGGTGGTTGCATCTTTCGAGATACCTGTGGCTTGCGCGGTGGAAAGAACGCTTGCTCATAGTCCAGATAGTAGCGACTTGCGATGGTAGCTGCCAACGGCGCAATTAAGCCTGCAGTAGGCCAGAGTAGAAAGTTTCTTCTCACAGACAATAACAGCCCGCCAACGGGTGAGACGTGGCTTTCTCATATGCGAGTGGCCGCGGGAGAAGACTGCCGGCTATCCACTTCCTTCGAGTGTCCCTTGCTTACCTCGTGAATGAACTTACCGGACTAGGTCACAGCGAGCGGCGTGATGGGAGACTCCTCTCAGAGACAAGCACTGCCAACGAGAGTGCTGTGGCCTTTTCAGTGCGACTAGCCCCTGGAGAAGGATTCTTGATGTCTCAGGTGGGTTGCACCCGGTCCCTTGCTTCCTTCGTAAGTGGAGTCGGCAGAGTGGTCCAGCGCAAGTCGGGTGGAAGATCTCGCGGTGCAAAAGTCCGTCAACCCGAGTATTGTTGGCCTTCCAGGTGCAGGCGCTTCGAGAAGACTGCCATATATACCCGGTGGTCCGCTTTCAGCGCCCCTGGCTTCGTGAATGGAGTCGACGGATTTGTTCAGAGCAAGCAGTGCGGTAGATGATCTTCTCACAAAGAACAACAGCTCGCCGCCGTCGACGAGAGTACTGTGGCCTTTTCTGGTGCAACTGATTTCCGGAGAAGACTGCCAGAGATGCACATGCAGTGGGCTGCTGCCAATATCCCTTGCTCGCTTTGTGACCGAAGTCAGAGTGAAACGTGTAGTAGACCCCTTCTCACCTACAATCACAGCCCTCGGCTCGTCGACAAAATAGACGCGGCCGTCCAGGTGCGCTTGGATCTGGGAGAAGGGTGCCAGATCTGCTCCCAGTATCACTGGTCTGACGTTTTCACTCACGGGCCACGGCGGCGAAGTTGATATACCAGACCCCTTCGGTGAGTCTTGTCAAGGAAGACGTCTCTCCAAAACGAAAACAACCTTGGAAGTCAAGAAACCAACACCACAGAACCCACTCCCAACCCGCAGTCGCAACTCGAGAAGCCCCGCTTAGTCATCACCCTCCAACCGCAACCTCCCCCCTTCTCTACCACCACCCCAACAACCACAACAGCACGACACAACTAATACCACCACGACACGTATGAGAGATCAAATCATTCCATTCCAATTTATCTGTCCTCGCACTCATGCACCGATCCCATCGTTTCCTGACCTCGTCCTCGTACGCGTCTACCCTGGACTCCAAATCTGCCCCGACTTCTCGTAAATGATGCCCCGCATCTTCCCATACTCTTCTACTCGACTGTGACGCTCTTCGCGAGGTTTCTTGGATTGTCTACGTCGGCCTGCGGCTTAGTCAGCAACTGTTTCAATCCAGAAGGCGAGAGGGGGACATACGCCAGCATTAATAGCCAACCAATAACTCATCAACTGCAACGGAATCACATTATACAACCCTTGCAGAATATCCACCGTATGCGGCACCTCAATCTTATCCGTCTTCTCGCCCGGGAACTCCTTATCCCCCGTGTTGCAGATGACGATCGGCCGCCCGCCGCGCGAGATGACCTGCTGGTAGGCGTTGAGGGATTTGGTGAAGATGTCGTCGCGCGTCAGGATCATGACGATGGGGAGCTGGCCGTCGACGAGGGCGAGGACGCCGTGTTTGAGCTCGCCCGACATGACGGCTTCGCAGTGGAGGTAGGAGATTTCTTTGATCTTGAGGGCGCCTAGATTGCTTTCATTAGCACTTTTTGGATGTGCAGGAAAGAGAGGAGAACTCACCTTCGAGGGCAGTAGCGTGCTGAGCACCGCGTCCGAGCAGCAGCATGCTCTTCTGGTCCTTGAACCTGCACCAATCGTTAGCACCTTCACAACTCCAGCATCTTCTGAATAGTACCCACCTCTCACACAACTTCTTCACATCCTGATCCATCTTCAAAATCTCCTTAAACTGCTCGCTCACCTTCCCCAAGCCCTCCATGATCTCCAGCCTTCTCTGCGTCTTGCTGGCGCGATCCTCAGACAAGCTCAACGCAAACATGACCATGCACACAAACTGCGACGTGTACGCCTTCGTGCTGGCCACACCAATCTCCGGGCCGGCGTTGATGTGCACACCGCAGTGCGTCATGAGCGAGATGGAGGAGCCGACGACGTTGACGATGCCGACGGTCAGCGCACCACGCTCCAGACAGTACCGCAGCGCCATGAGCGAGTCGGCCGTCTCGCCGGATTGGGAGACGAAGACGCAGGTGTCGTCGCGGAAGACGGGGGCTTGACGGTCCAGGAAGTCGGAGGCCAGCTCGACGGAGATGGGGATATCGGTCAGCTCCTCGAAGCAGCCGCGCACGGCCATGCAGGAGTGGTAGCTAGTGCCGCAGGCGATGAAGATGAGACGGCGGCAGCGGCGGATGGTGCTGATGTATTGCCTCAAGCCACCCAGTGTAACAGTCTTCTCTTCAACGTTCAAACGACCACGCATGGCGTTGACAATCGACTCGGGCTGCTCGAAAATCTCCTTCTGCATAAAGTGGTCGAAGCGGCCCTTCATGATCTCCTGCAGCTCAATCTCGATGGTCTGGATGGCGCGGACGTTGCTAGTGCCGTCCATCTTGCTCAAGCGGTGGATGTTGAGCTGGCCCTCGTGGATGTGGGCGATGTCGTCGTCTTCGAGGTAGAGCACCTTCTTGGTGTGCTCGACGATGGCCGACGGGTCGGAGGAAAGGAAGAACTCAGTCGGCTGTGGCACACCGTCGTCGGACAGGAAAGCGCGCGACTGCGAGCGATGGAGGAGGTTCGACTTGTCTGGCGGTGCGAGCAAGTTGTTGTTGCTGCGCAGAGCGACGTTGTGGCTAGCCTGCTCGGCCGGAAGAGCCGCCTCGTTCTCGGCGTACTCGACGTCCACAAAGTCGACCTTCATCTTCTTCTCCGTGCGGACACCCACAACGAGCGGCGAACCCTTGCGAGCTGCAACCACCTCGCCGGGGAAGTGCACACTCTTCAGCAACAAACCGAAAGCGCCCTGCAACTCCTTGATAACTGCCTTCGTAAGGGTGGTGAAGTCGATGGTCGGGTGCTCATCATAGATGTACTTGGCCAGCTTCGCAATAGCCTCCGTATCCGTCTCCGTCTCGAACTTGAAGCCCTTGCCGGAGAGCAGCTCCTTCAGCTCTTTGTAGTTGGTGATGATGCCGTTGTGCACGACCGCAAACTCCCAGTTGGGATCCGAGCGGTGCGGGTGGCAGTTCTTGCGGGATGGTGGACCATGGGTGGCCCAACGGGTGTGCGCGATACCGCAGTGGTTATCGAAGACCTTGGTCATGTCGGGCTGCTCCTGGTCGATGAGGGCGCGGAGCTTGGCGACCTTGCCGACTTCTTTGTATGCGAAGACCTGCTTCTTCTTGTCGCCGTCGACGGCGAGACCGGCCGAGTCATAGCCCCGGTACTCCAGACGGGCGAGTCCTGATGCAATGGTAAGCTACATGCGAGCGGGCGGTGTATGTGTCTTGCCTACCATTGACCAGAGTGTCGAGGATGTACTTCCTGTCCTTCTCCACCAAGTAGTTGATGTATCCGAAGATACCGCTATCATCTCATTAGCTCTGATTCACTGCTGCCAAACACCTGAACCCACCACATGATTGCTAGTTATATGTAGCCAACAGGTGTCCCGAAAGAAAAAATGTTTCGTGGTCTCGTTCGCCGGGCTTGCAGCGGGGTGAGGTCGTGGCAGTGGTGTCGTGTCAGTCGTGAGAGGAGGATTGAAAGTGTCTGGGAGAACGATAGAAGCAAGCGATGGGTGTCAGGGGAGAAGTGGTGGTGGTTGGCGAAGAATGGTCGTCAGCGAACACTCCCGTCGTCAAACATCAAAGCTCGGCCGCGTTTCGAAACCAGGGTCTGCCCGCTTAGCCTCCGTCGTCTCATGCGCTGCCTTTTCGTCTTACTCCAACGTCACTCTTCCCCTTTTATTATACTGCTTGTGCTACGATTCGATACTTTGCTGTGCTCATGCGATTGTGACTGGTCCGCTATGTCGATATGCCTAAAATACTGCTCACCATTCCATCTCCTGCGTGCGTTCGCCAGTCAACGCCGAGTCTTTCACTGCCAAGCGCGCCAATGCAAGGTACCGACTGCCCCGATCGGTGAACCAGCAGCTATTTCGGGGTGGGGATCTCGTGTTCGACTTCACCTATGGAAATCCGAAGAGATCGAGCGAAGGCAAATCACGGCCGTCACTGTCTGTCGCTCGCGACAATCCGTGACTGCCGTGCGACGATTTGCCTTCCACAGTGCGGCTGAAGATCTGTTCTCGTATTGACATCGCACAGGACATGTGGTGGCAAGGAGATGGGCACACGGGTATGTGTTGTACATAGCATCAGGGCACGAGGGCGACGGCAATATACTCGGTAGCACAGATGGTAAGTCGCAAGTATGGAATAGTGAGTACGAAGTAAGGAATAGTAAGTATGAAGCGAGACAGTACTTTTGCTGTGTTTCTCCAGCTATGCTCAACTCATGTCCGATTTTGCCCAACGCTTCGTGTCGTCACAAGACTCAAGAAGTCGCCAGAACGATGTCGGTCTTTCTCTCCAACACGTCCCATGCCGCTAAAGCTTGCCCCAGGCAGCTGCTTGACTCGGTCTCGTTCTTTTCGTTCCCCCAAGAATGTGTAGGTTGCTTGACGTGAACCGGTTACACTTCCTGGCGGGATCATCACAGCGGTCCGCCCCGGCCTTGTGCTCGTGGTAGCAGCACATGCTTCGCTTGCTGGGAGACTGCAGAGGCACATACATCTTGAGTAAGCTGAAGCCAACGTACTCGTTTTGCGGCGTCGACCTTCTTCACTTCGGCGACCACATCTTCCGGCAGATACTCGCGCATGTTCGAAGACCAGTGCGGAGTTGGTACGTAATTGGTGGCGAATACGTCAACGAAGAAGCGCATCATTGTCGACTTGAGGGGTAGGCTCCGAGAGGCGTGGATTGAGGGAAGGTACCGGGGTACCAGTGGTACTGCTTCACGACCTGGATGGTGCTGTCCATGACCGCGTTTTGGAAGGTGAAATCCTGGAGCATCTCACCAAGCGCAAAGGCGTCGATTGCGATCATGTACAGGCTCTGAGCGGAGTTGTTCTTGTCGTTTTTGTCGACCCTAACGAACGATCCACTCTCGTCTGGGTATTCGTCCGCGAAGGTCACTGAGGGGTCCATAGAGAGATGCAAATCGGCATTTCCGGTCGACAGCCAGTTGGCGTAGATTGAGAAGACGTCCTCGTCAACCTCGGGAGACTTCGCCACTCCCTCGATCGACACCTTCCAGCGACCGCTCCGCAGCATGACCTTGAAGAAGTCGGATTTGGCGCAGGCGACTTTCTGGTCGATGGTGAATAATGTCTGGTCATCCTCGGCGCCGATGAGTACGGTGAGCTGGTCTGTGGTGTGGTCGGTGTGGTCGATGTGGTCGGTGCGGGTGGTTCTGCGTGGCACCAGCTCAGTATTCGTCCTTCGTGTGCGTTCATTGCAAGACTTACTTGGACTCTGAATGCGAACCGCCACTGTCCTGGCCAGCGGTGGCCATGTCTCGCCTGAAGTAAGCTGTGTAGGTTGGAAGAGGAAGGAAGAATTATAGAGGCGGGTGTGGTTTCATATATACCGCCTCCAGCATGACGCCAAGCGATCTGAGTGAATGTAGATTTCACATGAATGAGAGCTGTTCACATGCTTCAGCTTTGAACTTAAGGCACGGAAGCGATGGGAAACAGACATACAGTAGAGAGGAAATCAGTGATAGGAAATGTGTGGGAGGACGACTTCAGGATTAGCAGACGAGCGCTGCCTGCCTCTGATGTGTGCTGAGCGAACAAAGATAGTTGTTTGCTGTCCTGGCTCGAAGTGCATGAGCAATTGAGCTTGAAGAGCATCCTGCCGTCCCACGTCCTCGCTCTCGAGATCTTACGCCGCCCAGGTCGGCTCGCTCAACTCACAGCATGCGCACCCAGCTCTCTACCAGCAGCGCAATCCGCAAGACTCTGTCTCTCGTACTTCCATCCTCCACTTATGTGCATTTGTCTGCGTCGGTCTCATGCTCGTGGTAGAAGCATCTCGGGCGGTACCTTGGATCCCTGTCCTCGTAGTGAATTCTTCTCTCCTCGATGCCCGCGCATGCCACTTCTAACACGAAGTCTTGCGGCAGAAGCCCACCTATTTCTCTGAAATGCGCCGCTTCCCGATCAACCGCCCACGCGTCAACGTAGAACTTCAGCATCGGCGAGCCACGCGAGACCTTCCCGGCCATGTTGATTGTGGCATCCACTCCTGGGAAGCAGTTCGTGTTCGAGAGAATAGAGCCGGTCTTACCAGCGGTCTTGCTCATCACGGCATTGCGAAAAATGCGGTCCTGGAGTCTCTCTCCGAGAGCGAATGCGTTCGTCGCGACATTGTAGAGTAGCATAGCTCTGTGTTCTACGGCTTCCTTCGTAGGAATGTCGTCCGCCCCATCTTGGTCCTCCACGCTGAAGACGTTGTTCGCTTCATCCTTGACATCCGTATGCACCACTTCTACCCCAGCACACTCAAGGTCGACCGTGCCAGTGTACAGACACCCAACATAAACACGGAAAAGCTTGTTGTTCACTTCCGGCAACCTCACCACCTTCTCCTGTGCTTCTTTCCAGTCGCCGATTATTGCTGCGCGGAAAAGGTCGGACCGTGAGCAAAGGAGGTCCCGGTGCAGTAGGAATGTCTCCTGGTCGTCTTCTGGCCCTGCAAGGATGTTGACTGTTTCACGCCAGTCGAATCTGCTTCGTGTTAGTTATCAGCAATTATAGGCAGGCCGGCAGGAGGCTTACTTCGAGAGGCTGAGAGCCCGGTTGGCGGTGGACATTTTGGTTGCAGGAGTGGCGGGAGGATGGGAGGTAGAGGTATGATGCTGAATGGGAGGTGCAACGCAGTAGCTGGCTCACGGCGTCAGTCTGCGAAAGCGGTGGAAGGACGGGGAAACATCACATGCGGCAAGCTTGGACGCGTCTGCACTCGAAAGGTGTGATGAAGTGACGTGGTGGATGACGGATCCTCAGGCGTCGTGTAGCAAGTTATGAATGACCCGTATGAAAGCGCCCAGCTAAAAAAACAGGTGCTCAAAAGTAGCTTGCTGACGGTAACAAGTCCACATTCCCGTGCTCCCGGACTTCCCCCATACAATCAGTGCCCACCGATCCATCATAGCACCGCTCTCTGGTCATGTACACCAGCTGACAACCCTTGCAGACCTGGCTTCCCAATCGTCACTTGCACTTCTCGCCATCCTTGTGATCGTGGTAGTAGCACTTCTCGCGCGCGTATGGGCTCCTCTCCTGCTTGCTCATGGCCGCTTCATCCACGCTGGCGCAAGCCATGTCGAAGACAAAGTCGATAGGCATCTCCTTGGCCCAGTCTTTGAAAGGCTTGCCGCCGTAGCCGGCGCTGGCCCATGTGTCCACGAAAAGCTTCATCAACTTCGAAGAACGTGAAGCCCTTTGGCATGCGGAAGTGACGTTCTCGACGCCCCCAATGTGCCCGAAGTCTCCAAGAAGTTTCTTGATGGCGTCAACGACAGCGTTGCGGAAATTGCAGTCCTGGAGCATCTCGCCGAGTGCGTACGCAAGGATTGCCCAGTCTAGTATCTGATGGTGGTGTTCGGTTGATAGATCCTTCAAAGGCTTTGCATCGGTGCTGCAGTCGGCAGCGTGGCCAAGTCGCATGTCGATATTTCCAGTATAGAGGAAGCCCATGTAGATGCCGAAAATGTTGGCCTCAACTTCCGGGAAGCGGACGGTCTTCTCGGATGCCTCCTTCCACTCGCCATGACAAGCAGCACGGAAGAAGTCTGACGTTCGGCAAACGATGGCTTTGTGGACGACGAATCTGGCCTCTTCTTTTCCGACGAGCACAACCACATCTTCGAAGTAGTCGAATCTGGAGTTGCTGTCAGTCTTCAGCTCACACGAGTAGCCTCAACCGCCAACTCACTTTGTCCTCTTCGCCGACCTGTCGCTCCCAGGAGTCTTTTCCTCCGCTTTTACCGCCATAATGTTGGAGGTGGTTGAGTGTCTTCACAATAGGTCAAAAGTCACAATAGGTCGAAAGTGAAAGGAGGAGGAAGGAAGGAGGAAGGCGAAAAGGACATGGTGAGATGTGAAGGAAGGTGGGGCAGACAACATGAAGTGAGGTCGAACGAACCTTGTTGTCCATCGACATACCGGCCTGCCATGAGCTCACCGCTTATCGCACGAAACACATCATGGATCAGACCAGGTCAATCAGATCTGTACTAAGCTTACTCTAGTGCTTGTGTTGATAGCGGTACCGCATTGTTCTTCTCGGGTATTTCGTGTCACATGAATGTTGACCACGCTGCCCTCGACAAACGTACTCGAAGCACGGTGACGCAGCTGCCTTTCAGCTCGAGATGAGGCTTCGGAGGACTCGAGGCCTGACATGTTGCCTTGTTTCTCCTCCGTTCGCCCATACGGTCCAGCTGTCGTCCATATGTGCACCAGTCGAGAGCATAGTGCTGCAAGTCACTCATAGATAGTGTTGGTCGGTGGAGAAGAGTTGAAAAGAGCTCGTGAAAGGGGGAGATGGGTCAGCCAAGCATTCCAGCCGCTAACTCGATTTCTGGAGACAACCTCCTCCTGCTACCAACTCCACCACACCACCTCTGTACTCCCACATACATCCCCATCAAGCCTCACAGCGTCGCTACGGTGTCTGTTAGGTCCTAGCGACCATCCCGCCGCCAGCTGCCTGCTCGCCAGAAGCTGTTCCATCGCTCCTTTCTCACTCCACCAGAGCGCGTGCCGACCGCGTTAGACCCACGTCCGAGGGCATCATCACCACACCAAGACCCCTCATCGCGCCGGCAGCAGCGCGCCTACCACCGCCACCTCTCCCAGCAAGCAATGGTGGGGAGACAGCACGAGTGAGGTGACGGCGACAGCAATGTCGCAGCCCAGCGGGGCAGTGGAGGATGGCGGGCGGAGCACTTCACCCAGCTCACTGAAGCGGAAACGCGAAGCACACAGACTACCCCCTTCTGACCTCCCCCAAAGCAGTGCTGCCAAGGCTGCCAACCTCACCAACGGCGCATCTTCACAAACCGCGTCGCGCCAAAACAACACCTCGTCAGACCCGCGACCACAACCTCACACGCAATACCGCTCACCAGACTCCGACGAGATGCAGACTTCGGACTCGGGAGATCTCCTCCGCGGCATTGGCTCGGCAAGCTCCCTCAACAGCACCGCTTCCTCAGTCTTCAGCCACAGTTCACAGGCTGTCGCACAAAACCGCAAAGCTTCACTTGCCAACGGCTTCACCCCGCTCACATCCCACTCCGAGTCTTCGCCTCGCAAAGGCAACAGCCCGGACTACGCGAAGAGCGGCGCCGCCACCTCTCACATGCCTACCACAGATATCACTCCCGACCCTCAAACCCGAACAACGCGTCCTCAGATGCTGCCGCCACCCGGCAAAGCGAAAGGGTACAAAGTGGTTTATGATCCAGAACTCGACGGCAAGCTCAGCAGGGAAGATCGGAAGCGCGCACAACCAAGGCGAAGAGAGTTTGGCACAGAGGTACGCTGCATATTTCATAATCACAATTTGCTGAGCTTGCGAAACATGATGATACACATAACATAAAAGACAGAAAAATGGATGTTTAAACCACTTTGTACCCTTTCGCTGACACCGGGTGTTGGACAGACATACCAACCGGATCCGCCACCAGATCCACGGCTCGCAATTCCTGGCTACATGTCAGGTTTGTGCCGATCGAAGAACGCTCCGAGTAAAGCAATTCTGAGGCCTGCGCCGTACGATGTTGCGCCTTGGAAGGTTGACAAGTACTCCGTTAATGGCGAAGCTACACAAGTGGTCGCGAGTGGATTCGATCCATTCCTTCCGGAGTCGACCATCAAGCTCAACTTTGGTACGTTTGGCAGCGTTGCGTCTGTGCAGAACAAGACGGACCCCGAGACGGGCAGCTTTCTCGGCATCGCTCTGATTAAGTATCGGGAGGTGTCAGAGGGTATGGCAGCGGAGAGCGCGAAGCGGGCGGAGCGCGAGTTCAATGGGCAGCGGATTGGTGTGCACACAGTCATTGTTGAGCTGGATCGCGAGGGACGCAAGTGCAAGCGCATGGTAGAGCAGGTGCTGAAGAAGACAAGAGAGCAGCGAGCGAAAGAGCGCAAGGCGAGCCATGTACCTCCGCCTCCACCTCCGATGGAATCACGGCGCAGCTCGACCGACACACCAGCACCACCCATGAACGCGCCAAAGGGACCCTCAGGCAAGGCGGTGAAGATCCCTGAAGGCCCAAAAGCAGTTGCACCACCTCCGAACCCTAGATCTGCAGCTGCGTCGCTCATTGAGACCGAGTTGATTCTTAGTAAGATCAAGCGGAAGCCGTACATCCACATCCCGCATGACTCGGTTCCAGTACTGGGCACGACCATTCCGCACTTGAAGAAGCGCCTAAAAGCCTACGACTGGCGCGAAGTCCGTCTGGACAGGACTGGATACTACATCGTCTTCGAGGACTCTAAGCGGGGTGAGGATGAGACTGAGCGATGTTTCGCCGAGTGCAACAAGGCTGCTTTGTTCACCTACAACATGGACATGGAGTGCCAGAAGTATGGCAATCCGAACTACGAGCGGAGCCCCAGTCCCGAGCGTGTCATGGCGGTCAAGCAGAAGAAGGAGCACTTTGAGCGACTGAAGCGTGAAGAGGCAGACGATTTGGAGATTGAAAAGAAGAACAGAGCTGAAAATATGGATTCTGTGCTGGGTGCGCTTGAACAGCTGAAGGTCGAGCTTCGCGACAGGATAATGAGCGACGTCAAGACCAGGATCGCCATACCCATCTTCCACGACAGTCTTGACCCGACGAGACATACTGCGAAGCGAAGGAAGCTCGGTTTACCAGATCCGTCAGACAATGAGAACAAAGCGCCAGGTCTTCTTTTCAACAAAGCCGGCGATACACCTCCCCACACTCCGAGATCTCGCTTTGGCCATCCGTCAAAGCCATTGCGACCGCATGATCCGAATTCGCAGCGCGGCAGGAAAGGTGACCGTGAGCGCGAGCGAGACAGAGGGCCTACGAACGCGTTTCTGGACGACAGGAGGCGGCGACCTGCGCCTAAGCCTTCGCATGCCAGGGGACTGCACTACCGCCTTCAGCAGATGTTTGCTGATGAGGAGGACTCCGACGACGAAAGGCATACATCGATTACGCGCGACACCGAAGACCAGGAAAGCAGGCCGCTCAGCCGAGCGAGCAGAACGTCCACGCCCTTCGAGTCTGAGTCTGTGTCAGAGACGCCAAAGCACAAGCGGCGGAAGATTGCAGACGAGGAGGAGGGGGAGAAGGAGACGTTCGACGCTTTCCAGAAGAGCATGCTTGGTCATCTTCTGCATAAGGAGCCGGAGGACCTCGCTACTCGGGAGCTGGAGATGGTGATTAGCAACCTACCGCGAGAGTCGCCCTACTGCGCTCGTGCGAAGACGGAGCTGTATATTCGCAAGCGGTCGAAGGCGGACGATGACCTGTTCCAAGTCAAGAGCGAGTCGAAGAAGAGCGTGGCTCAAGATGTTGTTGAAGATGTGGAGATGTTGGATCGAGAACACGACAGTACACCTGCACGAGATCTCGCTGTCAAGGCTGTGAAAGAGAAGGCCAAGAAGAAGCGAAAGACAAAGAAGGAGATCTTGGCTGAGCAGGAAGCGCTCAAGGCTGAGGCGAAGGAGGCCAAAGCTGCGAGCCAGCCTGTGGCTCCAGAGACGGTCGAGAAGATTGAAGAAAAGAAGCTGGAGTTGCGGGCCGTGGAGGAGGTTGAGCCGGAAGAGGACCACCTTCGCCTGACGCATGACAAGCCGCGGCGGACTGTTGAGGACGACCGAGATTTGATACTCGACATCGATGGATGGCAGCATGCAGTGAAGGATGACGAGGATCTCGCTTTCCTCCGCAGAGCTCTCGCAGAAGAAGCCGCATACGATCTTGGCGACGAGAAGGTCTGGGCGTGGAAGCAGAAGGAGATCAAGGCTCTCAATACTGGTGCTCGTGGTATGGTCCACACCGAAACCATCATCGAAGGCTACTACGTTCCCAATGCGACCGGCAGCGCCCGCACCGAAGGCGTAAAGAAGATCCTCAACGAAGAGAAGAGCAAATACCTCCCTCACCGCATCAAGGTCCAGAGAGCGCGCGAAGAGCGTCAAGCCTTGTTAAAGTCCGACCCAACTGCCGCAGCCGAAACAGTCAAGATCACTGCCGCAGAGAAGATGGCTTCCACGGCCACATCCCGAAGCAACCGTGTCAACAACCGCCGCCTCGTCAACGACATTGCCCTCCAAAAGCAATCTCTCGCCTCCGACGCTGACGTCGTCATCCGCTTCAACCAGCTCAAGAAGCGCAAGAAACTCGTCAAATTCGACCGCTCCGCCATCCACGGCTGGGGCCTCTACGCCGAGGAGAACATCGCCGTCAACGACCTCATCATCGAGTACGTGGGCGAAAAGGTGCGGCAGAAGGTCGCCGACATGCGCGAGCTGCGGTACGAGAAACAGGGCGTCGGCTCTTCGTACTTGTTCCGCATGATGGACGATGAGATTGTGGACGCGACGAAGAAGGGCGGGATCGCGCGCTTCATCAATCACAGCTGCAGTCCGAATTGCACGGCGAAGATTATTAAGGTAGAGGGCACGCCGAGGATTGTGATTTATGCGCTGAAGGATATTGGGAAGAGTGAGTCTACACATCCATCCTTTCAAAGGTGACATTTTACTGACGGTGAGATACAGACGAGGAGTTGACGTACGACTACAAATTCGAGCGCGAGATTGGCTCGACGGATCGGATCCCGTGCCTTTGCGGGAGTGCGAATTGCAAAGGCTTCCTCAACTAGAGAAGCCTGTGCATCTGGGAGGTACTGGTCGGTGTGTGTTTTTGGGCGGCAAAGAGCGTGCATTTACGTGGGGGCCTTCAACAACGGAATGTAAAGGGTATGGAAGCGGGGACTCGGCGGTCTTCTGCATATGTTGTTTTGGCACGTCTGGCCGAGGAGATGGCTGGACAGGGCGGGACGCTGTTGTATAGTTGTTAGAGTAGAGAAGACAGCCTCTTCGCCTGACGAAAGGAAATGGCTGTGGTTTTCTACTGTCACATGCATGATTCTCGCCCCTTGCAGATCATTTTAAGCGTCATTGGTGGACCCCGCAGCCGACAGTTTTGGGCTCTCGTACCTGAGCTGAGCTGCATGTGCACTTCACTTTACTCTTCAACACCTCTCACTACGACGATATATACCACACAACACACCACCCACCATGTCCACAGTCAAAGGCCTAGGCGAAGCAAAATCCTACGACGGTACCCCTCCCCCCTCCCCCCCGCACCCCGCCCTATCCCCCTCTAACCCCGAACTCCTACCACAGGCTCCCCTCTCCGCATCGGCATCATCCACGCCCGCTGGAACACCAAAATCATCTCCTCCCTCCTCGACGCCACCCTCTCCACCCTGAAATCCTCCGGCGTCAAACCCGAAAACATCGTCGTCCAGTCCGTCCCCGGATCCTACGAACTCCCGCTCGCCGCGCAGCGCATGTTCGCCGCTTCGCAGCATCAGAGTAGCGGGTTGCCTGGTGGGGGGTTGGTGAGCGCGGCAACGGATTTGCTTGGGGGGAGTACGACGGATTTGACCAAGACACCCGAAGCGCAGCAGGGACAGAAGCCAGCGGAGGTAGAAGGGGGCGGGGGGAGTACAGAGCCTTTCGACGCGATCATTGCTATCGGAGCGCTGATTAAGGGCGGCACGATGCATTTTGAGTACATCTCCGACGCGGTCAGTCATGGTTTGATGAAGGTGCAGATGGAGACGGGGTGTCCGGTGGTTTTTGGGCTGTTGACGCTTTTGACGGAGGAGCAGGGGCTGGAGAGGGCGGGGTTGAAGGAGGGGGGGCATAATCATGGGGAGGATTGGGGGGCGGCGGCGGTGGAGTTGGGGGTTAAGAGGAGGGGGTGGGGGGAGGGGAGGTTTGTTGAGTGAATATTAGTTTTGTCTCTGCTGTCTCTGCCGTATGGGTGACTTCAAGAGGTAAGTGGACATATGATTTTGTGGAACCTGCGGTGGGTGTTGCTGTTGTGTGTCGTGCCTTTCGTTCTTACTTCACGTGAAACGCGGTCAGTGCTTCGGTGAGGTCACGATGGACTTTTTACTCTGCACCTTCCTCATTCCTAACATGAAACATTCGCCAGCTTGAACGCATACCAGACAACTGATACACTATGGCGGCTGCGACGGCGGGCGAAGGCGGGAGGTCTGCAAAGAGAACGAAGTGGGTACAGCCTGACATCCCAACGTTGCCAGATGAGGACTGACCTCTTATCATAGACTCGACTTCGTTGACACAATCACCGTCCTCGTGGGAGCAAATGAAGCGCGGTTCATGTTGCATAAGAACGTTGTCTGCGCCACCTCAGACTTCTTTCGTGCCGCATGCGATGGCAACTGGAAGGAGGCTACCGACAAAGTGATCCGCGTGCCTGAAGCTGAGCCGAGTGTGTTCCAATTTTACCTTGCCTGGCTCTACACGGACCGGATTGACCTGGATCAAAACTTTGCGATCAAGGGGCAATATGACGCCGTGGAGCTCAGTCAGACCTACCTCTCATTATTGAATGCATACATCTTTGGTGACATTATCCAGGATGTCGCATTCCGCAATGCCCTTATTGACAAGATGCTGGTATTGTCAAAGCAGACGGATAAGTGGCCCCACCCTCGTGAGGCCGCGAAGCTCTGCCAGAGCGTTTCAATCGGTTCGAAGATGGTCAGGCTTCTCGCCGATGGCTATGCTTGCACCTTTTCAGCCGAGACCTTCAGCCGCGAGCTGCCAAACCTTCCTGCAGAACTCATCAAATTGATCGCGGCGCTGTCCAACGAGGAGAGGTACATGTCCAATGCTGAGCGGAGGCCTCTCGGTCGACTAAAGGGATTCTACCACGAGGCGGCAAAGCAAGGCAGAGCGTCCTCGACAAACACGACAGAAGGGCAGAGCGTACAGATCAGGACCACTGCTGGAGGAACATGATGGCTGCACACTGTGGAAAGCAGGCTTGACATTGCATGCATGTGGAGCGGAGAAACTTGATGCGGAGGAACATGAGGGACTGCACTTTCTGCTATGTGCGTAGTCTTCGCCACTCGTCCGGGGCACGGGCCAGACGAATCGACTGGAGGTCACGATGCCGTGGCACCGCTGAGGTTGTATCCGAGAACGATATCGGCTCCGCCGTAGTTGTGCTTCTGGGCTGGTCACATCATATCATTCTCGCCCGGCTTTGAGATATCTCAGCAATGCACACGTGAGCTTGTGAATGCAGAACTTTTTCATTCTCTGTGCCTTGACGTCACCTCACCTGTCACATGCACTTCTTCTCCCACCTTCGGATCTCGCTAGCGCTTCCACGACTTCACCACTTGCGCCAGCTTGACCTTCCCGCCACAGGGAACAACCACCTCAGTCTCTTCCCATCATGGCGACACCAGGCAACGAAGAGAGCAGCGTGGACGCAGAGAAGCCTGCGTAAGTAGCGACAGTTCCAATGGTATCTGTATTATGCTGACTCGTGCCAGGCTCGGTCGCGACAAGCTCCAGATCATACTCGTCGGCACTGAGGTCCAAGCCAGTTTTCGAGTGCCCCTAGAGACCTTCTTCACGACCTCAAAGTACTTCACTGCTCTATGCAGTGACCGCTGGAAGAGACCTGCGGATGAAGTACTTCGACTCCCGGACATCGAACCGAGGATCTTCAACGTGTATTGCGGCTGGCAGGAACATGAGCACATCGATCTGGCATACCTGAATCTTGGAAATACTGGCTTTCCGGACGCCACGGAGGCTAGATGCGATGTCCTCATCCGCGCCTACGCTCTCGGAGATATGGTGCTTGACGTCAATTTCCGCGATACTGTTGTTGATCGGGTCGCTTCGATGGTCTCGGGCGGTGGACGCATATCATCAGCAGCAAACGTCACCACACTCTACGACCTTGTGCCCCGACGCTCGAAACTGGCTCTACTCTTCGTTGTTGACTGGTCCCACCGTCGCTACGGTATGCGCATTTATCGTGACCACCTCTCCGACATGCCCCAGGACTTCGTTGTGGAGATCGCCATGTACTGTATTCGCCGCCAACACCTTCACCATCTTCCCCGGGGCCCAATCGACAATTGTCGCTATCACGAACACGAGAGTGTGGAGGCTGCGGCCTTGCTGGATACGTCTACCGCACTGGAAGTAGCAGCACAAAAGCGAGGCATAGCATGAGAGAATGTGAAGACTGACCTTGTCGGAGCGGGAATTGCAGAGGATCAGTCCGGACCGCAAGGAGGTGCATTGACAGGAAGGAAGTATGCAGTGGTTCATTTCTTATGGCTTGACGTCACCTTTTCACGTGCACGTCTTGCGTTTTGAGTTTCACTAGCGCTTCTGCAACGTCGCCTTTTTCGCCAGCTTAGGCTTGACCTTTGTCGCGACTTCACATTCTCTCGCGAGCTTGAAATTGTTTTCTGCGACCTCACACCTATTGATCGCATGACCTTCTTCGCTCTTCGGCGAGCGCAACCATCCAGCGAGCAAAGGTATGGCGACTTCGAGTAGCGAAGGCGGTGACCAGGAGACGGAGAAGCCTGCGTAAGAGTCAAGGTTCCCTCACGCCATGAAGAAGATGCTGATAGAAGATGCAGAACCGAGCAATAGATCATGGTGCTGGTCGGACCAGAACAGAGGAAGTTCATCGAGAAGGAAACTGAGCTCTGCGCAACGTCATCATTCTTCCGTAGCGCCTGTCAAGGAGGATGGAAAGAGTCTACCGAAAAGGTCATCCGCCTGCCGGAGGTGGATCTCGAGGTCTTTGAGATCTGTAGAGAGTGGCTTAAATACGGTTACGTATGTACACCGGCATCCCTCGACGACGAGTTGGAGGAACAGATGAACGACGCCGAAAGGGCAGCGTTTGACCCAGATCCCGCCTACGCCTATCTTGTCCGCGCCTACGCCTTTGGCAATATGATCTCTGATACGAAGTTCCGCGATCGTGTCACGAACGACGTGGCTTTCATTCATTACTACACAAATAAGTGGCCGCCTCTACGAAACAGTGCCGCGGCGCTCAGGACTTCATCGCTTGTTCCGCGACCTGTGGATCGACCGCGACTACGACGCTTCGTTCTCCGAATACGTGAATGTACTGCCGCCGGCGTTCGACGTGGAAATCGCAGTCCACTGCATCGACAACAAGGGAAAGTTCTCAGGACACAAACTCATCGTCAAGCTAAACACGTCACATTGTACCTACCACGAGCATCCGCCAGGTAGGGACGGCGAATGTGAAGACTGCTATGACAAACTCAGCACGAAGAGCTCGCAGCGTCAGATGTCACCTTGCCAGACCCTTCTCTCAGATTCGTGGTGGTCGAAGGACAGCGAGGCGCAGGATATGGGACTCTGAGCCGGAGCGGCAGTTCGAGAGACGCAGCGTCAGCTCCGGAGGAAACTCAACGCAAGTGCTGTTTCTGCATCAACTCACAGCGCGGTGGCAGAGAGACCTCCTTACCTAGTCTGCTTCTCCCGCATGCGCAAGCAGGGACCACTCTATTCAACTTAACTCCCTCTGTGATGTAAGTCTTCTTCACCTTTTCTTCCTGCGTCAGGGCTTGCATCCACTCATGTGAGACTCGTGTCCTGTGACTCCAGGCACCTGTGTTTGCTGAAAATTCACTTGCTGGTCTTACCAACTCCTTTCCTCTTTGTTCGCTTCTTCACCGTCCTCTCCATGTGCACCGACTAGATCACACCATAACTTTAGGGCGCTCACCATGGCGGACACCAGCGACAGACCAGCCAAGAAAGCAAAGTACATTCCTTCCTGTCACATGCCGTGAAGCACTCACTAACGAAATGCTCAGGCTACAATATATCACCGGCATAACCGTCCTCGTCGGTCCGGAAGAAGCTAGCTTCCACTTTACTAACCTTGAAGAGATTACTGCAAACCGCTCCTCCGCCTTCTTCAATGCCGCCTTCAGCGGGAACTGGAAAGAAGCCAGCACCAAGGTCGTTCACCTACCAGAAGTCACGCCAAAAACCTTCCGCGTTTACCACGAGTGGATATGCGCGGGCGGCGAACCCAGCTTCCGCCTCCTGCCTTATTGCTACAACTCATCAGCCTTGGATGCCATCGTCGACGCCTACATCCTAGGCGACATGCTCCTCGACACGGACTTCCGCAACGCGCTCGTCGATACAGCGCAGAAGCTCCTCGCGCACTGTATCAACCTACCACTCATCCGGCATGCCAAATCACTCTACGAAAACGTCCCGCGCCGCTGCAAGATGGGTGAGTTGTTTGCGGATTTCTGGATCATTGCTGGACCGTCGTTGCGGAATGCGTCGGAGGAGATGCCGATGGAGTTTGTGGGAGAGATTGCGAGGGCGTGTGTTAAGGAGATGAAGGCGACTTCGGAGAGCGGGAGGTCGGGCTTGAAGGCTGAAGGATTTTATAGAAGGGGGTATTATGATGAGAGGGAGAATGATGGGAATGAAGAGATGGATCTGGGAAGGGAAATTGAGCCAGGAAGTGAGGAGGAGGACGAAGAGGACGGCAACGATGAGGGAGAGGACGGCGCGGAGGATAGTGAGGAGAGCGATGAGGAGGACAGCAGTATGGACAGCGAGTGAAAGTGAGAAGCCGTTGCCGCCATCCACAGCGGGCTCGATGCATGAATACTGATGAGAATAACTCCATTTCCCGCAAGGAACACCTACCTTTGTCTTACGCCCAGCAAATGTGGTTATGCAAGTTAGATAGAATAACAGTCGAAGCAAGCTCTGCTGAGGTTTGGGGCTGATGGTTCCAAGTCCTTCCCGGAGTCTTGACTCTTTAACTCATCTTCCAACAACAACTCCCCCAAGAGCGGATATTTACGCTGGGCTTTTGCACCACCAGCATGTCCATCATGTCACTGATGAACAGCGATGTAGATGCCGTGACGGTTCATCGGCAAGGAGCTGGTCGATCGGATTGATGACATTCGATGACATCGATTTGTTGATGTTTACTGCGAACGCGTAGCACGCTGCACATCCATGTCAGTCTCATGTTCATCAGTCTCCTCCTTGATTCCCTCCCCATCCCTCTCTCTCTCAGTTGCGCTCTCGCTCCCGCTCAACTCCCAACATGGCCAGTCCTCCAGTCGAAGTTCACGAAATACTCATGCCAGTCGAGCCAGCTCCGGCAAAGAAACATGAAGCTACATTGGGCCAGAAAGAGTCTTGCGCCACAGATGGGCCACAGAACGAACTCGCCGCGGCGGGCCAGAACCTCAAAGGCAAGACCTCTTCAATCAAGAATATAGGCGAAGCACGCAACATCATCAAGCTCGAAGCTGCGATCGAGGCTATTGATACCGAAGACATTAATCTCACACCCAGCAAGTGCTTGCCCCGAGTTCCCGACCGAGATGGCCCGTTTCGCTCCTGCGTGTACCCAGGCGAGCCACGCACGAAGGGAGAGAAGGAAGCCCGCCTCGGTCAGGACATCAACTATGATGCCGACCAGGTGCGCGCCATGATCGCTCGCCTGATCAAATATGGCGAAGAGAAATGGACATTCGACTCCTTCCGAATGGCACTCGATCGCATTACATTGCTCAATTTCATCGAGGAGCGCGGGCCGGTAGGGAGCAAGCCTAAATGGCCCTACTAAGTGGCCTGGGAGTTCTTCCCCACACGCGAGGTGCTGGGCATTCCGCTACCACGAAAGGACACTTTGGGGAGTATGGCGCGAGAGAATAAGAGGAAGAGGGAGCCTTTGGAGGAAAGGGCGGCTAATGTGCTTGAGCGGACGGCGAAGCAGAGGAAGAGGAGAAGGAAGAGATGGAGAATCGAAGGACGTATCTGGAGGTCGATCCGGACCACCATCCCGAGGGCTTTGATGATGAGGCGGTCGAGCGGGAGATTGAGGGGACGTATACCGAGGATGACTTGAAAGACGTCGCGAAGGCGTGAGGTCACGGACAAGGCCAAATGCAATGCCCTCTTCGGGGGGCGTTGAAAGGAAGCGTGGGCTATACCTCGTGTGTAAGATACGATGTACGATGGGTATGCGCTGACAAGAACAGTGGTTTGGTGGTGTACCATCGTACAACAGCCGAAGGTAGGTCTGCTTTTGGTTTTATTTCCAGGCTGCTTCTCTGTGTGTCTGCTTTCGTTGGCTTAACAACTGTTACGTGTTCTTCATGCGCAGCCACCGCATCGCTATGCCATGCATGTAACAGCAACGTGAGCCCAGAGTCGGCGATACGTTGTGTATACGAGCAAGGCCTGCATGCGGCAGCATTCGGAAGGAGGTCTCTCGACAAAAATAATGACACCACCTGCCTATTCGGAGGATTTGAATGATCTACTCCAAAGTATTCGCAAAAGAGCCTCATCAACAATACGTCCGATGCTGCTTAGACAGGCCCGTGGGAGTCTTGAAGCAGTGGCAATAAGAATTCCGCTGACAAAACTTTCAGTCAAGACGCAAGGTCGCTGACAACTCGATCAAAGTAGGGTCGCCACGACACCACAACGACTATCCCAATCATCTTCGAACGACCGAGATTCGGATTTGACTGCATCGTGAGTTCTGTTTGGTGAGAGAAGACGAGGTCGCCGCCAATATTTCCTGCCACCTTCGTACCGTGACACGATGCCATCACCGCTCAACAACACGGTGACGATGGTGAGAATAGCACTGCTGCGCCGGAGGAGGCGCACTGGCATCACGTCCAGGAGAAGTATATAAGGGCAAGGCAAGTCTCGCTATTCTGTCCATCATCACATTCAAAAGCACCACCAGCATCACCAGCACCAAGCAGCCTTCAGCACCCAACAACTTACCCAAACCCCAAACCACCAACAACAATGCATTTCACCACCACCGCCACCCTCGCCCTCGCCGCCTCCGGCACCTCCCTCGCCAAACCGCTCAACTTCACCAGCCAGATATTCGGCCTCACGGCCTTTGGCTCCCAGCTCGATGGCTGGGCGGTCGTGAACGCCCACGTCGGCGCTGGCCAAGACGCCGTCATCATCCAGCGTCCTTCCGCCTACACTCCAGACAAGGCTGTTCTTACGGGCACCGCTGGGTCGATCAAGAGCGGTTTTGAGGTGTTAAACTTTCGTACGTAACACCATCACCCACCCAACACACACTGTCAATGGACATGAAGACTGACTCTTGTGGCGAACAGACCCCAACCAACCCATCAGCATGATCATCCCCTCCTCCCCCGACGGCGTGCTTTCGCAGGTCTTCTCCGAGTACGGCGACGCCAGCGCCGTCTTCTCGGTCAACGCGCAGAACGAGCTAGTCGTCGCGGCCGCGGGGACGACTTTCTTCGCTTGCCCGACGGAGGTTGGCGGGTTGGGCAAGGTGTTTGGGTTGTTCTTTGGGACCGAGGTGCCGCCGAAGGTTATTAAGAATAAGGCTTGTAAGCCGATCTCGCTTAGGGCTACTGTTGTGTAGGTGGTGGTAGAGGAGAAGGGGAGATGGTAGGGCGGTGTGGGGGGAGGGATCAGGATGGATTGCATCGGGGAGGTGGTGACTCGTAGACGGCGTTGAGGCGTTCAATTGCACATTTGTAGTGTCACACATCGGTAAATGCATACATACATACAGGTGGTTTGAAAGTACAGCCTCATTCCATTCCATCTCTTCACACGTCTCATACGCCTAGCGCTCTCCCTTTCAAGCCTTGCGGGCAAACCTGCTCTTCGAGCTCCACCCCAAAGCCGGCACAGACCTCTTGCTCATCATCGACACACTCTCCGCATAATCGCTCGTCCCCATATCCGGCTCGGCGTCCACAGCCTCGCAGTCCATGGTGTCGCCATCGTTGCCGCGGTCGCCGTTGACAGAGATGTACGAGTCCTTGCTCTGCATGGCCAAGACGAGGTTGGCGTTGCCTTCTTTCGTCCAGCCGTTGATGAAGTCGCCGTGGCTGCTGTAGGCGTTGCCGGAGGCGAGCTTGACGGGCGCGGTGCCGGACCAGCCGCCGGAGACGACTTCGCGCAGGTCGTAGCGGATGGAGAAGCGGAGTTGGGGCATGGCTTGCATGCCGGCGGGGCAGTCGTGGTAGCTGCCTGGCTCGCCGTCTTTGTAGGCTATTCCGTAGTCTGTTAGCTTCCAATGAATGATCAAACGATGCTGATCAACGTACCAGTCTCCAAGGTCTCGGTGTTGACGCAGTTGGGGAAGTAGAGCAGCTGCTGCATGTGCGTGGAGCACGTTTGACTAGGGAACCCGTTCGCATCCGAGCCAGCGTCTTCGTCGCCTTCGCAGAACCACTCGGCGTGGGCCTCTGGGACCATCTCGTCCGGCGTGGTGGCTTTGCTGTTACCGGCAAGCATCATGAGGTTGCGGGGGATAGGGATCTCCGCTGGCTCGTCGCCGAGACCGTAGTAAGCGCTGAAGCGCATCACCGGAACGGGCTCCCAGTCATCGCCAGACTGGTAGAGTAGAGTCGGCGTCCAGTAGACGGACAGATCATTCGGGTTCTCGGCATTGGTGCAAGTGTCTTTCTTGATCTGCCTGCTCTTCGTAGTCGAAGCGGTCACGCCATCGGAGCCGTAGAAGGAGTGCAGATGGGAGGATGAGTAGGAGCCCGGGAAGACGATGGGATCGATGTTCTTGTTCATGAAAGGGGACGGGACGTTGACCTGGGTGTAGGCGAGCGCTGTGCGAACCGCGAAGCCGCTGGTCAACAGGGCCGCGCAGAAGGAAGTGGAAGGCATGGTGATGGCTGTTGGGATCGTATCAAACGATCGGTAACGAATGACTGGTAAACGAGTGACTTTGCGAAAGAAACAGTGTAAACAAGAAGAGTTTCCTACCTTCCTCACCGTCGCGTGGCCTCGCGCCCTGTATATAGACGGCAGGTCATGTCCCGTGTTTCCAGATGCCAAGGACGTTTGTAGCTATTTGAGACGGAATCTTTTCTATGCAAAACGCCTGACAGATTGATGGCTTGAGAACAGGAGACGATGAGGAAGAAGCGAGGTTTGAGAGTGTGTTTGACGTTCCTGTGGCGTCTGGAGGATTCACTGGCTTCGGTTAATTGCTGGCCGAGGCCAGTCTTCCGTCCGGTCTAACACCGCCGTCTGGACGAGCTATACCATATCAATGACTCCTACATCTCGCTATACAAGCCCCTACATGCCGCCATGGCTCTGCCGTATGAATCGGCGTCGAGTCGTGCTGGCAGAACTTGACGATAGTAATAAGAGTAGTCAGCATGTCTGGCCGCTCCACAGGTAAGGAGGCGCCTACATCGTACATCCAAGGTCCATTACCGAGACGATGACCGAACAGCCGGGAGCCACTCTGGCGTGTGAAGCATGCCAAAGGAAGAAGACACGATGCAACCGAGCCTCTCCGTGCGACACGTGCTTGAAGAAGGGCACGCAATGTGTCCCTGTACCCAACCGGCGACTTCCCAGAGGCAGAAACGGCGGCCGCAAGAGATGCACTCCGACCAACGAAGCACGCATCTCGAAGCTCGAGAGTCTTATTTCCAGTATGCAGAAGGAGAATGCTTTAGCTAAGGATCAGTCTGGCATTGTGCAATCAGAACTTAACGCCCCTGGAGGCAGCCCTTCTGGCCTCTTCCAGTATCTTGGAGACACCTTCTGGTCCACCCTGAGTGCTGAGGTAGAAAGCATCAAGCAGACTGCTCATGAAGAGGACGACTTTGGGGACGAGAACCAGCCTCTGGATGACGAAGTCGTTGACAGCCCCTCGAACTTGACCTCTATGCCTCACGCCTACCAGTACCCTTCAAGGGCGACTCGGGAGAAGCTGTATGATATGTTCTTCCGCAATGTCGATCCAGTATTCAAGATCCTCCACCAGCCTACAGTCCGGGCTCTGGTATTGGATGGCCTGAGGATGAGGAGTGATCCTCCCGCCGCAGCGCTGAGCTTTGCCATCTACTACGCTGCGATCGCTACAATGTCCGAAGAGGACTGCGCGGAGATCTTTGAGCAACGCAAGGTTGAAATCGAGGCACAATATGAGAGGCTCTGCGATGCCGCGTTGACGCACGCAGACTATGTGACTTCTGATTCACTGGAGACTCTGCAAGCATTCGTAATCTACCTCGCAGCCCTCCGTCGCTCCGACCAGACCAGGCGTACCTGGACACTGCTGGCTGTGGCTGTCCGCTCGGCTCATGCCCTTGGAATACACATTGAGAAGCTCAGTAGAACATCAAAGGTGTTCGAGACGCAACAGAGACGTCGGCTCTGGCATGCACTCCGTGTGTTGGACCTGCTTGTCGCGATCGATCACGCCTCAGACCCGCTCGTCCTTCCAAACACTTGGGACGCTCAACTGCCTTTGGATGTGAACGATGCAGATTTATGGCCAGATATGACAGTCTTTCCAGCCTCTCATTCTGACTTCACAGAGATGACGTACTCACTGATGACGCACGAAATCGCGACCATGTCCATAGAAACGCATTCAATCCAGCATGGCACATGGGAAGACCGTCAAGCCAACGTGAAGAGTCTCGAAGACCTACTGTCCCCGCGATACTTCTCGAGATGCAACGAAACAAATCCCTTGCAACGATTCACAGTTGCAGTAGGAAAGACTAACATCGCCACTCTAAACCTCCACGCAGCTCGCCCAACGAAGGCTTCGTCAAAGAATCTGGACCTCAACTGCAACAGCGAGTATCTCCTACAGCTTGCTTGTGATGCATTGAGCGGCCTGCAACATTGCACCTCCGATTCGACAAACGCTGGATGGCGTTGGAGTCTCTGGCCACAGTGGCACTCTTTGGCAGTTGCTCTGGCAGCTTTGTGCATTGTGCAAGAACCTGGCCTACAAGAGACAGCCTGGGCTCCCGTGGACGCCGCGCTGCACGGAGAGAAAACTGCAGACTATGATCTGTACACCGGAAAGCTCAAAGGGCCCATTTCGAAGTTGGCGACACAGGCTAGCAAGTCGCGGAAGGCCATCGTTGGATCGTCGGCCACCACCTCAAATGGTCTCGAGCACACTTCACAGCACGAACTATCAAAATCAGGACCGGGCTGGCCTTTAGAGGATATGAGCATGGACGGCTTGCTCGAGTGGGAGAACTACCTAGTTCCATATCTCGATCCTTTTGATCCTCTTTACACCGACTCTATGGGCTTGTGGCGAGCCGATGACTTTTCAACGTAGCAGAGAGCACGCAAAAACCCCAAAGGCCATTACTTCACCTCTCACAGCTCCACCTCACATTTATGCCCGGCAGGTCTGATCAAGAAGAAATTCTCCATCTCCATGCTCTTTTCAGTCGTTGATGGAGCGATCTTCGCCTCCGGGAACGCTTGGAGGAAGAGCAACGCGGCCAGCCGCAACTCGGTGTATGCGATGTGGAGTCCAAGGCAAGTTCGAGAGCCTGCGCCCCAAGGCGAGAAGGCCGCTTTGGCGAGGTCGGAGAGATGATACTTGCTGTTCTCGTTGCCGGGCATCCAGCGAGATACTACGAACCTACAACGGCTGTCAGCATCCGCACTTCAATCAGTACAAGGGAAAGAAGACGTTACCTCTCAGGGTCTGGGAACAACTCTGCATCTCGATGGAGGCTGTAGGTTTGGGTCGTCACGGTTGTCCCTTCTGGAATCTGGTAGCCACCAATCTTGGAACCGCCGTGAGGCGCAACACGAGGGAGGCCACCGGGTAGCGCTCCGTACAGTCGCAGCGCCTCCTCGATCGTCGCATTGAGAAGCTGCAGGTGCTCAAGGTCGGAATCCTTGGCATCTTCAGCGATGCCGGAAAGCTCTTCGCAGAGATCGCGGCGCAAGTCCGGCTGCTTCAAGATGGCCCAGATCAAATAGGTGATTGTGATGGCAGTGGTATCGGTACCGGCGATCATCAGACCTGTGGCTTCGCAATGGACGTCGATGTCTCGCAGATTTTCGCCCTTTTCGGCTTCAGCGGCGATGGTCGCGAAGATCGTCTTCCCGTCGCCCTTCGATCTCATGTTCACCATGGCGGTATTTGCATAGTCGAGCAGATATCCGTTGACGGCGAATAGGCGTTGAGAAATCTGCAACGGAATCCATCGACCGATCGTCCGCATCAGAGGGAACTCAGCGCCTGATCCCATCCCTACCAGACCGGTCTGCAGTCGCTGCAGATACTCACTCTCCTCCCCGCTCTCCAGCGTGTGGAACGATTCTCCGAACATCAAATGCGCCGAAGCATCCGAAGCCATAAACGTCCACCAGCGCAGCATATCCACCTTCTCCTCCCTCGCCGCTTCCGCGCCCATCCCACGAACGGCAAGCTCGATCTTCTCCTTGATGCTGTCCTCCCAGTTATTCCGGATGTTCGACTTGCTGAACGCCTTGGCAAACAGCCTTCTCCGCGCGCCGTGGTCTTTGTGCCCGACCATCGTGAACAAGATTGGTCGACCTATGGCGAGGAGATCCCGGTACCATGTTGACTTTTCAAACCCACCGGAGCCGATGCGATGGATTTGTTTGAAAGCTTTGACGTCGTTGACGGCGACTTCGGAGGGGGAGATGCGGACGTAGGGGCCGTATTTCTGGTGAAGGGAGTGGACGAAGTAGATGCGCCGGCCGGAGAGGGTGGCGAGTTTGAGGGGGAGGGAGGTGAAGTGCGTGTACCAGGGGCCTGGGAGGTGGTAGAGGGGGTTGCGGAGGTATTGAAGCAATGTTACCGCGGATAGGGAAAGGGCGAGGAGGAGGAGGGATGTAGTGTATGGGAACATTGTGGCTTGGTTGGATGAGACGGGATGTTGTTAGTGGTTCGGAGGCGTTGCAGGATGGGAAGAGAAGGTACAGTTGAGACGTGAGCATACCTTGTATGGCTGGAACTTATATTTGAGTTGACAAACAGTGGGAAATACTTACGTCTACCAGTAATCGAAATCAAGGTCCGGATGGGTGGTCTTGAATCAAATTCCGGTTCGGATTTTGATTGAAGCTGCGGATGACAACGACTCTCAGCAAGGCCTCTTCCTCCCGGGCGGTATCACACATCGTCATACAACACTTCGAACAAATAGCCCAAGGTTTGTTTTCGATTACCTCCATTTTCCCCACAAATCACACTTCTAAAGATCTAACAAGGGCTTCAGTAAAATGTACCCTTGTTGATGCTAAGCTGAAAAAGACCTCGTGGCCAACGACGTCGAAGATCTCGCCATGTCTGCCATGTCCGCGAACGCCACATTCGTGCTCGTCGTCCCAAGAGCACCCTGGCTGCTCGTCGATACATCGCTTGCTGCGCTCGCAGTCTGCGCCGCCGTCGTGCTTCCCCATCCGACACTGTCTCGAAGTCCGAGAGGATGATGGAGTCGCTGTGGCACCCACTGGCAAACCATGCAGTCCCAGGCCATCGCGCATGCGCGGGAAAGTTAGAGGCGTTCTAGATGTTGGGGGCGTGAAAGCCTTGGTCCGTGGAGCAACGGTCGTGAATCGTATGATCCCATCATGAACGTGAGCCAAACTTTGCCAGAGGCGGATGGAGAACAAGAAGCCGATACTCGCAAGGACCTATCCAGCCTACTGACTGAGGAAAAGATCGTCGTTCCCGGCTATACGGACATTGCTGAGAGGTTGCAGAAATGGAAAGAAAGTCCCGCCAGCATTGGCGTTGCTGCTCTTGAGTCGCAATGGAGGAGTGGAATACAGCGATCCTGCAGTCGGGCGCCATGGGAGCTTTTTTGGCTCTAGGACCACAGTCTATTCTTTCACGAGCAAGGTATCTGCGCTATACTGATCGTCGGATACCAAAGGCAGCTTTTGGTGCCCTTACTATTGTAAGCTTACTGTTTTCGACTTTTCTGGCCCACCCGTGCTGGGAATAAGCACACAGCAAGCTCCGTGCTATCTGAGTATACGTTGGACTGACAACTCGAACAGGCTTACAGTTATGCATATCTAGACTTCCACTTTGCCGGTTGTAGCTAAGCCCTTGCAAGCCCGAGCATATACTGTCTGCCATGCAGGATGCAATGGAACGGTTCCAGGCTTGTTTCTGACTCGGACATGGCCAGCGTGCGCTTGTCGCTGGAACCCGTATTGGGCTAGGAGCCGACGTTACGCACGCATTGCAACGCCTTCCACACGTATATAAGTCGTTCTGTCGCCCTGGCAGGAACAACAATTAACTCATTCGACTCCCACTCACCGTGCTTCGTTCCTCACACGCCGCCACTCACGCGAACTCACCGCAGCCATGCAGCAGCACGCCATGTTCTCGTTACTCGTAGTTGCAGCCACGATTGCGGGCTCACGTGCCCAAGATTTCCCGACCGTTGTGACCTCCGTGGTGCCCTTCCCGACCACCAGCACCATCCCCCCCGCACCGCCGGTCACCTTTGGCAGCGGACTCGATTGCAACTTACAGCTCGGTGGCCAGGTGGTGAACGGACAGTGCGTCCGCATCTTTAGCGACCACCAGGTCGGCGCCATCGAGAACCCGACGGCCGCGTTCAAGCCCAACGTCTGCGACGGCACCTGCTACCCCTACCCGCCGGGTTTCGGAGCGATACATGTGACGGGCGATGGGACCTTCGGCACCGACTGCCACGTCTTCTCGACAACGACGTGCGACCAGGGATCGGAGCTCTTTGATAACGGGAACACCAAGCAGTTCAAGGCCGCCAGTTTCGATCCGAGTCAGACGGGGAGATCGGTGCAGTGCTTTTTCAAGTGTTAGAGGGAGAAGGATGCGCGGTGTACTTGCAGCAGGAGGCCTGGCGCAGGGCGAGAACGGGTGGTCTTGTTGGAGGTGGATGGTTCTGGAGTGGGGCTGGAGAGTATGGATTGAAGTCTTAGGCCTGCTAGATGGATATAGATTGAGACTCTGAATTCCATCAGCATCCAAGTATGACGTCGAATTTCTTTATACGACACCTCATAATGTGGGAGGTGAATTGCAGAGCACGCCAAAGTGACCGAATGCGATTAGACGTTTCAACGGAGCGGGCCGTATACCCTTCACGTGTTCTTTGGAGTCTTGGCGGAGTCTAGTGGTAGAGGGATTAGCCCCGAATCCAGTGGAGTTCCATCGACTCCAATAAGACCACTGGCTCGACAAGTTCCACGGCGGCCATGGCTGTACTTGATTCCGGAGCCGCTCTCGGCGCCGACAGAAGCCTACTTCTTCCGGCATGAATCGGCGCGTGCGGTCTTTCCTCTTGAAGCAAGCTGCTTATGGAGCAGTCGCCTATGTAGCCGCCAGGCCGTTCGGTCGGTGCTTGGAGGAAGCGCGCCTGGCTATTGAAGACTCGACAAAGAAGCAGGGTGAGACGTTCCTCCTCTTGCAATGCTCTCCGGCACTTGTCCCATCGACTACGCCGCCATGCCATTCGATAATGCAATCTTCAACCCCTCCTCAATTTCGGTCTTCACCACCAACATCCTCCCTCTCGCCTCCTTCGCCCTCCCGGGCGCCCAAATAGCGCGGAAGAACGACATCTGTTCCTTCAGTCGCTCCCTCTCCTCCCACAGCTCCTTGTACTCTCGCAGCTCCCGGTCGCCCGCGAAACAGATCTTGTACATCTGACACAAGCTCTCTTTCTCCTTGTACCCGCAATCCGACGGCTCGCCGGTGAACAGCCGTGGCCACATGTGCTCCCACACTCTGCCGATGACGCGATCAGGCCATTGGGATCGCAGAATCCACTCCATGTTCTGCTTGTACTGCTCCCTGCTCTGCCTCTGGACCGCGGCGCGCGTGATGGCGAATTGCGAGCAGCAGGGTCCTCCCAACAGGTCCGGAGCCTCTTCGCCGCCGAAGTTGGCCGTCCAGGCCTCTCGCATGAACGGCTCTTCTTCCTTGTCCCAGTCGTTAGGGCCTTTGGTCGTGTCGATCCAGGTGGGACAGCCGGCTCTCCAGGTGACGCGGAGGTTGAAATACTGTCTAGCACTTACCTGCTGGAGGTCCAGCTGGGAAAGCGCAAAGGACACGTTTCGCAGGAGAGTTCCTTCGACGTGCCAGGGCAGTTCTTCCGCGTGGGTGAAGATGACAATGTCCGGCAGGTGGTGGTAAAAGTCGTAAAGGTAGGTGAGGTACATCAGCGCTTCGTTTCCTTTCGGTCGAGGAGGCCTATGGCGTGCAGATGCATCATTGGCGATGTATCTTACGACATTGAGGTTGGGGATGTGAAGGTTGGAAGTCCATGAGGTATCGTCACGGGCTGTCGTGGCTAGGACCAGATCGATCGACGTCGTGGTTGTCCGATTGTTGTCCACCTCCAGCGCGGCGTTGGGGCCCAGAGTTGGGCGTGGATGTGGGAAGACATTGTAGTGAATGGCTCGTCCAAGCCTGTGCAACAATGTACCGGTGAGTAGAAAGCATGCGAAGAGAGCAGTGCATTTCGAAGGCGACGGTGGTCTCATTGAAGAGAGATGGCGAGCTGCATTGTGGGAGTGTGCATGTACTTGAGTCTTGAGAGCCATATGGCACCACCTACCTTCTCAGCCTCGAAGGATGCAGTTGTACAGTTGTACTGCGGGGATGCAATCAGCCGCTCTTGTATGACCGTATCATCGTGCATGTTGGCAGCATGCGGAATGGACGAGTCGGGGGTTGTTTGCCATGTTAGCACTGCACTTGGCGTGTAAGGCAACAAGATAACATTGGCCGGAGGGATCTTGGTATGGCGCTCTGTATCACATCCCGCTCTCTCCGACCCCAGTTCTTTCCGCCCCAGCGCCGGGTTGGTACTGAATGTGGTAAAGTCTGGGTGTGGTGTTCGTGCTCATACTATAAAGTCCGTCTCGCACCTTCTTCTTTCAGTTAACCTTTGCTAAATCCTTTCTAGCCTTAAACTCTATCCTCGCACGAGCAGCCAACGCTAGCTCCTCCTCTCCAACTCTGTTACAACGATAGTTATCCCCCTTCGCTTCACCACCAGCTGATACCTCGACATTGGACAGATACTCAACGCGGAGGAAGCGTGCAGACGGCGAACTGCGGGACTGTTCAGAAGCATGCCTCTAGGAAGTGCTTTACCCTCAAGCATCGAATGCTTCAACAGGCATCCTCAGAAGCATCGGATGTGAGTTTCGCCGAATGGTGCATACCCACGACATGCACTGAACGATGGCGAAAGCGGTGGAGACGTACAGTACGAGGTCAATCGCACAATGAAGCATTCACAGCGCCGTGGGAGGGATATATTGGAGAGGCCGAGTCCCGAACGTGAGCAAGCTTCGGGCACAAAACTTGAGCATGTCGGCGACCGGAAGCTATCTGAACATCAATCTTGCCATACCGATCGGCCGCTTCCAGCGTAGGCATTGTACTCGACGAGGCTTCGGTCTCGCCCGTCCTGCAACACGCCCCACTGTGTCACACTAGGTACGCCTGTCCAAACTGTCTCCCGAGGCAGTTGAGGTGTCGCCTTATCACTCTCATCCCTTACTAGATGCACCTTTGGAGGCAGCTTTGTCGCAATCTGAAACGTCGGTCGGCGACGACGGCCCTGTTGCAAGCGGGACCAGCTGGCCTTGAAGCAATGGGACACTGTCGATGCGCGGATCTTGAAAGACCTGACATGGCCTGTTTCGGGGTACATAATGCCCGCTCGAGTACCTCGTTTGTCCCTACATAAAACCAAGCTACAACAAGGTCAGCAAAAGACCATCGGACGACCCCAACAACACATCACGCTCAAGCGCCTCATCCTCCTCTCAGCAGCAACGCTAACTCGCCAGACCTACACCTCGGCGATCAACGACTCCGCCGCAACCCCTCGCCTCCTCGCCCGCCAATGGACCAACTCCAGCCGCACTGCCATCACCAGCGCCTCCGCCACCTCCACCACCTGCCTTGACGTGACCCTCACCAGCCCCATTTTCACGTTCCCGACCCACACCCCCACCGGCTTCCCGAGCACAGTAGACCTCGACTTCGCCTTCAACGCCGACTACGTGGCCCTCGTCTTCCCCACCCCGAGCGCCGCCGCCGACATCATCAACACCGTCTACGGCCAAGTCCGCGGCGCCGCGTGCGACTGAAACCCCCCGTCTCCCTGCCCACCAACGGTGGCGCGTGCACCATCGTCTGGACCTGCGACGCCACGGACCACAGCACCACGGACGCGATGGCGGACTTCTTCGTCGCGACCCTGGCGCCGATGCACGAGTTCATCAGCAGCGTCGAGCCGGAGACGTACGATCCGCATTGTGTGCGCGTGGATCCGCATTCGGATCCGTGTCCGCGGGGGCCGGACGGGTGGGAGACGATGCAGCTGATGTGCACGCTGGAGATTGTGGCGTGGGGGAGATGACGGATCTGGCGGAGCCCGGGGAGTATATGGGGCGCATGCGGTATACGATATCATGTGACGCGAACCCGAATTGTGGGTGGTTGAGTGCGTTATAGGCGGCGTTGGAAGTGGGGGGGTTGGGGGTGGGGTGGGTTCTCGGCGGCGGATGTTGTGTTAAATTTAGGGACTTCTGATGGAGAGTGTTGAAGGGTTTGCTGAGGATGGAGATGGGATGAGGTGTCGTGCAATGGGGAACTGACTGGCATTGGATCTAGGGGTATGGGAGGGCGAGGATAGAACGAGCCGCCATTTGGACATTCCACCTACCATAAGCTACCTACATCGTGCAGGTAGTCAAATGTGACTTACTATTGGATTAGTATGCACTCTTCATACTTGGACTCATGATCATTACTGCAGCGTCTTCCCCTCAAGACACCTGCGTCGAGGACACTCGAAACCCCGTCCGAACAAGACGTTGGAGAGTCATGTTGCCTTCAATCTTTTAGGCCGCGCCCGGGAGCACGCACTGCTGTTCCTGTTCTTCCCTGATAGAGGGAGGTTTAGGTGACATCTCCACGTCGGCGATATTGCCCTGCCCTGCTCGGATGGTGATCTTTCGACTGTTGGTGATCGACGAACGGCCAGGCGAGTCTATCAACATGAAGACGTTTGAAGAGGTCTGAGCTGCATGTGCCCTGCCCTCAATGCCGCGTGGAGCAGCCACAGCACAGCCACACAGCCACACCTCGTCTCCAACAAGCCGGATCGGCGGTAGATCCATTCGAGGTCGGTGGGTGTTGACGACTTGTGAAGTTGCCAGCAGTCAATTGTACACGTGTCTTTACTTCCGATTGTTGCTCCCCAGTCCAGCTGTCGTATCTGATTGTCTTCTAGTATCTCATATCACTTTTGCCAGCACGAAGAACAGTCGACTTCTGCCGCCCATCCAAAATTGAATATGCGCCGACCCCTGCCCGATAATTCTTGCGGACGTTTGAAGTAGCCCGATATAGCGATACCAGCCTTGTTTTATCTGCAACTCTATTTTCCTGCTTGCCGACTTCCCTGCCTCTCTAGCCTCTCTAGCCTCTTTCTCTCCAGCCGAGCAACAACATGAAGCAGGATCCCGTGCTTTTCATATCGCTTGATTCTCTTGTATAATTAATCACTTGACATGCCGCGCGGTAAGCAAAGGTGCGAGATTCATCCAAGATTGCCGCCATTACCTCTTCACAAGGCGACACTCGTCACCGCCGTCGGCGCCACGCATGTGAAACGATAGCAGGCCCGTAGCAACGACAACCGTGCGTGCTTCTGCTCTTGTTCTTGTTCTTGGCCACCTCTCCACCTGCTCGCCTGGTCAACCCTGCTATCGATCTTGATTCTGATTCAAGAAGTCTGGCCTGCTATCTGGCCGCTTCACCTCTCACCCTTCTCCCTCACACCCGTCTGTCGAGCAGTGTGAAGAGAGGTCCTAGGGAGCAGCATGCACTGAAGGTGGAGGGGAATCGCGGGACTAATTAACAGTGTCACTCGTTTGCAATGTACGTCGACGAGCAGCTCACGAGATGTGGAGGGACAATCGTTCTAACAAACAAGCAGAATAATCATTCGCCATGAAGGCCCCCAAGCTGCCAAAGCTGAAGTCCAGCAACGATGTCAATGCTACCAACCCCGAGACCAGCATGGCCGAAAGCACCCTCCGAGCATCCGTCGACGACCTTCGAAGCCCCGGCAGTAGAGACCTCCTACGACAGCACTTCACCGGTGCCTTTCCCGAAACTCAGCGGCGGACAAATCAAGAGCGGTATAGCGAAGATGCTGGGTTGAAGCCGCGACAGTCAAGTTCGACTTCCAGCTTGAATGTTGGACAGAACTCGGCAGCTCAGTCTTCATCCTCCAGCCTGGACAAACATGGAATGAACAACATGAGGCTGTCTGCAGTGGCAGAGGACCACCCTTCGCTCGATATTGCGCAAGCCATCCACCTCTTGCAGGAGCTGAAGAAGAACGCGTCTCCGAGTGATTTGGTAGCTCTGCACAAGGCGTTGCTTCCCACCAGAGACTCGTACATGGCCAGCCCGACCATGCCAAACAACGAGGATCGTGCTTCTGGCAACTTCTCGACTTCCACTGTGATCAGGCGAGGCTCCATGCTGCCGGCCGGTCTTGCTACCAGAGGCGATGCGTCGGAGGACCTTTTGCGGCGCCAGGAAGACGTGAAGCAGCCGATCCGACAGAAGAAATCCAAAACGGGCGGCGACTTCAAGACGCACCTACGACAGAAGCTGTCTCAGGGCAGTCTGGCTGCGCTGGATCTTGCTGATGAAGCCGGCCAGACTCTGCATGCCAGAGCCGCTACGCCTGCAGACGACCTCTATACGGTTGGTCATTATCGGCCAGGAACACTACGCATCACCAACGGCGCCGCTTCGCCAGAACCGGGTGCACTTGTGCGCGAGCGAATTAACTCGGATTTGGATGGCCTGCCCTCCAGGAGAGAAGCCCAGACTCCTCGCAAGAGCACAGAACGTGGACGTCTTGAGTTACAGCCTGTCACTACCAGAGGCAGCCAGGATTATGCCACAGCTCCCAGCACTCCCCGCGAGCGACCGAGCTTTGAACACCACGTGGCTGGGACTGCTGTCATCAATAATGCCGAAGTCGATACGGAACCTCCTCGCCAAACGCTCACACGCTCACAAACTGAACCTGCCGCTCCACCCTTGAGTGAACAGCCCTCCTTCGACACGCCACGCAAAGGCCGCTCGAGACACAATTCAAGGTCGAGAGACTCACTGACACCCAGAGACTCCTCCATTTCAGGCATCCCGCATCCGAAGGAACGGGACGAGTCAGTACCAAGGATCTACAAACGACAACGGCCACACAGGGCACGCGAGCGATCGCAAAGCGCCACACCACGATCTCGCGATCCTTCGTTGACCCGGATCCCTATGCCTAAGGAAAGCGCAGCATCGCTACGAGGATCTACCATCATGGCGCACAAAGTCTCAGAGCAGAGTCTTCTACACCCGATCAGGCGGTCTTTCGACGATGGCCGTGTTTCTCCTCTGCCAGAAGAGATGCCACGGTTCGCTCACCGCTGGAGCCATCGAGCTTCCCAGATCTCGCAGGAGTACGTGGCAGAATGCGAGATCTCCGCCAGCCCGTACGGAGAGCAAGCAGCTGCCGAGCGTGAAGCTTTGCTGAAGCGACTGAGTACCGTTTTCGATAGTGAAGATGAGCAGGTCACCGATAACGAAACGCCGGAGACTGCGCTGTCGCGACTTAACGGTGATACCGTGGCTATTATCAAAGATCACATTGCGCCGCGCGAGACGTCAGAAACCAAAGAAGGCGCCAGCCCGTCTCAGCATTTCCTACGGAACTTCCATGCAGGACGTCCGACTCCGCAGAAGGCTGACAGCGGCTATGGCACGGACAATTCGCTCCAGGAGCATCAAAGGCAGATGCTCCAAGACGCGAGCAGACTCTACAACAACAACGCCAACCTTCGCAACGACTCAGATGAAGCAGTAAAGATGGACGACGACGTACAAAGCTTGTACTCGCTCAATCAGATTCTGAGATCGCCGAGCCTGCTCTCGCCCGCCGCTTCTCCTTCGTCACAGACACCTGCAAGTCGTAAGCAGCGGTCCTCTCTTCTCAGACTGGTCACGTCATCACGAGGAAACTCGAGCAATTCGCTTCCGATAACTCCTGTGACGGAGAAGGCGACGGAGAAGGCGCCAGACAGCACTCCATCGGAGGTAAAGCGGAGCAAATCCCAGAAGAAGAAGCTGCAGAAGCCGATGCCGGACGCTGTCAAGAAAGAGCTCAAAGAGCAGAGGAAGAAGCAGAAGGAGCAGCAGGAGACGAAGAGCGCTAATCCCAGCGAGACTTTCACACTGACCGAGCAAGCTCCTGCTGGCTCTGGACGGTTCTCGTGGGAGCCCGCGGCTGCGTCGCCTATATCGACACCTGGTCCAACGCAAGAACAGCAGGCGCATCTCGAGAGTAGGCCTTCGCTTGCCGAGACTCGGAGCAAGAAGAGCTTCCATCGTGACGATGATGCGGCGTTCTCAGCCAACTCTCCTATCACGAGAAAACGGAGCAAGAGTCTTGGTCGCGAACGACAGCGCAGCAACACTGTCCGAGACACTGCGGAAGAGGACGTGGGCTCGAGCTCAAGACGGACATCATGGGGTTTGGCTTCGAGGAAGTCACGGAGGAGCAGTGAACACTCAGCATCCAGGCCGACCGATCTGGATGTCCCACCGATGCCGAATTTCGCTTCTACTTCTTCGGATGAGTCCAAGAATGACGGAGACGAGGAAGCGCCAATGTGGACGGACTACTCTTCAGTCTCTCGGACTCTGGGCGTCAATCCGTACGACATCTCGACCAACCTTATGAGAAGAACCGTTGCACTCCCAGGTGGTGTTAATGAAGGTCTGCAGTCACCGCACCAGATCACCACAGCCGTCTACCGATCAAAGAACGGTGGTCTACAAGGTATGGACTCCGGCATGGCTGCGGAGCTGGCGCGCCTGAAGAGCCGCGATATCGCCTCTTCGAACAACCAGCGTATCGACGACCGGCCTCGTATGGCGACGCCTAGGCTCCGTGAGAACACACGATCCATGAGTTCGAGCACTGCTCCTGTGCCGACGGCGGTGGTTGCAAGGCGGCCAATGGACAGGAGAGGCAGTCTGCCGTCTGAGGCTGCCCAGCAGCAGATCGCGGAGCTCTCAGCCCGCCCCCTGAGCGGGTATGCGGATAGCATCCCGCCTATGCCTGAGCTGCCGGCGGACGTTGCTCGTGGAGCTCCGCAGGGTACTGCACCGGTTGACAAGCAGGGCAAGGACAGTGCGCAGCCCACACCCGTCGACTCGGAGCGCAGTAGTAGTAGTGAAGAGACGCCTGGTCACTCAAGGGTGAGCGTCGCTGATGCAGTACGGAAGACTATGGAGCATAAAAAGCAAGTCGGTGAAGTCTCCGAACAGAAGTGTCGTGTCCGACCTATCGGACCGCGTCAGGAGAGTGCCACCTCGTTGCAGGCGCAGGTGCAGACGATTCTGCGCACGCCTTCGGATGGCTCTGCTTCTATACAGATTGGGCTTGGTTCGGACACTGGGGTCGAAGAGAAGCCTGCCGTCGCTGCTGTCAGCGAGGCCAACAAAGAGAGCGCTGAGGAGAGCATTGCGGCAGACTGGAGCGCACAGGCGAAGATCTGGAAGGAGAGGCGTAGGACGCTTGGAGAATCGCTTGCTAAGCCGGCGACTGGCAGTGGTGAGGCCCCGATGAGTCCCGTCTCGCCTCTCACGAGCCAGGAGGCTCTGTCGCCGTTTGTCGGCCTGTCCAGGTCCATCACGCCTCAAGTGAAGGACTCCAGCCAAAGCAGCGCATGGCCCCCAAATGCTCGAACCTCTAGCGGAGAGGAGAAGGAGGTCGTGCCTGCGGCAGAGCAAGACGATTCACGATCACAGACTCCCCACGCCTCCTCCACCGACTTGCTCGGTCCGCAGAGCGCCCGCGCAGCGAACACCTCCCACATCGCCCATCAGCGACCGATCCACCGCGAACGAAGCCCCGGTGGTCGCGTCATCACGCCCTCGGGTAACTTCCACCCGTACACCCCAGCCGACGCCCCCTCAGCGGAGCGCTCTCGCCGCAAGAGCATCGGCCGCCCCACCCCTCCAGCCGATGCACCACGCCTTGAGCAATCCCGCCCGGAGACGCTGGCCAAGCTCACCTCCTCCAGCACGACAAACTTCTACAACACAACAACGACCACAACCACAACCTCCCAAGCCAGCCGCTCCACGCAATCCCTCGAGATCTCCCGCGGCTCGCCAATGCAGTCTATGGTCCACGACAGCTCGCTCTTCGACCGCTACGCGGGCGGGATGCAGTACGGGTACGAGAAGGGCAGTGGGTTCGGCGGGAGCGCGGGGACGCGGAGTCATGGAAAGAGTCGGGCGGAGCGGAAGAGTCGCGAGTTGAGTGTGGGGTTTGGGGTGGATTTGAGTGATGTGCCGGTTTTTTTGCGGAAGGTGTAATGTTATGAACGTGTGGATGGGATGGGATGAGAGATGTGGATGGGATTGGGTATGGGATGAGAGATGAGAGACGGGATGGGGTATGCGGGGGGGTAATTTTTTTGTTCTAGATGATTGGTTGGAGATCATGAAGGGGGAGAGGGCAGGGGGTTGTTGTATAGTGTTGTGTAGTTAATGGACAGAACCATATCAAGTCGTCGTCTTCCCGTGCCTTCAACTTGTACGTGTGGGTGGCGGTGGTGTATTCAGGCAGATCTCGTTGCCTGCGCCATCCATCCGATCATCGAATCCTTCCGAGGCTGACGCCGCGGTTGATTGGCTGCATCCACGTCGTCACCAACAACGCCTGTTTCATCCTGCTGAACAACATCATGGTAGGTTTGCAACTCTCACCTTCTTCTTCTCCTCTCTCAAGCCATATCTCCCTTGCTCTACAGCTTACAATCAGCATACCTCCCAGACCTCAATCACGACCTCAAAATGTCCACCCAAATGGAACCTTTCTCCATCATCGAGAAGCTCGAACAACCCACCCCCTCATCATCAGACTCCGGCCCCCACCACCTCTTCAACGACGTCCTCAACCTCACCTCCGCCAAAACCGCAGACCATGACCTCCAGTACATCGCCGCGCTCCGTGAAGCTAACCCGGGCATGATCGTGACCGCCATCCCGGCGAGTAATGTCAATCTGAGGATCTTCGCCGCCGCTGGGTACGCGAGATGTGAGGTTGATTTGGAGACGGACTCGTATGCCAGTTGGAGGGGCTATGCGCCGCCGCGGACGAGATCGGGGACAGGGGCCCTGGCGGAGGCGGTGAGTTTTGGCAAGTATCGGTATTCGTGGGGTGATGAGGATGTCAGTCTAACCTTCCTTTCCTGACCGTGCATATAATGATGTTAATGTGATGGGTGACAGTTCATCCTCTACACAATCAACAGCACCAACCAATACGTGCTCAAAGAATGCCGCTCGGACGAACATCCCCTCGGCCCCTCTTCCATCACCGACCAGCTGATCAAAGCTGTTGGAGACTGGATGACGAGTATCCTCGACGTCGTCTGGGTGTACGATGGGTACTGGCGGCAGTCGCGGGAGCTGTATGATGGGGTGATGAAGGCTTCGTGGGAGGATGTGATTTTGGACGAGGAGATGAAGGCGGATTTGACGAAGGTGGCGAGGAAGTTTTTTAGTTCGAAGGCGGTTTATGAGGATTTGGGCGTGCCGTGGAAGAGGGGGTTGATGGTGAGTGTTCATTGTTTTTTAGGAGTGTCTGTTTCGGCTCTTTGGTGTGAAACGTCGCTGACACTGTGCCGCAGTTCTACGGACCTCCAGGAAACGGCAAGACCATCTCTATCCGCGCACTGATGCACGAACTCTACACGCGCAAAGATAAGGACGGGAACTTAAAGCCCATCCCGACTCTCTACGTCAAATCCGCACCCACAACATGGGACATCGGCGACGTCTTTGCTCGCGCCCGCGCAGAAGCGCCATGCATGCTCATCCTGGAGGACGTCGAAACTATCGTCACGCCGGACACTCGCTCGTACTTCTTCAACGAAATGGATGGGCTGGCGAACAACGACGGCCTCTTCGTGGTGGCTTCGACGAATTACCTCGACAAGCTGGATCCGGGCCTCACGAAGCGACCGAGCAGATTCGACAGGAAGTACAAGTTCCCGCTCCCCAACGAGCACGAGCGGACGCTGTACTGTGACTTTTGGCGCAAGAAGCTGAAGTCGAACAAATCCATTGATTTCCCGAAGAAGCTGCTAGTGCCGATGGCAAGAGCGACGCCCGGGTTCTCTTTTGCTTTTCTGCAGGAGTGCTTCGTTGCTACGCTTCTGGAGCTGGCACGTGAAGGGGATGATGTTGCAAAAGCGCGGCCATACGACGACAGCAACGACGGTCTGGACGACTACCGGCTGTGGGTGGTGTTTAAAAAGGAAGCCGAGGTGTTGCGCAAGCAGATTGACAGTCAGCAGAGGAATGTAGGCCAGTCGCAGCTCGCGGCTTGGTGTAAGCCTGGGGACGGGATGATTGGGAACGAGCCAGTTGTGGCGAGCTCAGCAGGGCCGACTCGGGGCAAGGAAGGACACTGTAACTGCTGTCGGTGCAGAGAGCGGGAGCAGAAGCCATTTGTGCTTGCTCATCGTGGACCGAAGGCGAGGGGTGAGTTGCTGCCGGAACTGCCGTGGTACTATCAGAAGGAGGAGTATATTAATTCTGCTGCGTTTGAGATGAGGTGATCGAATCTTGAGGGGATGGAAGACATGGGAGATCGTGGGTGAGAATGTAAGATAGGGCTATGATGACCGAAAGCCTAGAAGGTCCTCGATTGTATGAGCCTAAAGGTACCCTGGGAAAAGTACCTGAGAACATATCGGCATCCGGCACGCAGTCGAATGCCTCTTCACCGACACAGCTTCAACAGCTTCCTCCTTCGGCTAGCTGTCAGGGCTCTTGTGATGCAGTAAGCAGATTTCGATGACGGATACTCGCGTATCTCGCACGCCGTCCCGTTCGTGGCGAGTGGTCTGCCTCACCGAGTCTGCGGTCTGAGGCCAGGCAAGCGACGAGATGGAATGTCAGCGGCTGTCGTACAGACGTCTCGTCTTCTGCGGGGACAACACCCTGCAAAAAACGCGGGAAACAAGCCTCACCTGCAGCGCTACTGCATTCTTAGCATTCCACGCCGCCAATCAACGCATTTGATGAGGATCTTGATTAGAAGGTCCGTGGCGGAGATCGGACAGGTCGGACTTTGCGAAGTGACGCCCCCGACTCTGCTGGCAAAGGTGCATGATGCTTTCACTACATCTACCGGCCTCGGCACGCCGCCGCCTCCCATCTTTGGAGATGCATCTTCTGCTGTGCTTCTTTACCAGTCTTTCTCTTCGATAACACTCGTTGTGGGCGTCGACGCTGTGAGACACCATGTCTGCGCCAGATGCGGAGAACCGATGGGCCGCCGACGCCAACACGGCCGACGGCGTCGTGGAGAGAGATGAACCCGCCGCCGACGAGCCTTTGGAGCGGGTGGGAAGTGAAAAGGACGCGGAAGAGGGCAAGATTGTAGACCGGGAGGCGGTGGATGATACAGACTCGAATGAAGATCTGGACAAAGAGAAACACAACCGGCTGCAGATGCGAAGAACAGAGAGCAACTGGACACAGGCGACAGGCACGAGCTACGCGTCTACCGAAGTTGCGGAAGCACAAGAAACGCCACCGCGAAAACGAACATGGGGCGAGAAGTTGAATCCGTTCAAGCATAAGAATGTCCCTCCTCCGGCCGACGAGCGGATACCGTCGAAAGAGCACTCGGCCAATTTCTTCAGCAAACTCACCTTCCAATGGATCACGCCGATCATGGACGTGGGCTACCAGCGGCCTCTAGACATCAACGACGTCTGGGCTGTCAACCCGGATCGAGAGGTAGAAAAGCTGATGGACAAGCTGAACTCGTCGCTGAAGAAGCGCAATGAGGCGGGGAGCAAGCGTCCGTTGACCATGGCGCTATACGACACTTTCAAGAAGGAGTTCATCATCGGCGGTGCTTGTCAGCTTACCGCGGCACTGGTTCAGGTGCTCTCGCCGTTCACGATGAAGTATCTTATCCGATTCGCTGCGCAGGCCTACGAAGCTCAACGATCAAATCTGATCCCGGCGCCCGACATTGGTCATGGCATTGGTCTCGTCATTGGCATTACGTGCATGCAAGTGGTCCAGTCGCTATGTACAAATCACTTCATCTACCGGGGTATGATGGTCGGTGGACAGGCACGATCGACTTTGATTGCTGTCATCTTCGAGAAGGCGATGAAGATATCAGGTCGTGCTCGCGCTGGTGGCAAGGCCAAAGATGCGGATCAGGAACAGCACACACCCGAAGGGATCCAGCCAGGCAGTAAAGAAGAGAAGAAGTTCTTCAAGAAGCGACTCGGCAAAGATCAGTCGAAGGGCAAGAAAGGTGTCTCTGGTGATGGCCAAGGATGGAGCAATGGCCGCATCGTCAATCTCATGTCCACCGACACCTACCGTATCGATCAGGCGTCTGGCATGTTCCATATTTGCTGGACGTCGCCGATTCAGGTCTTCCTTGCGCTGGCCCTGCTCATCGTCAATTTGACGTACAGCGCTCTGGCTGGTTTCGCTTTCATCTGCATCATGATGCCTCTACTCGGACGTGCCATTCGAAGTCTGATGAGCCGACGCAAGGTCATCAACAAGATCACCGACCAACGTGTCAGCTTGACGCAGGAAATTCTGTCTTCAGTGCGCTTCGTCAAGTACTTTGGCTGGGAGACCAGCTTTCTGGACCGGCTTGGGCAGTTGCGAGACAGCGAGATTGGTAAGATCTCGTTCTTGCTGTCCATTAGGAACGGTATCATGGCCGTTTCGATGACCATGCCCATCTTCGCTTCTATGCTGGCTTTTATCACTTACAGCCAGACGCATGCGGACTTCAGCCCTGCTCCGGTATTCTCTTCGCTGGCCTTGTTCAACTCGCTGCGTATACCTCTCAACCTAATGCCTATGGTCATCGGTCAGGTGGTCGACGGTCTTGCTTCGATCGCTCGTATCCAGGAGTTCTTGGCGGCAGAAGAGGCTCAAGATGAGGCTGTGTGGGACTACTCTGCGAATGACGCCATTGTAATGAAGGATGCCGACTTTACATGGGAGCGAACGCGCAATCAGAACGACGAGAACGCCAATCAAGCACTGAAGAGCACTGGCGAGATCCGCAAAGAAGAGAAGGCCGCCAAGGCGAAGCAGAAGGACGAGAAGAAACAGCAGTCGAAGCAGCTTTCCAATGAGAAGCTGGAGGTGCCTAGTAGCCCTACGACCTCAGACAGCTCAAGCGACAGTGACGAGGAAACGCCTTTTGCCATCAACAACATCGATCTCACCATCGGGCGTAACGAGCTTGTCGCTGTCATTGGCGCTGTCGGTTCAGGCAAGAGTTCTCTACTTGGTGCGATGGCTGGTGATATGCGACGCACTGGCGGCCATGTCACGTTTGGCTCTACTCGTGCTTTCTGCCCGCAGTACGCTTGGATCCAGAACGCGACGGTCAAGCAAAACATCGTCTTCGGGCGGGATTACGACCGCAAATGGTACAACGAAGTCATCGACGCCTGCGCACTGAGACCGGATCTCGAGATGCTGCCGAGTGGTGACATGACGGAGATTGGTGAGCGCGGTATCACGGTGTCTGGTGGACAGAAGCAGCGATTGAACATTGCTCGCGCCATCTACTTCGATGCGGATATCGTGCTCATGGACGACCCGCTGTCGGCTGTTGATGCCCACGTTGGAAGGCACATCATGGACAACGCTATTTGTGGGTTGTTGCGGGACAAGGCCCGCGTTCTCGCAACGCATCAGCTTCACGTGCTTCACCGTGTGGACCGTATCATCTGGATGAAGGACGGTGCTATTCACAAGGTTGCCACTTTCCCTGAGCTCATGGGCCATGATCCTGAGTTCCAGCAGCTCATGGCGACGACCGCTGTCGAAGAGAAGAAAGAGGAGCAAGAAGACGAGCAGGAGGACGAGCGAGAGGACGAAAAGAAGAAGTCGCTGAAGAAGAAAGGCCGCAAGCCTGCTGGCGCACTCATGCAGCAGGAAGAGAAGGCGGTCGCGAGCGTTGGCTGGGACGTCTACGCCGCCTACGTCCGCGCCGCTGGCTCGATTATGGTCGCTCCTCTGATCCTCTTCATCCTTATCATCTCGCAAGGCGCCAATATCGTCACGAGCTTGTGGCTGAGTTGGTGGACTGCAGGCAAATTCGGCTACAGCGACGGTGTGTACATTGGTGGCTACGCTGCGCTCGGTGTGGTGCAGGCGGCGCTGCTATTCACCTTCTCGGTTGCGATCACGGTGCTCGGCACGAAGTCGAGTAAGGTCATGTTGCACCGTGCGATTGTGCGGGTGCTGCGGAGTCCGATGAGCTTCTTTGATACCACGCCGCTGGGTCGGATCACGAATCGTTTTGCCAAGGACGTGGATGTTATGGATAATATGCTCGTAAGTCTGAGATCTTTTCGGGAGTTTTAGAACGGAAGTTGACATGCTACTACAGACCGACTCGATGCGCATGTTCTTCATGACCATGGCGATGATTATCTCCGTCTTCTGCCTCATCATCGCCTACTACTACTACTTCGCCATCGCGTTGGTACCGCTCACGATCATGTTCTTGTTCGCGGCCAGCTATTACCGAGCCTCTGCCCGCGAGATGAAGCGACATGAGTCTGTGCTGCGCAGTGTGGTCTTCTCCCGCTTCGGAGAGGCTGTCACTGGTATCTCGACTATCCGCGCATACGGCTTGGAAAAAGAGTTCCGAAAGTCGGTGAATGATTCGATCGACTCCATGGACGGTGCATACTTCTTGACGTACGCCAACCAGCGGTGGCTGTCTGTTCGTCTGGATGCTGTGGGCACGCTGCTGGTCTTCACCGTCGGCATCCTGGTCGTCACTTCGCGCTTCTCCATCAGTCCCAGTACTGGCGGGCTCGTGCTTTCGTACATCCTCACGATCGTGCAGATGATTCAATTCACAGTGCGACAGCTGGCTGAAGTGGAGAACAACATGAACTCGACCGAGCGCATACACTACTACGGCACTCAGCTCGAAGAAGAGGCACCCCTCCACTTAGGCGACGTACCAGCCGACTGGCCACAGAAGGGCGAGATTGTCTTCGACGACGTGCAGATGCGATACCGCGAAGGCCTTCCCCTCGTCCTCCACGGCCTCAGCATGCACGTCAAAGCCGGCGAGCGCATCGGTGTCGTCGGTCGAACAGGCGCCGGCAAATCTTCCATCATGTCCACCCTCTTCCGCCTGATCGAGCTTTCCGGCGGTTCTATCACGATCGACGGCATCGACATTGCGAAGATCGGCCTCTACGACCTCCGCTCTCGGCTTGCCATCATCCCGCAGGACCCTACGCTCTTCCGCGGCACCATTCGAAGCAATCTCGACCCGTTCAACGAACACACCGACCTCGAGCTCTGGAACGCCCTCCGTCAGGCCGATTTGGTCGGTAGCGAACAGGCTTTGGAAGACGAGAGTGGGCGCATCCACCTCGATACCGCTGTGGAAGACGAAGGTCTCAACTTCTCGCTTGGACAGCGGCAACTTCTTGCTCTTGCTCGTGCGCTTGTGAGGGGGTCGCAGATTATCGTGTGTGATGAGGCGACGTCTTCGGTGGACTTTGAGACGGATCAGAAGATTCAGCGGACGATTGTGAGGGGGTTCAAGGGGAAGACGCTGTTGTGTATTGGTAAGTTCTTGGGTGAACCCAACTACTTTATGAAGCCTGTACTAACGATAAACGCGCGCAGCCCACAGGCTCAAAACTATAATAGGCAAGTCGAAACCAACTGGAACACGTCGCTACTATGTCCTGGAGTTGGCGGACTTGGACAGCTTAAGGTCGAAATTTCACCTTAGGATGAAAATTCGCCGTTTTGAACGCCGTCTTCGCCCCGGGCATAGTAGCCGACGCTGCTTCCTCTCATCCTTTACGGAATGAAAGAATGCTAACCTCTTCTCCAGGCTACGACAGGATCTTGGTCATGGACCAGGGCAACGTTGCCGAGTTGGACTCGCCGATCAGTCTCTACGACCAAGGCGGTATCTTCAGGGGTATGTGTGACCGCAGTGGTATTAGAAGGGAGGACTTCTTCAACAGCGCGGAGGCGAGGTTTGATGCGGAGAGTCCGGCGTTAGAGAGGAGCAGGAGTGCTGCGCAGATGCAGTAAAACGTGATTGGGTACGAAGATTGGGTAGATTTGGGATATTGGGTATCGAGGCTGCATAGCATGCTGGGTGCATATGGCCGGGCAAGGCGTTCAGTCCAGCGATTTGAGAGTGCCGATGCCAGTTGCACGGATATATATGCTTGAGTATAAAAGCGTTAATTTCAATGAGCCGCCAGGCAGCTGATCATCACAAGTGGCAATCTAGCAGCATGAGATTCGTTGGGAAGACCCCCGGCTACAGATCAAAGGCCGCGTCTCTCCGCCGGCGTATCTGGTGTTGTGCAGCTGCTCGTCAGCACCAAAAAGGCGTTTGCTTCTTGGAGAACTGCACTTCGACTGACATTTATTTTCGCCAGCTGTCTGATACATCTATCTCCCATCCGTTTGCTTCTTTCTGGGTCTGAAATAATTCATCTTTCTTCATTCACTAACATCAGAAACACTAAGAATCGTGAGCCGCTCTACGACGCAGAGCACGACACGATCGTTTCAATCTTCGATCCAGCGGGAAGCGAGGAGGAATGGCAGCGCCTGTGCGGCCTCATCGACGCAGCTCTGGCGAACCCCCTTCTGCCCCGCTGGCCTGTCCTCCAGGATGCGAAAGGCACTGGCTAACAATGCTGGACGATGCTAACGATGCATGTACATGTAGGTATCGCAGCAAGTACGAGGTAATGCGCGCCTGGCATTCCGAAGCCTCGTACGAGAACGTCCAGCGTGCGCGAGATGCTCTTGCTCGACATGAGGCTGGTGCTGGAAACGGAGGGCCACGATGAAGCATACCAGCAAAGAAGACTGCAGTCGCTACAAAGCATGATCGAGGGTGTGGAGCAGGCACTACAGGACGATGGAGGGTATACTTGGTCTCAGAAAGCATTTACTAGGAGGAAGTTCGGCCGCTGACAGGGAGCAGCGAAGATGGCGATGAGGACGCAGGAGCAGGAGCGCAGCAAAACGTCGTCCAGGAGTCCAATGGCGCGGGCGGCGAAAACATCCATGCGAATACGCTCGTCCCGAAGCCCCCTGGCGTTGGCGGCGAACGCAGCGACGTGTTCACGCATGCGCAGGAAGGAGCTGCTCGTGCTCAAGCCTCGAGGCACCCGCGAACAGCATCAGCCTTGTGGTAAAGGGTGGAGGGGGGCTTGAGAGGCCCCATTCTTACGCTCACCGCAAGGAGACCATCGCGCAAACGGCTTCCTCGTCCAGTCACGTACTGCACAAACAGGACTACATGTCGAGAAGCGAGGGCGATGATTAGCCAGCAGGCATTGTGAGTAGATGCGCTGCAACATTTCGGCGAACGGCGTCGGAGTGCAGGCTCCAAACCAAAAGAAGTGGCAACGCCATCTTCTCCCGCAGACAATCGTCTGCCATGGAGCCTGCTGTTGGCAAATGGTCGCTGCACCATCTTCGAGAGCAACGGGGACGCTTCAATGCCCGCAGCGACGATCTCGAGCTTGCTTTGCTTATTATGTCTCTGCCTTCGACTGCCACCTCGTCGCCTCAAGTGCTCATGAGACTACCCATGCGGATGTGCATGTGTTGATTTGTACGAGCTATGCGTTACTCCTCCGCGTCGTCATCTCATGCAACCTCCCACCCAGCTGAAGTGGCGGGTTCGAGGGCTTGTTGCTCCAGCCGCAAGCAATGGGGCAAATGGGGCCAAATGGCCGTTGTCTCAGAGGCGCTGCTGAAGGATCGTTATGAAACTATAAAAGAGTACAAATGTGTTTCTGCTTCAATCGTGGAGTTTTGAAAAGTGTTCTACAAACACTTTTCTTAGTCGTCCGTCCAGTATCGATCGAAAGTGGAAGATGGCGCCCACAAAATGGGATGCGGAGTGGATCAAGGTGAGTACTACATGTACTTCACCACAACCCAATATCGACTGACCGTCACACAGTTCGCGAAAACCATAAGCGACCCTCCAACCCTCCCCGACGAAGAAACCGAAGCCAAACGCCAAATCGTCAACACCATCCTCACCGAGCTGCCTAGACTCCTTCCTCCGCCTCCATCGAACATCACCACAAGTCCGTCTTTCCCCTCCCATTCGCACCTCACACCTGCTGACCCAGCCGTGCGGTCGACAGAAGATCTCACCCTTCCCTCGGGCCCAGCAGTCCGGATTTACACCCCCACGCACCCCTCCTCCAGCCCAACAGCAGCCTCCCCACTCATCCTCTTCGCCCACGGCGGTGGCTGGTTCGCCGGGAATTTAGAGACGGAAGACCGCAGCTGCCGCATCCTATCCTCCCGAACGTCCAGCGTGATCGTTTCCGTGGACTATCGCTGCGGTTTCGGGGTCCCCCTCCAGTCAATGGTCGATGACTTGTACGCTGCATTCACCTGGTCCCGCTCCAACGCCACCACTCTCGGTGCTGATGCGGGGAAGGTGGTGTTCTGGGGAGGAAGCGCAGGCGGCGCGCTTATTGTCGCGCTCGCGTACCGTCTTGTCCAGGAAGGGCGCGGAGCAGCGATAAAGGGGTTACTCTGCATGAACACCATCGTGCTCCACCCATCCGCCACGCCCGAGGCGTACATACATCTCATGCGTTCGTATGAAGAGAATGATGGGCCATTGCCGTTCGTCGCCGGTAAGGACACGTTGAAGCTGTACAAATCCCGCGACCTCGAACCGCCCAACACGCCGATCGCTCTGTTCCCTACTGCGTATGGGCCGGGGGCGATGAAGGGGTTCCCGCCGACGTGGATTATTACCAGTGGGAACGATGCTTCGAGGGACGATGGGACGGTATTGGAGGCTGTGTTGCGGGATGCGGGCGTGAGGGTGAAGATGGAGAATGTGGAGGGGTTGGCGCATTATTTCTGGGTGTTCGATTTGCCCAAGGCGAATGAGCGGTTTTGGGACGCTATGGTGGGAGGTGTGGCGTGGGTGTTGGGTGGTTGAGAGGTGGTGGGAGGCGTTTTCTGGGTGAAGATGGACTTAGTACGAGTACATGGTATCCATTACAGCACAAACCCAGAGTCGCTAATCGCACACATGCCAATATCAAATCAGAGCACTGAGTAGCTCAGGGCCGCCAGTACTTCCAGGCTCCCGACTGGCCGCCGCCGACAAGCTCGTGGACGCCTTCTCGTCCTTCAGCTGTGAGGAACATCTCCTGGTCAATCTCTTCGTCGTTGATTATTGCAGGGTACAGCACGCCGACCCCATCGCCACCGAGTGTGGTGGCGTATTTGTCGAAACCTTCATCTTCGAGCTGCTGCTCCAAATCTTGGAGTGCTGATGATAGTGACCTATCTCCATGTTCATGGGAAGGCGTTGTGGGTGGCGATGCCGTCGCAGCTTCCCCGTTAAGGTCGCCGTCCACACCATGCGTCGCACGAGGTTGTGGCTTCAACAACGTAATGGCGCAACCACCTCCACCAGCACCAGTGAGCTTCGTCCATCCCACGCCGGCCTGATCAACGAGATATCGTAGTCGTTCCAGTCTGGGGTGCGACACGCCGAGACTGGTGAGGAGGCCGTGGTTCACCGACATCATCTCGCCAAGATGTGCAATCGCCTCGTCTGCTTCTGCCGATGAAGAATCGAAATCCGTGTTCTCGATGGTCTTGTAGACAGAGCGTACGATGGCGTCGATTGAGTCTAGTATTCGCTCGACGACCTCAGGGTGCTTCTTCTTGAGCGCGCCGACCTTCGCCACCTCAGCAGCAGTCGCTTTGGGTTGCCGCGTGTCAATGAGGAGAAGAGGTAGCTCGGGAAAGTCGTGAAGGATGTTGACAGATGGCGGCTGCGTGTAGTCTTTTCGTTGAAACAGCACAGCATGTCCGTTGGTAGCAACAGTGTTGTCGACACCACTGGGGTTGCCATGTATAACCAGCTCACCAACAAAAGCCCATTGATTGATGCGCTGGAGCTGCTTGGCAGCTTCTTCACTCTCCTGGTCTGGGTGTGGTCCTGATAGCGCCCGACATTGCAAGAGCAGCGCTGCCGCCAAGCATACACTGACACTGGCGCTGCTGCCCAGCCCTTGCCCGATAGGTATTGTGCTGCGCATGGAGTACACGCAGGGAGGACTGCTTTCGGAACCAAGAGAGAGGAACAAATACAAGAAGCAGCTGGCGGCCGCCTGGTGTATCTTCCGCGCTTGGTGTTCGACGTCCGGACTCACAGTAGCGATATGTGGCTTCATGGCATTCCTCAATTCTTCATCCAGACTGTCCACCCGGTCGTAATACTTCCGCTTCTTGCCGGAACGCTGGAAAGTGCTCCATGGTAGGTCGTGGATGTGCCATGTATGGTCCAAGCCAATGTCGCTGAACTTGAGAGTGACGATTCGTTTTGACTTTGAGAGAGTAGTGCACAGGAGGTAGGAGCGAAGGGAGATGGCAGCAGCAATGGCAGCCTTGCCGTGGACGACCGCGTGCTCCCCATAGACGATGGTCTTGCCCGGTGCCGAGACGATGAAGGGCGGTGCGAGCGGGTTGGACTCCTTGCGACTGTGTGCGCTGGCCGGCGATTCTCGTCGTGAGGAGGGAGAGGTGGACGTGCTGAGGCCGTTGCTGGCTTCTCGTCTTCGGTCGCTCGATTTTGACCGGTCGCTGAGCCCGTTGACCTTCCCGTTCGTCCCGTTCATCTTGTGCTGCGAGAGACCATTCGCCTCTCCTGCTCCCTTGTGCCCGTTCATGGCTAGTCCTTTGTTTACCAGAAGATCCTGCTCCTGTCTTGCTATTCCTTCTATTGATCGCGACTTCCCCAAAGTCATTTATACTTCAGATCTCCACATCCTTCTCCGCGTCCTCTCGAAGGTCAATGGCATGGTACATATCGACTGCGCCAACGGGACAACAGTCGTACGATGATTGTTCGCGAAAGTTTCTGTGGCGTTACCCCGGATTCCCATTGTGGCGTTGATACAGGGGTCAGTGCACAGGGCATGTGCTGTCAAACGTTCAACGACCGCAGACGGACATTCGCCCGTGCGGTGCTACTCATTCATCCGCTTCAAATCGCGCTTCCGTACTACCAATGTGGATGGCCGACCACGGAGGCAGCAACGAGCCATGAATCTGACGGAAAGCATAACCTGAGGAGGCTGTTCACTTGGTTTCGACGATGAATATTGCGAGCCGGACAAGTGATCGTCATATCAACCCTTAGGCCTCATCAATCACCAGCTAGCTGTTCAGCTCTCTCACAGAGCCGCCGAACAACTCCCCATCGCTTACCATCACCCAAAGACATCAGTAACATACCGATCCACCTTCTGCCTCTGCAACCACTCCCTCGCATCCCCAACCCCACACCCCTTCGCCTCCCTCACAATGCGCTCCAGCACCTCATTCGTGCTCTTAGCCAACTTGCTCGCACTCCCACACATGAAGAACTTTGCTCCAGCCCTGAAGAGCTCTGTCAACTCTTCTCGATCCTCCCACAGCCGGTCGGGCACGTAACGATGCGTTTGTGGGGTGGAAGATCGCGAGAAGGTAGGACGCAACTCGACTACGCCTTGCTTTTCCCATTCTTCGAGCTCGGTGCGGCAGATGTAGTCGCATTCTGGTTCGCGGCAGCCGAAGTAAAGGATGGCTTTGCCGAAGGTGGCGTTGGGTTGGGCTGAGGCGATGGCGGCGCGCTCTTGGATGAAGCCGCGCATTGGTGCCACTGGATACAGTCAGTGATATGCTTCAGCACTCCTTGATGGAACACTTACACCCAGTACCAGCGCAGATCATCACAACCGGCGTCTCCGAGCTCGTCGGCAAGTGGAAGTTCGATGCGGTCGACTTGACATGGCAGTGCACCGCTGCTCCCACAGCAAGGCGACTCAGGTAAGAAGAAGCAACGCCATGGAAGCGATGCTCTTTGTCGAACAGAGACGGACTGTCCAGGACATCGTAGACGATCGTCGCAGCACCCGGGGCACTCGCCAGCGGCGAGGAGGCGATGGAGTACTGTCTCGTCTTCATCGGCTGAAGCATGTCGAGGTAAGCACCGAAACTCAGCTTGCAGGTTGGGAACTTGCGAAGCACATCGATCACCGATGCTCTCTTGCTCAAGAGCTCTTTTTCGTAAGCATCGCCATCTGCGAGACGCTGCAGCTCGGCCTTCTGTCCCCCATCATCCGTAGCTGCGGCCAGCGCCTGCACTTGGCGGCGAGAGATGAGCGTTCCGATCTCGATGTACTGCGAACACAAGCTGTACGCATACTCTGGCCGATCGCGAGGTAGGAACGACTTTGTGGTTCCTGACAACTTGACGAGAGCGTCTGCGGGTAGGCCGAAGTGTCCGAGGACACGATGGACGTCATCCGGATGGTTAGTCGGCAGGACCACGAGGTAGTCGCCAGCTCTGTAGGTGGTCTCCTCGGACAATTGGACTTCCATCAGCCTTTTATTTGGACCCACCGCCGTGTCTGCAAGCTGGACGTGCTGATGCACTTTGCCGAGACCCATGTCCTTCTCGCCGAGCACCTCTGGCCGTTCGACGGTCGTCTCGACCTTTAGCCCTTCAGTTGAGGCTGTTGTGTCTTCACCACCAGATGGTAACTTCTCCCACAACGCGTCGCTGAACTCGTCGAAAGCACCCATGATGTCGGAAGCAACATTACCCAGTACTGCGGGAAACACACGAGAAGCACCCGCACCGCTCAGGATACTATCGATCAACTTTGGAATCCGGTGGAACGTCGTCACCCAGTCTGAGTTCCCAACACCCATAATGCAGTACTGGACGCCTTTGAACTTGTTCTTGACCTCACGGTTCGCTTCAAGCCAAGCGAAAAACTTTTTGCTGTTGTCTGGCGGTTGGCCTTCGTAGCTAGGAGCTATGATCACGACAGGTTTGTCGGTGGGCAGATTTTCTGTCGCGGAGTCGAGGGAGCCTATGGTACTGACGTGGAAGCCGTGTGCAGGAGCGGAGCTCTGGATGGACTCGGCGAACGTCCTGCACGTTCCTTGGTTGCTGCCGTAGAAGAAGGCGATCTGTGGCAGGTTGTCTCCGTCATTTTGGGGAGCCATGGTGTGGTCTGCGTTGTCCGATGGTCTCCAAGGCTTTCGGGAGATATGATGCCAGTGTACAGCGACTTCCCTGGCCTCATCCGGATCTTGAGATGGTATCCTATCGGCTTGATGGTCAGAGTCTGACGGATCTTCAGTTCGTAGTCCGGCTCGGCCAGCTCGACTTGGAACCGCTGCAGGATCAGTGCGATGGCCATCCACGCTTGCTAAACTTATGTCAGTACAGCCCTTCGATGGACTGATCGACGAGACTGACCTGCCACGAGAAGGCTCTCCCAATGCATGACCTCTCCCCAGTACCGAACGGCTTCCAGCAATTCTTGGGCAGCTTTTGAAAATTCTCGTCCAGCATTCGCTCAGATTTGAACTCCTCGGCATCATCTCCCCATACCTCGGGATCGCGGTGCATCTTGGGGAGGGAGACAACGACCTGCAAACCCGAGGCATCTGTCAGTAGATGTCTCAACAAGACGCACAAGAGCAGAGCTTGTGCTTATCGACAACATACAGTATCCTTCGCACGAACGCGGTATTTGCCGTCACCAACGAACACATCATCCTTCGACAACGAGCGGCGAGAGAACGCCGGGGCGGTCGGGTACAGCCGGACAGTCTCTCTCAAGACCGCATTGATGTATGGCAGCTGAGATGCGTGCTTCACTCCGATCGCACCGTCGCCCAAGACTTCGTCGACTTCGGCTTGGGCCTTTTGCAAGGTACGTGGGTTCTCGAGCATGAGCAGGAAAGCAAAGCAGAGCAGTCCTGAAGTTGTGTCGTGGCCGGCGAGCTGGGCCCAAAGAGTCAGCCTTATCACAGAATGAAGGCTGGTGAGTAGGTGCACGCTCACTAGAAAGGTCATCATCTCGACTGGTTCTAATCAGTACTGTTTCTTAGCTCCCGTACAAGTGATGGACCTACATCGAACCAACTCGTCACTCATTTTCTCACCAGTGTCTGGATCGCTCGCCTTCAGCATAACGTTCAACAGATCGTTGACCTCACGTGGATGCCGCTTCCTCTCCGCAACAATCTCATCGCAAATCTTCCAGCAGTATTGGATCTTCTCATCGTAGTGCTGCTGAGACCACAATCGCATGCGTGTCTCAAGTCCAGTCCTGGACGCCCTCCTCCCGCTCTCCAGAAGAGCATCCAGGGCTGAAGTGACAAACGGATGCATCTCGTTCTGGTAGTAGCTGTTGAACCTATAGTCGAAGCTGCACAGAGCAATAGTGTCTAACGTCAAGCGGGTGAAGGCGTCGACTGGATCAATCACCGCCCCGTCTCCCAGGCGTTGCCATTTCATCAGCATCTGCGAGGTCAAGTCGAGCATCTCCGGGAACATCTTCTGGATCCCGAGAGGTCCAAACACGGGTATAAGCAGCTTGTGCGCGAGCTTCTATTCGGGCTCCTCGCCAAAGGCAGTGAAGAGCCCTGCCGGCCGATCAGCAACAGCGGCATTACAATGCTTATGGATCGATGAGTACCCCTAGTCCGGCCACATTGCGCACTTCGAAAAGTGGTCCGGCCACCGTCTTCTCAAATCTCGAGTCATCGCAGAGCTCGTCGGCGAGTTCGTGGCCTCCGACGAAGATGACAGTCTTGCCTCCCAGGTCGAGTTTGAAGATGGGCCCGTGGAGCTTGAACAGATTGTTGATGCTGGCGAGGCGGTTCTCGGCATCGATGTCGCCGATGTTGCCTACCAGCAGTCGTGGTGGAGGCTGGGGGATCGCCACGTCGCCGTTCATGGTGGATGTTTTGGTCGACATGGCTGTGGTGATGTCGCTCAACCTCAAGAAGGCCGGGCCGTGTCGGCTAGGTCTAATACTCTGGAGACCTTGCAGCTGAAGGTGCAGGAAGCTGAAGGTGGCCCACTTGGAATGCTCGTGCAGACGAGCGGCCACTCCGGCAGGGAGTTCCACCGTATTGTGGCCAACCAAACGAGCCCGATAGCCTGCCTCGTATGCTGCGACCGACGCAAGTATGCTTTGCAAGTCACTGAGGTCAGCCATGGGGTGTGAAACGCGGCACGATGGTCCTCCTCCAGCACCCGATGCCACTCGGCTGGAGATCAAAGGGAGGCCTTCCACTGACTGGCGCTCGCTGGACGAAGGGTGGGACAGTGGAGTTAGTCATGGTCATTGGATCCCTCGTGCACTTCAAATTGTTGGGAGAGACTCCCGGCATGCATTAACTGTGCGAGACATTAGTGGCTGTTGTCAAACGTATTGAAGACCGCGAGATGTATACGCACAGCTGCCAACACCGCAGTACCCTGGACCGCCCTATCAGAACTCGGATCAAGCTCCCAGTGGGGTAATGAAGGTCAAGCCCGACGATCGAGGTATGCAGCGAAGTGCAGGTGCTACGGCATCTGTTGAGCTGTATCAGTCAGCAGGCGAACCACGTAATGTTGCTTCAGAGGGCACCAGATATCTCGCAGCTCCATGACCAGTCAGCGCCAAGATAAGGTAGAGTGGAAGTTGATCGAAATCGGCAATCAGTTACCCTGCTTTCATTGAACCTACCCAAAATGTGTCGGCTCGGCCGAAGCAGCCCAGAGAGAGAAAGTGGGTTTCAGTATGTGTGGTTCTACTCTATCAGCTCTATCAAGTAGACGATGTTCATGCCCGGTTCCAATCGATCCCCGCCTTGATGTTGCCATACCACGCAATCATCAGATCCTTGTAATAGTAAGACCTCGCCTTCCAAGGCCCGCTGTCTCCAGTCATCGGCAGAATATTACCTCCCTTCTTGATGTAGGTGCTCGTCAACTTCAGAAGCGGCTTCTGTTGCATGGACGTCTTCTCTGCTGTAGACCGTCTTGGAATGACCTCAGCAACTCCTTCCTTCTCCATCTGCTTGAGCATTCTAGTCACCAGCTGAGCCGTGGCATCGGCGCCGAGCGTCCACGAAGCATCCACGTAGCCGATCACAAAGGCGCAGTTGGGGAGGTCCTCAAGCATGATGCCCTTCCACACGAAGTGGTCTGGGATGTTGTAGGGCTTCTCGTCCACGGTAATCTGCATGCCGCCAGCGATACGCAGTTTGAGGCCTGTGGCGGTGACAATGATGTCGGGATTGAACTCCTTGCCAGATTTTAGACGGATGGAGTTGGGAGTGACGGTATCGACCACGCCGGTCTCAACGCTTGACTTGCCGGCACGCAGACTCTTGTAAAAGTCTGCATCCGGGCAGAAACACACTCGCTGCTCGAACGGGTAGTATGAGGGGTTGAAGTGTGGGTCCATTTGCATGCTCGGCGGCAGCTGCGGTTGTATCGCAGATTGGAACAGCTTCCGGACGACTTTGGGAAAGTAGTGAGCAAGGTTAACCATCAAGAATGGGACTACCAGCCACTTCCATCGAATGAGCTTGTCGTGCCACGAGGATGGGGTGTACCCTCGAATTGCTCTCTCTAGGCCATCCTCTTTGGGCATGGACATGACATAGCTGGGAGAGCGCTGGAGCATCGTGACATGCTTCGCTTTGTCTGCCATCGACGGGATGAGAGTCACAGCGGTGGCACCAGAGCCGATAACCACGACCTCCTTGTTCTCGTAGTCGAGATCTCTGGGCCAGAATTGCGGGTGGATGACACGGCCCTTGAAGCTTTCAATACCGGGGATTTCGGTTTGTAAAGGGGTGGAATAATCGTAATATCCCGTGCACATGAGGAAGAAGCGAGCTTGGAAATCCTTCTGCTCGGAGCCATTGGCGGTAACCTTGAACTTCCAGGCCTTGTCCTGGCTTGAGTAGTTGGCTTCATTGACGTGGTGGTGGAACAGGATCTTCTTGTCGATGCCAGTCTCACTGGCTGCCTCCTTCATGTAATTGATGATCGACTCGCCCTTGGCAATGGAGCTCTCGGCCTTCCATGGCTTCCAGGGAAATCCAAATGTGTAGAGGTCGGAGTCACTGCGGATACCTGGATACTGGAAGAGAGACCACGTCCCGCCGATCTCATGTCTTCCTTCGAGGATCACGAAGCTGAGGTTGGGGTTCCGCTCCTGCAGTCGGTACGCGAAGTTGATGCCGGATATGCCTTTGATAGATGATCAGTCAGCTGTTTCGAAAGACTTCAAGGGCCTTCTCCATACCCGCGCCCACGATGACCACATCGTATTTGTTGTTTGACTTCTCAGACGCCATTGTGTAAGAGATACTCTGAAGCAATTACGAAGAGTCGCACCACAAGAAAAAGAGTAGTGTTAGTCAGTTACAAGACGGAGTTGCCACCCTACTTGTACCCGCCCACACGCGTCGTGCAGTGTGGTGGTGTGAGATCTCCGAGCCTCGGCACAAGCGATTCGACCCTGCGAGTCCAATTTAGCTCGAAACTCTGGCCCTCTTCCCTCTCCTCCTCCTCACGATATGGACACCTTTGCACTCGGAAACGCTTCTGTCCATCTGTCCGCTTCCTTTCAACATTACCAACCGAGGCTCGAGGCCTCACAAATGCAGATGGAATGTAGAATGAAGGTAAAGGTTCAGCTACAACAGTCTGTGACGCCAGGATAGCAGTTGCCCGATCAAGTACCGCAACAACATCCCTGTCGGAGGATAACATCAGCGCCCTCGCATTTCCTCCTCGGATCCTGTCGTTCATCATATTCCAGCACTACCTCATGTCGCCAAAGCTGCTATCAGCGCATCCATTGCAGATGACTGTGTCGACGCATTCGCAGGCTTGATGAACGGGCTATCACAGTCAGCAGATCGTATTCGCATGTCCTATGGACGCATGCAACTCACCCAGACCAGATCAAGCTCAGCTTGTTACCACGTCTGCTGCGGTCATACTTCCAGATGCTATCAGCATTGTGCTCAAGGAACGTCGCATACCGGGTCTCCGGGCTGTACTGTTGCAAGATCTGCAGGTTCCGGGCAAAGACACCCTTGAACTGGCTGCCGTCAGCGCCGCAGTCTGGCTCGCACACATCGTGGAGGATTCCATTCGAGTCCGTGAGATTCGCAATGGCTGCATCAGCAATGATTTTGGCCTTCGTAACATATCTCGCATCATCTGTCGCACGGCTCAACTCTGTCAGCCCACCAAGGACGACGCCCTGGTTGTACGACCAGACCGTTCCTCCATTGTTCTCGCAGGTCGCATTGTCCAGGCCATCGTTGATGAGGTTTTGCGAGTTGATCATGCCGGAGCGTTTGAACCAGGACCATTCCCTCTTGGCGTAGTCGAGGTAATAGTCACTCTTCGCTCCCGCGCGGTTGGCTAGATGTGCCGCGACATCGAGAAAGAGCTCGTTGGCGATAGCATTCACGTACGTCCGCTCTTTGCTCCACCAGAGCCCGCCGCATGGTGTTGTGCCGTACGCCTTGGCCATGTCCTCGAAGATGGATTCAGCTGTCCGCAGGTACTTCCTGTCGCCCGTTACATCGTAAACGGCGATCCAGGCCAGCGCCCACCACCCTGCGTTGGTCAGCCATCACATCCGGCTAATATTCTCGGGCGACTGACCTTCGTCGTCGTAGTAATCATTCAAGAAGCCGGTGGTCTTATGCTTTGGCAAGTGGGCACCATGGTGTGACTGCACGAGGTACATCGGCGCCTCGTCTGTCTTCTGCATTTGCAGATTATATTCTTGAGCCTTGTAGAACGTGTTGTCGTACACGGCCTCTGCTTTGCCAGCAACAGCCGCATCGGTGGTTGCTAGATTGGCAACAACCGTTAGACAGTTGGCCGAGTTCCACCAGCCTGTGCTTGGGATCCACAGTCCTATGGACTGGTTGTACCATGTCTGCAGTTGATTGTATGCCAACGTGGCATCTCGTTGTTCGATGGCGCTGACACCGAAAGCTAAGGATAACAACTGGAGGGAAGAAAAGACACGCATCTTGCTGTTACTGACGAGCGACTTCAGAAGAGCAAGAAATGGAACTCCTTGACTTTGATACTTGACCTGAGACTACTTATGTTGGAGCACTTGACCGTTCAGCCCCATCGAGCCCTCAGCGCCTGCATATTGCTGGTTTCAATACCACTTTCATAGTGGTGGTTATGATTGGCCACATGGCATTTCCATCCCGTAGTCTTGTTTTGAAGAGGAGCTCGTGCGCGTGAATAGGCAAGCGGAGTTTCAATACAAGGAGGCAGATATTAAGATTTGGAGAAGGTTGCAACGCAAGGTTGTTTTGCGAATGCGGAGAGATGTGTGGAGCCGAAGACAAAATGTCGATCTCATGGCTTCACCTCCACTCCATCTCCTTGTCCGCGACGGCACCGATGGCACGACTCGCGATTCAGGAGCCTGCGATGTGAGAGCGGAGTCTACTGCTCGGGGGAAGTCCAGTCCGTCTGCTCCCTCCTGGCTCGTTGCCGTCTTAGATTCGACCTTAGGTAAGATGTTTCACCGCTTCACCCTATGGGCCAGCAGCGTCTTGAATCAAAGTACTCAGCGAGCCCAGTAGCCTATACCTCACCGGCGACGCTGCCGGCTTGGAGGGCCGACTTTGCGGAGCGCGCGTACAGCGGAGTCGAAAGATACTAAGCGCGGCTTCTTCCTGCTCAAAGCGAAGCTCCGAAAGACTAACGACGGCAGTATTCGTCCCTGAATCATTTGCTCGATACATCTCAGCATGGCTACCATGACCGAGACAGCAGAGACGAATGACATCCACCTAAGCACTCTCTCGAACCGGACCGAGCAAGACCGCCTGGAGCAACAACCCGAGATCTCGAACGAAGCGAGTGCCATTGCACCACTAGAACTCAGCTTCACCGTATCACTGAAGGTGTTCAGCGCCGCTTTCTGCTTCTTCAACGCCGGTGTCAACGATGGCAGTCTTGGAGTCCTTGTCCCGTACATACTTCGGGGATACAACATCACCACCGCTTGGCTGGCCATTCCATATGGCATAGCATTCTTTGGCTGGCTGCTTGCGGCCATCTTTGGGGGTTTTGTTCGTTCTACACTGGGTACTGGCGGCTACATTGCCACGGGGGCTGCACTGCAACTTCTTGCGCAATTGCTGCGCTTCTGGAAGCCGCCGTTTGGCCTCTTCGCTGCGACTTGGTTCTTCGTGGCGCTTGGGCAGGCTTTCCAGGATACGCAGGCGAACACGTTTGTTGCCATCATCAAGAACGCCCATCGCTGGCTTGGAGTGATCCACGGCTGTTACGCCGTGGGTAGCCTGGTGGGGCCTCTGATAGCTGCTGCCATTGCGTCCAACATTGAAGGGCAATGGGCTACATTCTATGTAAGTCGGCAGCTTTGGGACGTGGTGGAATGCTAACAGGAAGTAGTACGTACCTACCGGCATTGGCGCCTTCAATCTGGGTCTAACAGTGTGGGCCTTTAGAGATGAAATTATCTTCTTCAAACGCTTTTATGGTAGTTCCACAAGCCAACATGAGCGCCCCAGACGATCCATTGCGGCCAAGCGAGAGCTTGCAGCGACCTTGAAGCTGAAGTCTGTCTGGCTCATATCCTTATTCTTCTTCCTCAACCTTGGAGCTGGCATTGCCGCTGGCGGATGGGTAGTAGAGTACCTCCATGCCGTGCGAGGTGGATCCCTCTCACAAGTCGGCTACATAAGCAGTGCGTTCTACGGAGGTATTGCGTTGGGCCGTTTCGTCCTTGCGGAGCCTACCTTCCGGTTCGGCGAGAAGAGAATGCTGCTTCTGTACGCGGTCTTGACTGTCGCGCTGCAGATCGTCTTCTGGAGAGTGCCGAATATCGCCACGGACGCAGTTATGATTGCGCTCATCGGGTTCTTGCAAGGCCCATGTTTCGTTACTGGAGTGTCGGTAGCAAGCAAGCTGCTTCCACAAGAACTCCAGTCGTCCAGCCTCGGTGAGTCCAGCACCATTCCGGCGACCTTGAATTCATAGGCTAACGATGGCAGCATTCACTTTCGTCATGGCACAAGCTGGTGGAGCAATATTTCCTGCTGTAACAGGCGTGATATCTGCTCAGGCGGGTGTCGAGACTTTGCAACCGATGCTCGTTGGCCTTTTCGCTATGATGGTAGTGTCGTGGTTCATAGTCCCAGATCCGAGAAAGATGCTGGCCCGGTAAACGAGATCGGATCTGTCCCCCATTGCAAAGCGCAACGCTTCCTTGATCGGAGCACTAAGCGGAGTATCGGGATGGCGACGATTTAGAGGTTCAATGCTCACACGTTCCGGAGCTGAAGACATGTCTTCGAGTGGGCAGGCATGGAACGTATGACACGTTGTGGCAACAGGCCACTTGCCGCATATTCCAAAGAACGCAATTGTATTCCATTCATCACTTCATCACAGTGTCCTCCAAATCCCACTGTCCCGAAACCCTCAGAAGTGCCGATTCCATCTTTCGCCTGGCCCCAAGTGGGGTTGATAGAGGTCGTGTGTGGCTCTAGAACGCGACCCTCGTACTGCAGCTATAGATGTTCTTGCCTCTACAAAAGCATCCTGGACCTGTTCTTACTCCAAAGTTCATTGAGGGTATCCGAGTTGGTCACGTCGTTCGTTGTCAAGTCAGATAAACGACGACAACTGGAAGCTTCATATTGCCTGATCTGTGGTCGACTCGGCAATGGCCAACACAACACTCATCATCAGCCTCCTTCCCTTTGTAGCATTACTCTATCTAGCATTCTTCGATTCCGAACGACAGCGGCCCAAGGGAACGAAGTACCCTCCTGGCCCTTCTCGCAAACCGTTGATTGGGAATCTACTTGATGTACGTGTGTCGTATGGTTGACAAAGCCTCTCGCTTGCGAGATCTCGACTGCCGCTGATAACTTAGACAGATCCCTCCTACACACTCCTGGCTCCAATTCAAGAAATGGTCAGATCAATACAAGACCAAGATCCTCCGCCTCACCATGGCAGGCCAGGAGCACTACATCATCTCGAGTGAGAGGGTCGCAAACGACCTGCTACGGGAGCGCGGTGCCATCTACTCAAGCAGACCAGTGGCGCCTGCAAGCGCAGAGCTCCTCTCCAACAACCTACGACCGGTATTGCTGCCATACAACGGTGGGTCTTGGATGTGTTCCTCAAAGAGGGTCAGAGCTAACGACAGATCGGTCAGACACCTGGAGGAACGGCAGAAAGTTCATGCACTCAGTGGCCAACGCCAAGGTAGCAAGCCAGTACCACGCAACCCAAGAGCTCGAATCGACGCGAATGATAGTAGGCCTGATCCGGGAACCGAGGAGATATGAGCACTGGTTGGAGCTGTACTCTGCAGCGGTAGTATTCCGGCTGGCTTTTGGGAAACGGATCGAGACCGGAGAGGAGGAAGTCGTCCGTAGGATCATGAAGGTCAACCATACCCTGGAGAGAGTCGCCTCGCCTGGAGCCTATCTGGTCGATACCTTTCCCATCCTGATGAAGCTTCCGAAGTTCCTGGCGCCGTTCAAGAAAGAACTTCAGGAACTCCATCGTGAAGAGCACTCGTTGTTCCGCGGCCTTCTCGAAGACGTTCGGGAGCGGATGAAGAACGACTCCGCACCGAACTGTTGGGAGCGCGACTTCCTCGAGCAGCAGCAGAGTCTCGATCTGACCAATGACGAAGGAGCGTATGTCGTCGGTACCTTGTTTGAAGCAGGATCCGGGACCACGGCGGCCGCAATGATGTCGTTCATGCTGGCTATGGTCCTTCATCCGGCTTGGTTCCGCATGCTTCAGGCTGAAGTGGATCAGATCAGTGAGGAGCGGCTACCCACGCTTGACGACGTACCGCAGATGCCTACGGTCCGAGCGGCAGTCAAAGAAACTTTGAGATGGCATCCAGTGACTTCAGGCGGCCTCCCACATGTCTGCACCAAAGATGACATTTATGAAGGCTTCTTCATCCCCGCTGGGACCGTGGTGCATCCGGTGCAATGGGCAATGCACCGCGATCCAGAGCTGTACCCTGATCCGGAGACCTACAACCCTCAGCGATGGCTCGACCCTTCGTACCCGACGTACAAAGAGCCACTCACCGAGCATCCGAATCTCCACAATTATAGCACCTTCGGCTTTGGACGACGGATATGTCCCGGACAGAACATTGCGGAGCGGAACCTGTACCTCCTCGCTGCGAGAATCGCCTGGTCGGTCGATCTCATGAAGGCCAAGGATGAAACCGGCAAGGAGATAACTCCACCCTATTACACATACACCGCCGGCTTCAACAGTCAGCCGAAGCGCTTCCCTTTCGACGCCAAGGTCAGAAGTGCAAGCAGGCAGGCCATCATCGACGCGGAGATGCAGAGGCATGCGGAGAACGATCCACTGAAATGAACAGTACCGTACAGTATAGATCAAGACTGATCAAGCATGATGTTTCCCATGGTGCCACCGCGAATACCTGTGGCGAGCGTCTGCATGAGAGCAATGCCCTGCACATCCCACCCAAGCATTGAAGTTGGCAACACCATCAGCAGGAGACTGACAGATGGGTATACCTTCGCCAGCAACCCCCGTAGAAGATCGTACCACGACCTTTCCAAACTGCCTGTCGAAAGGGCGACTGATGTAGTTGATCCCAGCTCCGAGGCCCTCGAACCGATGCGGAGGATTGTGCCCGATGGCTACAGACACCCAGCCTGGAGAAGACAGCAGTGCGATGATGAAAACGCTGTCTTCTAGTATTTCGTCGACTGGGTAGCGCGTCTCGTCTTGTGGACTTGTATTGATTGACGATATGCAGCTGTTGCCTGTGGCCCTCGTTCTTCCTGCGGATGCAGGGGCGTTTCGATACCAGAATACAACCTTGTCTTCTCCAGGCCTGACCGAGGGTGCTGGGTTCGATCGATGGAAGGCATGCTTGTATGCCGCAATTTGATACGGGAGCGTTTCGAGCCACGCCTGATGAGGCCTGTGGTGGACGTACGGGCGAGCGTCGGCGTCTTCTGCTTGCGGAATGCCCGGTGGGTGGATGGGGCCGACGTAGTGAGATTCGCCGTAGTCGTTCCATGTGACGATCTCAACGAATTCCGGTAGTATCTCCATGACCTGCTCCGATTAGATCGAGCGCTACAATAAGGACGTATCGATGCCTACCTGATGCCATCTTTGCGACCACATGCCGTCACCACGCCATACCCAAGCCTTGTTGTACGCAGGTAGATCCGTGTAGAACCAAGGCGAGACACCTGTCCAAGGTCAGTGGACAGATAACTTGTGGTGCCAGAGAAAGACTTACCCATCATATATGACTTGCTGCTCCGCTTCAAGGACGTCTGCCAGGCACGATCCTCGTTCACAGTCATGTTCTCTGGGCCTTTCGGCCACATATTCCAAGAAAAGGCGCCATCATAGAGGCTCGTCTCGAAGCCAAGCCCTTGAGATGTCCAGTCCGGGACGAAATAGATGCCGCCTGGGATTTTCTCCCGGATCGTAGCCCACTGGCCTACATCAGAGTTTGTTGGTCCTTCGAATGTCGAGACGAACAGCCTGCCGTTGTGCTACTCTAGGTCAGCTCGTCGCTGTGCACAAAATATTGCTCACAAGCCTACCCGGTAATGGGCGCGGTTCCTGCAATAGCGATGAAGCAGGGCAACTATGTCTTCTGTTGCCCACGGAATCCCGCTGCCGAGATAGTCGAAGGAGAAGAAGAGCTTGAAGCCATTGGCAAGGCTGTTTGCTGCTTCGAACGCTAAAGCCTGCAATCGCGGTTGGGATTAGGATTGGTATGCAGTACGGTAACGCGTTCTCGAAGGCTCACCGACTGCTCCAACACGGTTCCCTCGAGCGGAGGAGCTATGTTCAACACGAATGCATCAATCCCCTTGCTGGCTGCGAGCTTGATGTCCGACTTCCAGGTCTCAAGCGTGTACGCCGCAGTGTTGCCGACCTTCGATTATCAGCATATAGCTTCTGGAGTTGGTCTGGCTGTCTGGAGAACCCACGATCACATGTGCAAAGACGGCTTGTGCTGCGATCTGTTGAGCGCACAACGCCGCGAGGAAAAGGAGGAGGGCCTTTCGGGGCATGATTGTCAATGAGCGAAGTCGAGGGAAGAAAGAAGTCCGCCGTCCACCTGCTTCTGACAGCGAGCGTGGTATTGTTTGTTTTTTCCATCAGCACTCCTCTGAGATCCATCTCGTCGCGGTTGGCGAGATTGTGATGGTTGCAAAGGCGCTTGGTGAAACCTTGCGCGGCATGCTGTTGCTGTTTTGGGACATCTGTAACAAGCCCGTGCCTTTTCTTTCTGTTCGGCAGCGATCGAACTCTTCATACCTTATCTTCATGAACTCCATCAATTGACAGTGATGGAGAGGTCTTATCAAAGACAAATCATTGTCAGCAGTGACACGCATTTGTTACGCGTCCAAAGCATGGCCTGCAGGAAGCCGGCAATGACGTGCCACCGAGCGGACTGGCGACGGTAGGGGTTACTTTCGTTGGTCAATAACCTTCATCAATGCTACAAACACAGGAGCAGCTGCAGACAAAATCCACCTCACTCTCAACGAGTCGTCTATGCGCCGATACTGTACACCAGCTTCTGGCCACTGACCTTTCCCTGCCGCATCTCATCCAGACCATCCAGCGCTCCTTCAAGGCCCTTGCCAACCCGCGGTGGGTGGACCTTAACCTTACCCTCGCCCAGTAGCTTCACCGCCAAACGGAAGAAGATCTGCCCGAACTGGTAGTCCTCCACCGTGGCAGGCATATCTTCAAGCAGCTTCCACGGCTCGCCTCGGATCTTGTACGCCAGGAGAGGCACCGCGCGCACATCCTTCCGATTGTATTCGGTTCCTGGAACTATGGAGCAGATCTGGCCGCCTTTGGATGAGATGGACCCGGTGCTGACTTTGCTGCCCGTGTCGCCGCCGATGCAATCCAGAACGGTGTGGAGGCTGTCGTTGGTGTATTTGCGGATCTGGCATACAGTTAGCTATACTCTCGTTAGAGCAGGATGCCATCTTTGACCTTTTCAGCACACTCGGGATCGTTGTAGTCGAACGCTTCGTCCGCCCCGAGCGATTTGACAAAATCAAAGTTCTTCTTGGAGCAAGTGGTCACAACCTTTGCTCCGGATCTGAAAGACCGTCAGCTGTTGCATGTCAACCACAGCTGACGCAAATACGCACAGCTTGGCGAACTGGATAGCAATACTCCCAGTAGCGGACGATCCTCCATACACCAGGACGAAGCACTCAGCCGGCACAGAACCCGGCCACGGCAGACCGAGCGTCTGATACAGTCCCAGTCCAACAGTGGCAAACGCAACACCGACCGTGGAAGCTTCTTCATCGCCAACGTTCTCTGGAACTTTGAACAGGTTGCCCTCCTTCATGAGGGCGCACTCGGCGAACGCTCCATCTTCGAGATTGAAGGCGTTGCATCCCTGGACGACACCGGCGACACGGTCACCTTTCTTCCAGCTGCCGTTGACGTTGGGGCCGACTTCTTCGATCGTGCCCACTGTCGAGCTCGAGCGTGGTTAGCAACGGCGTGTTGGGTGTGTCGTGTAAGACTCAAACTCACTCCAGTCGCACCCAACGGTGGAGCCCACGTGTGGCTACGAGCAAGCCTTGGTCAGTCTTGCCTGCCGCAGACGTAGACATCGACTCACGATGTAATCGATATGTTTCCTATGCCTGTCAGCTGTGCTCCCTCCCGTTCCAGGAGACCACTCGAACGAGAACCTACTCACCAGTCCGTCGGATTCAACGCCGCATAACGAATCTTGACCAGAAGATGTTCATCCTTCAGCTCAGGCACCTTGACATCCTGAACCTCAGCTTTGCCGGCCTCAACTACTTTGATGGCCTTCATGATCGCTTCTCTCGAGCCGTTAGTCAAGTCAAGTAGGTGGGTAGTATGATGAATGTGTTATATTCTTCTCGAGATCCCTCCAACACAGTACTTATACTCTCAGCCGTTGACTAAACGTTGCATAAACCAGCCCTAACGCATAGGAGGTAAGGCGACTACAGCTTGGTGCTAGAGCAACGCATCTGCGGCTGGGTGTCGTTTAACTACCAGTATTAGTCTAAGCTCACTGCTGCTTCGTACGTCGTCCTCGGATTTGGAACTCGAATAGCGAGCTCGTGCCGTCGTTTCTGCGTCGTTCCGTGGCACATGAACTGGACGACGGGGCATTATTCCATCCGAATGCGAGACGCTTGACGGCTTCCTCGAACTTATGTCCGTAAGCAGAAGCAGGAAACGATTCTGTCTTGGGTAGAAATGTATCTCGTCCTTCGGAAGGAATGCGTCCTCAGCTGTGAGAACGAGTGCAATAAGTGGAAGCCCCAGAAGCACTGACCGGATAATATTTCTTCATTACATTCTGTTGCATATACCTACACCCCTCAAATAACCTTTGCCTTGCTCCAGATCGGTACATTCTCAAACCTATGATCCCAATGCAATTTCCCTTCTTCATCAATCTCCGCCGCCTCGTCCGTAGTAACCAAGCCCGCATCTGCATTCTGCTGGGTCTCCTCCTTCGACACTCCCAGCTTGTCCCTCGGAATCCACAGCTTCGGAGTCTTGGATGTAAACGCCGGCGACAGATACGCCTTTTCGATGTCCTCTTCCTTGAGCGGCGCGGACTCGTCGTCATCAAACGTAGTCTCGTCCAGCCAGCCCTCGACCTGCATCCGCGCGCTCGAGATGATGCCGTCGAAGAAATCGGACAACACCCTGGGCGCTGGGTGTGGAAGCTTTTTGAGCCCGAGCCTTCGCGCGTGAGAAGAGGCGTGCAGGGCTGCTGCATCGCTGATGGAGATGTTATCTTCGCGGGCCAGCAGCGGCACCTCTTGCGCTTGCCAGACGTCCACGCCTAGGTAAAGCTCCAGTGGACGGAGCGTGCGGTCGAGCACGAGATTGGTGACAGCGGTAAGGATGAGCAAGACCACCATCAACGTCGTCTGTATCGCGGCCTTCTTTGCGCCGAAGAGTCCGATCAAGCAAAGCTCTGCAAGATAGAGACCGGTCGGCATCTGCTGCAGAGCACGCTTGTATGCCTCGCCTTGAGTGTCGACCTTGGTCTGGCAGACAAACAGCAGCTGGTAACGGTAGGCGAGGTAGTATATGAACAAGCCGGCAGTGGCGAATCCAAGCACCAGCGGAGCAACACAGGCGTAGACGATCGAAATAACCAGGAAGTTGGTGAACTTCGGGTACCAGCTTGCCCAAGGTGTGCCCTTCATCTTGGAAAAGGTGCTGTAATGCTGCCTCGGAGTCTTGTCCATGAACTTCTCGTTAAACAGCCACTCGAAAAGGTCGGAGTAGTTGAGCACAGTGTCGGCGGCACTCGAGGTGCCTTGAAGGATGAAGTAAGTGAGGTAGAAGTTCGAGGCTTTCGGCAAGCTGCTGGCCAACAGCTTGGGCGCGTCTTGAGGATCCTCCGCAATCTTTGCGAATACTGCTGCTGCTCCTGACGAAAAGGTGGTGACAAGGAACACTTGAAACACCTGGAAGACAAAGTACCACGCTTGTGTCTTCAGCTCGGCTTGCGTGGTAGTCGGCTCTCCAGAAAGCTTCGCGACGTGTCGAAAGAGTTTTGGTACGTACGAGACGAACCAGCTGGTCAGATACGGAGGAACAAGACCAGTCAGCAGACCGAGAAGGACCGGTGGAAGGTCATCCAACCAGCGCAGCCACTTCACATTTTCAGCCAGGTACTTGGCATTACTGATAGTACCAATAATGCCAACCGGGATGGAGAAGAAGATGGTGAAAGCGATCACAAACGCCAGCGCAGTGGAGGCTTTGGATAGTCGTTTCGACAGCGGCATGGCCAGGTTGTGCCACAGCACCTCTTTTGGTTGGATGGACAGGAAACGATCCTCCATTGGCATCGGGGTAGGGAAGGTGATCTGCTGGTATGCCCGATGCGCAGCAGACTGGTCCGAGAAAGCGACAAAGATGGCCGAATGCTCCGGGACGTTTCGACTTGGAGAGGCACGATGTGAATCGATCTTCTCAGCCAGCTCTCCGATCATCTTGCGGGCGCGGTCAATTGGATCGAATTTTGAGCCCACGACTGGAGGCTTCCTTTGCTTCGGCCTCTCACCGTTCGGGACCAGTGGCTGTCCGTCTTCGAGGTTCGCAGCGCCATTACCGTTGATGAGCCGGCCTTCCTTCTTGTGCCGCTTCACGGCATGCTTGATGAGGTCGACCTCGGCGTTTTCCAGCGCAAAGGCGGTGCCGCTACGTCTCGCAACAAGGTCCTCAAGATCACCTGCATCTCTCACAGGCCAAGACCTCTCAGCTTCAGATCCAAAGTACTGCTCCAGGTTCTCCGACTGGCAAGCCTCCGGAGGCGCATTGAGGAACAACACCGTCCGCGAAGAGAGGCGTGCTGACCGTTTCGTGTCGAGAAGATACGCCTGTCTAATCCCGATCAAGCGCAGCCGTTCTCTCGCTATAAGGAGGATGATGGCAGAAAAGAACACCCATGCGACGAGCACGTGCGCCCAAAGAACGTTCCTGCTGTCGATGTTGCTGAAGCTCAATCTGTCGAGCTGAGTCGCTGTCCCGCCTCCAGTAATGTTGGCTGGCAGCAGGATGGGAAAGGTAAGGATGCAACCTAATAGGCATATCCCGATGATGAATTTCAGAAAGCGTAAGAAGAGCCAGGCGTCCAGAGAGTTGTGCTGTAGCACGAAGTGGTCTGGTAGATTGCGGTAGCCTCCTACCCAGGACTTGGACTCAGTGGTGTGTTCTGGCGTCCGGTCCTTCTCGGGTATCGAGCCTAGGAATGTCCGTGGAGCGTAGATTTTGCGATATCTGTCGCGGATGGCGGCAAAGATGGCGATGTAGATGACGGCGGTCACAAAGGTGGGAATGAAGGCGGCGAGAATGGCAGCACCAGATGTCGAGCTGGAAGACCGGTGGCCGCCATGGCCAGAGTCGGTGATCGTGACCATGTCGGCGGTATGGTGAATGAGCTGGCGCGTGCGGCCTTGTCCCAGGAGGGCGTGTCGCGTCCACAGAGCACGATCACATGCAGAAGCGTCTCGCTTCAAGTCGTCGGGCGGGTGAGCAATGACTGTAAATGGCGATTAGATGTTCTCTGTCGGTCGAGAACTTGGAGCTGTTTGGAGCTTCCTCGCAAAGCTGGCTGGTGTTGCCTCTCGGCAGCGCGTGGCGCTCCCTAGCGCAAGTATGACGTGGCTTTCTAAGCTCTGAGTTGGAGCTTTTGGCCCCCAACTCCTTCCCCCAACTTCCTATCATGGCGATACCACGTCGAAATCCAAGTCCTCGTCCTCTCACAGGTGAATTGTGTACGTTATAGCAGCCGACATTCGCATGGTAGGTCCCATACCGCAGACCATAAGTATCCCAACACCTCTCCTATCTTAGTTCAAACCTTCCAACAACCACACTTTGTCGAAATGCCCCAACCGACGCTCGTCCTGGTTCATGGCTCGTGGCATAGCCCAGAGCACTTTGGGCCTCTCATAGAGAACCTGCAATCGCACGGCTACAGATGCGTGCCAGTATCGCTACCGAGCACACAGTCGCCCGATCTCCCGCCAGCCACCCTCGCGGACGACACAGCAGCAGTTCGAGACGCCGTCCTCACCGAGCTTGATCAGGAGAACGACGACGTCGTGGTCGTCGCTCACAGCTATGGCGGAGGACCAACGAACAACGCACTGTACGGGTTAGACGCCAACTCCCGCTCAGCAACAGGCGCCTCAGCCGCAGTTCGAGCCATCGTGTTCCTCTGCTCTATCCCACTCCCCAAAGGTGTCTCCTTTCTCACCGGCCTCGGCGGCAAGCCCAGCGGAATCCATGATCTTCGAACAGGAGGCTTTGCTTGGGTCGGCAAGCCCGGTCCTCAGCATTACTTCTACAACGACTTGCCAGACGAAGAAGCGAAGAAATGGTCGGATCTCCTTCGACCGCAGTCTTGGCCAGCATATGTCGATGATACGACCTACGCGGCCTACATGGACATCCATTCGGCCTATCTGTACTGCACACTCGACCAAGCGTTTCCACTGCAAGCACAGCAAGGACTGGTAGCTGCTGCGAAGGAGGCCGGGGCGAAGTTCGATTATGAGGAGACTCTAGAAGCGAGCCATAGTCCGTTCCTCAGCAAGGTGGAGGAGACGGGTGCTTTTATTCGGAGAGTAGCTGGAGCGTGAGGTTGGTGTGGCTGATGGAGAGCACTTGGCGCCTTGACGTGACTGGAAAGGCTAAGGTACGATAGAATTATTCCACTAGACATCATGCACAACGATACCAGTGCTTTCAAGTCTTTAACATTATCCATCACGTGGCACGTCAATCACATGCAATTCGGCGACAAACAGCCGACACCTCGGCAGTCGTGTTGCCCTGCATTGTGCTCGACGAATCTTGGGACATGACGAGTCCACGAGTCCACGGGTCTGGAATCTTCACTCTGCTGTGGGTCACGCAACCGAGTCTCTTTCGTACATACATGTATTCTGCTGCTACGATTCTTGCATCTCTTGCGATTGTCTGTCCTTACCAACTCATTCCATACGGGTATCGACGAAGCCGTAGATCCAAGGCAATCTCCGCTCGGACCGCCATATCAAAGTCGCATTGAGGGGCAAAAGGTAGATTGATCAGCGAGACCAAACGACGTCTGCTGGAGGACTCTTCCGCTGGAGCAACCAACTGCAGAAGGCCGTAGCATGGCCACGTATACCGGCATGGTCTACACTTCGACATGCACGACGACCGTGAAAAGCGAGTCGCACGAGGAGCCGACGCTGGGGGCCAGTTCGGGGGCACACTTCGACATTGATCACGACCGAGCGCGCAAGAGGAGAAGGCATTCGTCTTATACGTCGCGAGCATGGAGCAGGGAGCGGGACAACATCCAGTTGCGGGTGGATCGGTTTCTGGCGGACTTGGGGCGGCGGTTGGAAATGATGGAGACGTATGGCCACGTGAAAATCGACGAAGGCATGAAACGAGCGCACAACACGCTTCACGCCGTCCACGAGCGTTGCATACAGGTGTCGGATGATATCATCGACGCAGGCCGAAGAAGAGCGAACATCATGGTGGAAGTGTTGGAGCTGCGCTACCACGATGCGCTGGCGCGGAAGGAAACACTGGAGGCGAAGGCACAGGAGGGTATCAAGATCTTGGAATCAGTCTGCTCAGATCTCGAGCGTCGGGCATACAACATGCGGGAGACTGGTCTTGCGGCCAAAGCTTCAGTGATGCTGGACTCTGGCAAGGCATACATGGACACGGCATCGCTCAAGGCCGTCGAGATGGTTTCCGAAGGCGCCGTAGCTGCCCGGCGGGCCAAAGAACGCATGCAATGCAAGGTTGAGCATGCCATTGCCCAAGCACGTAAACATGGCGTGATCTCCTACGACGCCTTGCCAGAGCCATGGCGTGTGAACCCGCACATCACATCTGGCTACCGCTTCTCGGAGACGAAACTCGAATGCATCCGATCATGCTTCACCACTCTCAGCAACGAGACCGTCAACATCTGGACCCACGCGATAGGCTTGATCATCGTGCTCGCAATAGCCTTCTACGTCTATCCGAACACGCCAGAATTCAACCAAGCGACAAACTACGACATCTTCATTGCCGCATGCTTCTTCTTCGCAGCCTGCAAGTGCCTGGTCTGCAGCACCATGTGGCACGCCATGAGCTCCATCTCCGATCAGACACTCATGGAGCGCTTTGCCTGCGTCGACTACACTGGCATCTCGCTTCTCATCGCCGCGTCCATCATGACGACACATTATACCGCCTTCTACTGCGAGCCAGTCAGCCGCTGGATCTACCTCAGCACCACCTTCGCGCTTGGCATCATGGGTACAATCCTACCCTGGCACCCGACCTTCAACCGAGCAGACATGGCATGGGCACGCGTGGGCTTCTACGTCTCGCTCGCCACCACAGGATTTGTGCCCGTCGTTCAGCTTACGATGCAGCGCGGCTGGGACGAAACATCCTACTTCTATGCGCCGATTGTGCAGTCGATCCTCGTCTACCTCACCGGAGCACTGTTGTACGCAGCAAAACTGCCGGAACGGTGGAGGCCAGGATGCTTCGACTACGTCGGCGGAAGCCACAACATCTGGCACTTGGCGGTGCTGGGCGGGATCCTCTACCACTACGTGGCCATGCAGGCCTTTTTCTCTGAAGCGTACAAGCGGGCGAGTGTCGATTGCAGGGCTCCGGCCTAGCATTGTGTAGTTCTTTGCGTGTACATAGTCGGCGTAAGCCATTCACGTTTTTGCACGCTCATCCTTGCTCTCAACAGCGGGTGTGATTTCAACATCGAGCGAGGTCTATATCTTGCTTAGTTCTTGTTAGGTCAACATCTTGAGTTGGTTCAACGTGCCGCACCATCGGCATCAGCAGTAAAGTGAAAGTGCTCCACCGGTCGCCGCCCGTTGTTTACCTTCCATGCCTTCGCCACTCCCCGTGCACTGAACGCCCACACCACCAACCCATCGCAGCGATCCTCCTGCACCGCCAGCGCTCGCACCTCGTTCAGCTTCCCTACCTTCGTTCCGGAAATGTGCAGCGGCCACAGCGTATCCAGCGACCCCACCCTCCCATCGCCGTCAGCCAGCAAGTAATGCACCCACTTCATGTTCAGCCGCTCGAACTTCCTCGGCACATCTACTCCTGCCTCGCCCAGAGCTGAGGAATTGCTGGTCGGATGTTTCATGACATCTACCCAAACCAGCTCCTCGAACGGTACTGATGGGTCCTGGATCGCCTGCTCCTGCTCTGCAGTCGAGTAACGGAGTGCGTCCACTGGGACTGAGTAGAGAACAATGTTGTCACCGTAGACAGCGGCGATGCGGAGGCCCATCGAGAGGTCTGCGACTGCCCCGTAGATCGTCGGACTTGAGCCTGGAGAGCATGAGGGGGGAGGTGTGAAGACGACTTTGCGTGAGAGGCGCTGCACGCTGCCGGTGGGTGTGTCGCTGCACAAACACAGATGTCCGGTCTGCGTGTCCGTGAAGAGGAGATGATGGCCGTCGCTGAGAGGGACAGCGTAAGCGTGATCAGCTGTGTGAGGTATCTCGGAGCGAGGAAGAGTAGCAGGGACATGCCACGAGGATGATAGAGAGAACCAGGAATTGCGGTGCGGGCTACGGGTGGTGACCGCGGTGTTGTGGTCATCCGGAGATTTGGTCGCACTGCTGATGAGACGCAGACGGAGGCGAGTGTCGATGTTCTGACGTGGGGGAAGGAAGTAGAGGTGGTCTGACGGGCGGGTGAGAGGGAACCAGCGGTTGAGGTTCTGGCCTGTCGTCGAGTCAATCTGTGGTATGTTAGAAGGCAGTACTCATGAGAAAATCGGTTGACGCGCACCCAGTAAAGCTCAACACCACTCTTGCAGCCAAAGGCAACACACTGTCTCGTCGGACTGATGGCGATCGAGGTCGGCGGATCTTCGTCCATGCAAACGTTCCGGTATACCAACTGCGAGTACGACAGCTGCTCCTTGTTTTTCTCCCCTCCCGAAATGGTGAGCGCTCGAGGCCAGACACCATTCATTACAGCAGGCGTATGCCTCATGCCGCGCAGCCTTGCTCGCCTGCCGTGGTAGTAATGTGCCCAGCTGCGCTGAGTAACGACTTCGATACACTGGTGCAGAATATTGCTCTCGCCCATCGATCCGGCATTGACAGACAACTCGTCGAAGTCTCCCACGGTGACGTCCCTTCTTCCTCTCGTTGGGCTTGAAGCCGCCTCATCGCTGGAACCAAAGTCTATAACAGCAGAGCTGCTGGATGCTTCGTTGGTAACCGCGCCTGCAGTCTCCCACGCTGATTCGGAGGGAGTGCTTGAGGTGGCGAGGAGGTCGAGGTAGATGCCCACCCGACCTTCGATAATAGCGGCTAATGCGAAGCAGTACCCGCTTGCGTCTATGCAGACGGCCTTGACAGGTCTGTCGCATGAGATTCGATGGAACAGGCGCAGCTAGAGCCCGTTGAGTTCGTAGATGTAGATCTCGCTGCCGACAGCTGTAACATAGACTCTACCGCAGGGACTGGTCGAGTGCAGCCCAGACGTCCCGTTTTGGTGGCTATTGGTTGTGACGAGGCCAGCGAAGTCGACCGAAGAGCCCTCGATGAACGGAGTGAGGTCATCGTTATGATCTGGCTGAGGGAGTCCATTGCCCGTCCAGCTTCCGGCAAGCGCACACTCCCTTGCCAGGAAACAGCTCATCGGCCAGGCATCTGGCGGCCGCCGATGGAAGGAGGGAACGGTGTCTGCACCCTTCCACCACCCGCCACGCTTCATCTGCTCCACCAAGAGTCGAAGTTGCAGGCTTGCGGACATCCAGCGGAGGCTCGTAAGCCGTGCTGCGTTGAAGTCGTGGGGCGCCAGATATGCATATATTTGCTGTATCAGCTCGATGGGAAGCGTGGTTGCAGGCGACTGTGGTACCTCTCCCGCTTCGTGGCTTGCATTGTCAGGTACATCAGTGAGGAAATGCGGTTCAGAATTCGACGGTTGCGGCTCGGAATACATCGGTCGTCAGTCGTATCCCAGGTAGGCGTGTTGAATTAGGAACAACACGGTACGAATGCGACACTAGGACCGTAGGAAGATGTGGAGGCTGCTGTTGTACATTGGTGAGCCAGGCAAAGCCGTTTTAGATTGCATTTGTAGGCAGCACGAGTCGGATGCATCGAACTGGTGGAAGGCAGGCGCATCGATCGACCGTGTCCTGCTGCAAGCGCCAGACGAAGCAATTCAGACATGGAAAGCGCCTTCGTTCCCGAAATGAGCATTAATCGCTGTACAAAAAGTAAGTAGCAGAACGCTATGCAAGGGTATCATCGCTCAACCAGTCTTGTTGCCTCCAATGCCGCTCAGTCGCTCTCATGCCCGCCCTCTTCGCCGTCTATTAAATTACCATCCATTCCAATCCTGCCTTCTTCCCTTCGAAATTCCTTATCAGCAATCCACAACCCATCCAGAGGCGCAATCAGGCTCGGGTTCATAAACCGCAGCCCCGTCTCGTCGCTCTCATCGACAGCAGGCTTCGCGACGCCCACTCTTGTCTCCCGGAAGTACCTTAGATGTGCGCCGCTGGTCGTCTCAGCCCACGCATCGCGCTCAGGAGCAAGGTCGGTGCTACTGGTTGTACTCCTCGCCTCAGCCGCGCTGTTTGGCTCTGGTGGAGGGGATGCATAGTCGGAGTACTGCTGCCCGCGCTGCACACTTCGCAAAGCTATGAACTTCATCAGCGGCTTATATGTGCGGCCGTACAGGATGTTGATCCAGATCGTCACGATTATCAGCGGGACGATGAGCAGGCTTCGCGCAGCGGCAGACTTAAGCAGAAGCTGTCCGGCAGTGGTGAGCTGGAAGAAGATCAAGCCGACAAACACGCGGTCACATATCATAACCCAGGCACGTCCCGTGGCTTGCTGCTGGTGGTCCATGGCATAAAGAAGCTGGTATTTGTAGACGAAGTGGCCAAAGGTGAAGTAGATCAGACCTGCGAGGAGGACCTGCCAGGAAGAGCGCAGGACTGAGTAGACCATGCAGATGATGAAGATGAGCAGCGCGGTGGGAAGGTAGAAGCCATAGCTGAAGACCGGCGGTTGCACGAGCTCGGCGTAGTCGCGCGGTGTCTTGGCGCCGATGCGGTACACCGGATAGAGAGTGACGGCGCCAACTTCCAGCAGGCGGAAAGGGAACAGGCCGAGGCCTTGCAGGATGATGAAGTTGACGTAGAAGTTGAGAAGCTTCTGGAGGGAGTAGGCGAGGCCGTTGGCAATCGCGTTAAAGCTCTTGAGCGCATCGCCGAATTGCTTGAAGAACAGGTAGAATTGCGATGCCGTGCCCAACAGGGTGAAGACGATGAAGAAGTTGAAGAAGGTGAAGAAGAAGTTCTTCGAGATTGCCGAGAGCTCGACGTCGCCCTGAGAGGTCATGCCTTGGTACCAGGACATCCAGTAGTAGAGGTAGGGCACGAGGACCATCAACAAGGTCAATATGAGAGTTGGCAGCTGGGTGTTGACAAGGGATCGGATGTTGGCGTGGTCATCGAGAACTTCGGCCAGCTGCGGAAAAATCTTCCCGATGGTCTTGGTGTTCAGAAGACCAGCGATGGGTACGAAGAGAGCCGACCAGAAGATCGTGAGGAGCACGATGACGATGGTGATTGACCATGCACGAACCATGCGAGAGCGTCTGGGCAAGTATGTGTTCGGCCAAATCACATCGGCTGGAGCAGGACTTTGGCTGGCGATCAGCTGCAGAGGCGAGGGACCCAGCACGGCTTGAATAGCCATCTGGCATGCAGCGACTGAGTCCATGGTGACATAGGCCAGTGGGACTGGGTCAAAGCTTTTCTTGCGAAGTCGTCTGACCAGCTCGTCTGCCGATCGGAACTTCTCTTCGTAATAGTCGATAGCGTCGACCTGCGTGCTTCGTAGTTTCATGAAGCCGTACCGTATGCTCGTCTTTGGTCGCTGTCGCTCGTACGGTGCTGGATGAGATTGCGCGTTCGCTTCCACGAGTCCTGTTGCCTCATCCGCCTCGTCATCGTCACCCAGCAGATCACGCGCTGCGGGGCTCGGAGGTGCTGGCTGTGACACTGGCAGCGATTCCAGGTTGCGCTCAACCCTTCGTTGTCCCAGGTTGATGGTGTACGCCTCTTCTAGCTTTCTCAGAGCGTCCATGCGAGCAACCACTGCAGCGTCCAGCTCTTTCCAATTTCGACACACCGTCACACTCTCCACCTTGCCAATGTCCAGGCTCTCGATGAACTCCTGGAGCTTGCCTTCATCTCGGAGGTCCTCTGGAATGCCCGATAACCTTATTGTCCTGTCTGTGATAGACGTCTGCGTACCCAAGTATTCCTGCCTGACCTCAATGACCTTCTTCGTTTCTGTCACAATCAAGTAGATGGCGATGGTGGAGAACAGGTACGCGAAGACAACGTACATCCAGAGATAGTCGCTCTCGAAGTCCTCTGGCCAGGGCATTGTACCGTTGTATGGCATGCTCATCGGCTGGGTCGCAAATAAGTCCCCATTCGTGCCATTCTTGTGCTTGTGATGATGGGTGCCATTCTTGGGGTTCCTCGCATCATCGTCGGGATTCGCGTCGTGCACCGGCTTGATGACGATCAACGAGAAGAACAGCGTGACCAACAGGAACTTCATCGCCATCTTGAAGAAGGTCAAGAAGGCGTATGCGTCCAGGCCGGCGGATGCGAGTATCTGCTGGTCCCCAATCCTCCATAGCGGCATGATCCAGCCGAAGGCGGTGGCGGGCAGCTCTGGCAGCACCGTGGCTTCGTGCTTGTGCTTCTTGCGCGCAGCATAGAGGCCCGCCCATCGTGGACGGAGCACGCAGAAGGCGAAGAACGATATGAGGCCGAGGGCGAGGGACAGTTCGATCTGGATCTTCTTGTCGCGTGCGTTGCGCAGGCCGATGGCGTCGCTGTATTTGTCGCCGTCATCCCCGTGCTTATCGAATGTGAAGAAGTCGTCCATCGGGATGCTTCGAGGCCGGCTGCCTCGAGAGCATCAAGGGTGGGTTTGGTGGTATAGGTGTAGGTGCTGTGCTTGTGATAGCTTGAAGGGAGGCTTGAGATGACGTGCTGCGTCCGATCAGAGATCTTCGAGGGTCGAGACTTTGTGTGGCTTGAGCGCCGCGTGGCGGTTGCCCTTTCTCGTCACATGCATGCATGTGTGTTCGTCTTCCACAAAGACATGTAGGTATGTTGTCCAAACATAATAGGTCAGACGCATTGTAATCGTTGAGCAGAATTGGTGATCTTGGGAAGCGGGCGTTGGTGGTTCAGGATGGTTTCATCAAGATTACGACGATACACATCGATCATAGTCCTTTTCACAACCCTTGGACTGTTGATGTACACCTTCCAAAAATCCATACCGGATGTTAAAAACTTGAAAGATCTCAGGAAACAAGCAGGCAACTGGACACTGTTGGGCCATCAGACAGCTCTTGAGATCGATCCGCCTCCTGCCGAGCGTCCTGTCGGAGCCCTTGTAATAGCAGCAGGGGCGGATACCGATCTCAAGTGGACAATTTCCGCCAAAGTCAAGTCTGTACCTTTCAAAACTTCTCCAAGTACCAACGCTAATGTGAGTTAGTTGGACTGTGTATGAATACGATGTCCGCCAACCCAACAACCCCGACCCGCAACTCCGCTTCCCAGCAGCCAAAGGCAATGAAGCGATGATATACCTCTCCTTTATCATCGACCACTACGAGTCCCTACCCTGGTCCATTGTCTTCATGCACGGCCATCTCGAAGCCTGGCATCAGGAGGACAACGCTGTCCGGATTTTGGGAGGCCTGAACCGCGTGGCTCTGGCCCGGCAAGGCTACATCTCTCTGCGTTGTGACTGGTATCCCTCGTGTCCGGCTGAGATGCGGCCTGTGCACCATGACGCTGTGGTATGGGGCCCTGAGGGCGATACGAAGGGGACAGAGGCTGCAATCGCTGGGAACTGGCGGCTGTTGTTCCCGGGCGAGAAGTTGCCGGAGACGATTGCGAGTCCATGTTGTGCGCAGTTTGCTGTGACAAGGCAGGCGATTGCCAAGAGGCCGAAGGAGGATTACGAGCGACTGAGGAATTGGTTGATGAGATCGTTGCTGGAGGATAACCTGAGTGGGAGAGTGTTGGAGAAGCTGTGGGCGTACTTGTTCACGGGTGAAGCTGTGCAGTGGGTGGTTCTTATCTCCTGGCTATAGAAAGTCTCTGCTGACCACAAAGTCGTAGTTGTCCACCTCCGCAGAAATGCGCCTGCGAGTGGTTTGGCCGGTGCAACGAAAAGGACTTTGCAAAGCCACCGGATGCAGTAGGAACGTTGCCAGACTGGCCTTGAGTATTGGTTACCGCGATCAGCTTGGGCAAGCTCCGTGATCAGTATGAGTCTCATTGTGGACCCAGCCGTGTCGTGAGCACATGCACAGCCAGGAAGTGCGCCGAAGCTGGGCTGGGCGCGGGAAATCACAGTACATACCCGGAACGTGCTGCGACACAGCCTGTGGTGCTCAACTTCAAGCAGAGACACTGTATTCGAGAGATGTTCTGTTGTTCCGAAGACAAGAACGAGGTGAGGTTACGGCCAAGCTTCGCGCCTGCCGTTTCTGTCAGCGGCCATACCAAGCAGAACATCTTTCTTCCGACAACACCTCGTGCGACGAGTCGATTCTTACTCCTCAGACTCATCGCATGACTCAATGGCGGCGAAGATGTCACACGACGAGCTTCTAAAACCGACACTGCATGTCGAAGCGTTACTCAAAGCCTCGCCACCTGCACCGCACATCAACCAGGAGGTATGTTTCAGCGTTCGGGAAGCATACGAGCTCATGCTGATACGACTCGCAGATCTGCGCAGCACTGGCGGAGAGGCTCAAGGAAGACTACGAGACTGTCACGATTGGCCAGCGGCTGAACGGCTTCGGTAGGAAGTAAGCCTGCTGGTTGCCAGTTCTTTTACTGAGACGTACAGATGGCATGAAACACTGTGCTCTACTCTTGGAGGTCGAAATCGCCGACTACACCGGTCCCGAACACAAGACAGGCTATTTTGACCTGCAGAATAATCAGCTCGACGTCCAGGCTTACTCCCTCACCTCCGATGACACCCCTGACACTCGCCGCACCATCGACCAGACTTCCGCAGACGAAGTGCCCAAAACCCGTATCCTCACTCTTCCGCACTCGTTCCTCAACGAAGCCTGGACGTCCCTAGTCTTCGACGACAACCTCCCGGCCCGTCTCCTCCGCTACCTCGTGCGCATGCTCAGCATGATGTCTCAGCCCGGCCTGAACCTCAGTACCTTCAACTGGAACCGGCTCTGTCTACTCCACGGCCCTCCAGGAAGCGGGAAGAGCACGCTCTGCCGCGCATTATCGCAGAAGTTGAGTATCAGGCTCGGAAACGTCCTCCCGAATGCCATCTTGGTAGAGATCAATGCCAACGCCATGCTGAGCAAGTACTTCGGAGAAAGCGGCAAGCTCATTGGTGGCACGTTCGAGCGCATCCACAGCATGGCGCAGTCCCGCTCTACGCTGGTCTGTGTCGTAATAGATGAGGTCGAAACTATCGCCAGCTTGCGCAGCAAATCAACCAGCGGAAGCGAGTGCAACGACGGACTGCGTGCTACGAACCAGTTGCTCACTTCACTTGATCGTTTACGCAACTTACCGAACATCATAGTCATCTGCACCAGCAACCTCATCGACGCCATCGACTCTGCATTCTTGGACCGTGTGGATATCAAGCAGTTGATACCAGCCCCAAGTCCAGCGGCCATCTACAACATCTTTCGCTCCTGCATCAGCGAGCTCGTGCGTAGCAGCTTGGTCGACTCTTCCAAGCCGGCGACACCGCCACCGCCCCCCTCCACTCCACCCAACCGTACCACCCGCGCCACCAATAACAACAAAAGCAAGAAGCGCAAGCTCGCACCCGCCCGCACCGACCCTGAACCAGCCAGCTCTTCTTCCGTCGACTCTTCCTGGTCCGTGGTCTCCCAACCTGAGATCATCCCCACTTTCTCCGAGATGAAAGTCAAGTACGAAAGCCAGCCCGCCTCTCCAGCCTGCAGGATCTGGCTGCTGGCCCAACGCTGCCACGGTTTGAGCGGCAGGACGTTGCGGCGACTGCCGATCCTGGGTCTGGCGATGTATACGTGGGGTGGGTTGGTGGATCTAGAAGAAGCGGTCGCGGCGCTGGAGGCTGCTGTTGAGCAAGAACTGATGGTCGTGAAGGGAGGGACATGAACGGGGAGGCTTAATTGGAGAAGGGAATAGTGAAATTGCGTTCGCTCCGCAGATGTGTGGAATTGCTGTTGCTGGAGAACGGTTTTGTGAACAGACGTAGCTGATCTTGCTCAGTCATCCAGTCCTGCGAACTCCTCCTCTTCGCCATCTTCTATATCTTCCTCACTAGCGCTGATGTCCTGTTCTACTTCAGAACCACCACCATCCTCAAGTCCCTCGCCCCCATCAACATCCGCACCCCCTTTCTCACCTCCGACCTTCGACTTCCCATCCATGACAAAAGCCCCCAAGCAAGTAATCCGGTTTCCAGTCTCAAGTACCCCAAGCAGCTGACCAACCTGCTTTGGTTTGGAGGCAGCGTCGCCGTCCCGTGTCGGCTCAGCGGCCAACGCCGCGTGGTCATAGAGGCTCCAGAGCCGAATAGCGCCGTCAGAACTCGCTGTGACGAGAAGGAGTGGAGGTGTTGGTAAAGAAGGTATCGCAGGTAGCGAAAGAACGTCGAAGTCTTTGATGCGGTTCGTCACTCCTGCTTCTCGGCCGTCGAGTTGGGCGAGGCATGGGAGGTGAGGCAGATCTTTCCCGTCTGCCATTGCGCTCGCTTGGTCGACGTCGTAGAACAGCACCCGTCCATCTTCAGCTGAGATAGCCAGTACCCCAGACCCTGGCAAGAACCTCATCTGATGCACTTTCGTCCTTGCTGGCTCCGGCCTGATGACCGCTCTCGCCTGCGAATCGACACCGAAGACCACCGCACCTCTCTCGAATCCAACCACAAAAGCCTCTCCATCCTCCCGCCAAAGCACCTTCCGCCCCTCACCAGTCCCCCACTTTCCCTCCCCCGCCTGCTCCAACAGACTTCGCTCAAACTGCAGCACCCCTGCCTTCTTCCCTGTCATTAAGTTCCAAAGGCGCATACATTTCTCGCCCCTTCCAACCGAGATGGCGAGTTTCTGACTGGGATGTACTGCGAAGTCGTTCACACCGGCGGGAACCTCTCCAGGCGCCAGCGTGTCGCCCGACGGCCGTCCAAGCGGCTTCGGTACTGGCGCTTTGATGGTGGAGAGAAGAGTCCAGTCTCGGGTGCGAGTGATGGCGACAGTATTGTCGTCGGCCGAGGAGAAGAGTTTGGATTTGCTGGGGAAGGAGAGGGTCGTTAGAGGGCGCGAGTGGTGGGTTAGAGAGCCTAGCGGACGGTTCAAAGGATTGACGGAGTTGGTGGAGGCTGGAAGTAGCGAAGATGGTTTGGCGGAGGCAGCTTTGGGCTGAGGTGGAATGGTGGAGAGGGAGTAGAGGTTTATTCGCTCGTCTGAAGACCCGGTGGCGAGTAGGCGTTTGTTATTCTCAGTGGGCGGCGAGAGTGCCAGGCAGCGGAGGGACGAGGTGTGAGCGGCGAAGAGGAAGGTGTTGGAGAAGGTTACGGGGGGTTTGGTTCCATCTTTGCTGGTGCCGTTGGGTTGGTCGGGCTTTGCGTTCGGTTCGAGCAGCGATGTTGGAATCCGCGCAGTGACACCGTGGAGCACGCGCTCGTAGGAGCCAGCTACGATCTGGACCACGATATCTTCATCTAGGGCGGTAGTCACTTGCGTTTTCCGGATCTTCTCCAGTTGTGGCTCGGTCTCAGTCTGCAAGCCGTGGTCCAGGTCCCGTTTGCCATTCTGCTGGACGTTGCGCTTCTTCTGCGCCGGCTCCTGACTTGCTCCTCCCTGTCCTCTTGATCGAGCGTCTTGCTCGACAGCCTCCCGGGGTCGTTTGAGTGTTGCCGTAGCCATCCTATTGCGAGTGAATGGGTATCAAAAATTCGTGACGATCGTCAAGAGAAGTCTCGCCAGGAAGAAAGTTTAGCGAATGATGCTTGGCGGGTGAAAGGAGAACGCTGACTCGCCAAGGGAAGGCGCGGCCCCGCGAGGAACCTGGAAAGCAAGAACGACTCTCGACGCTCACCACCGGGCGCAATCCGCATCGCCAGCAGCCCGATTCACGACGACGAGCAAAACACTGCTGGGTATTATTCTAACAGAACCCGCAAACTCATCATCACGGCTCTTCTCGGGATCTCGCGGCCATCTGTTGTTCGCGGAATGACAGATGCAGCCACTCGCCGTCGACCTTCACTTTCATGTCCCTCACGCTGCGACGAGATGCGCTCAACAGTCGCCAGCATGACTTGAAGTGAGTCCGCATCAACACCACTCCGAACACTCACAATTCACGTGCAAATCAATCACAAAACACGTGAAGAAGCACACCCTGATGACTCTACAATTTATTCGATGGAAACGCGATGGGTTGCGTCCAAAAGCTGATGTCGTCGTCCAGACAGACTCGCCGGGCGCATCGGTCGCAAGCCGTCGCGCTGCGAGCCGTCACCAGGCTGATCGCGAAGAACAACAGCCTCAACGACCTCATCAACGCGCAATACGACGCCGAGAACTCACCTCCGGCTGACAGTGAAGATGCGACATGGCTGCAGTCGATAGATCTCGAGAGGTGAGTGCTTTTCATCACGTGTTAGATGAGGTGAAGTGGTCGCTCACGTGCTGCAGTGGTTACACCCTCAACGAGGCTTCCGTACCTTCGCCATCCATCGACACCTCCGATACCGCCGCAACTCACACAAAACCCAATAGAACCTCACCTCATCCTGTTGGAGGACCTGGAAATGCTCTGGATGCGCATGCGCTCGACCACCACCCCTCGGCGTCATCTCCTGCCGACCTGACCACCCCCGCTGATCTGTTACACCCCGATGGTGTATTGGGACAACCTCAAGTGCCCTCGGGAGATGTAGATCAAGATGGGCACCCTGCGGCACGAGCATCTGGAGAACCTGACGGCCCTTCCGTCGTACCAGACAAGATCGCACCGCCCGAACCAGACGAAGAAGCCACCTTTGACGATGCGACCAAAGAGCTACTTGACCTCGAGAGTCCTGAGCGACCTGCAAAGGTTGTGCGACTGCCAAGCGAGGACGAGCAAGAGGATGTGGAGCGAGAAGCCGGCCGACAGAGATCTGATGGTACAGATTCAAGCAAGGCATCCCGCGCACATCTCCAGGCACAAGAGGTAGCTTCATCACCTTCATCTACCGTCGGCGCATACTCTGCAGCCACACCGATGCCACCACAAGAGTCTCCAGATACCTCACCGGATTCAGAGCATGGTGAGCAGCTCGAAGTGCTGCCCCCGAAAGACTTGCGGCCTTCTCCGGAAGAGCGACGGCAGAAGGAAGAGCATGATCGCTTGCTTGAAGCACAGAAAGAGATTGCAAGGCAGCAGGCGCTGGGCGATGTGTCAGAGACACCGGATGATCAGCTGAAGTGGGAGGAACGTGAGGCTGCTGCGCGCCAGGCGGAAGAACAGGCTGCAAGGCAGGATGTTGGTGGTCCCGAGCCTGATTCGAATCGGATGGCCGAGCAGAGTGATGCTGAAAAGGTTGTGGACAGTGTGTTGAACGACAGGGCGTCAGACCGGCTTGAGACAGCTGGGTCTCGTCAAGAAGCGAACGAACATACTCAGCCCGTGCAGGAGGGCAGAGGCGTCAAGCGACCGGCTGTTGATGAAGATGACGACGATAACATCACTGTAACGCCACGGGCGAGGGCGCCGTTGACGATTGACACTTCACGACAGCCGCAGACAGCACCGACTGAGACTACATCTCAAGACATCGTGGCCGACATCAGAAGAACTTCCTCCGGAGTCTTGCACCATCGAACTGTCTCTGAGACTTTAGGTCAGACAACTTCGCAATCTGGACCGCCTCAACGAGATGTCGTGTTGTCGCCCGGGACAATATCACCGTCAGCGCTGCGCCATCCCCAGGACTCATCGACAGGAGCCCCGTCCATCAATGATCAGCGCCGACTATCCAAGCAGATTGGTTTGACGCGAACACCCAGCAACTCCATCTCAGCGCTTGAAGATCTCATGGCTCTTAAAGGTGCCTCTCAAGATCCAGAGCGCGACTACCTCGAACCACTCTTCCGCATACAGGCCCATGATACTCAAAGTGCTCGGACCACCTCTCTCAGCGAACTCATTCGCTCCGCCTCCAAAACCATCTCTACTGAGGACCAGGCCATGTCACTCGAAGAACGCCTCGACTACAAGATCTTACGGCGCATTTACCAGCTCCAAAATGCAAACAAGTGGTCTTTGCGGCAGATGGAACAAGCAAAGGAGCCCGAGCAACCAGAGACGCATCACGATCACATGATGACGGAGATGAAATGGATGCGGAAAGACTTCAAAGCGGAACGCAAGATGAAGGTCAGTGTCTGTGCATGGCTGGCAACACGGTGCGCCGAATGGGTTGCTGCCTCTGCGGAGGAGAGAAAGGCCATGCAAATCAAAGCCCGGCCGCCGAAAGAGCAATCGAAGAGGCCAGCCGACAGCGAGGAGCAAGTGCCAGACCTCGAACATTCTGGCGAGTCGGCTGGGGAGGAGGAAGCTGGGCCTCCAACACCAACTGCTCATTCTGCATTCCCGAGGACCCTCATCGTACCACCGGAGCTTTCCGGCATCGTCACCAACCTCCAGAAGGCTGGGAAGCTTCAAAAAGCGCTTCAAGCGCTGCCGACAACAGGATTCGAACACAACCCTCGACCAGTCGACAAACGAGCACTTGCGCCCGTCTCGAGGTTCGTCCAAGGCAAGGTTCTGCCGCAATCGCATGGTCCGAATCGGAAGCGCAGTCGGTATGAGTATGAGGACGACGATGCCGTTCTGAACAGCGACCAACCACTTGCGAAACGCCTCAAGGACGAGCAGGAGCTGCCACCGGAGGACCAAGAAAGCGCACTCTTCCATCCCGATAACAAGCACATTCGGGACCGCCTTCATGCCAACAATGCCTTCAGGCCGCCTTCAGAGTTTCCGATGCCGTCGATACCCTTCTATGAGTACCGTAGCGGTTCGCAGTGGATCTGGGAAGATGACCAGAGGCTAAAAAAGCTGGCCAAGGAGTATTCGTTCAACTGGTCGTTGATTGCTGATGAGCTGCAGCTGCCTGGTGTTGTGAAGAGCTCTGCTGAGCGTCGAACTCCTTGGGAATGTTTCGAGCGATGGGTGGAGCTGGAGCAACTCCCCACTGAGATGCGGAAGACCATGTACTTCAAGACGTGGTATGAGCGTCTCGAGAAGAGTCAGCAGGCCGCTGAAAGGCGTTACCAGGCCCATGTCGCTGCGATACAGGCACAGAACAACGGCCAAGCCAGCCATGTGCCACCGCGGAAGCGCACTGTCCCTAGCAGGGTGGAGAAGCGCAGAAATACGCGGTACTTATGGCTGGTGGATGCGATGCGGAAGGGTGCACGGAAAAGAGAACAGGCGCAGTATAAATCTGCTGAAGGTGTGCTCCCTCTTTTACTACTACGGAGAGAGTGGAAGGCTAACCAATCTCGCAGCAACCCGTGCAGCCACCCAGCGAAAGAACCAGGCTGACAACAATCAACCACGTGTCCCTACGCTGACTCCGCAGGAGTTCAGTAAGAAACGGCAGGAGCGCGATCTGCAAGAAGCAGAGCTTCGAAGGCAGCAGCAGCTGAAGGCCGTCGAGCAAGGCCATAGAATGATGCTCGCACGCCAGCAAGCGCATCAACAAGCTCAACAGCAGCAGCGCGGTGGTCAGAGTGGTGCGCCGAACCAACAGCGACCCGGTAGCTCCTCCATGCAGCAAGCACAGGCTCAAGCCAGTGGTCAGGGTCAGCCTCAACAGGCCGGCATGAATGGCCAAATGCCGCAACAAGGTCGCCAGCAACTTCCCATGGCTACCAGGAACGGCCATCTCGCCGTACCTCAGGTGGGCGCGCAGGGCATGCCGCAGGCTCAGATGCGCCCTAACGGTGTCATGCCGAGTGCGCACGACATGCAGCGCTACGCCCAAGCGAACGCTCAAGTGCGCAACGGCCAGTATGCCAATCAGCAATACCAAATGCAGAACCCGAACATGCAAAGTCCAGGCACCGGCGCAATGACGTCGCAGCAGCAGATGCAGTCGAATCAGGCCGTGCTCGCACACCTCCAGCAGATGAACGGCACCGCACCCCATGCACAAGGACACCAGCAGCACCCAAGTCACCAGCAACAACAGCAGATGTCCGCCTCTCCCTCCATGCCGCCACCTCCAACACCACATCAGCAGGGACAGCAAAGCCACCCTCAGAGTCTGTCTTCCGGCCACATGCCTCAGATCAACATCGCGAAGCAGCAACTCCGCCAGAAACACCCGCAGGCCACTGAGGAGCAGATCACCTCGCTTGCAACAGACATGCTGAGAGGCCAGACGCAAAGTACAAACCATGCGCGGCAGAGCGCCATGAATGCTGCTGCCGGCATAACTGGCAATGGCGTTGCTCCTCAAAGCCATGGCTCCAACGCAAACATGGCGGCCTACGCCCACAATCAGGCTGCGTACCAGAACAACTACGCCGGCGTCAACGGCATCTCCAACACAGCTGCGCAGCAAGGCGCCACACAAGGTCAAGGCCAAAACAAGGCAGACTACTCCCGCATGATGACGCAGGCGATGCATCGCCAACAGCAGAGCCCGACTGCCAGCCGCGCTTCGCTGCACAACACCGGTCCCGCTGTCGGAAGTCCGGGAGCGGGCATGCACGCAAGCCCGGCTCTCGCGCACGCAAGTCCAAGCATGACAGCCATGGGCGCACCAGGGAGTCCTTTCGCTCCGAACGGCCAGATGCCTTCAATGAACATGCAAGGTGGAGGGCAGGCAAGACCTCCCAGCCGGAGCGCCAGCGCCGGTGGCACACCTGGTGGTGGCCTGACACGTTTGGGCAGTTCAGGGAGCTTGACAGCGGGCATGCCCGGTGTCGTGGGAAGTCCAGGGCCGCAGGTCAGTGGGCATGCGATGCAGGGCCAGCAGGTTCAAGGGAGTCCGCAGGGAGTAGGGGTGCAGGGGCTTTGAGGGCGAGAGATGGATGAGAGCCTACGGTATGGTCAGAGAATCAGGTAGCGCGTAACACTACAATACATGTCCAAACGTGCTGCACCTTGCCTACTGTACCGCTCTGGAACATCGCAGTCGGTGTCCAAGTATGGAGAATGTGTGAGTCTAGAACTGTTCCCGCCGGGCCGTGTTGGGAAGGCAGCTTGCAATGATGACCAATTCATGGGATGATCTCAAACATTTGAACAACTCCACCACTTAAAGTCCAACGCAAACAACGACCATGTCGACACACGACACTATCTCTCCTTTCAAGCTCTCAATCACTCAGGCCGTTCTCGATGACTTACAACTACGCCTTCGGTTGACCCGCTGGCCGGACAAGGAGACAGTTACTGACTGGTCTCAGGGCGTGCCACTCGCAGCAATTCAAGAGCTTTGCGAGTACTGGCAGACCAAATACGACTGGCGAAGATGCGAAGAGCTACTCAACTCATATCCTCAGTTCACGACGACGATTGACGGCGTGGAGTTCTACTTCCTGCACATCCGATCAAAGCACGAAGGCGCTCTTCCTATGCTGGTCACACATGGCTGGCCCGGTTCAGTCCTGGAATTCAGACATGTGATTGACATGCTCGTCGACCCCAAAGCTCACGGCGGCTCTTCCAAGGATGCCTTTCATCTCGTCGTACCAGCACTTCCGGGCTACGCCTTCTCCAGCAAGCCAACGGAGACGGGATGGAATTACAAGCGCACTGCACGTGCATGGGCAGTGTTGATGGATCGATTAAGCTATGCAGACAGCGGATGGGTCGCTCAAGGCGGCGACTGGGGTTCTCACATAACCGCCAGCCTAGGTCATCAAGCACCAAAGGGCTTGAAGAGCGTTCACATGAACTCGGTCTACTTCGAGCCGGAAGTAATACTCTGTTTCCATGTCCTTCGGCAAAGTATACGCTAAAGTCGTTTGCAGAAAGAGGTTCAAATTCCAGCCCATGATAAGAAAGGCGAAGAACGAGCAGTGCATCTGGACCACCGTCGGGAGACCACAGGATATCGTGGATACTCCCTCCAGCAGTCAACGAGACCTCAGACCGTTGGGTACGGGCTTGCGGACTCGCCGGTCGGTCAGGCTAGCTGGATATACGAAAAGTTCAGAGACTGGTCCCATCATAACGGCGATGCAGAGAAAGTGTTCAGCAAAGACGAGATGCTGGACACGATTATGCTGTACTGGCTCTCGAACTCTGGAACTTCGTCCGCCCGTTCCTACTGGGAGAATCAGCCCAACACGACCGCGTGGAAGATTGACATACCGGTCGGCGTGAGCTGGTTCCCGGGCGATACGAGCTATGCGCCTAAGGAGTGGTGCGAACGGTATTCGAAAAACATTGTGCATTTGAGGGAGACGGAACGAGGCGGTCACTTTGCGGCGTGGGAGCAACCGGACCTCTTTGTTGCAGAGATCCGTGAGTGGAGGAGCAAGATAGAGTAATCGGATATCAAAGCATACATTACATCGCAGGCAAGAACCCTTCCACCTCCACATTCCAGCTTGAAGGGAAGTGAGAGCCCTCATGTCCATCCCACCCACTCGCCAACATTGCCACAGCCCACAACAAGCTCGCAGCGCCTGGCATGTACGGCGTCGGCACCCTTGCGCCTCCGACCTGATACCCAGCATCATCAAATTCGAACGTCGAGTCCAGCAACCAGTCCACCGCTCGGTCAACCTCACCCAATCTGGCCGCATTCATTGTCAGCAGAGGGAAGTCCCAGCCGTAACTATCTGTGAAGTTCCAAGTACTGTAAACGTGCTCAACAGTGTTCTGCATGATGGTTAAGTTGAAGTCTGGCTGGGGTGGCAGCCAACCGTAGATGCCGAGCATGCTTTGATGGTCTGTTGTGTAGGTCGTGTTGTGCCACATGTCATCTATGCCTTCGTAAATGACATAGGTCTCGTCAGCGACGGGGAGAGGCGCGAGGTTCTCTGCAACGTGGGTCCACTTCGCTGGCACAGGTTTGCCTTGCCGCTTTTGCCATTGCGAGGCGGTGTCGAGACCAAAGCGCCAGTATGCCAGCTCGAATGCTGCGTTGAAAGTTGCGTTGGGATCGGTGTTCTCACTGACTGGATATATTGGAGGCCCCAGGTCGTATACGCCAGTGCTCTCATTGCAGTAGGCGTAGTCTGCCATCCATGCAGCGGTTTCATACAACACTTCGTCCCACTTCTGGAGTGTAGCGTCGTTTGGAAAGGCACGCCACTCATATTCAGCGAACTGCATTGGATGTGGCTGCTGCCAGATGAGCAGGCTATTGATCTCTCCAGGTGCGCTTCTGCCTGTCGGATCGCTCATCTTGCCCCATCTCGCACCCTCGTAGCCTTGTCTCTTCGCCCGCTCAATGCTGGTAGGGAGGAAGCGCTCGTACACTCCTGGCATTGCTCGGTTTTGTAAACCCCATTGTCCCCATCGTCCCCAGTGACCGAGATGCCAGAGGAACATCTCTGCGTGAAATTTGCCATACCAGCCGTTGTTCACAAGGCCAGACTCTTGTGGTGGGTCGAAGCCCGCTTCATTGACCGCTTCCAGATACTGAGAGAGGATGACACGGCGTTGGAGCTCCATTGCGCTCGTGTTACCACTCTTTGTCATGTCTACGAAGGCTCCGGTCTCCCAGAAATCTTCCCAGTACGCCGCCGAAGCCGTTGTAATCTGCTCGAAGTCGGTATTGATGCGCGCACCTTGGCCTCCTGGGCTGTAAAAAGAAGCTTCTCGTGGAGATGGCGTGTCATGGTAGGAGACTGTGAGTGTGAGATGCTCATCACCATGCGGCTTCAGAACATAGCGATGACTGTGAGGTAGGGGTCCAGTCAATGACGCATCTTGATTCCAGTGAACAGTGGTATAATACGTCGTTGCATCCATTGTGTGCTCGATGCACGCTTGGTGATGGTCTCCAGACACCATCCGGGTGGTGTGATTAGCCGTTGCATTGTACAATCCCACAAACGGAGCTTCAAACTTGTTGAGATCGTTCATGTAAGGGTAGTCGAAGAAAACACCAAGATAACCATCTTGCAGCAAGGCGGAGCTGACTTCAACAGCTATGCTGCTCGTGGCTGGGTCGCCATACGTAGAGATCTGTACGTGCTCACCTCCCCATTTGAATGATGAGGTGATGGTGCCGCTGTACAAGTCGAGCTCCTGCTGTGTGGCGCTGACGTCCGACTCAGTGATGTTGTCGCCAAACCAGAGGCCAACCCTCCCAAGGTTGGCTCTATGCGGGTTGCTGATCATCCATTGACTGATGTCCGGTTTTGCAGGATTTGGCTGGAGGACAGGTCAGCGGCTGTCACGGTGCTGCGGAAGGGTTCAAAGGCTCTCAGAGCGCCCTTTGCAGTGGACTCGCGTCTCGGAGAACCCTTTGACCCATCGATTCCTACCTGCTCGTAGTTGACCAGCCTGCCATGGGTCCACCAGTCCAGGCCTACGAAATCCGCTGGCTCGGTTTGATTTGGTGCTGTTGGAAGCGAAGAGTTGTGCCAGCACCACGTCGAAAGAGTGTTGAAGGGCTGAAAGGTCTGTAGACCTGTAACGTCTGCGCCAAACGCAAAGTCGCCATTTCCGACTTGAAGAGGAGTGGAATCTGAGGAAGCAGTACGGTGTGGATTGAATTGCTGCACGATTTTCTGGCGATTGATCTTGGCGCATGCTTGACCTGCAAGCAGGAGGCTTGTCAGCGTTTCCAATTTCGATCGCATAGCTGCTCCTGCGCGAGTTATGAAGGTGGTCGCAATGTTTGGGTCTGTAGACTCTTTGTTAGATAACTACAGGTTGTTTAACCCCACACCGGACGATCGTGTTCGGCGGCAGTTATGCGGAGTTGTCAGATGCCATGCAACCATGCAACCATTCAGCCTGTTGGCGGCTGAAGCTTTCACTGAGCGGATCCCTGTACCCTTCTAAATACTGTCACCTGTGTAGCCAGCTAAATGCCAGCCCTGCAATCGGACTCAGGAAAGCAATGGCGACCAGCATCGCATTACTCTTGCCCTTCCTGAAACGCTCTTCATCGACCTTCATCAGAGTGCCTATAAAATCTGCCGCCACGTTTCTACTTGGAAACGGCGTAGGCGGGATGTTCTGGCTCAGAAAGGCGCAGAGCGGGGCCCTGCGATACGTTAGACGCCGTACACCATGACCATGTTGACCGAACGTACCAGCCTTCCTCCACCGACCGATTCAGATGGGGACGATCCCAGTCTTCGAGAACCTCCTTCAAACGTTTGTGATGGGCGGCGTAAGCTCTCTCCGCGTTTGCTTCAAAGTCACCATCGAACAAGAACTTCCCATGCAGCCAGTTCGTAAGAGCCACTCCCTAAAACAACTCCGGCTCAAACCAGCTCCAGAACCAATACTGCCACGAATTCATGATCGGTAGCACCGAAGCGCGGAAACTGGCTTTCCAGGCGTCTACGTTCGTACGTCTGTTCAACATCACCTTTGCTTTGGGGTAGGCTGCAATTATCTCTTCTGCGAACTGAAGGATTTCACCAATGTCAGCTTTTCTTCACTACTCTTGGTAAGAGTGGCGTCAAACCCACCCAGACGCTTGGGATGTTAGTCGTCGCCTCGCACTCTCCAAGCACACAATCGAAGTACTTGGTGCGCATGGTCTGTTCATCCGGCAGTCGATTCTGCGAGCGTAGAAGAGCAAGCTCATAGTACTGGACGCTTGAACCAATACCATTCAACCAGAACTTGCAGCCATGCGAGACGTCGTTGTAGCCCAAGGGGAGCAGCGCTTGGCCGAGAGACTCTGTTGCGTTGCGAGGGAGGCCAACACAGATGACCTTGAGATCCTTGGTCCTTGCCTGGCGTGGGTACGGTACAGGGTACAGCCGCTTCGCAATGGCAAAGGCTGGTGCAGAGGTGTAAAATGCCATCAGTCTTCCGTACTCTCGTTGGCATAGCAATAGGGTCCAGCTCTGGGTCGCCAGTGAGGGATGATTGCAACGAATTGCAACAGAATTCAGCAAACTCAGGACAGAGAGGACGAGTACTTACTGCACATACATATATGTATAGTACTTTACCTCAGCTCCGACCCACAGCGTGGGGGCGTAGAAATCACTTTCGTCTGCGCAGCTGAAACGCTTCGTGAAGTCGGAGATGCTGATCGCAGAGGAGGCTGATGGACAAGAGGTCGTTCCTCTAGACTGGCGGTGATGATGCTAGTTGGGTAATGACTTGCATAGCAGCACCTCACCATACTGAAGGGCAACATACTGATGCATCTGCCTAAGCGTCTCTTAGACCCGGGATGAATCTGGCGTCCATGTGCGGGGCCATAGAGCCGGCAGATTCTTCTACCACACCATTCTCGCGCTGCAAGACTCTCTGAGCCCGACATCTCGCGCGACCTGCTTTACCACGAGTTGCGGCTCAAGGTGCGGCCGTGATGACCATTGACGCTGTGCAACTGGAGGTACCGGGACAGGTGTTGTCACCGTACGTGGAATGGCTAGTAAAGTTTACGTTCACTTTCTTATCAACAGCTCTTTCTGGCGCAACGGGATTGAGACAGTAAATTGAAGAGGCTATGTCAGGATGCCCTGGGTTGCCCGTGGGAGTCTGCGCTTTCGACAAACTCTATTAAGGTAAGGAGAATTCCATCTACCCGGACTCCACATGGCTGGCACGATCCCCGCATTTTGGCCGCGCCACATGCGCGAACACTAGTCAGGTACCTTGCTCAATCAACGATCTTCGGTAAGGCTACGCGAAATTTGAGTCGATGCATGACCGTCCTCGGAAGCCTATACAGCTTTCCATCAATCATGAATGCAGGTACGCTGTTGAGCCGTGTGAGGCGTTCTGTCATCTCTAATCGGCGGGTCAATACGGATGCACGCGAGTAATTCCGCGATCCAGCCCCATTGGATTGCAACATGAATACGGCCAGTTGCCGCTGGCCCCTGGAAGAGTGGATAGTGTCAGCGCGAGCACTACATCTCAGCTTTCGACCGCTGGTGCGGCGCTTTTGCAACCGTCGTTGGTGCAGATGGTTGGTGAAATGTCCGGACACGCGCCTGGCAGTGCCGTGGTGTAAGTGATGCCATCCAAAATTTCACAAATATCGTTGCTGAATGGAAATCCCATACGTAGTGGGGCCACCCTGGCTACTACCATTCTCAGTGTATCCACGACTATCCTGCGAGTCTACACCAGATTAGCCCTTGTCGAAAAAGCTGGCAAAGATGACATATGCATATCACTTGCAGCGGTAGGACAAATATGGGCTTTCGCACAAGAGCGGCGCTAATGACACCGGCTATAGGCCCTTACGATCGCCCTCACAGTCACAATGTGCCAGCAGGGTAGGTAGCACACCACTCTCTCCGGTGCAATACCAAGTCTGACTTCCCCACGACAGTCAAACATGGCATGGGACGGCATGCGTCCACACTGTCCGACCATGAGAAGGTCCAGTCGCTAGTCTGGTTCTGGGCATCCATTTGGGTCTACTACTTCGCCCTCTGCCTGGCCAAGGTATCGATCTTGTTCCAGTACCTCCGCATCATTCCACGAAAGAGCTTCAGGAACGCATGCTACACCCTTATGTCGATCATAGTGGTGTACTCGGTCAGTACGGCGTTTGCCTCGATGTTCGCGTGCACGCCCATTGCAAGATTCTGGGACCAAAGTATTGACGGTACATGCTTAAATCGTACTGCTATCTGGTATTTCGAGCCGGCATACTTGGTCGTTGTGATCGTTTACTGATGGTCGCTGCGTTAGGTTCGCGAACACTAGTCTCAACATGGTCACGGACATCGCGACTGCAGTGCTACCACTTCCAATAATACGAAGCCTCAACATGCCTAAGAGGCAGAAATACGCCTTGATGGCTGTTTTTGCGCTTGGTGGTTTGTGAGTAATCCCTACTGCTCACACTCTTTCTACTGGGCTGCAACTAAAAACTTGTTAGCACGTGCCTCATCTCCATACTCCGGCTGCAATCACTGGTGGTCGTCTCGCGATCCGACGATATTAGCTGGGAAAACCCCCTCGCCGCCATCTGGAGCAGTACTGAGCTCAACGTGGGGATTATCTGTTCCTGCCTTCCGACTTTGAAAGGCTGCATCTCTCGGGTCTTCCCTCGGCTCTTTTCGTCGACAAACGCTGGCCCGTCCTCGGGTCGAGATGTGCAGCAAAGAGGAGACGAGGGTGGGTTTGGTGGGCGCAAAGGCATCACTTATATCCGCACCTACGACGTGCAGACTGGTGACGGCTCGAGCCACCAGATGCCGGAGCACATGGCTGGCTGGCGACCGGACGTGGGTCCGACCCGAGCGGGTGAGCATATTAGACCTGGGCGGCACAGCCCGCTTACGGAAGAAGTGGATGCTATTGAGCTGACATCTTCGCAATCCGTGTCGCAACTAGTCTGAAGCATTGACGGGGACCTACAGTACCTACCGTCTGCTAAGATAGCTTGTATTATAAAGGTTATTACTACGTTCCTGCCTTGTCTGCCGCATTGGTGGTGATAGATTGTTTAATAAAATGGATACTACTCGTGTTTCCGGATATATAAACCCCTCTACGAGAGAATATCAAAGCCTAAACACCTAAGATATAGTCCCTCCGAGGCGGATGCCGTAGAGTGCGTATTATAGAGCCTAGTATATGTATCTTTCTCGAGGTAAAGGTCCTTACCCGCCGACTTTCACGACAATGACGCTGGTTTCGACTGGGCTCACAGGTGCACCGCTGGTACCGCGGTCCGCAATCCCGCCACGATCTTCCAGATCTTACTCCGATTTCTCCGGGACATGCTTACCTTCTACTGTTCACACCCCGGTCCTGAGAAACCTCTGGATCAGTTGACTTCCTATGTCGCTGACTTCTACAAGACAGGCGAAGTCACAGTTCGCCTTGTACTGGCGTGCGAGATCTTTGTCGACATCTTCTTCGTCCTCCGAGACGGCATCACCTCACCTTTCGTCGCCCTTGACAAATTTGCAGATCAAACTTCCAGCTGGCTGAAACGAGACGATGTGCATGCAAAGGTCCTGGGATGCAACCTTGGCGACGAATACCACGCTACGGCGACGCAGCGCCTGAAACCCTTCGTGGAGCGCTCTGTGAAGCGAGATGTGGTTGCTGAGTTCAAATTGGAGTTCGGGAACTCCGAGAGAAGCCATGATTTGGCTCCATTCGCCTTGCTGAAGCACCACCCAATCCTGTGTGGCATGATGCTCTTCCACATCAGTCGCACCAGGTACCACCTTGGTACAAGCCTCTCGAGTGCTCGTGAATGCATGATGGCCGTGATGCACATGTACAATGCCGCCCTGCAGAAGGGACATCTCGTCAAGCAATGGCCTGATATCGAGACCATCATTGGCTTCTATGGTGCTCATCATGTCTTCGTGGGCGATCGGTCCGTTACCTCGCAAAGTCCGATTCAACGCCTGCAATTTGCTTTTCGGACGTCGCCAACAGCTATGCGGCAAAAGGTCCGCTCAATTCACCATCTCGCAATTGGTCGCGGAGTCCATGTCACTAGTATGAAGATGAAGCCCAGCCAGCGACGCCAGATGCACGAGAACACGCCGCTGCTGGCTGCTCTACCCAACGTTTACCACGAAAAAGGATGCTTGCGTCGCATGGAACAATCACTCAACCCTGGGCCGGACTTTCCGAGCACTAGTACGGGAGACAGGCAGAACGGAGGACAGCGACAGGACCGGAACCCTCTGACTCCTATGGATTTGCTGATTAGGATACGCAAAGGCGTGGAAGGCGAAGAATTCCAGCATCACTTCAACTTACTTGGAGGTCAACTACCACTGTGTCGAACTGCTCAAACGTTTCAAGGACATACTCGTGTCCATCCCAAGGAGCCCCTTCGCAAGCCACTTGAAGTCCAACAAAGACCTGTACTGCGTTGCGTACACTGTTCTGCTCTTCGAAGAGCCAGAGTTTACGCTCGTGGGCGACACAAGTGAGAAATTGGTGTCATTGCTGAAGATGGCTGCTACCCAGATGGAGACTGTTATCGACCGTGCCGGCAGCAAGGCCAACGACAGCGCACGAGCCTTGTGCCCTACGCATGTAGGAAGCGCTTCTCAGGTCGGGAGCCTTCCTTCATCTCCAGCTGCTTGACGGAGGTCAGGCCGAGAAGCATGCTATCAACGCAGAATGGTGGGTTTGGCCGCTTCGAGATGGCGTCAAGCGACAGCGTTCCTGTCCTTGCTTGCGACGGAGAGTTGGGAATGGTGCACAGATGCGACAAATTGGCAGTTCAAGTGAGAATTCGAGCTTAGCATTGTGCTGGCGGGTGCCTGGAATGGCGGAGCGGAGGTGCGGATGGTTGCTTGAAGTGGAGAGCGTCGATGGGGGTACAGCAGTTATCTCCGTAGGCAGTCCATCCTCTTGATATCGCTGCAATCGCTGCCTGCTTCATCTCCAGTTCGCATGATACTATATCGTAGCGGTGGAACCTGCAAAGACCAACCCATTTCAGACAGCGCAATAGCCGTAGAATAGCCGAAGATGAGGTGGATTTGCGAGGCGGGTGAGGCTTCCGCTCCTACCCTACCACACCATGACCTCTAAACCACCCCAGGCTGGGCAAGCCTTCTTCGACCGCATACCAAGCCAAAGCAATGCTGAAGCGGACAAATGCAGAGATCTATACGACGAATGGGCGAGCGCATACGATCAGGACCTTCAGCATGAGAGTCACGGCTACGTTGGACCTCAGGAAGCAGCCAGAGCTGTTGCGAAGCATGGCGTAAAAGATGGGCTGGCAGTGCTTGATGCGGGATGTGGTACAGGACTCTCCGGTGTAGCGGTGAAAGAGGTGGTGGGAGCAGACGTGGTTGTTGACGGAGTCGACCTGTCCACGGGAATGCTTGAAGTGGCTAGGAAGAAGAACGTCTACCGCAAGCTTGAGGCTGCAGACCTTTCCAAACCTCTCGGCATCGAGGATGGTGCGTATGGGGCTGTGGTGTGTGTCGGCACTCTCACGGAGGGTCACGTTGGACCGGTCCCAGCTCTGCGCGAATTCGCACGGGTTACGGCGAGTGGTGGTGTGATTGTCGCGACGATCAAGGAGAGTGTATGGAAGAATGAGGGCCATGATATGGAGGTCCAGCGGCTGGAAAGAGAAGGGGCTGTAAGGGTACAAAGTACTGCTTTGGCTCCTTATCGCGCGGCACAGGATGTCAAGGCGGTGTTACTTACAATGGTGAAGACGTAAGAAACTCGTTCGTTGCTCGAGAATGTCGCGAGTGTCACCGCCTTCCACACGCGGTCGAGCTTGTAGCTTAGAACAGGAGACTCTCCGAGTAGTTGAAGTAAGAGTAGGACAAGCGAGGGTGATATCGTAGCCGGAAGGGAGGAGATGTAGATCGCTCGTCTATCCGCCGATTTCGTAGCGCTAGGAGTCTATTAATAACACTCCTCGGTATTTTTAAGGGGTACTAAAAACTTTTTTTTCGCTAAATCGATAGAGAAAGTTAAACTATCGATCTCTTATTAAGAAACCTATCTAATCTAACTAAAAATAAGCTTAGAATTAAAGAAATTCGTTAATTTCGCTCTATATAAAGGGTAAGCCCTTAGATATAAGGCTTAGGCTAGGCCCGTACTACTACGGCGTCTACTTACTTTCCTTCGGACTTAGGCTAGAAGTTCTCTCTCTCTTTTATCGAACTTATTAAATACTAAACTATACTAAGCTCCTATATATATATTACTCTCCCGTAATATTAAGTTCGATTATTATAAATAACAAGAGACCTATAGGACTTACGCCGGATACCGAGCTAAATACCTCGGAGAATAGGAGTCCTAAGTAAGAATCGACGGAAGCTAAGATACGATATATTATCGAAGAGATATACGTACGCTAATAGTAGATAGAAGCTAAGCTAGCGAGTACTTATACTACTCTTAATAACGTAGAGGCCAAAAGACGTCTAAGGGCGTCTAGGGCCGACCTACGGGAGGAAGTACTACTAATAGTTCTTATAAGAATACTAATAGAGACGTTCTTAGCGGCGTCTACGGTAAACTCTCTACGAGAAGCGACGGGTCTAAGAGATTAGAAGCCGCCGATATAGGATAGAAGAGTAGAGACCTTTCGAGACTACCTTCTTAGGCTATAAAGCTTATATCGAGTACGCTCCGGTACGAAACCGACGCTCTCTATAGAATACTACTAGGATACCGTCTATAGTACCCTACTACTATAAGAACGAGCTCGGATATACTACCTCTAGGGTTAGGGTTAGGGTTAGGG